GCTGGCAGCTATGATCAGAAGCTGATCAAAGGGTCCTTCCTTTTATGGAAGAAGGCATGTGCAAGACGAGATGCAAATTTGAGCACTTTTGGCAGCGTGCCCGGTGTTGGAATTGTGGCCTGACTAATTCCTTTGTGCAATTAACAGGTGTCAGTGTCCAGCTCTTCAGCCAACTCACTGCCATACAGGCCCTACCAAGTCAAACCACCCCCGAACCAGGCCATCATCCCGCCGCAGATTTCCAGTGTAACCTCCACAGCACCTGCACAGCCCTTCTTCGTGCCCTCGCCACCCAGATCTGTCCAGTCAGCGCCCAGTCAGCCAGGCCCACGGGGGCCGGCTGCGGCCAGCCCTTGCAAGGCTGCTCCTCAGCAGCCGCCAGTCACCCTCACAACCATCACCCCTACTTCCCAGGTGCTTCTGCTGTCCTCTGCTGAGTGTCCCTGCCTGTATTCGCAGCACGAGAGCAACACCCTGCCATCGGTACCCTGCCATTGTTTTCTTCTTCTCTTCTCATCTCACAGGTGCACAGCGCATGCAGATCTTGTTCAAGCTTGCACAAATGGACTATCGTGGTTGCGGATGCTGTCCTTGCAAAAGTTATAAGAGTCGAGTGGGCTGTGTAGGGTGTGAGCGGAGTCCAGGCGCCTGCAACTCCCACAAAGCCGTCAGGGGCGGCACCCGTGGCAGCAGCGCAGTCCGCAGAAACGCCGGAGGCACCGTCAACAGAGTCCACAGCCCCTGGCATGCAGGTTGCTGCAGCCGACTCAGCTTACGGCAGCACTGCTGAATCAGCAGCCCCGCCTGCAGGGGATGCGCCGGCAGTTGCACCAGTCCAGAGCGAAGAAAGCAGCGGCAGTGCTGCTGTGGCTGAGGCAGCTACCAGTGCAGACGCTGCTCCTCCTGTCGAGCCTGTTTGTGAGGCCACTCAGAGCACACCAGCCGCACTGACCCAGCCAGAGCAGGCATACAGCACAGGGGAAGCCACAACAGCTGCTCCTGAGCAGGCATCGCAGAATGAGGCAGCATCCTCTGCGCCTGCTGCCGCGCCCACAGGTGCTTCTACGTCAGACAGCGCCGCCGCAAAGGAAGCGCCCAGCATGTCTGCTGCAGAGCAGCCCTCCAGTGCCCCCACAGCTTCCCAGTCGCCAGCAGCCGCCCAGAGGGGCCCTGCACCTGTGCAGCAGCGACCGCAGCAGCAGCAGCAACAGCGCCAGCCTCCACCGCAGCAGCAGCAGCGTGCATCAGCACCAGCAAAGCCGGCGTCCCTGCTGCCGGCCACTGCCGGCTGGGGAGGCAAGCGGAAGACCCCTGCAGCCTCCCCCACTGCACCCATGCCGGTGCCGGCCGCTCAGCCAGCAAAGGCCGGTCCCTCGCCGGCTGCGCAGCCGCCTGCAGCGTCACATGCGCCAGCACAGACCGCCCCACAGAAGCCCGCCGCAGCCAGCCCCCCTGCGGCCGCGCCCGGCCAGCCGGCAACCCCCGCCGCAGAGGCAGGCAGCTCAGGAAGCGCCGCAAAGGCCGAGAAGCCTGCTGCCGAGCATTCCCCGACCGCCACTCATACTACCACCACTGCTGAGGCTCCTGCGCAGAGCCCAGTCAAGCCAGCAAAGGCAGACCCTCCCGCTGAAGAGAAGCCAGCCGTGGAGGCCGCCAGTAAGCCAGTGCAGGAGCCGGCTGCAGCGAGCCTGCCAGCACGCCCGCCGCCTGTGGCAGTGGCTGCCGCAGAGCCCCCGAAACCAAAGACATGGGCGGCAATGGCCAAGAAGCTGGCGACAGATGCTGGCCCCACTGTGTTCCGGCCGCCTCCGCCCAAGCCGTTGACGCCCAAATCACAGACCTCCTCCGCCGGCCCTCCCACTGCCGACCGGGCTCGGCAGGTGCGCTTCTGGCTCAAAAAAATGCTCAATTGCTGTTTGACTGCATGTTGAGGAAGTGCAAGGAGTGTTGAGATGGTGGTACCTGTGAAGCCATTGAGAACGTGCAAGAAATCTGAATGGAAGCACCTGTGAGAGGTCGGCGGCTGAGTTGGTTGGCGCACGTAAATGCAGGCGAGAGGCCAGAGCGAGTCTGGTCGGCCCATGGGGCGCAGGGACGCCTCCCGAGACGCGCTCAGAGATGGCCAGCGCCCCCGTGGCAGAGGTCAGCTCCTTGCCCTTGGAAGTCCACCAAATTTTTGCTTTGATTATAATATCATAAGATCATGTGCGTGTTGCCAGAAAAAAATTTGATGAGAAAGAGCTGTTAAAAAACCTTGTGAGGATAATATGGGAGCACACACTGCTGTGCACAAATCATTTGCTGCAGTGGGTTGTGCTGCTCATGTGTCGGCTCTGTGATGCGCAGGTGAGCCAGGACACAGGCGCGAGGATGGCAACCACCAGAGAGGTGCTGGCGATGGGGGCCGCGATGGCAGGTCTGCTCCTGAAATCGTTTCTTTATCCTTGCCAATATGTTTGCCCTCGTTAGGTTTCAATGTTTGAAGCAATTGAAATGAAGCGGGACTTTCAGCTGATACGCTTCGCATCACACACAGGCGGGGCCCATCCAGGGACGTGCGGCCAGTAGCTGCAGCCACCACATCGTCGCAGAAGGCCAGCGAGGCGTCAGCTGCCGCTCCAATCAAGGGCCAGGCTGCAGGTCCTGTTGCTGAGGATCCCACTGCTGCCGCCAGCGCTGCTCCCGCTGCCAGCACAGAACCTGCGGCACCGACCGCTGCAGTCCCAGACAAGCATTCCTCACCTGCAGGTACGTATGACCCTTTGGCTGCTGCTTGCTGAGAAGCATGCTGATGTGCTATGTATGGAGTTTGAGCAAGGAGCATGCTATTTAACTTGGTAAATGTTTAGGTCCTGGATGTCCTGTGCAGTGCCAAAGCCAGAACAGCCGGAGGCAAAGGCCGCACCCTTGGGGCAGTCTGAGGCAGCGCAAAGTGCTGCCAAGCCGGACGAGGCTCCAGCTGCCCAGTCCAAGGCCGCCCCAGTAACAACACCCACACCCGCCGCGACAGAGCACGTGAGCGTCCTTTTACAGCTCTAGTTGCCCATTGTCTCTTGTGAAGCATCTACTGCTGTAAACGCGTGGTTGTGCAAAGACGCCAATTGCTCAAGAGCGCACAAGGGTGTTGTGATATCTGAGCCCAGCCAGTCTGTTCCGCAGGCCCCGGCAGCAGAGCCAGAAGAAGCCCCGGCGGTCGAGCCAAAGCAGGCACCGGCGGCGGCGCCCAAGCAGGCGCCGGCGGCTGCGCCAGCTCAGCAGAAGATTCTGAGCGGGACGGTGCTGGACGCAGTGCGGCGGCTGTGCGGCGCGGTGGATGAACTGTCGGACGCGCGTACTCCCAGATTCCTGCCCCGCGGCCTTGTTAACACCGGCAACCTGTGCTTCATGAACTCCATCCTGCAGGTCTGCTGCTTTTCTGTCTGGAAACATATCTTTATACGCTCTTCCTGCCTAGAGACAAGGTGCGTCCTGCGGACAAGCCGATGGCAAAGGCTGCCATACTCAATCCCCTTGATGGATTCGCCAGATCCAAGCGAGACCCAGTCAACCATGGGCACGGTGCTGAGAATTCACACCGCCCCCCGCCAGCCGGGGCACGGGAAGTATATATTGCCTGTTGATCCTAGAAGGTCAGCAGAATTCTGCTCAGTGAATTTCAATTGGCAGTAAGGGTTGCAAGCCTTGAGGCTTGCATCTCGATCACAGGTGCGGCTGTAGAGATCATGAGATGTGAAGCTTGCCTTGAAGCTGCCGAGCATGTCTAAATTTTTTATGACCATACCAGGAGCATCTGTGGTGTGTGTAGGCGCTGATGGGCGGGCAGCAGTTCTGCGCGATGCTGCAGGAGCTGCAGGCAGCTTCGCCAGCCTTTGGGCCCAACGAGCTGCCCACGCTGCATGCGTTCTCCGCCCTCGCGGCTGAGTTCCTGCAGGCGACCGCGTCTGAAGCGCCAGGTGCGCCCCTCCATCCTGCAGCCTTTTGAGAATGTCCAAGTGTCGAGAGATTCAAAAAACGTGTTCCTTCTGCGTTTCCAAGATGCATCCTTGGTCATGCTGGCCTGGCACTCCGTTGTTGACCCTTTTGAATCCTGTATGAAAAGGGAACATTGGCTGCGATGTGCTGTGCTGACCTTCTGCATGCCTTGGTGCAGCGCTAATGGCGAACGGAGATGTTGGCAAGAAGGAGCCCGTGTACAAGGCCAAGGACCCTCCCAAGTCCAACGCTTGGGCCAGGCCCGGCAGCGCGGTGAGCTGCATGCACCCATGTTGCATTGCACCCAAATGCAGAAACTGCGCAGATAACCAGCTTGCATGCCCTTTGATGTGCCGTGGATCATGGCTGAATGACAAACAGCTCCTGAGGACAAGCTCTGGCTCCCAAGGACAGCTGTGTGATTGGAACATGTCACGCTGCATTCCTCATCTGCGGCTAATAATTGTCAGAGTGTGCAATCAGAGTGCTCCTGTTGTGATTGCGTTCTGCCGGTGCAGGGCCCGAACGCGGTGACACTAGCGGCGCGGCTGAGCCAGCAGGCGCTGCTGCCGGACATGATGTTCCCCACAGTCAACCGCTTCAACCCCAACAACGGCCGCCCCCTGCCCACCGCCAACGGTGCGGGTTGGGCGCCTTCTTTTCTTTCCAGGCCAATTTCTCGCTCTGCACAGTGCCTGAGGGCTGGTCAAACATTGGGGCATTGCATTGAATCTATGTGCCAGTGTGCTCTGGTGCGATGAAAGTGCTCAGCGTCAGTTGGGAGCTGGTGAGAGGACATGGCAACAATGTTGTGTGCAACCCTCTCTTGGTGCAAATGACATTGTATAGGCATCCTTCATGTCCACCGAGTTGGCTGCTGAGCACTTCATCAAATCTCCGCGTTCTCGCCATATATATAGCCTTCCCGTACATCCAGGGGACTTGTGGACTCCTGTTCTCTATAGTTGACGTCTTTGAAAGTTCACAGTTGCCACAAGTTTCATGCGGCTGAATCCTGTGGGTCGCGAATGCCCGGTCCTGACCCAGGGCTGATTGCGCATACAGGCAAGGCGACGACGGCTGCGGCCGCGGCGTCGGCAGCGGCCACGCGGCAGCAGGAGGATGCGCAGGAGTTCCTGGGCTTCCTGCTGGACTCGGCCCATGAGGAGCTGCTGCGATTGCGCCTTCTCCACGCCGCCTCCCTCGGCAATCCCGGTGCGCGCATTTCCGCATTTTTCAAATTCTCCTCACTTTCCTTCCCTTTCTGTTGAGCACTCCTCAGGTCTGCAAGGATCCAGTGCTGTTTGTAGAGCATTCTTTAGGCTGGCATTGATAAGCAGGCCCACAGCGCTGCAGTTGTCCTGCTGGGCCAGGCTGATGCAAGTTTTACCGAATATTGGTGTCTTCAACTGCCAAGAGTTGACATTTGGCATCGGTGTGCAGACGAGGCAGCAGAGGGGTCGGAGGCTGGCGGAGATGATGAGGAGTGGCTGATGGCGGGGCGCTCCAAGAAGAAGAAAGCCGTCACCCGCGGCACCACCTCCATCCAGGCAGACCTCTTGCTCTAGAATCTTTCTTGAATTGTATCTAGTTAGCGTGTTTTGCTGCTCTATTGCCGGAAATCTGTCACTACTGGACATGTTGCTCTCTGCCAATGTGACTGCTCATCGCGTGTGGCAACCAGGTGGCATCACGTCAGGAGCAACACTCTTATTTACTTACATGATGCCTGCCTCTCGCCTTGAGATTGCTCTAGCGCACTTCTTCTCTGTGCATGAGGTGCAGCATGGCAGGTGGCTACTTGTGCTCTCGCGGAGGCCTCTTCGTTGCGTGAGGTGTGTCACGCGTAGGGGCAGGCATGTGCCGCACTTGAATCTGAGCTGCTTTGAATGTCTGCGGTGTGCTGCAGGGCGGCACGACGCTGGCGAGCGCGGTGTTTGGGGGCGCGCTGCGCAGCGAAGTGAAGGCAGCGGGGGCGCCGGCCAGCGCGACGCTGGAGCCTTGCTTTGTGGTGCATCTGGACATCCAACCGGACGCCGTGCGCTCCGTCTCAGACGCGCTCCACGCCTTCACCTCCCCCGAGACCATCTCCGGTGCGTGGGCCCCTTGTGTAATACGCTCCTCTGTCACTATGGAGCACAGTCGTCTGACTTGTGTCACCATTTTTTGTGCATGCGGCACACGTCGTCAGTGGCTGCGCTGCCATGGTTCTGGATGTCATGGAGGGTAATGTTCTGTCTCGTGTTGGCGGGGGATCAATCCATTGCTGTGGGTGATTTGTAATTTTGCTGTGATGTGCAAGGGAGCCCGTCGGCTTCAAGTTGCCATTTTGTGAGCGTGGCATGCAGTGCTTGACAGCTAGGTGTGTGCGTGTGTGCAGGGTACAAGGTGCGGGACAACTCGGAGGGCGTGACTGCGCGCAAGGTGGTGCAGCTGTACGCGCTGCCTCGCATCCTGGTGCTGCACCTGAAGCGCTTCTCCTACGGCCTCACCGGCACTGGCAAGATCCACAAGACCGTCCACTACGGCGACCGCCTGCGGTGAGACCGCCCTCTTCCTTATCAGCTTTGATGTTTTGTAAGTTTGCAGACCAGCCGGCAGCTGCTTGTTGATAGCTTGCGGCCTAGTAAGGCGGGTGCCTATACTGTGCTGGGGAGGTGTATCATCGCTATTATAGAGATGCAGACTTTCATCACTGGCAGCTTTAGCGCTTCGGCCTACGATACATGGAAGTCCTCAGTGGCTTGCTCGCCAATTCACTGTACATTGCCAGGGCACTGGGTGGATAGGCAAGCAGCTCATTGAAGACCTTCATGTGTCGCCGATCTGCTTCTTTTTTAGGTGGGACGGCACCCAATCCTCCAAGCCCCTTAGGCAGCCTTATGGATACCACTGCGACAAAACTTTGTTTTGGGTCACCGAAACCCTTTGTTGGATTTCAGCAGCTGCATCCACCTCTTTACATTCCTCGCGCTAAAAGTAACTCGAGGCACACACTTGCGGCAGGGTGCAGCCGTCGTGGATGGCGGAGGGCTGCCCGGACGCGCGGCACCGTGGTGGCGCAGACTACGACTTGATCGCAGTCGTGCACCACCACGGCCGCACGCCAGCCGCCGGCCACTACACCGCCGATGTGCGCCAGCCGGACGGCAAGTGGCTGCGCTTCGACGACGCTGATCTCATGTCGGTACCGCTCGCGCGCGTCGTGGACGACAACAAGGCCTACCTGCTCTTCTACCAGCTCCGCGAGTGAACTACCCCACGCCTGCAGCTTCAGCTTGCTGATGAGGAAAGCACGTAAAATTCTCGCTGCTTGGTAGAAAGGTTCTTCGCGAGATGAGGATGTGCCAGGCGGCGGCGTGCACTCACCCTAAGGAGGAAAGATTGGCGGATGCTGCAGGAGAGCCATCAGCATATAGTTGACGAGGATGCTGGAGGAATGAGCTGCCGGGGGTGCCCTTGATCATATATACTCAGTTGGGTTCTTGAGTTTCGGTTATTTGTCGACCCTGTTGGGGCATGGATGGTTGGGGCGGGTCTGGGTATCAGGGTGTTCTGGATTGGTGCGAAGCTCTACATACGGGGTTGGAAGTGGGGTGTCTGTTTTGGGCAATTGTTACAAAGGGGTCCACAGTTCCTGAATAGCTGTACCTGAGGCGAGGGGCGGCAGAATATCCAAGCAACATCTGGTTTGCTTGCCAACTGCGTGAAGGGATGAGCTGCCATATTGAAATGTTGGTGCGCTGGAGGTGCACATTGAAGGTGCAGGCCTGCAAGGGAAACTTGGGGTGGACTGCAGCTGGGGTGGGGTTGTGCTTGTGAGTGTGCATAAGGCGTGTCGGCTTGCTCTGGCCAGGTATGTTTTGTCTGGCAGTTCTCAGGGCGGCGCAGGGGTGTTGGTGCCGCCTTCTGGGCTGGGCTTTCATCATGTCCTGCTGTTTAGAAGCAAGCTTGACAGAAGACCAGAGAGCATATTTTTTTTGCACCTTCGGGGAGCGCTTCACCTTTTGAGGTGCAAGCTTCATGCATCTAATCCCGCGAATGGCATATGAGGAGAACATTTCAGTAGATTTGGGTCGCTGCATGGCTTGTTGTCCAGGATTAGCTCAAGGAGCACAGCCTGCACTGTGATCCTCAGCAATCATTCATTCCATGGTTGAAGGTTTGCACTGGGTTGGCTCTCCTCAGCATTCTCCCATGTAGGGAATCGAGCAGATCGCATACACAACGTGATTCCTTCTTGGCCCACAATGCCGAGCGCACCAAACACCAGATGGCAACATGGGTTTGAGCACTGCATGTGTGTGTCTGTTGTTTCAAGAGAGCGCGTTATGCAAGAAACAGTCCCTTCAATCTATAGGAGAAGTCGAGCACGCTGGAATACATTGTGAGGCTTCACCCTTGCGTGGAGCTCAAGAGTGAAAAGTTTTCTAGACCTTCGAACCTTTCTCCTATGGTGTTGCAGCAGTCTGAGCGACAAGGCCGTTAAGTTCAGGAGAGAATATCGTTGGACCTTGAATATTCTCGCCGCACACGCAGTAGACCATGATGTGGAAAGAGATTGCCCGTGCAATGAGCGAAAGGAAGCACTGGGTGCTGACTTAATTTAGTATATCTGCCTTGCTGATTCCCACTTATAAGTAATTACACTGTGTAAACAGAATCTAATATTGATGTACCGAGGGCCTCGGGTACCTGCAGTAAACTGATGCTTTCAAGTGGATAGGCAGTTAGTAAGCCGTCATGCATGATTTTGATGACTGACATCATCAGAAATAGTATTTCATGCACTATCACACTACCACGGCAGCGAGATATCTTGCACAGGAGCCGATGCTTACATGCAGTTGCACTTAAATGGGCAAATACCACAAACGCCCATTGACAATCCATCTAGATGAGTCCCTAAGTGGTTATAACTGTGAAAATTACGTTGCAGCAAGCGTTAGAATTGCAATGAAACACGATAGGGTCCTCTAACGGCCCACAACACTCCTTTCACTTATGCATGGATACAATCGATGAGTCATCCCCTCTGGCACGCACACGAGTCCGGATCAGGCTGAAGCTTTACGCTAGACAAGCGCAGATAGATACAAAAGCTGAAATTTAAGAGAAAGCCGTTTTGCAACTTGGTACACATGCACCTGTGTGCGCCGCGACTGAGTCGCAAGGCACGTGCACAGATCCGCTAGGGATACACTCACAGCCTGGGAAACCACACTGCGTCAATACTGTACCTTTCACATGCCCTGCCTATGACTCACAGCAATGCAGCATTCCTCAATCACCGCACAACACTCTCGGCTCGCGACCAAAAATGTCAGCCATTGCATGGCCTGCATCACATGAAAGAAATACAATTTCATGAGGCCTAGCGGCGGAGGACATCGCCCCAGCACGCGCGCCTGAAACTCATCTCACCCAGAATACTTTATAATGCGCTGACACTTTCTCCGCAATCCAACGCCATGCGCTGCCAAACACGGCTGAGGCAGCAGGTGCTACGATCTTCTCTCTCTTTTTCCACGTGCACCCGCGATCAGCCGCTGCAGATGGCCTCTTCAGAGTACTTAGTGAGCCCTGGCCACTGGGCTGACTGGGCAGGAGTCTAGAGTGGAATTCCTGGAGCACGTGCGGCTCGCGCTCTCAGCCTGCGCCACCCCCTGTACAACCAAGAATGCCTGTCAGTATACCTCCAGAACAGCATAATCATGACAGCTCAAAATCTGCTACGAGTCCCACCCCCTTGCAAGACTGTCAGCATGCAGGATTTTACTAGCATGCTTCTGCGCTGCAGCCCCACGGGTCGAAGAATGCTTGTGAACGAGCACATTGGCTCAAGGAACAACACATCAGGCATGCAGGGGAAGAGCAGCTCACACGCAGCAGGCAGCGCTTGAAAGTCTCTGCGCGCATGATGACCTCGGCCCCATGAACAAAGCCCTCGGCCACCATCAGCTTGGTCAGCTGCTCCTCCTTCACGTCAATGTGGCACTCCTGTGCACACCCAGCCCCCATCAGCCTCAAAATCACTCTTGCCTTTGCACAAAAAGATGATGACATCAAAAATCAATATTGCAGGTCCAAGGAGGGCAACTGTGGGATTGAATATCCGGCCTCATGCTAGTCAGGAACATGTTCCTATGCACTCTTTAGTGAGGGCCCTTGTGACCATGGACGTCATATCCTTTGTCATCCAGTCGCACCTTATGACAGCCCACACTGCAGGATGCAACCCACATCCCAGCACAGGCAGGTCTAGTACGACAGCAGTTCCTCCCCTCCACAAGAGCCTTCAATCAGAGCAATCCTAAAACAAGGGCGCACTTGGAGGGCGGAGGCGAAGACGCGGGGCCCCAGCTCGCCGTCGTGGTCATCGTCAAGGTCAGAGAAGACGCGCGTCAGCGTCTCGCTCGTCAGCGCGCGCTTGCGGTCCATCGCTCCGGCTATGAACTCCTCCAGATTGATGGAGCCGCAGCCCGACACGTCCAGCTCTCGCGCCAGCTTCTTTATGGACTCCCGGTCCATCTGCTTGCCCACCGCGCCCAGTCCCTCCCGCAGATCCTCCGCGGTTATGCATCTGTACACACGCAGCGCTGGTCACTATTCTGGCATGCAAGTTACCTGTAAACTACATTGTTGCCACTCTGCATGGGCGTGTCTTCAGTAGGCGACCCATTGCATGGACAAGTGACATTTCCACCGGGCATGCATGAATTTTTGCATCCATGCCTGGCATGGCGATATCAGGATGCGCGGGAGCATTCTGTTGCGCAAGGTTGACCAACACCCCTCCCTTGGCAAAGCATCTGCATTCTCACTCCAAGCGCTGCTCAGCAAGGGGAGGAGGCCTACAACTTTGCAAAAGGACAACCCCACATTGGACTCTGGCAAACAGCGCTATCTGCAGATCCAAGATTTTCTATGATGTTGATCGAGGCTGTTGGCCCCACCCGTCGTCGTCGTGGTCGAGAGCGCGGAACATGGCGCCAAGGCGGTCGATCTCCTTGGAGGTCAGCTGGTGCGCGGCCACGTTCAGCAACAGGCGCTCCAGCCGCGTCGTGCGCGTGAAGCTCTGCAGCCGCGACAGCACCACGCTGCTCAGCTGCGTTGTCGGCGCGCTGAGCTCCTGTGAGATCCAGGGATGCGCCAGCGCCTCCGACACCGTCATCCGCGTCGCCGGGTCCTTGTCCAGTATCCTGCAAGCCACCCACCACCCTTCGGACTCTCATCCTATGCTGCCCCACAAATCACAATTAAGATGCTTCTGGCAGGCATTTCTGCAGCAGGGTGTGCAAGCACGGAAGGTCCTCTGATGTATTCTGAAGGCTCAACAGGTGCGCCACATGCCTCGGTAGGGGCATGCATCTTCTCCAAGGCTTTGGTGAGAACTCATCATGGTGGGCCTGTGCGCATTGTTTGGACCACGCATGCATGCGCACCTGCGGATGAAGTCCTTGCCGGCCTCGGAGACGGCGTCCCAGAGGTCGCCGTCGAGGCGCGGCCGCGCGGTGAGGATGTTGTCAAACGTCTCGCGCGTGTTGGGGCCCCAGAAGGGCGGCAGGCCGGACAGCATGATGTACACGATCACGCCTGTGGACCACACATCGGCCGAGTAGCCGTACTTGCCGCGCAGCACCTCTGGCGCTATGTAGAAGCTGCTGCCCACCATGTCCCTCAGCTGCTTGCCTGCGCGCATGATGTGCATGAAATCAGACCATGCAATGGCCTGTTTCACAACATGTAAATAATTTCTGAGATCCTGGAGCGATTGGCACGAACATTACATTGCATATGTTGTACAATGCCAGCATAATAGGATCCATGAACTCACAACGATGTTTGAGCGAGTGCCTTCTGCCTTGCTGGCAGAAGGATGTACAACAAAAGGGGAGATGTCTGACCTGGCTCGAGCTGTGAGGCGGAGCCGAAGTCCACACAGCGCAGGTTCTCCATTGTGCAGGACACCTCCTGGCAGCTGTACTTCTTCTTCAGCAGCAGATTCTCCGGCTTCAGGTCGCGATTAACCACACCCCTGCAGCAGTCACTTGCATGTCAAAAGACAATCACAGAACGAGAGTTTGGTCCCTTACATCAGGCCCCCACTCAATTCATTTTTGGGCACCTGGCTGTGCTACGGGAACAGGCTGTGGAAACACTACAGACCGCTGCAGAGCCTTCAGAGGCGTGCCTTCTATACACAGCAAGATGCACATCCCTGATGGTGTGGATTAGCATGCTTTGTATGTCCAATATGAAGCACTCACTGTGAATGGCAGTGGCGGATGACTTCCAGGATGGCCCGCGCGTTGACGGCCGCATCCTTCTCAGACAAGTGCCCGCGCTCCAAAATCAGATCGAACAGCTCCCCACCTGCCGCACATCACCAATGTCTGGTAATCTGGACTCTGCAAGCTCATGCAAAGTCATCCCCACATCATGTTTATCACTGGTAATCAATTGCAAGGTGGCCCAGTCAGGAGAAGGTGTCTTTGAGGCGCACCTTCGCATTCCTCCATGACAATGTACACATAGTGCGCATCCTCTATGACCTCGTGTAGGCTCACAATGTTGGCGTGCTCAGCGCAGCGCGCCAGCATCTGCGCCTCATGCCGCCAGCCTGCCCCTGCACTGGCTCCCACCCTGCCGACGATCATCATCTTGTCAGCTCAAGGCGCACCATCTCCAGCAGCATCAGGTTGATGCCACATGCCAGATGACTGGCCTGATTTATGAGAAGCTATTCAACGCAGCAGATGCCAGGCTGAACCTTTGGGGCTAACAAACTGTACGTGTCAGAGGAGAATGCAATCTCCTAACAGCCACTGTCAGAGAGGATGTTGTGGGCAACTGACCGCTTGCAAGAGCCACCGTAGTCGGGCTGATGTTTGGAGATGCGCTTGCATGCAAAGCGCTTGTCGGTCTTGCGGTGGCGGACGCTGTAGACCACATCGGAGGAGTCTGCGCTGGTGTGGCTCAGCTTGTCCAGAAACTCGTACTCTGCCTTGACATCCTGCACACAATACAAGCACTTTGCACATCAGGGCAATACACCTCCAGCATCTAATGTCTCATACATATCTAGGGCGTAAAAAAGCACTTTGTCTTGCATTCACAGGAGCAAGTATTGCAATCGCAGAGAAGGCCACAAACTGTCACTAATGTCGTACCCTACCCCTGCCTCCAAAGAGTGGGCACTATTGTCCCCATGGGCCTCGGGAAATCATCCTAAAGCATATAATATGCATTAGATGGCAGTCCCGCAACAAAACCAGTGCAAAGTGCTCAGGTTGTACCTGCATAAACCATCACGGACGCAGGACTTTGCAGCAACCTACTGCCACTTCGCAGCACAACTAGCACTTTACAGCAGATCTATAAATTAAAGGGGTTCCTTAGCACGACATAACTTACATTGGATGCAACACAAGAGACACACCCCTCGACTTTCCGAGAACCTTAAAATCCCCAATTCCCACAACCAGCGAGACAGCTGCAAGATCTGTAGCTTACATCCAACAGAAACAACATCAATGTGTATGAACACTCGTATCACCGTTACCAGTGTCGATACGTTTCTTGGACACACTCGGCTTTCGAAGCCACCAAAAAGCGCCCTTGACTCGGCACCAGAAGGCCTATTCGACCTTGAAGTCACCCTCCTTCCAGATTCAGACTGACGGCAGGTGAGGATGGGCGGTGCACATGTGGGCAACTCACCCCTTTGGTCCAGGGTATCCCGCGAGGCAGCTTTATGTCCTGGGATGTCGGCGTGGTCGGGGTGCCGCGCTTGAAGGACCCGCTCCTACGGCAGGTAGCGCCGGTGCAGAGTGGTTTTGGGTAGTTTGTGATTGCCTCCATGGTGGAGGATCCATCAGAAGCGCCCTGCAGGGCGCGGTACTACTCTCGGAGGGAAGAAGTGGCCGTGTGCCTCTCGGGAAACTCCTCAAGCGCTGGTGCTGACGTGGGGGTCGTGAATCCTGCGGCGATCGGAGGACGTGTCACCCACGTGGAGTGATGAAGAAGGTGGACACCTGGGAACCTCGACATGCAGCTTCAGCGATTCGTGATCTGGTGGGATCAACGGAATCCTGGGACCCTCTATGTGACCACGTCTTGTCCGGTCCCTGCTCAGGCACACCAGTGTGTAGAACACAGCACATCTAATCAGCCCGTATTGGCTGGCACGATGTAATGTTTCTCTCTCTCTCTCTCTCTCTCTCTCTCTCTCTCTCTCTCTCTCTAGGAGGGCCTCCTGACAGTCTTGTGATGCATGCACAACTGCATATCTACCCGCGACAGAGTGACTTGATCCTGTTCATGAGGCTCAGCTGATGCAGCTGCATGCATGGAGGTGATTATATATATAATCATCATGATGGTCAGCTCTGCGCGTGCATGCATGCTAGCTGCGAGATCAGCTGAAGTCTCAGCAGCTTCTACCACAAAAGCGGACTGTTCAATGCTAGCACCTGCATCCACTGGAAACCATCGATGATAAATATCTACATTCAATCCTGTGCAGAATACACCCGGTGGGCCACTGGTGGCAGCCCAAAACCAACAACGCTGCCAGCACAATGTGGGCATGTGACATCATGGAACAAAGAACTTTAGCAGAGCATCAGGTAGTGTGACTCACCCTGGTCACCACAGTGGCCATAGAAACATTTCTATGTGAACAATCGCACATGGCACTAGGGTGCCACCATTGCAGGCACACAGATGCGTAGAAAAAACTTCTAAAGTGCACTGTACAAGGTGGCGCATGCCATGCCACAGTGTGCATAGCCGACACAACATGTGCAACAGATAACAGCAGTTTCAAACCATCCACACTCCCCCAGTGACTGATGTGATATCACCCTTGCGCAAGGGCATCAATGGCTACATGAACTATTGCTCGCAGCAGATGCTTTCCTTAAGAGCCACCAGACTGTGCCAGCGCGAGGATGTTGAGGATGCTCACAAAGAGCAAGACCACGTCCAGGTACACCTGAACAGGCATTTACCTTTCAGCCTCCCATCTGCTCCCATGGGGTGCTGCATGCGGCATCTGCCTGTTCAAGTCACTGACAAAGACAGCCGGAGCAGATGGGATCTTATTTCAACTCTCTGCAAAGCAAGTGCGCAGTTCTAGAAGGAGAATAACGATCACTGCCGAGCCGAAAGCGAATGGACCTCTCTTGAAGAGAGTCTCTTCTCTCAGAAGCACAAGATCGCACCTGGACGGATGCATAGACGTAGTCATCTGGAGATAGCTCCACAGCTCGGCCGCCCATGATGGCCTGCAAGCAGACACAGCAAATGCAAGCGCTTTCTTGATAGTAGCAGGCCCGCATATCTGTGCTTCACAGCACAGGGAAGGAGGCACCTCAGGGGGTGCACTTGTAGTGACACCTGAGATTGGGAGAAGGCCTGAAAGCCCCTAGTTTCTTGTTCCTATGGTTGATATTAGCGGCAATCAGATGAAAACTTGCTGGGCAATGCACTCTTTTCTTAGCCCTTTCGATAGGGTAGGAGGACCCATTGATAGAACAAACTTGTGCAATGCAGAAGAGACCAGGACCACCACAGGCTTTGTTTCGACCCTGCCATCCACTTAAGGTGGTAAGCTGATATGGAACCGCGTGCATATACGTATTCTCAGACATTTACCACCTCAAGGGCTTGGCTTAAAAGGTAGGATTGATCTCATCTACCAGAACAGGGCTGTTGTAAATGGTCTCTAGTACGATCGCTAGGAATTCAGCAAAGAGGGCCATAAATACTTTCAGTACTACGGTTGTACCCCTTAACTGAGGGTTGACTTGTCTCTCACCTGGAGATCGAACAGCAGGTAGGCGGTGAACAGGACTGCAGCGACTGAGCTGATGACAAGGTAGTAGATGTTGCTGGGCACAAAGACGCCCACAAAGATCATGATCATGAACACAAAGCCCAGGGTGTACAGTAGGCCGCCTGCGCCAAGTACCAGACTGTTTCACCGGCAGGCCTGTGACTGACAAGTCTATCAACATCACCGTCAAACCACTGTTCCCACTCAGTAAGACCTACTTTTCACCCATCCATGTAGCCAGCCCAAGTGACAGTACAGCACCAACATGCTGCAGCTGAAATACAGAGATGCATGCACAGCCTCGCAGGCCATGGCAATCATGATTACCAGGCGGACATGGGAAATGTCAGGCAGCCGTGGGGAGCAGGGCCTCACCAGCTTGCGTGAAGTCAAAGCCGGAGGAGGCGGCGACTATGAAAATGAAGGCGACAGCTGCGGCGGTCATGCCGAGCGCCATCAGCAGCAGCTCGGTGTCAAAGAAGGCCGTGATGATGCCGGTCAAGAGGGCGAAGGACAGGGTGAATATGCCGAAGGTTATGTAGTTGTAGGGGTGGTTATGCCTTGCGCGATCGTTGCTGGCCAGCGCCAGTACCGCCACGAAGGAGACCGCCCACAGCAAAAAGAAAATCCATGCATGATCGTTCACCGCCACCTGCACGGCACAAGACAACATCGAGTGCCTTCAGTGAAATGCCTCGGCTGCACTTCTTGTATGTCAGCACTGATGACTGCTGATTACACATGCAACAAACGGGAACAACATCAGATGATGACTGCTTGGAGGGGCTGGCGCAGCTAAATGTAACCAGGCATGCATGCACTGTAACTGATGTCTGCACAAGGACAGTGGCAGCACCAGGGTCAACAATGCACTCTTGCAGTACGCATGCCGTGAAACCTGCAGCACAACCAGGGGCACTGCCTGCTATTGTGAGTGCATACAAGCAGTTCTGCCGAGCGCAAAATGCATTATGGCAAGGCAGCCTGCTGAGAGAGAGGGGGGCTTACGCGCGCGGGCTCCCAGTAGCGGAAGAGGGCGCACGCGGCCACAGTGGCCAGCAGCTGCAGCAGCACGAGTCCCAGCACCTTCTCCACAAACCCCTTGCGCGTCTCGCTGTCCGTGAACATGGGGCCAAAGATGGGCTGCCATGCACCCGCCTCTGGGTCCCACGCCCCTGAAATAAATCCCAGAAATCAAACTGGAAGCTTCTGAAGGAGTGGGCTGTAGCTGTTGCAGATTCGCTGCAGGAATAGGTGGGGCAACAATTCCCATTGCCATGAGGCGATGGTCATGGACAAGGAAAGGACCAAGTAATGAGAAGGTTGCCGATGCCCAGGGCCCCAAGGCAGAAGACTTCCACAGAGCCAGCAAAAAACCCAGTTATTGTCTTGCGGGGAAGCATGACTGGGCCATATACGTCATGCTCCAATGAAAAGAGAATTTACCAGATCGAGCGCCTGGCAGAGGAACATAACCTGGAGCCACAAACACCTGCAACGCAAAACACTGCTTTGCTCACTAATCCCAACATGATACTCTAAAATGGGGAGCACAAGCATTTTCAGCGGATGTAGCACAGAACACTTGGGTGACTACAAAGCAAATTGCATTATACAGGTTGGTTGTGCAACCCAATTATTGCATGCAAATGGGGCATGGGCTCACCGCTGGCATTGGGCCCATCATAGCAGGATCAAAGAGTGGAGCGGATTGGCCGCCTGGCCCCTTTCCAGCATAAGGATTCCCGTGGAACGGCACCCTTGCATAGTACTCCTGCTGCGATGGAAATCTGAATGCGGGCTTCTGCTGCTGCTTGGCCTTCTCCTCAGCAGCGGCTGCAGCTGCAGCTGCAGCTACTGGGTCCTCCTGGCCGCGAGCAAAATCCTCATGTGAGCCTGCAGGACCACATGTACGAATTAGTAATGAGACTGTCAAAGAATGCCCTCAGGATCCACAGTGGTGAAGCAGAAAGGCAAGTCGTCAGAGGGCTGAATAAAGAGCACCGGCTGGCTCCACGTGCGGCGACGGTGGTGGGACCGGGGTTGGTACTTCCGAAGAAGATGGCCTGTCAGAATCCATCGCACTCTCGATGCAGCGCAGTCCTGCGCTGCAAAAGGCATCTGAGATGCATGTTGCCTCGGCACATGTGTCGTGACTTGTCAGGTGATCTTGAACCCGCAACCTCGCCATATTGACTAATCATCCGTCGGAAGTTGCTTTTTAGACTGTTCAGGATATGCACGCAATCCATGGTTGTTGCGCAAGGAAAGGGCGTCTGACAATGCCAACCTTGGGAATCCTCAGGTCTCACGATTAAGAAAGACACCAGCCAGCGCCCGAATTCGATGGACCAGGCCCACTGCAAGAATTCCCCAAATCACTACGCCTTTGATCCAACGCACTTCAGTGTGCCCTAACCTGCTCAGCACCAAAATAGTTTGCATGTCATGCAGACTCGGAACGTGCCTGATTTGGAACGAATCACAAATGTCCACATCAGCTCTCGGCTGACAGCTGGACCTTTGATCTGGACTTGCAGATTTCCGCACTCTCAACATCAAGCTATGTGGACGCTGGCTTCGACTGACTGCAAATTGACAGGTTGCTCTTGCTGAGGAGTGCCGTGCCCCGTCGGGGCTTTCCCGAAGGTCGCTGATCTAGGGCCCGTTGGAGGTTGTGTGCACTGCCCGAGTTCATCTTCGTCCCTGTAGGTAATTCCCAAGAAAAGTGATGAATGTTTCGATAGTACAAGCATCCTCACGTATTCACATAGTGTGCTTGCAAATGCAGTCCCACCAGTTGTGATGTACATCCGGAGTGTCTGTGCGTATCTTGCATTTTCCCTGTCAAAGATAGACTTTCTAGGACGCTGAATTTCTCTACGTATGTAAGTGCAACACGAGTCGCTGTATTTCCTTCTATTTGGGGCCTTTGTGATGTCGTAGGCGAAATTTAGTACAAGCAGCAGCAAGGTGCACCAGGGCTTCATAGCTTTGTGGCCCTCAAGATGGCAGGCGGCGCGATACTTGTTCCGGATAACAATATCAAAAGTTACAATGGCCGGCTGACATGGTACGACTGTTTTATACATGTCTTTGCAGTACTGGCTTCAGTGTGTACGAGCAAGCATCGTCACTGTGATTTGTGGCACAGGACTCTTGGCCTCTTATCCATGAGGCACTGTTCTATATTCTATATAGATTGAAAATGTGTGCCACAGGGTCGTGGTGCTGACATGCATAGTGGCATCGACGGGCGGCCTGCTGTTTGGGTAAGCCCTCACCTGTTCAGTTGCGCTGCGCACGGAATTTTTACATGCCTGATGTTGACATCAGCTCATCATCTGTATGATGTTGCAGATTTGACAATGGCATCACTGGGGGAGTGACATCTATGGAGCCCTTCCTGGAAAAGTTCTTCCCGGACGTCTATGCGCATGTGAAAAGCAAGGATGAGGGGAATAACGCCTACTGCAAGTACAATAACCAGGGGCTGCAGCTCTTCACCTCCTGCCTCTTCATTGCCGGCATGGTGGGCGGCCTCATTGGTGGCTACACCACCAGGTCTGCACCTCAAGTCCCATGCATGCAGCCTGCGAGAGATTTTGATCAACATCGTGTCGCCGACATCCTTCCAGATTGTGGTCTGGGATCTCAAATCACTGAGAAACACATCCCAACCCTTGTCCTTCGTGCTCTCATGTCCATGGCATATCATGCATGCAGAATACGTACAACAGCAATGCATAGAAAAGCACTGCATCATTGACATAGAGTGCTGCAGGGCACTGGGGAGGCGGCGTACCATGACCATTGGCAGTGTGCTGTTCCTGATTGGCGCTGGCCTCCAGGCAGGCGCTGAGCACCTTGGCATGCTCATTGCTGGCCGCATCATGCTCGGTGAGTCATCTGACATGTCCATTAGGAAGCTACTGGAAATTCACTGCGGTTGCACCATGATGTGCTGGACTCATGAATTATGCATGTTCAAGATGCTGGCAAATTCTGATCAACGTCATATCTTGTGGCTTTCTCAATTCAAGCTTGTTTTCTGTGGCAGGCTTTGGTGTGGGCCTGGCCAATCAGTCTGTCCCACTGTATCTGTCAGAGATCGCCCCGCCAAAGATGCGCGGCGGCCTCAACAATCTCTTCCAGGTCAGATGTCTCTTTTTAACCTACGCTTAGTGCATGTAACTGTACTCACCGGCGTATACATGGTGACCCTCTGTCTGCAGGATGCATGCATGCATCACGTGTTCTGAGATGATCTTCTGACATATTGACTATGCTCTTGCAGCTGGCGACTACTACAGGCATCCTTGTGGCGCAGCTTGTCAACTATGGTGCGCAGAAACTCTCGTCGGATAATTGCATTTCCAGGGCTGAGTCATTATGATAGCATGACATGAGCCACTGCTTTGCGCAGTTGCTCATGTCCAACTGCACCTGCTTCTGGGCAATCAGAAATTGACAGCTCTTCTCGGGCGAATCAGTAATGGACCAGTGGCTTGTGTGCAGGCACACAGAACCTGCATGACTATGGCTGGCGAGTGTCTGTGGGTGTGGCAGCCATTCCTGCCATCATTCTGCTCATTGGCAGTCTTGTGCTGCCAGAGACCCCCAACAGCCTCATCGAGAGGAACCACCACGAGCAGGTAGGCTCCCCCTTTCCTGGACTTTAAATCTCAGCCTGCTGTCACTTTCTTCTCACTCCATGCTTATTGGCTGCTGTGTCCAGCTTGAGTGCCTCAATATCTGCATCCTGGAATGATGAGGATGCATGCATGCCTTGGGTGGAAGGTGCATGGGTCTGCCTGCCAGAGTTCCTAGAATGGATGCAAAAATTGCATGTGCTGTGCAGGCGCGCAAAGTGTTGAGGAGGGTGCGTGGGACTGATGATATCGGCCTGGAGTTTGATGACATCTGCACTGCCAGCGCTGTCTCTGCGCAGGCAAGTGTTGCAATTCTTGGGTTGGTCTCTCACGGACCGCATTTCTGCATGTACAAGTAGAAGGTCTGCAGTGTGAGCTCATTGAATGGTGTGCAAGCTGAGCTGCCTGGATTGACACATGGCATGGTGATGCCTGCAGGTCAAGAACCCTTGGAGAAACATCATTTCCAGGAAGTACCGGCCTGAGCTGGTGATGGCTACATTCATTCCCTTCTTCCAGCAATTTACAGGTAAGATTGGTGTGACCACTCCGTGGTTTCGTGACTCAACTATTTGTGAAGGAGCATCTCCACTGCGGGATGGTCTTTTAATTCATCAGGCACCAAGACAGTGTCTATCTTACAGAATCAGCAAGGCATTAAGGGAAAGAACGCACTTGTATAGGAGGTGTACAATTTACATGCCGGATGCGATCAATAACGGCCCAATGTCTCCAATACCACAGCTCTCGTCCCTTAGAAGAATTACTATTACAATGCATTCCCATGTCCGCAGAGCCAGGTAAGGCAGCCGAAGTAAGTTGACCTCGCTGTGTGCATACAGGAATCAACAGTGTGGTGTTCTACGCGCCTGTCATTTTCAGCAGCCTGGGCATGGGCCAGGATTCTTCCCTCCTCTCCTCCGTTATCGTCGGTGTTGTCTTTGTGGTCACCACCGTCGTGGCAGTTCTGACAGTGGACAAATTTGGCCGCAAGGTGAGGAAGCTTCCCGTGTGTGTGGCTCCCCAATCCCCCCAAGCTGACAAATGCAATGCATCACTTGCATGCAAATACACTGCCCTGCATGCACAAGGATCGACAAGCAAAGAGGATGTGTAGTAAGCAAAGCTGACATGGCATGCATCTGGCCCTGTCTGATGGTTGGCCAGGTATTGACTCGGCAGACTCACATCTCTAACTTGTTCAGCATGGGTGATGCGCTGACATGTCTTTTGTGGTTGTATTGTAGATCCTCTTCCTGCAGGGCGGGGTGCAGATGATCCTGTCAGAAGTTATAGTGGCAGTCCTCCTGGCAGTGCAGTTCAATGCACACAGCGGGGAAGCCATCAACAAGGGCATTGGCGTTGCTGTCATCTTCTTCATCTGCCTCTTTGTTGCCGGCTTTGGTGAGCGCCTGATCTCTGTACAGGGCTTGTTCCTAGAAATTGTACCTGCAGCAGCCTCTTTATTGATTTACCTCACACTGGTGGCTGCATAGAAACCCTTCATCATGCCAGTTTGCCATGAACTCCGGCAGGTTCTAGCTGAGACAGTAACATTATAGTGCTTGCATTCCGACAGGAATAGAGCCATAGATGTATTGATGAAAAGATCCCTCATAACGCTTTGAAGATATGATAGTTTATATGGGGAAAGCGTGAAATAAGCTGCGGTTTGGACTGAATGCAGGCTGGTCATGGGGCCCGCTGGGCTGGCTTGTGCCGAGTGAGATCCAGCCGCTAGAGACCCGCTCTGCAGGCCAGGGCCTCACAGTGGCAGTCAACTTCCTCTTCACCTTCATCATCGGCCAGTGCTTCCTCTCCATGCTCTGCGCCTTCCAGGTCAGTCCCAATCCATCAGTTTTCTCCTTTTGACCCTGCAAGCGACGGCTCGGTCAAATGAGCGTCAGCTGGATCCACGCTGGGCCTGCAAGCATGCATTGATCGACTGCATGCTTTGCCATTCAGTGAGGTGTAATGCCACTGACTCTGGTCAGAGGAGACTTTCTGGATTGAGTGCAACACTTTCGGAACTTGAGTGCATTGTGCACTGATCGGCTTCTGATGCTGTTCTGGCTGCTGTGCGCAGTACGGCATCTTCCTGTTCTTTGCGGGCTGGGTGCTGGTGATGACTTTGTTCGTGGCATTCCTGCTGCCTGAGACCAAGGGCATCCCCATCGAGGAAATGGTGGTGGTCTGGCGCAAGCACTGGTTCTGGGCGCGCTTTGTGGAGCCGGCCGCCGCGGACCTCAAAGCCATGGAAACCGGCAACGGCGCCCAGCAGCTGCCCAGCAGCTACGCGGGCCCCGAGCCCAAGAGCGCCTGAGCTTTTGGCCCAACACAGCTTGAAGCAAATATTACTCCAACTGAAAGCTTTTCGGCGCAATAGGAGCTGTGCAGACTCGAGCTTGTCAGCTTGTCAGCGTGACAGGGCACAGGACTGGTTCCAGTTGGAAAGTGTCAAATAGGAATGATTGCCCCACAAGGTGGTTGAGAAAATGAGCCGGGCCTTGCAGCTGTGGATTGCGCTAAGCTGGGGATTGTGCCATGCCTGAAGCTTAAGTGCCGGAAATTTCTCAGGAAAGAGGCACAGAACAATGATGTGTACATTTGTACGTGAAGGTCTGTGACAAACAGAAAGAAATTTTCAATTTTGAGCTCCTCAGGGTAGCACGCGTGCCAATGACAGTGGCTGATGCCTCAGCTACAAGCACCATTTCATTATCTTCTGCAAAAGAAGACTTGTTAATTGATTTTCTGAACATGGTTATGAGATACCGGAGAATGCTTTTTGTGAAAGATTTTGTTCATACTGGACATGGCAAGAAAGATTTGAAGTGCTCTGTTGTCGCTCCTTTCCATAAGAGGTGCCCGAGATCTGCTTGTCCAATGCCTGGGAAGTGCAAGAGATTTTGGCAAAAATTGACTGCTTTGCAAATGTGACCCTGCAAATTGACAAAGAAGTACCTGGACTTGGGAGCATGAACTCGAGCTGTGTGGGCTTTCTGTCATAGATGGAGGCTGTAAAGAAGGTGCATGCACACATTGCTTGACTCTTTCCTGCTGCCAGAGCTACAGATTTAGATAGATCTGTCTATGATATTTGTCTTGGTGAGGCCATCATAATCACATGCACTGAGCATGATGCGTTGCGCTTGAATTACGCGGTCACGAATGAAAATTGGCGGCGCGTGGCATGCATGGGGCCCGTTTGTCCTCTTCTTGCGACTGCATGCAATCTTAGTCCACTGGTTGCCGCACTCTGCGTGCTTCTCCACCAGCATGCTGTCCTCTTGGTTGGAGTCACACTACCTGATGCTCTGCTAATGTTCTTTGTACCATGATCATATGATGTCACATGCCCACACTGTGCTGGCAGCGTAGTCAGTTGTGGGCTGCTGTAAGTTTGAATGTAGATGGTGTCCAGTGGATGCAGGTGCTAGCATTGAATAGTTTGCGTTTGTAGTAGAAGCTGCTGAGGATTCAGCTGATCTGGCATGCACGCGCAGAGCTGACCATCATGATAGTTATATAATCACCTGCATGCATGCAGCTGCATCAGCTGAGCCTCATGAACAGGATTAAGTAACTCTGTCGCGGGTAGATGTGCAGTTGTGCATGCATTGCAAGACTGTCAGGAGGCCCCGAGAAAGGTCCCAGGATTCCGTCAATCCCACCAGATACGGATCGCTGAAGCTGCATGTCCAGGTTCCCAGGTGTCTTCTTCTTCATCACTCCACGTGGGTGACACATCCTCCGATCGCCGCAGGATTCAGGACCCCCACGTCGGCACCAGCGCTTGAGGAGTTTCCCGAGAGGCACACGGCCACTGGCCAGTGGCACTTCTTCCCTCCGAGAGCAGTACCGCGCCCTGCATGGGCGCTTCTGATGGATCCTCCACCATGGAGGCAATCACAAACTACCCAAAACCACTCTGCACCGGCGCTACCTGCCGCAGGAGGGGGTCCTTGAAGCGCGGCGCCCCGACCACGTCAACATCCCAGCCTGTCCTGAAGACATAAAGCTGCCTCGCGGGATACCGAGCTGGACTAAGGGGGTGAGCTGCGCAGCTGCGGCCGCGGCACGGATCAGTCACTTACCTCATTCTCAAATAGGGGGCCTGGGCAGGGTTTTACGCTAGGTGTGCATGCGAGGACTGGCACATTTTTCCTCACCACCGGAATGTTCAAGCATAACGGCACGAGTGAGTCATGCATGCTTGCACGTGCTTGGGAAATCGCATTAGGTCGCATACGAAGCGGGGAGAGGACGTCGGCATCCGCAGAACGCAATTGAAGGATGTGGTGCATCAGGTCATACACGAACTCTGTAAGTGCTCAGAGATAGAGGCAGATCGCGATCAGCGCGTGCGATCAAGAGATCTGGAGTCGTCATGGTGGAGGGAAATTACGCAGAAGATGTGCATCTCAATAAAATAGCACAAGATATTAAGTTCATTCGCCTCCTATTTTGCGATTTTGCTGGCATACGCCGTTGCAGGTGCTGCCCCCTTCTCTGCGCAAGTAATATTTCATAGAGACTCCAATGCTCACGTGCTCTCCTTGCCCTGATATGACACATTGATTGCTCATTGATCAGGGTCATACCAGCTCGACGTCTAGATACGATAGCAAAGTCCGGCGTAGGCCTCACAAAAGCGACTCCAGCGTTGCCGGTGAGCCCCTTGCCGAACGTTAAGCTCATATCCCTAATGACTTCTTGTAGCTTCCAAATGCGATCAAGGACAACAAGACGACGGATATCATCTCTGCTGACAGGCCTGGGGCGACACTCCCGCTGAAGATTCGGGCTTTGGGCCGGTGGGCGAGGTTCGCCTCTTGCCAGCAAAGGATGCGCCCATCAGGCCCCTTCCCTGGCGACCTACACATGCACTGGCTATTTGCGAGCTTCACAACCGGCCAGGTGCCTCCATTAACACCACACGCAGCTCCCAGCTTGCAGCAGTTCCCCATGGGGACCTCCTCCGAACATCTCGTGAACCACCTTTACTCCCTGGCACTTTGCACTGTTTATTGTGTTGGGCCTCCACCAGAACACTGCTAGGCGTGCAGCACATACAGTGTGATTTTCTGGTTTCACCTGCGACTTGATTGTATGCGCAGGGGACCCTTGGGAGTGTTGTCCAAGGGCCGCGCTGAAGAGCATCCTGGCCACAGCGCAACGCGAGCACGGCCTGACGTTCCGAATCGGCTATGAGAGCGAATTTACTCTTCTGCACCAGCCGCCCCCAGGCGACACGCGGCTGCCGCCGCCGTTTGACAGATCCGTGTACTGCCAGACCTCAGCCTTCGACGCTGCCGCACCAGGCATGACAAATCTACAACTCCTTCACAAACCAAAGCTGCTTATCAATTTCAGCAGCCAGCCCTCCTATGCAATGCATGTGGAATATCACGTCTTGTGAGTCATATCGGGGGAGGCTGCATTGCGTATGCATGCGGCCAAGGCCACAAACATCTCAGCTGCTGTCTGATCTCAGCAGCCATCACGCCTATGCACATGCATGCGCAAGAGAACAGTCTGGAGGAACATTCAGGAAAGCTGCGCTTTGCATTTGAACTCGGCTGGCATGTTGGGCGCCACAAGTATTGAAATTAGGGATTATTTCCAGTGATGGATGAGATTGTGGAGGCATTGGAAGAGCTGGGCATGCCAGTGGAGCAGCTGCATGCAGAGGCCGCGCATGGGCAGTTTGAGGTGGTCACCACCCACGACGATGCGCTGCAGGTGCGGGCATGCTCTGCCATGTTGTCAGCTTCCCCTCTACCAGACTTAATTGTCAGATTGTTGACCCTTCTAGTATGATGATGGATGAACATTCATGGGAAGGCAGCTGCCCTACCGGGATCGGTAGCAGGCCTCGTGCCCAAAAGAGATTACTGGAGTGTTTTGCACTGCACGTCCTCTGCGGCCGCTTAAAGCAAGCTGAGCATGTTTTTGCATCGAGGTCTTGCAGATGCTGCAGACATGGCTTGGTCAACCTGTAATCTTGTGGCTTGTACGCAGGAGACTGAGATATCAAAAGCATTCCTTGTTGACATCAAAGTTTGCTGAGGGCTGCAACTGCACTGTCGGCAGGCAGCGGATGGCGTGCTGCTGGCGAGAGAAGCGATCACCTCCGTGGCGGCAAAGCATGGCCTCGTGGCTTCTTTCCTGCCAAAGCTCAATGCCATGCAGGCCGGGTCTGGGCAGCACCTGCACATCAGCCTCTGGAAGGTGTTGCCTGTTTGACTGCCTCTGCATGCAGTACATCTTCTCAAGCTCTTATTATTATTGTTATTATTATTATTATTCGCTTTTCCTGTCAATATGCAAGGTGCTTCCTGCAGATAAGCTGCAGTTAAAGGCTGCCAGTTATGCTACCCCTTGTTGGACTCGCCAGATCCAAGCAAGAAGATTAGTCTCAAGCTATGCGTGCCCTAGATAGGATCAAACACACTTTCTGCCTGTTTTCGTCATCACCGGAGCTTGAAGGCCCCGGCTTGATTTGCCACAAATGGAGACACCTGATAGGAATCTAAAGACATGCCTGGCCTGGCAAGAAGGACTTTGCATGTAACAAGCCTTGCATACTGTGCATGCACTGAAAAAATTAATAGTTGTATTGCAGCCTGCTTCGAGTAGCTCTCACTTTGCACATTTTTCATGCAGGATGGCAGGAATCTGGTAGAGGGATTCGAGACCGGGGCAGGCAGCATGGCAGAGGCATTTCTGGCCGGCATTCTGAGCCATCTGCCAGCACTGCAAGCCTTCACTGTCCCATCGCCCAACAGCTACGAGCGCCTGAAGCCCGGCTGCTGGAGCGGCGCCTTCCAGTGAGTCTCCCCTGCACAGCACGCCTTACCTTTGTTGACCAATACTCTTGCAGCGAGCAGGCCAGAGCAGTCCTGCATCTGTTGTACAGTGGTACAGGGCAACGACATTCAGTTGCTTTCATTGTCTGAACATATGCCAGCACAGCTTCCATTGGTGAACGAGACAATGGACAATCTGGCGCTTAAATTTAGTAGATATTTGTCAGCAATAAGGTTATTCAGGTTATCACTCGTTTGTACAGGGGTCAGTGGGGCATGCTTTGGCAGGGGTGACTAATGGATGGTGTGTGCAGGGTCTGGGGGGTGAATAACAAGGAGGCTCCCATCCGGCTGTGCACTCTGGCGGACGGCTCATCCAGAGATTTTGAATTTAAAGCGCTGGACGCCACAGCCAACCCCCACATGGCGCTGGCAGCCATCATGGTGGCTGGGCTCCAGGTCAACCTTCAAAGTCCTCTTGCCCTCCCTTGCGCTTCTTGTTCTCTCAGGCAGCACTACTGCCAGCAGCTTGCGGCCTGTTGCATGAAGGACACACTGGAAGAGTCGCACTGTAGCTGCATGTAGCTGTATATTATTCAGAAAAATGAGCACCGCGTCTTTAAGTCCTTAAAACTGACTGCACTTCCCTGCATGGCTTTACATAATACAACCTTCGATGACAAAGAGAGCGAGGATCCTTCTATATGCACGTGTCATGAATAGATCATCAGCGAAAATGAGACTGCGCATCGGCATGAGGATGACAAATTGGATGTTGGCAATGCAGGGTGTGAAGGAGAAGGCGATTCTGCCTCCACCGCTGCAGATAGACCCAGGCACGCTGTCAGCCGAGGAGTGGAGCACTCAGGGGATCAAACCGCTCGCTGCCAACCTGGCGGGGGCTTTGGCAGGGTTCAGCGCTGACACTGGTGAGTCTACAAGCGTCCCCACACTCTCCAGCACCTGGTTTTTTATTTCAGGGTCACAAACGTGAATGCAGGGAGTGAATATCAAGCCAAGAGCTAGCGCTAGTCGTGCAGTATGCTTCAGTAAGACAGTGCGCTGCTTACCAGAGTTGTTACTGAAGATCTTTGCTCCTACTGTACTTTTGTGGCATGCTTGTACATTGGTGGCCCTTCCTGGCGCCTACTTTGGCGCTCATACTGACTTCATGTGTGTAATTTTGTCTGGGTTTGATTTGATGGCCCTGTGGGTGTGCAGTGTTTGGTGGCGCGCTGGAAGAGGCATTTGGGAAGGCTCTGGTCCGGGTATTCATGGCTGTGCGAAAGAGCGAGCTCAAGTGGGACGAGCAGCTGCGCCAGCAGAGCGCCAGCGATGCAGAGCACATTGCTCGCGTGGCTGCTGAGCTGTACTACCGATACTGAGGTTTCTTTGTGCATTTACGAGCGCGTTTCATGGCACTGCAGACATTCCGTATTCAGCAATGATATTTGGGGCCTTCTTTTCAAGAGGAATCCTGCCCATTATCTTCTTTCTCTGTGTCAGAAATGATCGCCAGCATGCTTCACATTGAGGCAGGTTTCATTGATGCATGGCCAGGGGCTAGGTGACTACGTCTGGAGTATTATTTGCTTTCTGCATTACAGTGCAGCTCAACACTACTGTCGTGGATCATATATCTTCAGTGCTGCGTCCGTTGTCAATACGATCATGATTTGCCGGATCCCTAATACTGCGACCCAACCTAGGTGGGCGCACAGGCTGCTCCAAAAAAATCAAAGCCTGCTACAAACATAGCAGTGCAATTGTAACCCACATAACGGCAGTGGCACCGTCAGACCTAGTAAAAACACTGTGCAACAATGTCACATCAGAATGCTGTAAGTCACCTTATTCCAGTCACACAGCACAGATATCCTGCGTGTTTGTCATGCATCCACAATAGAATCCAATCCTGGGAGAGTATACACAAAGTACCAACCTATGAGAATAGGGCAAGACGTACATAAAGGCAACAAAAATCCAGGAGCTTAATCTTGGTACGTTCTGGCCCCGGGATACCAAATTAAAAGAGACTTGGTCATGAAAGAAGTCCAAGCAGGCAACGAATGTTCCAGCGCCGTTTCAACGCATCATGCGCCCAGAAGCTGAGCCTCCTTCTTCTCCAGGTTCTTCACCTGTTCGTACCAAAATTCCAAAATCACTTCCTGGACCAAAGAGAAAGTCCCAACTCCGACATCCACTCTCGCCAACATACATAGCTATCAGCTAGCCGCATGCACTTGGGTGTTGTTGATCTTTACGTGTGTAGCTCTGCTGAGTCTTGATGTAAAGTTGCAGTGGACAGCATCAGCAGACAGCCTCATAGACGCCATGACAACTGGGTGCTGCATGGGTGCCAAGATGTATAGATTACACACATTTCTACTGGACAAGCCCTTGCCTGAAGCCTTCTGCTTAAGCCCTTTCGTAAAGCCCCAGCTCGTCTGCAAACTCACCTTGCTTCTGACAGGAAAAACATGCAACAACGATGCTACGTGTGCAATACTAATAAATCACTTAAGCCTGAGGCCCCACCTTGAGGAAGTTGACGAGGGAGAAGAAGCCGAACACAGAGGCGCCCACAAATGAGGCGGTGGCGGCTGAGGCCATGGCCGACACTGAGAAGAGTGTGCCGATGTTCATCATGGTGCCCGCCAGGAGCATCGATGACATCATGTTCTGGTTGGCCTGCAAAGAGCAGCGCACAATATATTTTCATGAGTCTGGGTACCCATTAAGCTACAGTAACTGGGTGCCACTGGTACATACTCCTGAACTCCAATATGCCCCATGTGGACTGCGTAGCTATGCTGCATGTTTAGGATCTTGCAAGGGAAATGAAGGCATCAGTGGCAAGCAATATTCTGTCCAGCATCACTGCTGACCCACTGCGAGCGGCTGCAAAGCATAGCTAGCAGCGAGCGATACTTTACACACTTCACGCGGCGCCAAAATGCCCTTGATTTTCCGCAGGGATCAGCAACGAGACAGAAACGCCAAAGAGAGCTGGATAGGCGAGGTACACGTGACCTCTGCAGCTCAGCCATGCCTCTCTGTTCCTTTGCTCCTCCCTGCATCCCCTCTGCTCCCAGGTACGATGAGTAACACAAGTAAACAGTGCCCGCTTACCAGGACGCGGGTGAGGGCGCGTTCGGCGTCGAGAGCGCGCACGCGCAGCTTCAGGTCTCCGTCCTCCAGCCGCCGCATGGTGACCGCCACGTCCTCGATCATGTTGGGGCCCCGGAACAGGTTCACCACCGCCCGGTTCTGCGCACAGCCACACGACTTTCAACATCAAATTGTTGGCTTCTGATGCAGTAGGTCCCCCACGCCTTTTGGTGTTTCCATTGAAGCATGCAACGCACTGGACATGCTCTGGAACAACGGTATGCAGGATGGGACATTGGGCAGTGAGGACCAGTGATACCAATATGCCTTAGGTGGCTCCCAGGTCTCTGAAGTGCAATAGTAAAAGTAACATATGGCCAGGGTCTTATGCACGAAGAAGCCAGGATGAGACAAACACAGGCCAGGCCGGCAAGAGATGCCAACAAATGGGAAAGCACAGAAAAGGGAACCCTGGACGATGCAAGCATGCAGATGCAGACACATGCCCGGCCGACGGCAGATGCAATACAGGTTATGCGATGAAACACTAGTCGGGACGATGGTGTGCAAGGCACCTGGGTGGCGAGGCGTTTGTTGAAGTCCTGCTGCAGCTTGGCAAACTGGGGCTTGGCCTCCAGGATGAGGGAACGCGCGTACGGCGCAGCGATCTCGCTGATGTCAAAGCGCGGGTCCAGCCCCTTGCCGATGCCGTCCAGCACGGTGAAGGAGCGCACAACAAACGTGAACGTGGCCGGGAAACGGAACGGCTTGTCCGCCGACGCCACCAGCAGATCCTCACCTGTCGCACACCAGCAAGTGTCAGTTCTACTTGCAATTTGATAAAAGCACGCGCCTTGCATGCCACGATTTCAAGGCTGGGACGAGGGCTAGATTTAGTGTGACATGTGGGGATGCTGGCACCTGGCATACGGAGATACTTCTTGACAATGCAACTATGTGCGTGTGTCAGAATATAGCGTCCCTAGCCCCTGTCTGATCTGATCAAAAACAGGAACAGCCAGCACACATGCAATGACCCAATGGATGCAGAATTTCGGCTGATTGTTTAATGTCCATGAAACCGGAGCTTTGGCTGCAAAATCCTTTCCTGAGTCCCATTAGTCTGAAGCAGAGCCTGCCAATTACAGGTCAACATCAGCCAAGTAGAAAGAGTGCAGAAGGACGCACCTATATTGGCGAGGATCTGCTTACGGCGGACCTTCTTCTCGTCCTTACTCAGCTGATTTTTGAAGGTGGCGCCGTACTCTGGGTTATTCTTGGCCTCCTCTTTCTGCTGCTGCAACCGCTCCTGTAGCCCCATGACACCACCACCAGTCAAGCATCGCAGGAGGCCGTTTGTGACAGCACCCTTACATTGATCTTCTGGGTCTGTCAATCTATGTGAAGTCACACACTAGCAGCTGGCAAGATCTCGAGCCAGATTTATTGTCTTCATGCAGAGACTTGCTTCCCCTCTCATTGTCCGGCACAACACTTGCCACATTTAAACCGCACCTCCAACTCCTGTGCATTGCTCAACGTGCCACCGCGCTAAAACTGTAGTAGAGGACAAGGGCTGGACAAGGAGGCACCTCGAAGGACTTGAGAAAGAACACAGCCGTGCGGCGGACGGCCACGCGATCACCACCGGGAACCAGGACACCCATGGAAATGAGCGCCTCGATGCAGCGGTCGGGGTCTTTCTGGTAGACCCCATAGAAGAGCTCGAGCAGCCCAGCGCGCACATCGCCGGGGATTGTGCCCATCATGCCAAAGTCGTAGTAGATAAGGCGGCCGCCGCCCTCCGCGTCCACTGCTATGTTGCCCGGGTGCGGGTCTGCGCGCGCATGCTGCTTGTCAGCGCTTAATGTTCAGGTGCACGAAAATGGCAAGACTTAAGTGCTGAGCATTGCGTTGGCTCGTGCAAATCTGGGCGCAAATGACAGCTGGTCAGTGCGGGAATGTTCCCGCAGACACCCAAAGCATTCAGCAATGAAGCACGGTTTGAAGGCCTTTTCAAAGTAGGACTTGAGATGCAGGGCGGTGCAACAAGCCAATTTTCTGGACTGTACACACGCTCCAGACATGAATGATGTTAGAGACAGAGCACGCCAGGCACAAGACAACCTCCACAGCAAGACACAGCAGCCACCACGCTCAGAGCTCTTTCTTGTAAATAGGACAAGCAGTCATGGTTATGACACGCGCAGAAAAAACACCGGCGTGGAAGAAGCCGTAGGTGAGGAGCTGCTGGAGGTAGCACTCGACGGTGCGGCGGGCGAGTTCCTTGCGGTCTACGCCCATGCGCTCAATCTCGGCCGTGCGGTTGATCTTCACTCCCGGCGCATACTCCATCGTCAACACCTGCTGCGCTGTGTACTTCCACAGCACCTTGGGCACCTGCGCAACGGGCATCACAAGCGTCATGATTCCTTGCACTCAAGCCTTCAGACATTTGCATGCCAGATGACTGGGCCAAAGATAGCTGACACATCAGGGAGAAAGCCCAGTTATGCGGCAGAACAAGTGTTGAAAGTACTTGCAGTGTTCAAACCGCTGTGTGATGTGCGCAACACAGCCGAGGGAGGCACTGCGGCTGGGTCTCAGACGCGCTGCGCAGACGAAAATGTGTGATGGGCTATGAAGCATCATAGATAGAGACACAAAGTATTACTGCTCACTTCCAAATGCAGGGGAGAGGGGGGCTCAGGCTTCAATTCTTGCAGATTGCTCACCTTGATCCAGGGCGTGTTCTGGAAGTTCACGCGGAAGCGGTCTGCGTTCTTGCCCTCGAGCTCGTAGTCAATCTCCTGCAGCATGCAAAAGCACATGTCAGTCCTTCTGACCATGTTGCCACACAACATTGAGAGACTGATGACACTTGAGAAAGCGGTGGCCAACAGTCAATTGGGGCTGGTGTTGGGTCAGAAGGCTGGATCATGAAAGTCCACTACATTGTTGGCAATGCTATGTCCGGCATTGGAATATGCTATGCATGCTGCGCGGTGTTCTTTGTCTGTGGTGATCAAGGTCTGGACATTATGTTTTGGCTTGCTGATGTTGCCCTGAGGGACACTGCATACGGTGTACACCCCTGGATGTGTCAATAAGTAGCATCAGACCTGGTAGAGGATGCGGGAGCACTCGTCATATATGGCGACCCAATCGCGCGCGGCGCCGTCAGACTTGGGGTCGACCGCCTGCAGGATCTGGGCCAGCACGCGGATGTTCTTGAGATCCACGTCAAAGATCTCCTTGAGGTAGGGCCGCTGCACCTTGACCACCACTCGCTCGCCGTCCACGCGCGCCAGGTGCACCTGCGCGCATGCCCCCGGCACATGTCAGTGATAGCTGTTTACAGGTCCTCTACCCTCTTGGGGTGGTTGCCTGTATACAGTCCTCCCCTTTGGCAGATTGCTCATTCCAAGGCACGTTTCTTGTGGATGACATGGCTTATAATGAGGCCATAGAACAATGAGCAGCAAGCCTGCAGCATGTTGGGAACTTGCTGCTTCTCATTGGAAGCCTCCTGTGGTAGAAAGGCGCATGCATGCACCTCTGACGTCTTTTGGACATCAGCATGGGATTGAGTTTATGCAAATGCCGGTTGCACAAGATCCAGGGAGCAGGGAACGCAGGGCTACAAGGAGGGAGAGAGGAAGTACACCTGCCCCAGACTGGCGGCAGCGATGGGCTCCAGCTGAAACCTGCAGCAGGCACAACACAGCTGTGAGCTCCTGTGCATTGCCAGCTGAAGCCTACATACACGACCTGCAACGGTTGACTATCACTGGTCGGCCTGCACAAGAATTTGGCACAGCCCAGATATAACTCTTTGATCCAGCTCCTGCACACCCACTGACACTTGTCAAGGCGCCATATTGCCCTGGGGTCCCCTTCAGGCAGAGCAGCTACACTCTGCCAGTGAATGTGCTGCTCCGTGATGCAGTGGAGATCTATCAACAGGGTAGGCAATTAAGCAGGGCAGGGGCACGCACTCCTGAAAGACCTCGAGGATGGGTTTTCCCAGGCCGCGCTCGACGGTGGCGACAGCCGCCTCCGAGGAGAAGGCGGGCACGTTGTCCTGCAGCATTTCCAGCTCCTTGACAAACTCTGGCGAGAGGACGTCCACGCGCGTGGAGAACTGCTGCCCGATCTTGATGAAGGTAGGGCCCAGCTTGATTAGCCCCTCGCGCAGCCACGCCGCCAGATTTCGCCTCCGCTCCGACACCCGCGCCTCTGTCATGCCCTGCGCGCAGTGCTTTCTTCTCTCAAATTGCATGTTCGCCAATTTCCGCTGCCCACATCCTTATTGCACATAGGCTACTTGTTCAGGGAATCCCGACCGGAATTGCAGCATGGGGGAATAACATTGTTCCCTCACGTCTGCCTCTTAAGGCATTGCAGGTATGGCACCTTTTAATAAGGGCCTTGTGGGGGACTGCAGGGTTCCAATGAAGAACAAGCAAATGTGTGACATACATTTCTGTGGCAACCGCACATGTGTACACCCCTGAGCATGCACTGCAAGGAAGTACTCAGGAGCTGCAAGAATAGCAAGTGCTTGTGGAGTGGGACGCAGCACTCACCGCTTTTCCATATGAGAATTTTCGCCCGACGAGCCACAATTTGAAGAAGAATTTTATCGCAAAGCCCCAGATCATGAAGGTCCGCTGCAGCAAAACTCACCATCCTCAGCATCTTAGATCCTGGTCTCACTCAGGAAACTCGCGCAAGTTGACATCTCCTGCTATATGCACGATGTGTACACTCTTCGAGATTCCCTGATTCCATAAAGATAACATCAAGGCTGATAGGATAGTCTGCTGCGCACCTGCCAGACAGAGTATGTCCTGAAGTTGCTCCACCTGCCGCCAGGAGCTTGGTAGGGCGACCTGGCAGTCGATTTACTGAGATCCTCTTCTGCTGCTTCCCTGCCGCTGGTGGCTGCAGCATCCTGCTCCGCCAACCTGTGCACATGCCCCACTCCACTGTCAGCACACCCTCCCTGCATATCATCCGTATGCAGTCAATCACAGTTGATTAAGAAGGACACCCTTAATAGTCAACCTCTCCTCTCTTCTCTTTCCCTTTCTCATCTCTTCTCTCCTCTTCTCCCTTATTCTCTGCTCAGCTCTCCCCTCCTCTCCATGATGCTCATTTGGAGGTCAGGTGCGCGAGCAAAACCACATCACACCTGTGCCCAGCCCGAGTGCCTGAAGCTACCGCGGCATACCTCTCCTGTGCGCAGGCCTCCAGCTGTCCAACGTCACAGGGGTCCGCCCAGCCGTGGCCTGCGCCATTCTGTGTGTCCTCCACAGCAACCACCGTGGCGCCGTTGCCATTCCTCACGTTGCCATTGCCGTTCAAGGCTGCGACTGGCTCTGTCTCCCGAAGGTCCAAGAGCGTCTTGCTCTTCCCGTTGCCATTGCTGCTGTGGCTATCTCTGAAGTCTGCCTCCAGGACGACGCCATTCGCAGGTGCGCCGTTGGAAGCGCCGTTGGAGTTTTTGGTGTAGGTTGCACCGTTCAGGGATGCTCCATTCTGGGGCAGCAACCACGAGGAGAAGCTCAGCCAGGTGAGTCAATTTCAAGGCTGACGGTCCACACCAAGATAATTGCGCAATCTCTAAGCAAGATCGAGCAATTTGTCTGTTATTGCATGGTGACGTGTTTTGACCACATCTGCCAGAGAGCACCAAGGGCTAGGCAACACTTGGTTTCCCAGATGACCAATTTCTGGAGTGCTCTTGACATAGCTAGCACACTGTGATGCACCTTCAATCACAACTCGCACGCAGGTGGCTAAATACTGAAAAGAATATTTGCACCACCTAGTAAAAACACCTGTGCAGCTACCCGGCAGCGTTGCCCCTGAACACGTAGTCAAACTTTTGTGTTCTACGAGCATTTCGGTCACCTCGCTGTTCCCTGTTCGAACAGAGGCACGTCTCTGCGAAGACGCTGATAGCCTGCGCCTGTGCTTTCTGCTCCCAAATAGAAGATTTGCTGGAGCGGTACTCTTTCCGATCAGGCTCGTCCTGGCGCCGTTGAGGCTCGACGAGGTAATCATCGTTGGCAATTTTTTTCACTCCATGCAGCAGTGCGGCAGCAACGACAACGAATCTGTCGAGGCAAAAGATTTAGAGTGGATAATTTTAGGGGTCGATAACCGCACATCCGCTGCCAGGTGGACCCTCTTTGGGCCTGTCGTTTGGGCAAGCGGGCTTTCACACCGAGGAACACATTTGCTGTCAGTGCAGTGCCAGTCTGCCTACATTAAGGTGATGCTTTTGCTCTGTCCTGCTTGTGGCCCTTAAAATATGGCATGGAGGCAGGTGCATGCATGTGTCTGCGGCCGCAGAGCATGCGCCCGCAGCCGGCTCTTGTGCGTACATATGCACACTAGTGTACTGTGCAGCGCGGCCAGCTTGGCAAGCTGAGCTTGCCCACTGGGAGTCTAAACAGCTTGGAGTCTTGCGCTGAGCAATGGAAGCTTAGCATGCAGACATAACATTGCATGCATAGTCGTCATATGATGCATTTACAAAGTGCATTGATCAATCATGAATGCATCAATCACACAGTCAAGAAGTTTCTTGGGTTGACACCGTGAGGTGACCATGCTGGGCGATGCAGTGGTTCGTTTGATTTGTAGCCAAGAGCACAGCTACGAAGCCGCAGAAGGAGTCTTGATCAAGAAGTCTCCATTAAGTAGGTATAGGCTACTGCCAGTGGTCAGGGCAGCGCCAGTGGTCAGCGCTAGCTTAGCGCAGCGCTGTAAGAGGGCTGGTATACGTAAACAGTTGCAGCGGGCAAGCAACATTATGAACAGCCAGCTGGACCCAATGGGGAGTGCAATTTATTACAAATAAACCGAATTTGCGGAGTCATGTACTGAAGTCCATGGAGCTGCACACCGGTGCAACCACATGCAGCACACGCCTAGCCTGTTGAAATTTTAGCACCTACCACAGGCAGCTTTCAAAGCAGGTGTGGTACTGAATTGTGCCCCGGTGGCCTCCCAGAGAAATGGAAAGATGCAGGGAAAAAACAGGCCTGTAATCCTCTTGAGACATTATACATACAGGTGATAGAGACCGATTTTGTATCACACAATTAACAAGAAATTCTCTGTTCAGGACGCAGATCACTTCAAATCACGCGCATTGCATTTTCAAAATCATCTGCTGACGGCAATTTTTTTTGCGGCACGTCCAACAAAACCTAGTCTACTGTACAATTTTCTTTTGCCTTTGTCCTACCCACAGTCAGGACAGCACCCACGGTGGCCCTTGAGAGCTCTGGTTTGCACAGCAGCGCCTCTCTATACTGGCCTCTAACAATTTCTGTTCGCTGCACAGGCGCATGCCACCGCAGAATTGCAACATTACTTGTTGACATAGCCGTCCCTGGCGAGCGCTGCGAAAATATTGATGGGCAGCCTTTCGCAGGGCTGGCCAGCGCTGTCCACCTCATCTGCAAACTCCAAGCTTATTTGCGCCTCTGGTGCTCCCGCTACAACAGCCACACAGGTCCCTCAGCTGTGAGTCGCTACACACATTATGCATGCTACCACAGGTCAGAAAAGAAACCGGTTCTTTGCTCTGCAGTGGCTGGGTTGCTCGACCATTGACAGTAAAATGACAGGGCCATTGGGAAGGTCCAACCTGGAGCCTCGTCCAGGGTGGGCAGCTCAGGAGATGGGCGCTCCATCTGCTGTAGGATTGGGCCGCCCAAGCGCAGCCGGTCAATCGTCTGGGCGCGGGCCACGGCCGGACCCAGAGCCTCAGTCCTGAGCATTGGATTTGCCTGATCGAAGTAGCTCGCATCTGGCGGCCAGGCACCTGGGCTCAGCGCGCTTAGTGGGAAGGTATCAACCCCCTGAGCCTGCTTCAGGGTCCTTCCAGGTTTGAGCTTCCTGCAGCCGCCGCTGGCGTGGCTGCGCGCCTGGAAGCTCTTGACGCTGTCCATCACACGCGGCACGCTGCCAGGGGCTTCCAGCGGGGCTTCCAGCGGGGAGGCTGGGAGTTCCCCCAGGCTTGCCAGGGGCGCTCCCCCAATCAGAGCATAGATGTGGTTGACCTGCTCCGCATCTGCAGCAGCATTGTTGAGCTAGTTGAATGACCGGACGAAATCTTGGAAGTCTGTGAGCACTGCCAGGTTCCTTCAGGCAGGGAGTGCAGTTATGTCAGTATGAGTCGATAGTGCTTCAGGGGATGGTGGACTATTCACTACAGGGGTCGGAGGACAAGTCACCCGAAGGAAAAGCAAGGCGTTCGCCGGTGAGCCTCCTCGCGTGAACACCGTATGCCAGCAGGAGAAAAAGAATTGCAATACCGTGCCTCCTCATGTCCCCATACTCGCTACGCAGCTATATCGTTATGTGCCTTTAAGGGTGACTACCTAGGTGATCTGCTTGGTTTCCTCAGGGGGGAACTCTACAGTGCTCCCCAGGAAAGACGAGCCTGTCACCAGCGACTTTGGGCTTTGCCTGGTTTCTTTACTAAAGACCTCGTACGAGAAGGACACTGTGATGCATTGGCACGCAGGAGCACTTCTGTCCCTCCCAAAGCTGTACGTTTTTTAAGGAAGCCCTCACTGTCGGGGAATATCACAATGCCCAAGGGTAGCCCAGGTTGGCTTTCTTCGGCAGCTTTGAAGTTGCATGGGTTGCCAAGATTGGCCCACCACGGTGGCAGCCCGTTTCGAGGCTTGAAGGCATCCTCGAGAATCCTAGCATGGGAGCGGCATCAATCTTGTTCCGCGCGGGGGAAGCGACGTCTAGGAGCATCTGTCGACCAATCAATGGGCTATATCGCATCGAAAGGCTTTTGATGCAGTACGCAAGCTAGGAAGGATAACCTATGCCCTGGGTCGCATGCGTTGTTACCTGCACCTAGACTCGCTCTGTAGTGGATCTGATCTAGATTGATAGAAAGGAATTCCGATGATGGATCTTTGCATGGATGCTTCCGTCGTGCACCAAGGCTTCTGGCCCGCTAAGCTTCGTGGTCCTCGGTGCCCAGTCCCGCATCCGCTTGCCCTCCTCACATCACCGCTGCAACAGCGGCCAGTTGGGCGCTTGAAGTCGCTCTTCAAGGAGAACTTTGTCATCAGGGACCAGCGAGAACATAGAGGACGCGAAAAGAGGGGAAGCGGTGTCCTCCAGGTTCGCCCCGCTAATCCGGTGCATCGCGTGCATTGAAAGCTTATCCAGACTCAATCGCACCCTTGCCTTGCTTCCAGAAAGTAACATAGCATATTCTGATGTCTTTTTCATTAAAAATGCATATGTAAATCGAAAGCGAAATAAAAGGCACACAAGCAGACGTGTACTCTTTAGTCTCTGGATCAGTCTGAGCCCACAATTTTTTGCTGATTACAGAAGCCAAGAGACTCTTACAATTTGTTCACTTCTTGGTTCCAAGACTCATGCAGCTGATGCCCAGCAGCGAAAACCTGGCATACTTCTGCATGATTGTACTGCTCCTGCACTGCTGTCATTCTCACAAGGTTGTCTTCCGTTCTGCCTGCACAGGAGTCGTCTTGGCGCCCTGTGATCAGCCAGGAGAAGCTGCTTGCAGACAGGACAGAGCTTGCGAAGATCACAGTGGTTTTACCGCCTAGACTGGCCAGTGCACTCCTAGAGAGGCCAGACTTCTGTGAGGTGCGCTGCTGAGGAACCCAGCCTTCAATTCTGATCTGCAGTGGCTTGTCCAGTGACATCTCATCAAGTCAGGGCACCTGAAATGCACCGTTGCGACATGGGGGTGAGCATGGTGTAAGGCCATGCAGGCTCATTTCTGTTCCGCTGTGCAGATTGTGGAGCTTGTGATGGATCTGGGGAGGACGCCGCTTGCAAGGCTGCCCTCCGGCGATGTGCGACTGTCTGATGACGTCATCACTCAGGAAGACCTAGCTTACGCCATCAGCAAGGTGCTCATCTCTTCTTGTCACTTTGTGAATGCGTATCTCCTGGTCTGATCTCAACTGCATCACAGGAACCGCCTGCTGCATTTGCTGTATCAAGCTGGGTGAGCCAGGAGTAGCATCTCGGTCTTCTTCCTAGCTAAGTGCATTTTGCCTGCATTCTAGTCAGGCAGTATCTGGCGTTGAGCTGTCGGAGGATCAAGATTTGATCACGTGGTTTGCAGCTGGGGGCGTTTGGCGACGACAATCGGGCGGGGATCGACCGCACTCTGCACCGGATTTCCTGCATGCGCAATCGCGACGGGCGAATCATCGGGCTGACCTGCCGGGCCGGCCGGGCGGTCCCGGGCAGCGCTGACATGGCCGCTGACCTCATCGCCTCCGGCCGATCCATCCTCTTCATGGTGCGACGCCGCTTGCTCTGCCTCTCTTGCACTGCCTCTCCTGGTCTGCCTTTGTGCTTGCCCCTGTTCTGGCAAGCCATAGAAGTTCAGCATGTCAGATGCTTGCCAGCACATGCTGAGAATAGGCGAGTTGGTTGCTATGTGTGGCTGCGTGGGGTAGACTGAGAAATGTGTTTCTAACAGCAGTTCCCTTTCTGGCCTTTATAAACACACTGTTGTACATCACAGTGCAGCTTCTTTGTCTTACGATTGCACATGCATGCATCGCCGTTGCCATGCCGTTGGTCGTCGGAAGAGGGGCCGGGGACTGACCCAAGGCTCGGGGTGGGTCGCAGGGGCGGCCGGGGGTGGGCAAGACGACGGTGATCCGCGAGACGTCGCGGCTGCTATCGCAGCTGCACCAGAAGCGCGTGGTCATTATTGACACGTCTAATGAAATCGGCGGTGATGGTGACATTGCTCACATCGGCATCGGCCGCGCGCGCCGCATGCAGGCACGCCCTATCAGCTGCCTGCTTGTCTTTTCAAGGTCACAATGACATTCTTGTGCTCTGTGTGGACAAATGCTGAAAGGCACACTTCGGTTGAGCACTGCCCTCAGTTCAGCCTTGGCGCTTTGTGAATTGGCAGATTGGGAATTGGCGTCCACATAGGCAGCCTCGTCCCGTACCTAAGGCAGTCGCACCACTTTGCACACGTAGCTTGCATCAAGCATGGTCAAAGGCAGAGCTTGCCGTCCTGTTACAATCGAAGCTGTCATGTCAAGGGGCTGGGAGTAGGCAAGTGGTGGCCCTGGCAAGTAGTCATGTGCTTATCATGCTGACTGATGCGCAGGTGTCCAAGGTGGCCGCGCAGCACCGCACCATGATCGAGGCGGTGGAGAACCATATGCCCGAAGTTGTGATAGTGGTGCGCACAGCACCATCCTGCTGTGACACTCTTGAGCTGTGGTGTTGGAGCAACTGCCCCTTTCTTTGTGGGAAATAAGATCAAATAGTTCCTTGGAGTTGTGGATCTTGGAGCATATGGAGCACGGTTGAGTGTGAGAAAACCAAAGGACACAAATAGGATCTGCTTTCAAGACGCCTGCTGCAGCCTTGCAAGGAGTGTACTTTTCAAAAGACCTGCATGCTGACGAGGGATTTGTGGGGGTCCAGGACGAGATCGGCACGGAGGCGGAGGCATTGGCTGCGCGCAGCATAGCGCAGCGCGGAGTGCAGCTGGTGGCCACGGCTCACGGCGGGGAGCTGGCGCGGCTCATCAAGAACCCCACCCTCTCCGACCTCATTGGCGGCATCCAAGCGTGCGCACCCATTCTCTGCCTTCTGCTTGTCCCTGATCCCTGGTCTCTGCCATCCCTGGTTTCATGACATGGTAGCCATAGTCTGGGCTGCTCAATGGTGTATTCGGTGTCTTGGGCTTCTTCTCGCAAGCCGAAAGCAAGGCAGTTCCATGTGGTTCAGTGAGTGCTTCCCACCTTGTAGCCGAAGTGACACCCCAGTAGAGGTGGAAACAAGATTTTAAATTCTGCATTCCTGGGCAGCATATCTCCCCCGAGTGTCCATGCAGACACTTGTCACACATGTCACGGTGTCCGAATGGTACACAGGTGCACAGAAAGCGAGTACCAAACCCACATTCCCCAGCGAGCACCCTTTCAGTATCACACTCCCAAGGGCGCAGAGAGGTTGAGCATGCCTTTGGCTGTATACAGGGTGACGCTGAGCGATGAGGAGGCGAAACGGCGGAAGGGCCCCAAGACTGTCATCGAGCGGTGTGCGCCGCCGACATTCGATGTGGCCGTGGAGATTATTGATCGCAACACGTGGCGCGTGCATCTCGACCTCGCAGCCGCCGTCGACGCCGCGCTCAAAGGTTCGCCGCGCGCCCCACCTGGCGGATCCACCTTTTCACTTGCCACACATTGGCGCGCCCCGCCCCAAATGATTCACCCTTTCTCTCGCCATGCATTGTTTCTATTGCCTCTTCCCACTTGCTGCGGGCATCAGCCACCCTACAACGGCAGCTGATGTTTTCTGGCAAGCTATGAACTGCGCCGCTTCTTGGACCATGCATCTCCGCACCGGAGATTCACTCAGAAGGCCAAACTCTGGATCCTCTGCCAAGGAGCTGCATCTGTCAATCAGGGCAGCCATGCAACTGTCATGCTGCACACCAGCTTCCTCTGCCATACTGGCCCTGTCGCAAGCCTCGACCCCATTCCATCGCAGCAGGCATTCAGCCACTTGAGATTTTGATTGGGCACGCGCAGGGAAGGAGTCGGAGGGTCAGCTGCGAGTACAGCGCGAGGACGGCAGCGTGGAAATTCTGGACGGCGGCGCCACCTGGGACGATGACTCATCCTCTGCCACATCCTCCATTGATGTGCGTGCACCTCCCAGCTTGCTTTTTGTCTATCTGGGGTTGCCTCATCACCTTTTGGCAACTGACAGGTTGACATACTGTAGTACTCATTCTAAATTATGCAACAAATTATTGAATTGAGCCTCCGGGAAGGTACAATAGTAGCTTTTCAGCCAGCGGGGCTGAGAAGCTACCCCAAACTGCCCCAGACTGTATGCGGGGAAAAAAACTATGCTGTGCCCCAAAAAGCGCTGTTCACTAGTAAAATTGCGCCAATTTTGGGGTTGCGGGAAGTAATGGTTTTCCAGCATGTGGGAAAGCCCTGCGGGAACCTGTTTCAAATAATGCGGGGTCTAGAGTTATCCTATAGCAGTTTCATTTTAGCCTCATGCCTGTCATCAGGGTCCATGTAGGCATTGACGCCCTGCCTCGCTCTGCAGCCAGTGCAGTCGACCTTCATCTTTCCACCTTGATGCTAAGAGTATCAGGGGCACCTTGTTTACAAAGCGGCTGCATCTTGGATATCTCGTCAGGCCTCCCCCGTGATCTTGTCTGGCACCTTTAAGTCGACATGTCAATTTACATAACTTCAGCCCAACGCATGCCAGTCATAAGGGTCCATCTGAGGTCTGATGTTCTGTCTCGCTCGACAGCTAGCAAAGCAGCGATTCCCCCATTTGCGCCACTCAAGAGATTTTTCAGAGACGCAATTCTCACACTCATGTCCTGGTATTAGCAGGTGAATCATCTGGATTTCAGGGCAGAATTCAGAACCCACATCTTTGAGCATGTCCATGACGACATAGCTGTGCACATGTGCAGGAGGAGAGCAGTGACCGAGAGCCGCGTGCAGGCGGCAGCGAGGCGGAGAGCTCGTGGAGCACGGTCGGCTGGTACGGCGGAAATGTGGACGAGGCGGCCATCGCCATTCTGCCGCACGGCCTGGACGGGCATGGTGTCAAGGATGTCATTGCCGGGCTGGGCCTGCAGCGCAGCGTGCTCCTCACACCCCACCTGCATGTGCGCGCACATACCTCTCTCTGACTCAGCTTAATCTCACCTGCTTGGAGCATCGTTGTGGATTATACACCACGTATTGAGGGACATCTAGGCCGCATTTTCATTGGAGTTGTATTTCCTTGGACGTTGCCTTCTTTCATTTTTTTGATGCTAAACTTCGAAAATTGGGATAAGATTTCAACAAGACCTTGTTCCCACGTCAATAGTGCTATGTGCTGATGAGCAGAGTAGGGCCAAAGTGTGCGAGTGAGCCATCCTTTGAAAGGGCAGAACCTCTGGGAACTCTCTCGGCTGATGTGGCATGCTGACGGGGCGCAGGAGGCTGACGCGGTGCTGACGGTGCGGGAGCGGCTGCGCGGCGGCGGCGACGATCTCATAAACGAGGCGCGCGCGGCCGGGCAGGCAATCTTCTCCATGAAGAGCGGCTCGCCACCCTCGGTCATCAAAGCCATCCGCGCCCTTGCCGGCATTTACCCATCTCCTCTCTCCCTTCGCGACGCCTCTGCAGCGGTGAGCATTGCATCACTGCACTGCACTGCTGGTGTAAATGACGATTGAATGAGTTTCCTGCAGCAATGTCGACTTGCTGTCTCTGAAGCTGCAGCTTGACTGTTCAGGACTGCAGCGCTGTGCGCAGCTGCTTGTCAATTGGAATGATCGAGCGTCTCTTCAGAGCTGGAGGTTTTGTGTTTGGTGGCCAAAGAGACATTGTTTGGCTGGTGTATATACCTGCGAGGTTAAGGGTCTTTTCAATGGCGTCTTGGGAGAAACAACACCGACCACTGGTTGGCAACCAGCTGCCCAAAGAAAACCCCTCGGTGCGAGGGGGAGATTGTCAAAGTTGAAGTTTGTGAACAAACGTCGGTCGCGCAGGTGGATGCGGATCCCAGCAGCCGCAAGCGAGTGGCGCTGCGCAGCGAACAAGACATTGCGCGCATGACCGGCCGCAGCAACATCGTGTCCAAGGCAAGTATCTGGCCGCCGCTGCTTTCTTTTTCACTTTCTCTCAGCCCTGCTTTGATGCTGTCTAGGGGGAATATCAGCAGCTACTTTAGGAGATGGAGACATAGAGAGTCATCAAGAGTGTCAACAAAAAACCCATTGTGTCACTGCTCTACCACTGCTTGGAACAGCATTTCTGGTGCAGCAGCCACGATAGGGGAGGTAGAGCTACCTTACTGCTCCTCACTTATTATGGGCCAGGCAGCACTTCATTGAGATACGTCTTTGTTTGCAATTCCTCAAAGTTTGCAGGGCTGCCTCAATAGAACAACTGTGTCATCGCTCTGGAGCTACTTGGAACAGCATGCATGGTGAAGCAGGCAGGATAGTGGAGATGGAGTAATCTTATCGCTGCTTACTGAGGTCCAGATGCAGCATACAGGCTATATCACTGTCCCTCTCCTGCCTGCTTTATTTGGCAAGGCTGACTATTGGTGACTTTTTTTGCAGACGAACTACAAGAAGAAGAGCCTGCTTTAATTGGCAAGGCTGAGCATTGGTGACTTTTTGTGCAGACGAACTACAAGAAGAAGAGCGCGGCCCTCGAGGAAGCTAAGGCGGCAGTCGAGGAGCTGGTGCTGGCGGGAGGGCACGCCGCAGAGCTGCTGCCGCGCTCACCAGACATTCTGAGCGCTCAGGTAAACACACCGCTCTCATTGCAAAAGTCTGACCTAAATGCGGCCATACTTGAGGCCTGATTTTTATTATAGCTGCACATGCGCGATCTGTTCCATCCCGGTCTCTCTAGCAGATCCTGCCACACGAATGCCCCTTATGTTTCAGAAACATGCATTGCACTGTTCCAAGTTCCGGTAAACTGAATGACCTTTGTGATTCTGGTTTTGATCACCTCAACTTCATAATCATCAAAATTCCCCATAAGTGATACGGTCATTCCCTGATAGGGAAGCTGAGATTCTTTGGCAATGAAAGCAGGATACTTGCTGCGTGCAGGAGGACTTGGTGCGCTCATATGATCTGCCCTTCGAGGTGGTGGGCAGCGACGCGGATGCGCGGCTGCGGATTCTGCCGCAGGGTTACGTGAGCGGTGACAAAGAGCGCAGCCTGGGCGCTGAATGGGACAGCAGAAACAGCGGATGGCACACTAGCTGACGCAGATCATTATATTCAATTCTCTCCAGACTGTTAATCAGAACAATTGGATTCTGCGTCTACTGCTTGGCATGACAGGAGCATTTTATTGGTGCATCGAGGCAGGCTGCCCGCCAAAAAAGCACTGAAACTAAGGTGTACATTTTAGAAGTGGAAGGAAAAAAGCTGCACCACATTGGGGCACATCAGAAATGAATATCAGGAGGTAGACAGAGGGGATTGGCCAGTGTGATTGATCCATTGGTTGGATCATTCCTGTATTGAGAAAGGGTAGGTCCAGGATTGAGTGGCACCCCAAACTTGGGCAGCCCAGGATTGTGAAGGATTTTGGTCAGCCAAAATAAAATTAACACTGATAGTACCTCGAGACTTCCTTTCAAAGACACAGCATACTTGATGAGCACTGAGCCTGACCAGCAGAGCTCAGCACCAAAAACTCGTCGAGAAGAGAAGACATACCAAGCTTTAAATTGAAATGGTTTTTTCTTGTCTCCGGTAGGACTCCACCTTAACTGATCAGGAAGAGACGAGGCATGTTGTAGGACATGGAAGAGACGAGGCATGTTGTAGGACATGTTTATTGCCACGACGTCGACTGTGCTGTCCTTTACTAGCACCCTCGCCACAACTGTGCCATTGAGAGCACTCTAGCTGTTAGTATGATTGCGAGATCACAGCTATCTGTTGATATCCTTCTGAATTACCAGGCAGACTTGAATCATACTGTTCCAGATCTTACTTGCCTAAAAGCATCAGCACATCTGGTGATTTTTTTTGGGCAAACGGGCAAGCTTGGCACAACATGTTCCTCAGCTGACACCATACCGACTACAAAGACAATGGCAAGCTGCAATCAAAAGCTGCCACAATCCTGCCCCTTGTTGGACTCGCCGGATCATGCAAGACCCAAGCAACCATGGGGCACAGTGCTCAATATTTATACCGTCTCCCGCCAGCCGGGGCTGTTTATTGTGGCCCTCATTCATCCACTGCTTTCTCATGTCAGCATAGAAATGCAGGTTTAGATGTGCTGCTTGTCGGTGTATGTAAAGTGTAGGATGCCCACGAACGTGCATGTGTCTGTGTCATGCATTGCTGCATCACAGGCTGGGCAGGCGGTCCAGGATCCAAGAGCGGCGGTAGTGTCCTTGAGAAGATGGGTGCTACGTAGCATGTGTATCCATGGCTGCAAGGAAAACAATGTGCATGCCGCATGGCTCCCCATGCGTGAGAGGAATCTTGCAGGTGTGCCAATTCGGATGGTGTGTGAGTGTATCTCTGAGGTGTGCTATCAGCATAACGACGAGGTCATCTGCACAAGCGGGCAAGCAGAAGGCATGCATCTGTAAGTTTCGGGATCGATCTTAGATTTGCTGTACATAGACAGGCAAAAAGCACTTGCAGTCATGTTAAATGCTAAGTGCCGCCAAAAGCGTTATGTGAAGTACAAAACAGAGGCATCGCGCTGGTGCGGGGAGTGCCCCCCAAGCCGCGCGGTGTTCTCTTTTTTCGTTTTTCGACATTTTCCCCCCTTTTTGATGTATTCATGTTGTTTGATTTGTTCCCTTCCCATTCTCTCTGACCTCAGAACCTAAGCACACCCAGAATCTTTTATTTGTAAAGGACAACTTTTACGCGGGCTGAGAGCATGGCCAGCAGAGCTCTGACGTCAACACCAATTTGCAAGGACTCCTCGCCGTGAGAAGAGAACACAGACATAGGTGTAGATCAACAATCATTACATGTTTACATTTGTGCTTTCTTCTCCAGCAGGCCTCCACCTGACCCCATCAGGAAGATACTTGTTGCAGAACACCGCCACAAGTATGCTCTCGGCGCAAAGGCTTAATTGAGAGCACCAGCTGTCTATGTACCGTTGTAAGAACAGAATCACAGTCGCCTGGTCAATGTCCTCGTCTGAGACATGCAAACTTGATCCAGTACCGACCACATGTCCATGCAGTTCCTGCTCTCATTCTGAAACCGAGAGCATCAATCTGCGGGGCAACCTTGGCAAGATATGCCCTACCAGACAAGACCACTTCGGAGCTCACTTAGTGAAGGCATCTCCAGACTCCTGCTAGTCTTCACAACATAGCAACATCAGTCGCAATCACAGCTGGCCATTTAAAAGAGCATGCATGCGCCATTGTTGTCATTTCAGGGAGATTTTCTCTGGGATTGGGCTCATGCTTCCAGCTGAGATGGGCAGATCTTTTTGCACATTGATTGCCATTTTTTTTGCAATACACAAATTCCTGAGACAACCAGAGACATTAAAAGGTGCTGTCTGGGCACTGCTTAGGGGGCAGCCCAGGAATGACGTGAATGCACCGTCAAACTCTGGCATGAGATGACATGTTGCCGACATGGATCGGCTGCCGCTCAAACATGCGCAGATCACTGCGGCCCTCATTCAGCCACTCCCATCTCATGTCAGCATAGAACTGCACAAGCCACGCCCAGCGGCCAAAACTGGCCATTGAGCTGTAGATGTGCTGCTTGACGGTGCATGTGAAGTGAATGATGCCCACAAATGCATCCACGGCCGTCTCGTGCATCGCTGCGTCGTAGGCCGGGCAGAAGGGCATCACGTTCCATCCGCTGGGCAGCCGGTATGCAGAATCTGTGCAGAACATGCACACAAACACATCAGCCGCTGCATGGCAATCTTGAATACCGTAGTCTGCTGCCTGCCTTTGATGACAGGCTCTTGACCTCGGCCCTCCCCGGTTTCAAGGGACTCTTGTAGCTTTTAAAGCTCCTTTGAAAGAGTGTGATGGGGCCCACTTGGCGACTGTCACAGATGCACTAATGCACCGCAGTACTGTCTCATTTTGTGGCCCTTGATTGGCAACTCTTTGGCTCAAGCACATGGCAACTGCTCTGCCTACATCTCTGCACTCCTAATCTCCTAAAGAGGCACTCCCACCAGGCTCTCGATCAAGAAAGGTGACATCCATGCCTCGAGGCCCACATGCGACACAAAGGGTAAATCAGAGTTCTAGGGTGAAGGCTGGGTGGATCACCGGGGTAGTGGCGTTGCACAATGCGCAGCACATCCTGGTCACCGTAAGGGAACACCTCTGACGGGTTGACTTTGAGGTGGGCTTCCAGGGCAGCTGCCATGAAGCTGCCGCCCCAGCCGGCCGCGCGCATTCGTGTCAGGTCCATCAGCGCCACGCAGGAGCACAGCCCGAACGGGTGGTGCAGATTGGGAATGGTCGGATCACCTGCAGAAAAAGTACGTCTTGCTATCAGCCTTACTTGAGGTTGCAAGCAAAGGCTGGAATCAAGCCCAGGCAGTGCAGTGCTGGAACAGGTACTTCACAAAGATCACAAGATTTACTCTCTCTCTCTCCCTCCCTCCCCAGAACACCACATGCATTTTGGGGGTTCCATCCCGGCATTAGCTGTGAAGACTTGATGAAGGCCCAGAGTCACGTCTAAACCGCTCAAACGCAAGGGTGCCTTGGAGGGCGTCTGCTTAAAAAGAGGAGTCAAGCCTCCCTTGCATGTGACTCCTGCAGATGGGTAGGAGGACAGCTCATGCATGCAGCAGGCTAAAACAGCCCTGGCAAATGCAAATGCGCGCACCGGGGAAGCCGATGATCTGGCTGGCGTTGAAGCAGTCAAAGTGGGGCCACAGCTGGCAGACATCGCCGTTGACGACTGTGTCTGTGTCCAGCCACAACACGCGCTCTTCGTGCGGCAGAAACTCCGTGAAGAACATCCGCGCAAGGCCGCAGTATCCCATGTAGCCCTGTGCAGTCGCGCAAAAATTCGGCTCCACATCTGAGAGGTGATAATGGGGTAAGAGTCTATACTAGGGTCCAACGCCGACAGAGGCATTGTCAGGATGGGTGCTACATGGCTGCAGGGGAAGCCCATAGAGATCGCATGGTGTGTGGATATGTCAATCAACAAGGTCATCATGCAAAAGCATGAAACTGAAATTTCCAAATGTGCTGTATATAAGGACGTAAAGCCCACTGCAGCCATGTTTAATGCTAAGTGCCGCCAAACGCGTTATGTGAAAAAAGATCACTGGCTAGCACGGGGTTCTAACCCCAAACCAGCTGGTGTTCTTTTTTTTGTTTTTTGTCTGTTTTTTGTTTCTTCCCATTCACTGACACTTCAGAAGTTGGAGCTGTCAAGCGCTGCTTGAAGGTGATGGATCTGTATAGATTTGCACTTGACACAATGCACATATTTACGTTTGACAGATATGGCCCAAAACAGTGTGGGCTGCAGAAGCGCCAATAGAGTCTCTGCTATGCAGCGCCTTTTTCGCCCTCACAATGTCCCGTGTAATTCAGGGCAGAAGATCGGCACCTTCAGGGGCCCATGAATCGCCGCCAGCCGCTCAAGCACGGCGCCGTCATCGATGGTGACAAAGGAGTATGTGACCGGTTGCCACGGGCTGCGGAGGCGTTGCAGCCAGCTGCGGACAATCTCAGCATCCGCATCGGCCGCCACCAAGATGTACAGGTGCAGCGGGCAGCGTGCGTTTCGCAGCAGCGATTTTAGCGCGATCTCCTCCTTTATGTACGGCTTCGGGGCGGCGGCTGCGGCGGTTGCATTTCCCGGCTGCACGCTCAGCGCCTCTCCAAGCTTGCAGGCTGACATTGCCACCTGGCAGAGAACAAGATCACCATGAAGACATGATCCAGAACAGAGACGCAATTGTGCCCTCTGACTTCAGAATGATGGGCTTTGCTGAGGTCCGCGTACGAGTGACTTCAGCCGTGGCTTGTGGCTCAAATTTTCAAACTTTGGAAGATGTCAGAGAGTCTGCCCTTGTGCACCTCCTTATTGATGACGAGGCTACAACCCTGAACACATTTAGGACGCACATGCTCCCAATGCATTGAGGCAGACACACAGTCATAGCTCACCTGGATGCGTTGGTGGCAGTGCGCCTGCTGCATTTGATGAGGCACTTGCCCTGTCGCATTGTGCACTTCCAGATTTCCCTTCACTGTTCCAAGGCTGACAAGGCAGACCATCGTGACTGCTGCCAGGAGGGTATAAAATATCATAGCAGAGCTGCACCCCTCCTTGCACTGGAAGCTTGCACAATGCCTCCCAGGGCTGCTTGAAGCTTGAGTGCTACAAGAATCCTTGCTAGTGTCGTCTATAGCGAGTTTTGCTGTCCGATACCTTTCTGATAATAAACAGAGACAGACCGAGACCTTCGAAGGTGACCTCGCATCGCCCTGCATTGCAAGGAATGTGCTCAAGCAAGAGCAATTGATCCCAATTCTTGGAAGCGTTGCCTCGATCTTAATGCTCACGACAAAGGGACGCCTCTGGAATTCTCCGATCCCTACCTAAACGTGCACGCAATCAAAAAGCTTCTGCACTTGAAGCCCCCATTGTCATGTCGCCGTAAGGATATGAGAGCTATCACATGTGGAACATGTGGGCTGAAATATCCGTCGTCGTTCGTCAGTTTTTAGCATTCCTTATACTACAATTCCTGGCTCTTTTATGCTGCTTAGAACTCTGATTCATCGCCGTCAAAGTGTCGCACGAATATAGGTCCTTACTTTTATTCAGGTTTCTACAGTGTGAGTCCGAACAGCCTGTGCAGCTCCTGCACGCCCTTTTACGCATCAGACAAAGTGTTCTGTGCCTGTAAATAATACAATGAGCCTGACACCAGTAGAATGCGCACTTCACTGATCATGCCTGGTGGTGCCGTTCATGAGCACTTAAATGCAAGAGACATCATTGTTGAATTGCAAGTGAGCTCGAGAAGCCAAGAATAATGAACGATCACTCGAATAATTAAGAGGTCGGGGGTTCAATTTGCCCCTTTCAGACCTTTTGATTTGTTTCCCGTTTTGAAATGGCATCAACTTCAAGCCCCAGTCAATGATTGGCCCAGCATGGTTCTGTTCTTCAATGGTAAAATCTGCATTCAACAAGGATTGTAGCTTCAATGATGTCATGACTACTCTTGCCTTACATGTACATTTCTATTCATAGCCATACGTATCAGTGCAAGCCAACCGCTGCAGCCAAACTGTGACGATACCTGTTATAAAGTGTTGTGATCAGAGAAACTTCTAGAAAAATCTTGCCCAAGCCCCACTGTAACAGATCCAGCAAATTTTCAACATCAACGTGACAAAACACTCAAGATCAGTCATCCAAACAAACTGAACAACGCCACAAAATTGCCAACTCTCTCAGCTAACGGTAACATTGCTACTGCGCTCTTTGGGCCAGTCATAGTACTTATGGAACAGCTGGCAAAGTTTGCACACCCATTCCATCCCGTCTCTTCTACGCCCGTACAACAAATTATCACCTAATACATGACTAAAATGCGGCAGGATTGGGTCGTCATAGCCCAGCTGCCAGCTGAAGTAGGAGTTGTAGGCCCTGTCATCAGAGTCCAGGTGCCTGAGAAGGCGCGCCAGCTGGCGAGGGGAATATTCCAGGGCATTGACAAAGCTTCCCGGGGGCGCGTATGCGCCGGCATTCGGCGCACCCAGATACACCGGCACCCGCCTGCATGCCAGCTCAGATGAATCAGTCACTCCTTTCAGCTGTGCTGCCCCTTTGTAACCGACTTTTGCATCTTTAGTGTCGGTGCAGATATGACCTGCTCAACAGTCTTGGACTGCAAACGACTGTAACAGTCTGATTTACCCAGTCGTGCTATGCAAGCCTCCCAGAAGCAGCAACTGGGTGTTGCAGGAGCTACACCCTTTCGCTTATCTTGCCATGCAAGCACAATCTCAAAAGGCATGCTAGATGCTGCTTGGAGCAGCTAGATCAAGGCTAGCAGTGTTCGCTTTTGGTAGCACGGTCAGAGTCCATGAGAGCAAGTCATTGGGGCTTTGCAAGTTCTGCTCATTATAGCACAGTCAGAGGGCATCAGCGCGCACCCGGTGGCAAAGAGCTGGTAGAACTTTTCTGTGACATAGTCCACCTGCACAATGTTCTCCAGCCCAAGCACAAACTTGTACTGCTTAAGCAGCTGCACCTTTCGCCGCTGTGCCTCCAGCCCGTGATAGTGCGTGCCGGCCTGCAGGAGTGCATCTTCTCAGATCTCGGCCTTGATGAGTTATAAAATTGTTGTATGCTTGTTCAGTCCACAGGGCCACATCCATTGCAGCAAATTCTCAATGCCCTGCTGAGTCAGCATTATGGCCACATTTGCAAAACCTGACCATGCCACAAAAATTCTTAACAACCAGATGCCTCAATCCCGGACAGGTTGTTGTGAAGACAGGACTGCCCTTCAAATTTTCCATCTTTTGGCCCTCTCCACTATTAGCACGTCAGCCTCGTGGTATTTCCGGTCATTCCTGAAAGTATCTTTCCAGCCGAGATCTGCCATGGGATTTATTGAAGACAACAAAGGCATGTGTGGTATGGGTGAGAGCAACATGGTGGAAGCTGCGAGGCGGCTACCTTGTGCGGCGGCGGCAGCTGCGTGGCATTGGCGTCCGTCCCGTACTTGCATCCCCCATAGTGGTCGAAAGTGATCCCCAACGCTGTCAGCTCCTTCACGAATCGGTTTCGCGCGCTGTACTGCTCCGCTGTCTTGCTGTCCGGATTCTGCGCGCATGTACACGCAATTTTGACAACTTGTCGATGGTTTCAATTTGTATAGATCACTGCGAGGAACATTCTGCCCCTTTTGGACAGCTGCCCCTCCTCGGGCAGGCCATAGGATACTGTACACTCTCACATGCAGCATGAAATTTCACTGGATCTGCAATTATTATCTGAGATTATGGCATGCAAAAGCACCAGCCCTGCCTGAAGGGACACCAGCAGTAATTGGCGCACGATGGCGGCACTGCAACCATGCTGGAGGCAAGTGCAGTGCTGTATCATTGCACCAATCACAAGGAAGTGGAGGCTGGATGGCAGGGCAAGCGTGGTGTCACTTGTCAAAAAAATGGGCCGCCACATCATGGCATGCAAGGCTTCTGGAGGCACACTGCTCTGCAAGCATGCCCCTTTACATTAGATCACAGGCTGGTTCGAGCTGAGATTGTTTCATGAGTAGGCCAGAAGGAGGAGGCCTCACCGTGTCGCAGCCAGTGGTGATGAAAGTCGCCAGCATGGCCTGAGTCCTGTTTGTAAAGCTCTCCGGCAGTGGATTGGCCGCCTCAAACTCCTCCTGCCCCGTCCCATCCAAGATATCCTACAAGACACATGCAAAAATTTAAGACATTAGAGAACAGCCATTCCTCCCGTGTGTCTAGTTGAGCAACACTGCTCTGCTGTCAGTAGCCAGCCACTGGCAAGGCAGGCAGCAGTCGCTAGAGTAGCTCTACTGCAGCGCACAGCTACTGCAAGTGCCGCATCTGAACCGGCAGGTGCACAGTAACAGGAATGCCACACAGTGAAACGTACGCACATGTGTTGTGTGTGAGTCTTGACAAAGACGTGGGAAGGCTGTGAGTAAGGAAGCACGCACAGTGAGCGTGTCAGCATATGTGATGATCGCGTCCGAGTGCTTTGCCACGTGCACCAAAATCTCATAGCCGCTCAGTGCCCTGTCCATGTCATTTGCATTGAGCCTGCAGAACCACAAGAAATCTTCAGAAATGCTGATCTTCAAAAGAGCACAATCGCACTCCTCGTACGATCCACGAATTTGGAGCACCAGATTTGGCAAGAAGCTGCAAATATTGAGGGTGCCAGGGGCCTTTTGTGGGGTATTTTGCTGCATTTGCTAGACGATCAATGGCTTTACAGCAGTCTGAGGAGATTCAACATACGGGGAACAAAACCTGCAAACATTGTAAGCATTGAGCGTGCAAGACCATCCTGCTTTTCCTACCAGGTGCTGTGATGCTTACCACGTCAAGATGGCACCTTACGGTCCTAGAGATTACAAAGAGCATGTAAGAGTGTGTTTAGGGAGAGGGAATTACCCGAAGATAGGCTCCATGGAGAAGATGGCAGTGAGCTGATCTGGGCGCTGCCTCTTTGATTCTGCCTGTGCGGGGTCATAAAAGGGGTGGTACATAACTATATCAGCATCCCTGTGCTTGGTGCTGTCCACCAGCCACCGGCAGGGCACCTCACACTGCTCCTTAGTCATGTCCTGCGCCCACAGTAGGAGATCGTCAACAGTTTGAGTCACAGCTTGGCATTCATCTCTCTGCTCAGAAGCTTCTGCGTAAGCACAAGCAATCAAGGATCTCTGTGACCAACTCAGGAGAGTCAACGATTCAATCTCACAAGATGCTGCAATCTATAATACTCATGTGTAAATAACCCCTGCTCACATCCTTTAACACAACGGCGCTGAGTAGTTCACCTTCTGCGACCCATACAATTGGGGCCAGAACATGCCATCCCCGCCAATGACAACTGGGTTGTCCTCCGTCCTGTTTATCCTCTCATACCCCTGTGTCACACACAGCAAAAAATGCAAGAGTCTCACAAAACAGAATGCTATCATCAATTGAATGCATGGCTTGCTCGGGAGTGCTGTAGTGACGTAAAGCACCGGCTAGAGTCTTTGGACTTTGGGTCAGTTTCTTTAGCGCATGTGCAATAAATGCTCCAAGCTCAGGCCAGGCGCAAGGCTGCTGTCGTGAGTTGGAAGAGCAAAGCCTCACCCGCAGGCTGTACCATTTGGCCCGCTGTTCCCTCTCCGAGTCCTTGTGTGCTTTGTTGATGCGCAGGGCCATCTCTGCTCTGGCAGCTCGCTGCATGTGCTGCGTCCAAAAGCTGGACACCCTCTGGTGCTTCCCATGCGCCATCTGCCCAGTCCCAACATCCTGCCAGGCACTTTTTTTTTAGTAAAAGCCTTTAAGATCTACCTAACCACATCACAGAGGTGGCTTTGGTTGTGATGGGCCAGTCGTGCTTGCGAATACTAGCCAGCAGAAGGGATCCCTGTGAAGAATCTTATGGCGGCCCACCTGGGCCAAAGTGGCATCGATCTGCCCATATTTGGCGTCTTCCACAGCCAGCCGCTTCTCAATCAGGATAGAGCTGCTCTGTATGGCTCTGAGGTACTTCAGCTCCTGCCGTGCTGTGCTCCTTGCTGCTTCCAGCTGCAAGGAGAGCACCAGCAGATGTACCACCTGCACAGTTGAGAATCGATCTCTGTTGACATGCAGAGCATAAGATGATGACAAATACCAGTGCGGCACCTTCTTTCAGGTAGTACGGCACAGACCTGACCTCAACAGCAAGAAGGTGGGTCTTTCATGCAATGCACTTATAAATAGAATCTCTCAAGAATTTGGTCAACGGAAGATCCCGAAGGAAGCTGCAGTGTGCCATACCAAAAGAAAACTTCTGCATCGTGTTGTAGTGCACATGCTTCGCCTTCCTGGAGATCGAACCCTGAGGCCTCCAAATATTGAGGCAGTGCCAATGAAGGCAGCAGGTATTGTGGCGAGCGATTCAACCAGTCTACATGTCGTACCAGAAGGATGTATGATGCCTTTCATGACGTTTTTGACATCTGACAGGATCAGTGGAGAGCAAAGGCTCTCCTTCTGCTTCTAGCAAGAATATATAAAACAAGATGGCTCACTTTAACGCGCTGTCTTCGGCAAAAAACCCCATGCACGTTTTATTCAAAATGCTTCAGTGCTCGGTTCTTCACCTGCTCATTTATTTACTGGCATTGCTGATCGCGATCTGTTCGAGCAAGACGACGCGGTTCTTTTTGTATTGCAGGGGGTAGTCTTTAATTACCCCTGTGTACTGGGCACCAAGGGTAGAAGAGCAATTGGAACCCCGTTCGAAGATCCTCGCAACAGCTGGGCTTGAGGCTGAAGGAAAGGGTCGATCTGATCCAAGCAACATCGACAACCAAAAAGCGTTCAGATGTTCAGCGAAGATTAATGACAACTACTTTGCAATCCTTGGGGAGTGTGCTTGCAAGGCTCAAGCCCGCAATCCTTCAATATCTATCTGAGCAACCTGCATTGAGTGATCGTCACTCTTCTAAGAAGTCATTGCAGCCTGGAGTATTAGAATTTGATTGGTTCCAGGTCAAAGCGTCATGATCTGGCTGTTGCCCTTGGTTCATCTTGTTCTGGCCTCCGGGGCATCAGGCCTGAATGTCGAGCTCAGTAGCCACCAGGATCAATCCCACAGCAGAAGGGCGCACACGGAAATCATCTACTTGGAAGCACGCGATGAAGCAGAAAAGGAGCGGAAGGCGCTGCCAGCAACGGTCCTGACCAGCGCCGTGTCGGACCTCGGGGACCTTCGTCGAATCTGGGACTTCTACACGCCCGACTACAACTGCCCGTTCCTGAAGGAGCGCGTGGGCCGCCTGGGGGACGGCGGCAAGTGGGTCTGCGGCCTGCGCTACCTGTTGCAGACCCGCCCCTGCCTCGTCTATAGCCTCGGCAGTGCAGGAGACGCCTCCTTCGAGGAGCAGCTTCTGAGCCGAACCCCCTGCGATGTGCACACCTTCGACCCCAACCTGAGCGCGGAGACGCAGGCTCAGATGCAGGCCAGTCTCCCCGACCTCAACTACCACGCAGTTGGCCTCGGCCGCAGCAGCGGGCCGTTCAAGTCTCTCAGCGACCGGGGCATGCACAGCTTTGAAGAGGTCATGGCAGCGCTCGGCCATGCATGGGTGGATGTGCTCAAAGTGGACATAGAAGGCCACGAGTGGGACCTGTTTCTGGACTTCTATGACAATCCGGATGCGCGCCTGCCGGTCACGCAGCTGCTTGTCGAGTTCCACTGGCCCGGCAGCGCCGACAAGGTTTGGAAGGTAGGCTGAGTCGAGCCTCAATACTGTGCATGAGACACTCTGCAAGATGTTATACTATGACAAGCCAAGCGGCTTTGCATGTACCCGCGCTGGTGGCAGTGAGCTTCACCCTTGTGACCATGTGCAGACCATGCCTGATCTGATATGAGGACTGCAGAATTCGAGCAATGCCGGTACAGCATACATCTTGAGCTGTTTGCGGATTGCATGCAGGTATTGGATGTGCTACTGGCGGACAAGTACCGGATCTTCTCAGTGGAGCCCAATTACTACTGTGATGATGGTGCGTGTGCGAAGAACCTGCTGGAATTTGCATTCATCCGGGTGTCGGACAATGGACATGTGTGCGCGCCGCACAGCCACCCCGGTAGCGCAGAGGAAGGTGCCGGCATGATACTGCCACATGGGTGCTGGCTGTTGGATTCTGCTGTGCAGCGCATGTGCAGTGTCTACTTTATACTGACATATCTTTAGCGCCGTGACAGAGTGTACTGCTGAGATGAACCTCAATGTCAAAGCGTCTGCACTTTGGAAATCAATGGTTGTACAGGAGAAAGGCTCATAACAATAGCTGTTGGGCGTAGCAATTTGACTGCAATTTCTACATCTTTAAGTTTCTTGCACAATGCAGTCAAGCAAAGAGTCAGAACTGCATGCAGTGCATCAGGCAACACCGGGAAGGCCATGCAGCGCCATCACATCATAGATTGTCAATCATACGCCACAGTCATCCTGGAACATTATCCAGTCTGGAAAAGGCTGTCCTGAAGGCCCTGCACCTTAATTCCCACTATGAGAGTGCACAGTGTAGAAGCTCGTTCCACCACTTATTAAGTCTTGAGCAACAGTGCGCTTTGTGTGCTGACCTTCAAGGCTGTGAGCTCATGACTTCATGCTACGTGCTTTTCCCAGATTCAACGCCGAAGATCAGGCTGGCATCCCTGGCTTGGTCTCGGTGCACTTGAGGCGGCCGATGACAAACCCCTTGTTGTGGCCGCGGTTAGGCCCGGCCGTGCGGATGTGCTTCAGGCTGGAAGTGAAGAAGCTGTCCACCTCCTCAACAACCTGCAGATACACTCAGGTCTTTAACAGCCCCTCCCGGCACACGCTGTGAGCAAATGCATGCAGGACACTCTTCTCAAGCACCATATCTGACACTGCAGGGATCTGTCCCCTATCTTGAGCTGCATGTACTTAATGCCTCATTCTACCACTGTGGCCCGGCTGGTGGGGGGCGGTATAAATACCGAGCACCGTGCCCACGGTTGATTGGGTCTTGCTTGGATCTGGCAAGTCCAACAAGGGTTAGGATTGTGGCAGCCTTTTACTGCAGCTTGTCTGCAGGACGCACCTTGCCTCATGGCAGGAAAAGCGTGTGATAATAACAATGATAATAATAACTCTCAAGTCTGCTTCCCAAGTCTGAGCACAGGATCATATGAGACATAGATGCACCTTGCTCCTCGCAAAAAAGAGTGGGACAATTCTCAAAATAATGATACACAAAAAGAAAGGTCCGCACCCCCTGGGCTTTGAGCTCGCTCCAGAGCTGGGTGGGTCCGGACTCCTCGTCGTCGAATACATCGTCCATGAGGATGTTGGAGCCGCAGGTCATCATGGGGTACATTTTGTGGAAATCCCCTCGCACGCCGCCGACCCCGTGGTTCCCATCAATGTGCACCAGATCGCATGTGGGGCCTTGATAGATGCCTGCCGCGGTGTGGTTGGCCACGAATTGGGGCAGCAGCACGGAGCTGTCCCCCCAGTGCACCTGCAAAAAATCTTGCCTCAAAAATTGAACACCTGCCTGCCTGAAATTCGAGGAAAAGTGACTGCAGCAGCATTATTACTGCTGTTGCTACGTTGCAATGTAGGCTCCAGCGCAAATATAAAGACTTAGGCCAACAGATCAAACAGTCCGCACAGCGGTGTGTGCATAGGCTGGGCTGGCAATCTCGCTCTTCCAGCAGGTTTCTACAGGGCCTCAACAGAGATCCAGGCGCGCCGATGAGTCTAGATGTCTCTGGGTTATTCCAGCAATATATGATCTGCCTATGAAGTCCTGCACTCACTCTGGCATAAGCTATGGCCTGTCCCAAAACCCAGAAGCATAAGCTCATCCCACAGGGAATCACCCTGGGCCGTGTGTCACAGATTTTAATTAGTGATTGATGCACCCCACCAATGTATTGACATGAAAAATTGGAGATGGGCTGCACCTCGAGGCGGCCCGGGAAGCGCTTGAGCAGGGACTCGGCGCAGCTCGGCCCGTAGTTGCCCAGCATGATGAGATCGAAGCTGATGACCTTGAGAAGCGGATTGGCCGCCAGCCACACCGCTGTGGAGTATCCTGCATTGAATCCCACCTCACACACTGTGCGCACTCCTGGGTGCGTTGCCGTCCTGGCGTAGAAATCCACCTGTGAAATCCGCATGCAGAGAAATTGCTATTGATTACTGTGGCTTATTTTCCACTTTCCAGAGGACTAGGATTCAGCTATCCGCGACTGCAGTTCTTCAATCTGCATGTTCTAGCACGGCAGGGTTCAGCCAATATTCTCGTTGCTCAAGGCTTTCTCTGCGACGCACATGTCCCACGACGGCCTTGTAGGATTGCTGACAGTGCTTCAAGTGATGCAGGCGCACAATCCAATGAGGGGTTTATGCGCAGCAAGTGCATGGGAAACCTTTCAAGCAATTGCAGAGTGGGCAGCAGCAATAGGTGCATTTGTGCCATCTGGACAGGCTGTAGAATGCTGATGCATTGGTAAGGGGAAGGAGGGAGATAATGTGAAGGACCTGCTCCGGGAAGCCAGCGATGCTGGACCATCTGGCCTGGTCGCCGCCTCCCCAGCCAGGCAGAGTGCCAAACTTCTTCACCACCTCGTCCAGCTCGTCAAAGGCGGGCTCCAGCTCGGGAAACGTGACCTCCTGGTCGTTTGGCAGGCTCTGACGCTTCTTGTGCACCTGGTGGATCTGGCCTGCAATGACACCAAGTGAGTTGCAGGCACCCTCTGCAGACGCTTTGTGTCTTGCAAAAAATATGGAACATGTAATTTATCACATTTATTGCTGTCTGACCGACGATTTTTGATCATGCTCTTATATCCACACGATGGTCCAGTGATTAGGAGATGTGTTACCTGCCATCTTGACGCCTCGCACCAGAGATGACCGCGCTGCAGCGGCGCCAAGGGTATGGCTGACGAAAAGAAGCAGAACTGCGAACACAACCCTATTATTTGGGCGCATTGCAGAGGCCATCACGATTGCGGCCCCAAAAGATCACCAAGTCCTGATTGGAAGAATCCGTCTAGAATGACAGAACCCTTGCTTTCAGGAAAATCGAAGGGTCTCTTTGCAGAAATCTTTTTTTGGCTGCATCAATAAAGCTTCTCAGACACGCAGAATGAAATGAACACGAGCGAGGTCTGCTGCATCGTCAGTTCATAGCACATCAACACCATCGACCCTCGTCATCACCCTTGAGGGTTTCTACAGGGAAATCGCCATAATTTGAATCGAAGCACCCGCCCAACTTCTGGAGCGGGAGAGAAACTTTGCCTCGATCTGTGCATTTTTACCTGTACAATCTGATCGGTTTTCGCCATTGCTTCTGTTCTTCAGATTTAGTTTGAGTGTGCGACATTGGCAAATACCAGCGACCATAGAAGTCTGAAGGGCAGCTCACCAGTCGCGATGCCTTCCGTCGCGTCCTCTCCTAACGGAGCCTCAGAAGCCGCGCCTGTGGAGCGCAGGGTTGCTTTGATCACAGGAGTCACTGGTCAGGATGGCTCGTACCTGGCAGAGCTGCTTCTCGCCAAGGGCTATGTGGTTCACGGTCTCAAGAGGAGAGCCAGCTCTTACAACCACCCACGATTGGAGCACATCCTGGACCAGAGTGAGCACTTCAGTAATTGATGCTTGCTGATGCAGGATTTGTTGCCTTGATTGCAGTTCCATTCCTAAGTGGAGGTCCCATGTTGTACCTTCAAGATGCCCTCCTTTTTCTCTGCACGATCATTCCCCTATTCAAATGCCTTCAGTGGCCTTGCGTTGAGCTTATTCATTGCAACAAATCAACGCCTTGAGTGCTTGAAGAAATTGTTGCCACTCTCAGAGTGCCATTACCTCCTTCACATTACTGGACTTGATCGAGTGTTTGTCTGTCTGTGAACGCAGAGTACCCCAACAGCGAGCGATTCCACCTGCACTACGCCGATCTCATCGACTTTGGGTCTCTCTGTGCCATCCTCAGGTCAGCAGCACCCCTCCCGCTACTGTCCCCTTGCACATTGCTTGAATGTTGAACTTCCCACCAAGCAATAGCGATGACTCTCCTGCACCTGTGTGCGCCACCCTGCAATTGGACAGATTCACAGCCTTTTCATCTATTGGTGTGACTGACCTTGCAGGGACACAAAGCCACAGGAGATCTACAACTTGGGCGCACAGAGCCACGTGCAGGTGTCCTTTCAGCTGCCGCAGTACACTGCTGAGGCCAGCGGAGTGGTGCGCACAACTCCCCTTTTGCCCTCCACTGTAAACCATCATCAATCTCCCTGCACTGATGGCCTCCCTCTTCTTCGGCTTTGCACCTGTCCTGGAGCGTTCTGTGCTGCTTGACAGTCATTGCCTCACCCTGTCATCTTCTTGTAAGCATTCCACATGAGGTTTTTTGAGAAATTGCCCTGGCTGCTGCTGCTCAGGGGGTGATGAACATGTTGGAGGCAATCCGCGCAACAGGCCTGGAGCAGACTGTCAAGTTCTACCAGGCCTCCACCTCCGAGCTCTACGGCAAGGTGAGGCTCTCTTTCAATGCTCACTGTAGACTCCTTTATATTCTCGAGCACACAGAAAGCACCTAGAACGCCTCGGAATGTCCCTGCATAGCTCTACCAGCGCATGCCTTGCATCTTCACGCCGCTTCAAGCAGACGATGGGAGGCATCTCTGGCCAACCTACCTGAAATTGCAGAAGAAGGTTGATCCTCCTGGCATGCAAGGCTTCAGCTTATGCAGAAAAGGTGAGATTGGCTTTTCTGTGTGGCCAGGTGCACGCGATTCCTCAGGATGAGGAGACCCCATTCCACCCACGCTCACCCTACGCCGTAGCCAAGCTGTACGGATTCTGGGCCGTCAAGAACTACCGGTCAGTACGCGCGTCCCCTTCTGCCTCACATGCACTTGTGTGGTTTCTGCCCTTTGTGAGCAGATGACCTCTAGTTGTACCTGTGAGAGCATGCATGGCAGTTACGGGCAAATGGGAAGCCTGGCTTAACAAGAAGTTCTACATGATCCTCGTGTCCTTGCCCTGCTTACCGAAGCCACTGGCTTGCCGCCCTTGCTGCCTCAGATGTTGGCATGCGTTGCAGCCATCAGCACATGTGTACATATCCATTATGGCAGCAGAGCACAGCTTCCCCGAGCAGATCATGCAGCCAAACAGCAATCACAGTTTGGCGCCCTGTTGAAATTGCAGGTTGCAAATGTGGTAGCGAGTGTTACTCTTGTAGAGATCTGCTACGGGAGCTGAAAGCATTTGATTTGGGTTTGCAGGGAAGCGTACGACATGTACGCATGCAACGGCATCCTGTTCAACCATGAGTCGCCACGCCGCGGAGAGATCTTTGTGACCCGCAAGATCACCAAGGCCGTCGCAGCCATCAAGCTCGGCAAGCAGGTGCGTGCTATGTAACTTGCACCCTCTTAGCTGCATCACGGCCCCCATGCGTATTGCCTCCTGGTTCTTTCAGACTAGCCTTCCTGAAAATCATCAGGTTAGGTAAGGTTGGCTCCTGCAGGTCAAGAGCGGCAACAAAGAACAGCCTGGAATGCTGTAGGCTCAGTGCTGAAACCAAGGCCATGCTGGATGTTGTATCAAGTTGCATGCATTTGCAACTTTCCTCTACATTTCACCGGCACCAAACCCCACACAAATTTGAGCAAGTCTGCAGTAGCTGTGCAGCTCATGACGACATAGTCCTTGTCAAGCAAGGAATTGCCAAGACTGCTGCTTGCTGCTTCTCAGAAGCATTACTCAAACTTGTGTAAGTGGGCTTCTGGATAGGAATCCTTTATACCCAATCTCCTAAACCTCCTAGTCAGTAAGGAACGAGTTCTAAATACAATGACATGTTGTAGTGTTTTACTTGGTTTCCATAAAGGGATGGGAGTGTTTAAATAACACTGGATAAGATTGTGGTAGTTGGCGTCTGTGCGTAGAGGTGCTGCAGGGCAGGAGGGAACACCCTCCTGCCAGACTGCACACCTGGCGGTCACGTGGGTAACGATAACGTTACACATATGCGCGCGTGCAGGAGTGCCTGTACCTGGGCAACCTGGATGCCAAGCGCGACTGGGGCCACGCGCGCGACTACGTGGAGTGCATGTGGCTCATGCTGCAGCAGGACACCGCCGAAGACTTCGTCATCGCCACCGGGGAGACCACCACCGTCAGGTGCGCGCACCTGCTGCTTCCATGAGTCAGCGCTTGCATCGCCACTGCAATTGCTTGAGCAACACTTTTCTAGACTGTGATAAATGCTGCTTTAGGACGTCGGAAGGCCTAGGGGATGTTGGACTTCCCACCAGGTTGGAGTAAACAGGGAAGGTTCCAACCCTGTTAGCAGGAATAAGACCTTCCTTCCAACCTTCCAGCTTTGGTTAGAAGGTACTTACACACTGGTGGTTGCAACTGCCGGCTGAAAGAAGCAACTGGGAGTGTTGCCAGCACGTTTGTGCAAGACAGCTCAGCAATCTGGGTGGTCCCCCAGCTAACCCTTGCTTGTTGCAAGTGGGACACACATTGAAGTCGCCACTGACTGATCACGGGGGACCACGCCTCTTCTGACACAACAATCTTCACACAAGTAGAGCAGGGTTAATCAGTTCGCAAGCGGGTAGGCCGAGGAATCCTCTTCCTGATGTACTTCAGTCACCTGCGCAGATCCCAGCTGCCAGATCACCAAAACGGATGAGGAAGATCGCCCTGGTCAGGAAGCTCCAGGCTGTCTGGTTGCATCTTCAGAGCATTGAGCTTGAGCTGACTGGTATGCTTGGCGCGCAAATGCAGGGACTTTGCCGAGAGGGCGTTTGCGCGCGCGGGCATGCCTATCCGCTGGGAGGGCAAGCCGGGCCTGACCGAGACCGGCGTGGTGGCTGAGGGCGAGCTGGCCGGCAAGACCGTCGTCCGCGTCAACGCCAAATACTTCCGCCCTGCCGAGGTGCGCGCGCGCATCGCCGCCCCTGGCCGCCTCCGGGGTTAAAACCTAGAACTGCATAGAGTTGTTTGCCGAGGCCATGCCTTTCTGCTGGGGTAGTCGGTCAGGTTTCACTGGATCGATCTGGCTGACATTACTGTGGTGCTTTCTTGAGCACTCCGCAAGGGTCCATCGATTGATTGCTGAGGTAGACAAACAGCAAGCAGGAAAGGTATCAGGATAGGCGCTGCGCTTGTCCTGATGGTTTGAGTCCAACACTAAACAAGAAGGCTCTGGCTGAGGCATCCAACTCCATCAGGTGCACAGGAAGCAAAAATGAATAGCGTTGGGCAAGAGATTTGAACGTGGGTGGTGTGTCGGTCAGGTGGAGCTGCTGCTGGGCGACCCGTCTAAGGCGCGCACCAAGCTGGGCTGGAACCCACAGAAGACCTCGCTGCAGCAGCTGGTCGAGGAGATGGTCGATGCTGACCTGGAGATGGCAGCGGACCCCAACGCTTACCTCAAGTACTGAGTGACCCCCGCTGAGAATCCCCGCCTGCAATGCAGTGGCCGTGGGGCCATGTGTGTTGGAGACTTTGCGCGGATGTTCACATGCTGTGTCGTTGACTTCACCTTCAGGGGCTTCTGCGAGCAGAGGCATCAATGATGTCAGAATTCAAAAGAATATGTTAAAGTTGGGTGTATCTCGTTGTGGAGCATGCAGGCCTTGTCAGCAAGCGCTGATGCCCATGTCACATGACCTGTTCCGTTGAGGCGCCTGTAATGGCCTAGTACTGCTATCTATTGTACGGATACTGACTTGCCGCTCGGGTGGCTACAGCCCCTGAAAATTTGTAGAGCTGCGTCATGTAGCTGTTTCCAAAAAGACAGTACAGAAGCAATTGACCGGGTATCAGCAATGGCCTGGCAACTGATAACATGTCATAAACCATTGATTAAGTCAAATCGAAGATCCTGATCAGCTGAAGGAGCCTGCCCGCGTTGTCAGTGTACGGAGAAGCAATACACCTGAGCCATGTCAACATCCAGGTGGTCTAGACCTTGACTTTGTGAAGATCTTGCCATTGTGAAAGCAGACACATAGGGAAACTGGCGAATTGTTGAAGTGGCATCAAGCTTTTTTTCGTGTTTTTAATTATGACCATCTATAGGTGTCAAGTAGAGCATGCGAGACATGCAACCTGTAAGAACAAATATGATCGATCTGATGATATCAGTGCACAGTGAGAGCGGCACGAGTCCCATTGGGGACTGGCGGTAATTACTGACCTCGGTTTCGGTACCCATGCATGCAGATTTGCGGCAGGCATGATATCATGCATCATGATGCAGCAACCGGCACAAAAAGGTAACATGCGCAATGCATCAATGCAGCAATCCCACTGATGTTGATGAGGAACTATTTCTTTAATTGTTTTTGCACTCTACAGTCTTCATCAGCTTGTGCAAAGACTTGATTGCCGGCAAGGCAAATGAAGAAAAAAGGCGTTCCCGACAAAAGGGACCAGCTGGTGAGGAGAAAAATGGAACCCGGTCCAGCTAGATCCCTTTTCATTATTGATGCTGGGCAGGTAATTATTGACGGTTGCGCTTTAATAACGACTGGGATAATGTTTTATCATACAAGAATATCATACTTATGTAGCCAACGCTGCTTCCTAAGTTTCTGCATGCTGTCAATTAGCTTGCAAGATTTGGAACTTTGATAAGAACGCTTCTTCATACGAGAGATCTTAATCTTGGCCACTATATTTCTGGAGCACACCGCGGCTCGATTTGAACTTTTCACAATACAATGGTATCTTCAAGTGAGTTTCTCCATCACTCCTACTCTTGCTCTCTAGCACCACACGATCGTGATCCTTCATGCACTGTCTTATGAGCTAATGTCAATGCAAAGTAACCAAAATTACAGAATTCTTCGAAGATATGCCAATATCTCACGGCCCGGCACTTCACAAAAAACCAGACTGTTGATGTCAACATCAGGAGCGCCAGAAACCAAACCGCAATCCCTTCACCACACTAGCACTCAACAAAACTGCTTCCATCACTGCCAAGCTGTAGTGGTACTCCCACACGTCGCATCCTTCCCGGGTGGAATAAATCACACTTCCAGTCAAAACCATCAGCCGTCGTCCGGTCAAATTCAAACGCGGGCGCTCGAGTCATAGTAGTGGCCCGGCCGCGCCAGCTGCGGTGGGGGAACCTCCCCGTATTCGCCCGTAGCGGCCGCCGGGTGCGACGGCGGTACGTAGCCGCCCGTAACGGGCGCTCCGTAAGAGTACTCCCCTCCCGGCTGCTCCACCGCCACCCCCACTGGAACCTGCGCATTGTTAATTTATTTAATGAAATGTTAAATAATCAGAAACATTCATTTTGGTAGCAAATCAGGAGCCATCGGTGTCACCAGATGCACAAAACGTTGTGCATTTGATGGATTTGCCACCTGGAGTGCAACGGACACTGCAAAGCCTTTGCGCTGCATCCATGGCAGTGGCTGAACCTCCCTGGCATTTCCAGGAAACTGTGTAACACCTTCGGGCTTAACATGCAGTCAACAGTTCTAGAGTGAGTGACGGCTGAAGCTGCCTCACCCACCCGGATCAAGAACGGGTACAATGCATGGATGCAGAGCCACTCGCCCCCCCTGGGTGGAAGAATTTGGACAACATTTGCCGGCTTGAAACAGGAGAATCGACGGGAGGGAGTAAGGGGCAGGAAGCCCACCTGAGAGAAGACCTCGTGCACTTCGAGGCGGGTGACTGATTGGGTGTCCTTGTCCATGGCGTAGCAGATGAACACGGCGTCCACAATGTCCAGCAGCACCGCCGCGAAAAAGGCAGTCACCACCCACGCCATGAAGAACGACAGCACGCCCAACAGCGCCGCTTGCTGCGCGCATAAACAGACGCCTTGAGGACCCTTTGGAGTGCCAATGTGCAAGGGTTCACTGAACCTAGACTGCGCCAAGATCCTGTGTCTATGGCTGCCACGTACGATGTCAAGCAAAAAATCCATTTGCGGGCGGTAACGACTGTTGCAGACTGCAGAGGCAGCAGCATGCACTTGGTGCGCTTGCTACAAGGCAAACTGAGAGGCCTCATCCCTTCAGGCTCAGCTTTCAGCAACGCAAGGGTGCTGGACCGAGAGCACACAACAACGCCTGCTTTACTCTCAAATCTGGGCGCCTTCAAGAAAAAATTGCATTGAGGTTCTGCTTGCCAGAGTCTTCAAGTACAAAATTAGGAGTTTCTGCTTGCCACAGTCTCAAAATCCAAAGCCAAGACGTTCTGCTTGCCAGAGTCTAGAAAATACAAAGCCGGCAGATTCTTCTTGCCACAGTCTTTAAAATACGAAGCGAGGAGGTCCTTCTTTCCAGAGTCTTGAGGCACAAAGCCAGGAGGAATTATTGCCAGCTTCTGTAAAGACAAAGCCAGAAGAGATGTGGGCGCACGGCTTGGGCGTGCTCCTGGGAGTGCCATGCGTAGAAGGAGATGCCGAAGATGAGGACGCCCCACATGGCACTCAGCGCAAACGCAGCCATCTGCAGCACCAGCGGCGGGAACCACCACACACCTGCAATCATGCAGAATGCACTTTTTATTAACACCTGTGCAACGCCCGGCCGCAGCGTCATGGCAAAGCAGCAGGCAGGCTGACCAGAAAAGGAGGTTTGATGTTGACACTGGAAGAGGCCAGAAGCTCTCCGCAACTGCGGAAGTGTCCAGCAAGAGCTTTGCTTAGCCGGAGTGGTTGCGACAGGGGTAAAAATCATTACAACATGCATTCTCGCTGTGGAGGCTGTCTTGCGCGAGGAACAAGGTGGAAGCCCAGAACATGCAAAGCCATTTGCAGCACACAACACGCGAGGTGATGTCAAACAGCACCACAGCACTTAGTGCTCCAATAACCAGAGGTAGAAATAGAGTAGGGGCTGGCCAGCCCGCACCATAGGCCTTGAGGAAGTTGCGGGTGAGCAGCTGCGTGACATTACGGCCGGCTGTGAAGAAGGCCTCGCCCGTAATTGCCGCGCGCACGGTGGCAAACTTGGTGATGTACTCGATGAGGCCCCAGATGCACTGCAGGCAGCACGCCAGCAGGCTCCACACCAGCGTCGCTAGACTCTCCCCCTGCTGCCGCCGCCGCTCCTGCGCCCTGAATTTACAGCAAATACACATCCCACTCAGTCGCCCGGTTGCTGACTAATTTTTACATCACGACCTATGACGCCTGCGCCATGCAAATACAGCCGACGCAACCCCGCCTCAGCAGAGTCAGCCGGTGATTCTTTTGCACGCCCCAAGGAGCGCACATCAAGCCAGATTTTCAAAGTATAGTTGGAGACCCTGGCAGAATCATATTCAGTATTGGCATCAGATGTCAATCTGCAAAAGGTTAAGAGGGCGGCCCAATTGGCCAAGGCTCAGCTCTTCATTCTGCAGACCCAGGTACAAGGCAACTAACGCAAATTTCCGCGCGGCCTGAATAACTTTTGAACTGGCTTTTGGGACTGCAGCCTGTGTTCCTCCTGCCCTGATCTATATAATTGCAACCACTGGCCCCTGTGTGTTGGGAATCAGACGAGCATACCAAAACGATGCATGAGGTGCCATGAGATGCCATGACAGTGCCATGATGACTGCTGCTGCAGACAAAAACACAATAACACATATCCCTTCAGTAATACAGACGTCCAGGCATCTGTGCCAATGTATGCACGGTTTCAAGGGGGAATGAAGGGGGGTATAACGCGCACCGCTGCAGGGCCTGACGCATGAGCTGGATGACGGTCAGCACGGCTGCTCCGAGCGCGAGCGTTCCAAACTGCGGCCCAATCGCGAATCGCACCGTTCGCAACGTGCTCCCCTTCAACGCGTCCTCAGCTCCCGCCGGCGCAAAATACCTGCCGGGGAAGGAAGGATCAACAACTTATCCACCCCCTGGACTCCCAAGTACGAGGCAGCAGTCCGCTTGACCCTACCGCCATTGTGGCCATGGTCTCGGTGCTTTGGCACATCTCAGAAGGCCTGACACCAGAAGAACAAGAAGATCATACATCTCTCAAGTACCGTCTAGGGCACAAGCATGATTTCTCAGAAATCTCCAACTGATGAAGGGCTGAACCACGCTGATTCCCAAACTCCATCATGTTGAGGGGTCCTGATATCGGTTCACGACAAATGATTATCTTGCTTGAAGGCAGCCTGAGCAACTTCATCTTTCAAGAAGCTGACTTCATGAGTGCCAGCAGTCGCTGGCCCAAAAACCCCAAAGCACACAGCAGCCCCAGCTTGCACTGCTGATCTCAGCCCCTGAAGAGAAGGAATACCTCCAGACCTCCAATGGCAAAGCACATTTGCCTATGTGTGCCAATAGTATGAGCGGGACTTGTGCTGATGTGCCCTAGCCTCACACGACCTTTGGCAGCAGGTGCACATGAGGCGAGATTGGCCATGTACTGACAGAAGGACCAGCCTCTACGTGCCTCCATATAAACTCGGCAATCAACCGAGGGGATCTATTGTGACCGTTAGATAACGATCTCGCTTTAACTGACGATTCCAGGGGGTACATAAAAACAAAGATTAATTCTGCCCCCTTTCCTAAAGCGGGTGAGCACACAGTCTTCAGGAAGTTGCCAAAAAAACCCCTTGGATGTGGTATAAAATAGGCGTTTTCAAGACCCTTTATCCCCTGCTCTATCCCCTGAACTGGTTGGCACATCCTGTAAAGAAGGAGTAACCTGCTGGCCGTTCGCATGGACCCTCATGCGTTCATATTGAGAAAGGCACGGGGCTGACTGTATCTATATACCATGATCATATGTGTTGCAGTACCCCTGACTGCACATGAGGCAAGATCGGCAAACTCAACAAACAGCAGGGCAGGAAAATTTGAGAGAAAACAAGGGGCGCACCACTGCGCGATGGTGCCTGAGATGGTGAAGATACGGAACTGGCCGAAGAGGAACACTGTCCACAGCATGGTCACGCTCGCGAATGACATGTAAGGCGGCACCCACGAATCTGCCTGCCATGCGCAGCAGGGAACGCCCTGTCCCTGCTCGTCCCTGCACACCCGCCCGGTCACCTCCACACGCTCCGCTGCACAGCAGGAAGAACTTTTGATGCATGGTTGTTAAGAAGGTTGCTTTAACAGCAAGTGCGTTGTCTCTGTTCCATGAAAGAGCAACATGGCATGTGCACAAGATTCACACGTAAAGAGCACATCTTCATTACGACGAATGTAAAGGCTGTGCTATTGTCTGGGCTGGGCTGGAAAGACTGGTGCATCTGCGCAGCGCCCGGCTGACCATGTACGGAACACCAAAAGGATGCAGTATTCAAAGTGCCTCTGAATCTTTCCAAAATGCCTCTAATCCTTGTGGGCGGGATGAGGCGAGGGATGGCCTTGCAGCTGGAAGGCGGACTAGGGCATGCACTTTGGTGGAGCGCGCAGCCAGAATTGTTTTAATGCATGCCCCAGTCAGCCTCCCTGGCGGCAGGGCAATCCCACGCATCTCAGCTATCCGCCCCTGGATTTCAGGCAATGGTAGCCAGACATGGGCGCGGGCCGATGCGATCAACCATAAATGCCCTTTCTGCTGCCCTGGGCAGTGAGGCTGACTCTGAGACTGTCGGCGAAAAACTTGTGCTCTCAGGAACCCAAATGAGCAAGCTTTCCCTCATTTGCTTTGTGGACGCAGCCGACACAAAATGCTCGATCAAGCGGCCAACGCTCGAGTTCACTGCTCACGTTGCCGGTGTGAGCCCTTTGCTGTTGACCATTGCCGGGTGTTCAAAGCTACACCGGCATTTGGCTTGTCTTTGCATTTGCCTAACCAGAGCTGGAGGGGCAATAAAAGCCGTTACAAATGGGATGCCCTACCCTATCAGAAAAAGGCTGGAGAGTGCATGAGGAAGGTCAATGCATACCCCAGTCAGCTCCCACAGGGGCAGGTCATACCAAAAATCCCATTGCTTCCCGCCCGCCAAACTCACAGACTTGCAGCGCTGCCTCTGAGCCCTGGTCATTGCGCACTGTTTTGAAGAGGCCTGTCACAAAAGGCGCCAATCCAGATGCACAAGGGCGGGAATCCATATCTTCAAAGGAAATCCGACTACTGCATGTCCTGCGCACCTTTTTGGCCTAAGAGGCATGCCAATTCAATTTTGAAGAGGCATGCCACAGAAGAAACCAATTGGGGGCAGAATGGAAGGAATTCATATCTCAAAAGAGTATCTGACTAGCTCTGATGGAGCCAAGGACGCTGGGATCCCACAGCAAAATTGGATCCGGGTGATGCATGTAAAGCCGAAGGTGCCACATATTGCACTTTAATAGGAAAATTGAGCCGCACCGTTTGGTACGACACCTCCGTTGGTGTAGGAGGCGAAGAGGAAGCCGAAGATGGGGAGCACAAGGAACACAAGAACGATCTTGGACACCACCACCAAAAATATCAGGCCCGGGTTTTCATGCAGGCCATGCGCCGCCACACCAAGTAGGCGCGCACACAGCTCAATCTCATTGCGCCTGCGCAAATTGGAACATTGCTGTCAGCAAGAAAAGAGTGTCTCTCTTGATATGACGATGAAGGGTCTGCGCGCTGCCTGAAGTTCAAAGATTTTCTTTTCCCGGCTGAGACCAGTGGAAGGAGCACAAGCTAAAGTTACGTACAGAACTCAGTCCACAAGAAAGAGAGAGCCTTTTACAAGTCTCATTGCTGCAGACACCATATACTTGAAAAGGAAGCCTGGCTGCGATATGCGGATGTAGGCAGCCATTATATGCAGGCAGGAGTGATCATAAGCATGCGGCAAGGTGCTGGGCCGCACCAGAGGTAGAAAGCAAGGGCGCCGAGCGCAGCCAGGCCCAACAGCATGATGCCGCCCCCGATCTGGCCGGCAAACAGCACCGCAAGCCCCATCGCGGCAGGCGCCGCCACCTGTGCCACATTATGAGTAAATGGCCCCATTGCTCATCAGCCTGAATAGCTTACTGTGATCCTCACCAATGCCTCCTCGGCTGGACAGTGTCACACACATTGTGGATGCCGAGCAGCTTGACTCAGAAGTCTGTTCAAAGCTAAAACGAGCCTCAACACAAGGACTTTCCACCCCCACAACATGCATGACATCCCAGCCAACAGTGATCATCTGCGCTGCTGCGGAAGTGCTCTGTCCTTCAAATGCACTGGCAGCAGGGAGTGTGGCGAGATTACAGGGGTGGCTGACCTGTGCGATGATAGTGGCTTGGGTGGCGGCATGGGGCTGGTACTTGAAGATCATCAGGAACACAATGCCCAGCAGCACAGACACCGCCGCCGAAATTGCAAGCCAGAGCGCTGCCTGCATGAGAACACATCTTTTTATTCCTTTGATACCTTTTGTGACACGCTTTTCCTGCCAGAGGCAACATGCATCTACATCCGCCGGCTCGGCGAGCAGCAGGTGAAGGCCGTCAAAGTGCTGCCCCTTCTTGGACTCGCCAGACCCGAGCAAGACCGAATCAACCGTGCGGACGTTGCTCAATTTTTATACGCTCCACGCAAGCTAGGGCCTTTAATGTCATATGTCAAATTGTTGAAGAGAGAGGTGTCATTCGCTGTGCTGACTCCTTTCGCAAGAGTAAAATGGTGGCACACTATGCATGCAGGGTGTGCAAGGCGGAAAAGCACCTGACGGAAGAACATGGGCAGGTCGATGATCTCAGGCTCGGCATCCTTCAGGAGTGACTGATGGCCGGGCGCAGGGCAGTTCCTGGGGTCTGCCATGTAATCTTGCTCGAAGGCCTTTGAGAACTCCCGATTCCTGCCAAAAGACACCATCTTTTGTTTCTTTCCCGGCTCTCAAACTCTTATCGAGAGGGCTTGGATGTATATGCTCGCTGTGTGACCAGCACCTGCTGCCCTGGATTTGTGTGCGACAGACTTTCCTGTCTAGTAAGATGCCCACTTTACTAGCTACAATTACATAGATCTGCGGACAGATTAACGCTGTGCTGTCGGTCTTGTAATTACCAACATTCGATATCCAATATGAATTTCGTGACCTGACTTCCGAATGACTGCAAGCGAGCCAGCGGTCCTACAAGTGCATACTGCATGCCGCGTGAATAAGCAAGCCTGCTAGCACACGACTTGTCTGATGCACGTTCAATATTTCCAAAGATCACCTGTTGGTGATGCCATACACTCCTCCAACAACGGTCAGGACTAAGAAGATCAAGTATAATATTCCCCAGGGCACATCGACAGTTTTTCTGTTCCGGTAATTGAACAGCGATCCCACTACCAGTGGATCGCTATCAGGAGGGGGAGCCATATTTGCTGGACTCACAACACAAATTTTCTTCCTTCCTTGAACATTGTGCACCAGTTGCAGGCACGTTCTCTTACTTTCAAGGCTTGCGTGGCATTCGTAATCCTACAGTCATCAGGGGTCTAAAAACAGCTATTGCGTGCTTCGATCGCCCTTCTGACAGACGATTTTCCCTTAAGCCCACACTTGTCATTGGTGTCATTGGGCCAAAGATGCTGCGTTTGAACGACGTGTGAGAGCGTTAAAATCAAACGGCGACATTGGGGCGCCAGCGGTTGGGCAACTTCTGGTGATCTTGTCATGCTACCTACTGCCTACTGTTGCTTTTCACTGCTCTTCTATTCTTTTCGTGATTTTCAAAATAATCCTTCTCAATAGTGCAGTCCTGATGCAGGATCCCATAGCCTGAGCCAAGTGTGAGCAGCCACCGAACCAGCAGCATCTAATCTGGTGTGTTCTCTTCGCGATGCCACCAATTTGTCTACTGCCCCGATACACGAGAGATTGACTCCACGCTTTCAGATTCTAGCACTCCTGCACGGATCGACCCGGTGTGTAGAAAGGGACAATCTCACAGGTCCAAAAGACGAGGGAACTTTGCATTCTTGGTCAGGTCGTTTTCGTGTGTTCAGGGACAGTGGCAGGCGGCAAAGAAGGGCTGGTACAATGAAAAATTGCCACATGCTTCGGGTTATCTTGTTATCAGCAATTTTTGGTCTAGCTGCCGCCTCCAACCTGGTCATCCATCATGATACAGGTGACTCCTTTTTTCGCCACTTTTCTCCCATCTGCAAAGCTTCTGCCTTTCCAAACCTCGCTTATTATTAAGAGTAATCGAATTTAGTGCTTTGCACTGTTCTGCAGGTTGCAGAGCTGCCTCTCATCGGTACATCTCAGACGCTCAAGCCATCCACGCTCTGCAGCGAGTGGCCGCAACAATGGAGAGGCTTCTCACAGGCAACTCCACTGAGCAGACATGGTGCACCCTGACAAGCTACGGCACTGGCTGGGGCAAGCACCAGCTATGCAGCCTTACCAGCTTCATCAAGCCAGATGGCTACTGCACATTCTGGTCGTTTGGAACCAGCACGGACGCATCCTTTGATGTCGACCTGATTGCCAAGCACAACTGCCACGGCATGGCCCTGGACCCGTCTGTGTCTTACCCGACCAACCTGCTCGGGGACAAGGCGGTGTTCATGCAAATGGGCGCCAAGCTGAAAGAGTCTGCCACCTATCTGCCTTCCCCGGGAGCCTGGTTCCTGGCAAATGTCCCCCTGCTCGCGAAGGCGCTTTCCATAGAGAGGCTGCAAGTGCTCAAGATGGATTGTGAGGGGTGTGAGTATTCCCTGGCCGATGACATCATCAAGCATGACGAGCTCTTCCTTGACAAGGTGGATCAGTTTGCTATCGAGGTGCACACCAGCGCGCTGATTGCCAAGACCAGGGACCATGCTCTGGCTCTGGGGCGTCTGTATCATCTTCTGCAGGAGGCTGGACTCGAGTTGGTGCATGCAGCTGTACAGTACTGCAATGACGAGCATGCTGCATATGGGCACCAGGCCGAGTTTGTGGCTGTGGGATATCCCCATTCCAGGAATGACTACTGCCAGAACCTCCTCTTTGCCAAAAGGAACAAAGCCTGAAGACCGATGCAGACTTGCAGTCAGGGAACTCTAAATCAGCAGGTCAATCTAGATTGAGATTATGTAGCGTGGGAAAGGGCTCTTTAGGATTGGGCTGATCAAACAGGCGTTAGGATAATATTTGGGGTGTAGAAGATGCTGGATGATTGCTGGTTGTGGCTAGCTGCTGATGAAGGGCAAAATTGCAGTCAGGAATGGGGTGCAGAAGCACTTTGCTGAGAAGCGTTCAGCATGTTGTACCTGGTGATGCCAACGGTAATCGAATATCATCACCAAAATCCACAGAAGGCAATGAGTGTGGACTTACATGCTCAACGGCACTTAAAGAATGTTCAACTAATGCCATGTCTACAAATCTGTGCTATCACGTCAACCTAAGCAGGCTCCTGCACAGAGGCTTACACGTCCCAAGCCAGCAATAGTGTTCCCTTGAACCACTGCGCAGCTCTCAGAAGCTAAGCCACACTGAGCACCGCTGATTAGCAGAACGGCAAAGTATACTTGGCAGACCAAGACTCCATCTCAGAACCCAGACATGCCTGGTCAACCCCAGGACTATTTCCCCTGGGACGGAAAACCTTCAGCCGCGCTGCAATCCAGTCAAGGACTGTTGCTGTGGTGTCCGGGGCAGCCGTGGCCGCCCGAGAGGGGGTCTGCCACTGCCAGGATGTCGGTCCAGAACCCATACTCATTGGAGTGCTCCATCAGCCAGCCACAGAGTCCCTCTATGTTGTCCGGCCGCCTCAGACTCGCGCGCAGAAGCTCCTCCTTTGTCTTGGCCGTCCCTGCGCCACCCACAGTGTCTGTTTTAGTCTCCTGTCCTTTCAAGGATGGCTGCTGCAGCTTTCCTGTTCCCTGGCAGAATTCCACCACTTGATGATGCCAAAGGTCAGCTTTCACATGAGCAGAAGAGGTGCAATCGCATGCTTGCTACTTCAGAAAAGAACAAGAACTATCTTCTGGGACTGGGGCATTAAAGCTTGAGCACCAGGGTTTTTAAAGGTTTCTCCTGCTCCTTGCAACTTGTTTAACAGCAGACTGAACCCTGCCACCTGGCAGGATCAGAATGTACCAGCATCAGTAATGAACAGCATGTCAGTGACAGAAGGTAAGAGAAGAATTAGTCACCGTACTGCCAGGCGTAGTCTGGGATGGCCAGGTCGTGCAGAGTGTATCCGGCGGATGCCAGCAGGTGCAGCGTCTCCTCGCAGGTCTTGCGCCCAGGCAGGGCCATGGACTTAGGCCATAGCTCCAGCATTATGTATGTCACCTGCTCCCACCAAAATAGCAGCAATTAAGATCAGGCCGCTAAGATTAACGATGCCGATGGAGAGCATGAGATGAGCACTAAAGAAGGCACATCAAAAGCAGGATACAGTACCCATGATGACACCTGCTAAAGGAGCGTAAACTCCAGCGAGGATGAGGCTGCTGGCTGATATGGCTATATAAATTATAAAAAAATGAAACCGACTCCTAGCTGGAAATGCATAACATCCCTACTTTCCTGTGCTGAGAGACAGGTTCTGTTGCCCAGATTCAGTGGTGTTTAATGGTGACTATAGACGTTCTAGTAGAGTGCCTTCATTTCCTAAAGAACGAGGGCAATGCCAAAAAAGCAGCAGCCGGGTTCTTACCTGTTTGTGCCGCAGCAGCTCCTTCATGCCCTCGATGACAACCCCGTCAAACCCCTGGGTGTCGATCTTGACGATGTATAACTCCCTCACATCGCTGGCGCCCTCCTGCGTCGCCACATGGCGGCCATGCGCGCCGCCATGGCGGTGGCCGGCTTCGGCCAAATTTGGCAGCTGGCCGGGGAGATAATCATCGAGAGTGGTGGTTGCAACATTGATCGGTGCATCAACTGCAGTGTCTTGCTGGAAGGCTGCGCCGATAATGCTGCCAGCATAGTCCCCGGATGTGCCTTTGGAGTGGAACTCCATTGTGCCACCGGCTGTGTCGGACACTGCCATGTTGATGAGCTGGATTGCCGCCTTGCGCTCTGGAGCCATCTGCGCAGTCATGCATGCATAAGTTCCTCCGCATTCCTTCTGTTCAAACTTTCCCTTAGAAGCTCCTACCTTCCAGGCCTCCTGACAAGCCTCCTTGTGATGCCATCAAACACACCACACTGTCCCTCTAACCCACCGCATGAGAATTGCCAGACCCACTGCCGTACAAGTGGCTTTAAGACAAGCATTGTGTGCTTTTGCCGCTCTCAAACAATCACAATGATCTTGACGGAGTTGCACTGTCTCTCTCGGCCAGCACCCAAGACTTGGTCGGCTCATATTAAATCCTCGCTCTACATATGTTGCAGCTGCTTTGACAAGAAGCACAATAAAACCTGGGCAGAGGTGCACCGTGTCTCGGCCAGCACACAGCAAGAATCTGGTCTGCAAAGGAGCACATTTTGTGCAGTTGCTTGCGCTGAATCAGAACAGGAGTCTGTGCAAAGACGCGCACACTGGGGCGGCAGAGATGACCCCTGTTCACCCTATTATTGTTAGTATTGCTGTACTACACGATTTGCCTGCCAAAAGGCAAGGTACGTCCTGCAGACACGCTACATGTAGAGGCTGCCAAAATCCTATCCCTTGATGGACTCGCCAAATCCAGGCAAGACCCAATCAACCGGTGGCACGGTGCTCAGCATTTATACCGCCCTCCGCCAGCCGGGGTCAGCCGCTTCGCCTTTCTATTTTGCCATATTCATCTAAACTTGAAAGCTTTGCAGATAAGCATGGCATGTAAGATGAGGCGAGGGCGCACCGGGGAGGCGGTGATAGCGGCAGCAGAGTTGTTGAAGTTGGCGGGGGATGGCTCGAAGCAGAGCACGCTCGCAAATCCGGCATCCGCCGCCTGCAGGCACTGCTGCCCGTTGAACACTCCCACTTCGACCACCGCCGCGGCCGCCGGATTGGGGTGAACCTGTGAAATCGTCCCCACAGATAAATAACCACAAGCTGTTCTTGCCAGGAGGCAAGGTGCTCCTGCAGGCACAGCTGCCTGTTGACCCTGTAGAACCACTTTGAGCACCGCCGCAGCAGCCGGGTCGGGGTGAACATGTGGGAAGGTCACAAGGTTGGTCGCCCATTCTGACAGCGCAGGCATGTGCTGCACGGCACTGATTGTATCTATCCAAAAATTTGCAACTTCAAGGGGAATCCTCCTGAGATTGGCCTGCGAGGATACTGATCTGTCCAATCAGATCCGTTCAGATTCCGATGCTAGCCAGATGCACTGGGCAAAGATCAAATCTCTGGAGTTGCAAAGGGATGCAAGTGATGTCTGGCTGCCCTGTGAAATTTTCGTGAGGCCCTATCAAACACTGACTGTCAAACACTGACACTTGATGGACCCCCAAGCACCCTTCTGTCATAACACAGCTAGAACAAGAGATCCACACGCTACAAGGTGCAGGCTCAATCACTGCCCTTAATGCACCCCAAGCATCCTACTTTCTTAACAGCAAGAACAGAAGATCACACTCTGCAAGGTGCATGTGCAAGCATGTGCGTGAGTCATGAGATGAAATTTAGATTCACCGCCAGTAGCTGCCGGTAGAGGGCGTCTGCATCAGAGCCCAGCGTGCGAAGCATGGTCTCCAACTTGGGTGTGCTGCAGCCGTCAGCCGCCTCGCCATTGTGCCGCCTGTGAAAATGCAATTTCTTTTTCAGTCCGCTCAATCTAGAGGAGCACCTGTGTAAATGGGGCCTAAGAGATATGGCCTGCCCACATCGAGACTGAGCTGCAAAATATAGGCTGGAGAGCTCGAAACAAAAGCGTGTTCACATGGATGAAGACACTAGAATTGCTTCAGGTGATTGCCTCTGTGCGGACCGCTTTAGTTTAAAACATATTCTTCACGAGCAAAAGATTATACAGCAGAGCAGGGCTTGCCATTCTGCCGCCTGAAAATGCTTATTGACAGCAATGGGTTTCTGGAGATGAGTGATCTTGCTGCTGTAATGACACGGATTGAGGAATGGGCAAGGCAAGTCACGCACAACATTGTGAAGTTTGAGCTGTCTGTGTAAAGGCTTGAGGAAAAGGCAGCAGATCGAAAGGAGCTTTGAGAGGGAGTTTGGGTGCTGTAGAGGTCTGCTCACCTGTGTTCGTGATGTTCTGTTGGAGAGGCATCGAAGAAGGGCAGCCTCAAAGCTGATGCAGAAACACCGCAGGCAATGAGCAGGGTCACTGAAAGGGCTGCAGTCATTCTGCAAATTGCCATGATCTGCAGGCCACGTAACACTGTCAAGCTTAGTAAGTCCTGATCTTTCAGTCTCTGTTTTTATGGGGTATGTCTTTCTGTTCTCCAGGAGCATTGCATTATCAGACGCATTTAATGCAGATGGCAGACTACGAACGAGGGGCTAAAAAACCCACTACTTCGAGCGAGCCTTGCAGCAGCGACCTGAGGTTTGCGAACCTGGGCAATCGATCTTATGGATATAAGAATTTCAATTGAGTCAAGGAAGGGACGCAAGGAATTGTCACGCATCACTGGAGGACTCACCAAGTATTTGGGAAGCCCTGACGTGTCCTTGGTGGTGAGCTCAGACCTTACACTCACTTTATTCAGTATTCATGGACGCAACAGCTCTTCACTCACAGACGAGCAATCCGTGAAAATTGATCAAAGGGTTCTTGGAAAGAAGCATCTGTGCACACCTGACGATGACGAGCGGCGCTTACGTGACTCTTATCAATCTGTCTGAGCTAAATTCTATGCAGAATGACAAGGAAGGCACTTCAAGGACATGAGTTTAAAACACAGTACGTTGATACTCTTTCTGTAGTGCAATCGTAGACTCTTCAAGCATCGGAAGCGGTGGGCTTACAAAGTGGAAACCGACAGCTGCCACGGAAACAAACGAGCTTGCGCTTGTTTGCTGTCTTTATTCGACTGAGCAGCAGACAGTAATTGATTTCCGCATGAAGCAGGCGCGAAGCATGGCTGCCAGCAGTGTCCTTATGGCAACAGCTGTTCTGCTGATCCTGGCACCCTTTTCTGGAGCAATGAAGCTCCCCTTCGGAAGGCAGAGCTGGTCCAACACCGACAACCCCAGGCATGCTCCTGTCATCCTGTCCTCTTCTCTGATCTTGTTTTAATGCAGAACCTGGACAACCCCACATACCATTGACACTTTGCAGCACTGCAGCACACTTAGTGCTGTGTGATCTGTAGGCCGAACAGCAATTTAAGGTCTCTGTGCAATCAAGAAAGATGACGGTTTCTGAGTCATTGGCAGGGACACAGGGGACCACCGTCACAAGGACCGGCATTCATCTAGGACTGATCGCTCGTCGGCAAATGCCGGCCCCGTGATTCTGTCAGCAGAAGTAGGCGTGGCAGGCCGCAACATCTACCCAGTGGCAGATGAAGAGGAGCAGACGCAGAAGGATGCAAGAGAGGTGAGTCAAGCCACCCCTTAACTCTCATTTCAAATGCTCTAAATCAAGTTCAAGAACAGCACCCCAGCTCTGTGGTTAGGGCAGATGCAGCAGCAAGGACAATCAAGATAGCCTGTGAGGTGTACACTCTGAAGTTCTTTGAGCGTTAAACCTTTGACGGTAGTGCCTTGTGGCCGGCAAGCATCTGCGCTGACACTGCGCTGGTGTTTGATCAGGCAGAGAACTTCAAGGACGCGCAAGCAATGCACCTTGTGTACAGCGCGTGCGGAGAGACAGTCAAATCCGAGTTTTTCATGTCGCTCAAGTCTCTGTACCTCTTTGCCGTCAGCGGCTTTGTGCGCGAGCCGGCCTACTACCACATCCACGTGCTGTCAGATGGGGCGGTCTCAAAAGAAGATCTGGCTTCCCTCCGCCCGTTGTCAAACTTCAAGGCCTCAGTGCACCCAAAATTCCCGGGCGCCACTACGCTTTTCAAGCTCTGCTCAACCGAGCGCATGTACCTGCACCAGCATGCCGACTTCAAGGATTTAGACAAGGTAATGACTGATCCTGAATCCGGATGTTGCAACCAATCCTTCAGTGGGTACTGCATGCTTGCACATCAAGCGAACATTACGGGGTTCTTAAGAGGCCTGAAATGGCATCATACATCTCATGATTTTTTTGCTGATTGTGCTGCAGGTGATCTATGTGGACACAGACACACTGTGGCTGGATGATGCTGTCTTCTGGTGGACACATTTCAAGCACGTGGGAACAATGCGCGCTGCGTTTGGCCTTGCCGAGAATGCCGGCAGCGGCAACGGGAGCTGGTATATCAATGGTGAGCCTGCCTCTGACCTGCATTTGATGAATGCCGTGCAAGCGGCTTGCTCTTACATGATGCCAGCGCACTCCTGCAGAAAAAAGACAGGTGCTCTTGGCATGCAATGTGTAAATCTGCCCACCGTTTCCAAGGAAGTGTGCAAAAATAAACCATCGGCGGGGAGTGCAATCTGCTCTGCAATATGCGCTCTTTTGTCATTGGGTGCAGTGCTTTTTAAACGCCAATGTGCATGGATGCAGCTCCCATCCCACACCACGGTGAGCGCGGCGTGAATGCCGGAACAATGATGGCTTCCTTGGCGGCAATCCGCGCGTCAAACTTTACGGCTGAGCGCGATGCAATAATCGCGAATTATTTGCCGCTGAACCAGCTGCCCTTAGGAGACCAAGACGTCCTCAACATCTACGGCCATGACCACCCCGACCAAATCTATGTCATGCCTTGCATCTTCAATTTCAGGTACGATTGCCCCTCAATGACAATCCGTGCAGTCTGCAGCTGCCATCAGCATTGTTTCCAGCCAGCTACAGCCAGCAGATGTTCAAATGAGCTTGTTATGAGGCCTTGCCCGTGAGACAGAGTTTTTTTGAACGTTTTGTTCTAGTAGGTCTGCTGGTAAGAAATGTAGGCTTGATGTCTAAGCATGTGATTGTGCGGTTGTAGGTTTGATGCCGGATGCCAAGAGGGCCAACCGGTGGTGCTCCATGGCAACCGAGCATTGAAGAACAATCCAAGCTCCTCCTACAACCACCTGTACACATTCTTCTCGAAGATAGGTGTAGCCAATCCTGCATCTGTCAGCAGCAACACCAGCTTGGAAGCTTTTTGAGCATGCGATCATGATTGCACCTGGTGATTTTGGCAATGATGTTGCAGAGAGCATAGATGCAGGAGAATTTTCCACGTAGCAAGGCGGTTAAACTCGCTTTGTAGCTACGATTACATCTTTGGTGTGTTCATTGTGATAATCTCTGCATGCTCGGAGAGATAAGGCAGGCAAGGCAGGCAGACTCTATTCAACGGTGTGTGGGACATGCTCATGAAATTGGCACTCTTGTAATCGAAATTTTAAGCATGTAATCGGAATTTTAAGCGTGACATGCACATCATCTTTGCGACGTGTACACCCAATTCTTCATCATATAAAAGCATATACCATGCACCAAACTGTCGGGTCCATTATGCCATTTTGGTACTGCCTTCTGCAACCATGTACTACTAGTACATGTAGTCCATCTTGGCTGTGCGTCATGAGCTCGTATCACTCTCACTGGGCACGCTAGTGCCCACATTGATCTTTGAGAAGAACATGTAGAGATGGCTGTACGAGGTTTCGTTTTTCTCCTTCAGTGCTCGATTGCCATGGACTAAGACCGGTTGGCCTTGCTGGCAGGATGCATCATACCTGCAGAGAAACCAAGGCTATTAGGAGAGCTACCTTAGCGACTCTTGGAAGCGAGACCAAGTCAAGCAGACAAGATGCCATCTATCCAAGCAGAAGTGATGAGCAGATATGATTACAAACTAAGCAGCGTCTTCAATTGGTTATCCCCGATATCTGCCCAGCAAAAGCAATTATTGTATTGTGAATGGGGCTTTACCTGAAGTTGAACATGCATGGCATGGCATAGAATTGCTCGGGGTGGTTGTGACCGTAGATGTTGAGGATGTCTTGGTCCCCAAGGGGTAGATGGCCCAATGGCAAGTAGTGCGCAATGATTGCCTCACGTTCAGCCGTGAAGTTTGACGCACGAACCGTCGCCAGTGAAGCCATCAACACCCCGGCATTTAGTCCGCGTGCGCCGTGGTGTGGGATTTGTGCTGCACGCACACCAGAAAATTGTGTCATCTTGCAATTCTGGCAGCTCAATGAGCAATACTCAACAAGTTTCCCATCCGCCACTGGAAGACTTGTTCAACCCCATGCGCGCTCTCTCCAGCACAAGCATACCTTGGCGAAGAACCATGCTTGTTGTGCACGTCAGAGCATACGAACCATTGTATGCTCTGCACACCCTTGTGAAACGCACCAAAACTAGTTATGTTGTAGTACTGTTATTTTGTGTGTTATAGTTATATGTTATAGTACAGTACTGTTATTTTTTAATCAACTTGAATGCAACATGCTTTGCAAAGAATACTATTAGGAGTCTGACCATTGGTGTACCAGCTGCCGCCGCTGTTGGATTCCTCTGCCATGCCAAAGGCTGCATGCTTTGTCTTCATGTGGGCAAAGTGCGTCCACCACCAGACTGGATCATCCAGCCACAGCGTGTCTGTGTCAACGTAGATGACCTGAGCAATCACACATCACCATCCGACATCTTCAAGCCAACAAAGTTGCAATGCTCCTATCGGAGAGCCAAGCATCTGTAGCCATTGCCAAAGTCCTGAAAGGAAAACAAGGCTCTTTCCAGCTAAGTTATATCTGCACACATCCTGATGTTGGCACCAGCCAGTCATATGCACTTCTCCGGACCATATACAACAGAACTTTTTCTATGCTAGTGATCTGGGCAGCACACGATAAGTCAAGGGATATGTCACCTTGTCGAGATCCTGGAAGTCTTTGTGCTGGTGCAGATAGATGCGCTCAGTGGAGCAGGTCTTGAACAGCATCGTGGCGTTTGGGAACGTGGGGTGCACGGATGCCTTGAAGTTTGACAGCGGGCGCAGGAATGACAGATCTTCTTTCGCGACCGCCCCATCTGAGAGCACGTGGATGTGGTAGTAGGCCGGCCCGCGCACAAACCCGCTGATGGCAAGGAGGTACAGAGACTTGAGTGAAGTGAGGAACTCCGCTTTGATCGTCTCTCCGCACACGCTGTACACTATGTGCATCGCTAGCATGTCCTTGAATAGCGCCGCCTGCCAAAGCATCCCATGCATGTATCAGCACTGTGCATCCACTAGAAAATGGTGCTGATTGTGCCGAGGGTGCACTCTGCAAGCACGGCGGGCAGGATTGCCTTACTGGACAGAAGAGGAATGCAGACATGAAAGCAAAACGAGCGTGAAACGTAAAGGTGAAAAAACTGTCTCGCCGTGTGAAAGCGACGCATGGAATATACAATGCAAGCAGGGGTGATACATAAGTTAATATTTCACTGCTGCAGCAGGACTGGTGTAATGAGCTGGAATGTCACATGGAAAGCAGGTGCGCCCGTGTGCACAGCAGGTTGAGGGTGTGACACAGGGGTGTAACTTGCCTCTACTGCATCACGATGCACCTGCAGTGCGATGTGTGGAGGGTAGATCTGTCCATCCACCCCGGTCTCTGCTGACTGTATGCGATCCCGGGTGTAGTCATCGCCCTCGACTGAGTGCCGGTCCCTGTGATGGGACCCCTTTGTATCCCTGGCGGTGGCATCATATCAACGCAGTAAGTACCAATCATGACTCATGTGCACCGGGTCCGCTGTGTTTCTGGTCCTTGATATCAGTTGGCAGGGCTTTTAACCGCCTTTTGTGCCAGCAGCTTGGTGCCAAGAATGAGCCTGCCAGGGAGATCTCCGAGGGTGAATTAGGAGCATGCCTGGAACTGCCTTCAGATGTCACTCTGGGCAGCAGGCCGTGTGGCTGCTTTGCTGCCAGGCAGGACAATGTGCTGAAAAGGAGCGCCAGAGGCACTGCTACGCACAGCCTGCTGAAATCCATCTCTACCCGGTCAGGTACCTGCACAAAGCAGTCAATGAGGGCTTTTAACGGACTCAACGTTGTGTAAACTCGATTTGACAGGGTAGACCCCAAGAAGCATGAACCCTCGATCATGATGAGCAAATATTGTCAGGTAGAAGGCATTCAGCAGCGCTTAAGAAAGACCAAGCACCCGATCACTTCAGAGGACGTGACGGAGTGTCAGCTGACCTTTTCTATTTTGTATTTCCACCAGGACAAACTGACGGCGCACGCCCTGCTAGCGTTTCATATTTATTTTTATTCTTGCTCCCTGCTGCGAACATTTATTCATTACACTTATGAGGGAACATTATCTTGCAAAAGGAAAGAGCCGGCAGGCGGTCAGGCCACTGACGTCATCGACGTCATCAGGCTTCACTGCACGCTGGCGATCGACAGCTGCCTCAGATCAGGACTGACATCTATCCAGGGTCCTGTAAAAGCGTACAGTCGTTCTGAGAGCTCATCTGAGTTGTTTTGATTGTTCGGGATAGGAAACAAATACTTTGTCAAGTCGGTCGTGTTTAATGCAATGGCTGATTAGGTGCACCTGGTATCAGAGATGACGGGCAGGACACCTTCAAAACAACGCAAACGAACGCGATATACACTGTTGGGTGCATCGGTAATACAGGCAACGGATGAAAGGTTCCTGCAGCATCCTTTTTAGAACTCTTAAAATGCAGTCCAACCACGAACAACGCACTCTGCAGTTCGGTGTCGTCACCGTCTGCATACTGGTCCTTCTACTCTTTGCCAGCCTCCTTCAAGGTACGTTTCCCAAGCCTCACGAGAAAAGCCTCTCTCGATTGCAGCGTTATACCTCATTTGTCAGTCTCTGATCAGGGCAAGAAACTTGTCGTTGAAGGGCCTTTTGCTTGCCCTGTGTGCAGGTGCCGCCATGGGCCCTGCAAAGGAGCACGCTCATGTCTCTCTGAGGCTCAAAACTGCCGGGAAGCTGGCTTCAGACGTCCAGCCCTCAGCAACCCCAGCAGTGCATAACAATCCAGAAAATGCTCTGGTTCGCATATTCATCTGTGTCACTCTGAGATGGAGGGTGACTAAGCTCACAGCCCTCAGACAGGCACGCACAAATCCCTGACCACCCTTTTGCACTCCTCGCAACTGATCCTATTACACGATCAGCAAAGCAAAAGCAAGAGGAATTGGGGCACACGCACAGGACATCTGCAGCTAGTCTTTAGGGTTCAACATAACATGCAGCCTAGCTGTAAGATGCAACAGGTGTTCAGTACATTCAAAGATATTGAAACGCGCAGGTTAATGGTGCACACAGCGGGAAAGTGAGTGTCTGCTTGGGGCGTTGCAGGTGTTAGAAACGGCTTCACTGTACCCAACAGCAAAGGACATCTGTGTGGCGACAGATAAGCCAGGGAGGCTGGCAAAGGAGTTGCAGAGATGGGAGCTGCCTAATGTGGCTGTGTGCAGCCACCGGAGACTGCTCACTGGGCAAGCGGCTGATGACATTGCTACAGTCCACTGGCAGCACATGTACGCCGCCTCAAAAACAGGCAAGCAGATCTCCCTGCTGAGAGAGCATCTTCATGCAAATTTTTCGCCAGGATTTGTCTCTTTGCCAGGATACGGAGGTCAGCATGTACTTCCTAACTGCCCTATTTTGCAACCAATCCTCTCGGCCGCAGCTGCTGTGTTCACTTGTGTGTCGAGCTGCCATCTCACGAGCAGGAGCTTTGCACAGCAAGTTAGGATCCTGACTGCCAGTTGGCCTCACCGTGCTGCCACCATTACTGATGACTATAGGAGCAGCAGTGCCATTTTCGACCAACCAGGTTGCGGTTGTTGCATGCATGGCCCTTAAGGCAATTTTATTGGCAGCCTTAACGTGCAGCTTGCCTGCAGACACACCTTGCCTCTGGCAGGAAGAGCGTGTGAAAATAGCCGCCAAGGGATCACATGATTGCTTTCTCTTGTGCCCACTCCACCGGCGTTTATAAGCCGGCTGGAAATATCAGCCAGCTGGCGCATGTGTATTTGCGCAGTGTGACGATACTATTACCCACGTGATCTACATGTGATGGATATCTGGCAGGAGGGTGTTCCCACCTGCAGTGCAGAGCCTAAGTGCACAGCAACATTGGAAATAATTATTTAATCCAGTGGTTTTAAAACATTCCCCATATGGAAACCAAGTGATATCTTGTGCGCAGGGAAATACAACGCATTCGTGCACCTGGAGCATGACATGGAGCTTCCCTGGGCTGCGCTGAGCATTTGGGCAGTAGAAAACGCGGTTTTAGAGCCCCTGGGATTCCAGCGCGGATTTCTGCGGACCGAGATCGCTCCCTGGAACGGCCGCGCCGTCGCCGTTGATTCCGACGCCCCGGTGAGTAACATTTTACTAATGTGTAAGTGCCTCGCCTCATCAGGCACCCACACATCTCTGCCAATTAGGCGAATCTGGCAGCTTGCCTGTGCCTGATGAGGAGACTTCAGACCCGCACTGAAAAGAAGATCCTGAAGGATCATCTTGTCCCTGTGGGTTCAGGCCACTAAAGTATATCAAGTGGCAGCTTATGGTCACATGAGATATCTGTGCTGCTGCCTAGGCGGTGCTGTCAAACCTGCTGTGCGTATTTTTGCATTGAGTGCAGACTGCAAATTTTGGGTAAGCACAGCAGAGGACCCCAAATGTGCTACAAACAGGTACCTTTATATATGGGGAAGCATGACAGCGCCAAACGCAACATGCGCAGGTGAATCTCACGACGTATGACAAATGGTTGAGCGTCACGGACGCGACGAATGCCACTTACAGCTTCCTGCAGCTGCCTCAGCCGCTGTCAGGAGTCTGGGCTGCCACGCCGCGCCAGCTGGATCGCTTCATCGCCTGGCAGCTGTCCCCTGGCAGGTGCATCTTTACACTTTAAGCTCGTGAACCTTGTCATCATCACCTGCCACTATTTTTTATTAGTAGTAGTACGCGTGTTTCTTGCCAAGAGGCAAGGTGCGGCCTGCAGACAAGCTGTACTTGAAGGCTGGCTCATTCCTAACCCTTGTTGGACTCGCCAGATCCATGCAAAGACCCAATCAACCTGCCATAGTACTGGTGCAAACTCAAAATGTGGTATAGGTGTCTTCATATTTACAGTCCTTTGGGGATTGAGTGCACCCCAAGGTACATGGTTACTGCTTGCGTGTGTTGCTTTGCTCCGACTCAAGAGATACGCTTTCAGAAGATCCTGTTTCTTAGAGGCTATAGACATTAGTCGTGCATGACTCACACCGGTCTCATAAAGAGTTCTACGCCGCGCAGCAGCGCCGGCAGCAGGAACCTGTCAGAGGCACGCAACTCCTCTTCACTCCAAGACGCGGCCAGGGCCGAGGCGGCGGCTGCCGAGGCAATACTTTTCACGCGGCCGCTGCCGCACGGCTTCAACAGCAGCGCACTTGTGCCGTTCGACCGCGGCAGTGCTCGAGTGGCGGCCAGCGCGCATGTGCTGCGGGTGACTAACAGCGAGTGCGCAAAATGGGAGCAGTTGCAAGATGAAGGGGCGGCATACCTGAACACGCAGCCGCCGCCGGGCTTGGCGGGAAGCAAGTGCACTATCGGCGTTGATGAGCTTCTTGTCTTCTGAGGCGCATGCCTGAGCGGTGGAAATTCTGAGATGAGAAAAGGGGCGCCCACAAGAACGATAAGGCCATTCCATTGTACATGGGCTTCTTGTCGTTCGAGTCATGTCAGCAATTGGCAGCACGCTAGAGAAATGGGATGAGCTGAAGGCTTCTCAGAAGAAAGAAGGCCTTGCAGAAGGAGGCTCTAGAGTCTGCGGAAGGATATTTCTTGGTATTTATCCGGACAAAATTACTCACACACAACATTTCACGTGAGAGGTGTCAACAGTGAGTTGCAATTCCACTTAAAGACCAATCGAAGGCTATCATGTCTCGGGCCTTGCCTTCTATTGGATTTGCATGGAGAGGCCAACAGATTGTGCTGTGATACCTAGTATCCTTGCTCGCAAATACACATTCACTCTTAAGCTTTGCTGGTACTTGAAGGCAATTGCAACGAGTGACATTTGCATCGACAGACTGCCCAACCTATACCCATTACCTCACAGCCATTTGATCCGAGCACCCACTCACACCAAGAAGCTCTCCACGCTGATTCTGCAATGCCTCGCTGTGGGATTTTCAACCTTGTAAACGTCCAGGGTCATCCCATCGCGAGTGTGGGCGCCGCAGTATTTGTTCGACAGGTGCTCGACTGCTGAGTCAGCGTCTAGCTGACCGGACTCGGGATCGTAGGGGACCACCGCAGAGCTGACAAATCCGTCGGGGGTCCCTATGAATTGTAAGCCGCACGCCGCCATTTCCCTTGTCTGCACAAACCCATACACATTTTTACTTTTCTGTCCTGAAGATGGTAAGACCCAACATAAGTATAGCTTGAAGCTGCACTTTTCTCAATGTCAGGGACTAATTCTTCCATGCAGCAATTAGCATACACCACTGCATTGTCTGCTTTCGCTTGACTGTGTGTTGTGGCTAGCCGACTGCAGGATTCAAGAAAAGAATGCAGCGGTGCAAAAAAATACTCACGTCCCAAGGGTCGATCTCCTTGGTCCACTGCAGCGAGGTGGTGAAGTTGACCAGCCTGTCTCTGTCAGCAATCCACATGCCCATGTAGGGGTTGGGCAACTGCAGAAAATACTTCTCCTGCACCCAGACAACCGTCTTATCGACAAAGAGCCCTGACACACGCCAGCACTTCTGCCGACAATGGCTCGACTTGATGCTCAGCTCAGCTAATCAGTGTATCAATGTGACCGGCTTCCTTGATCAGCATTATCGGGCCTTTTGATCAAAGAAAGCCCTGACATACGCCAACACTTCTGCTGACGATGGCACAACTTGACACTCAGCTCAGCTTATTAGTGTAAAAATGTGACAAGGTTTCATGAGTTGCATGACAAGCATGCCAGGGCCTCACTGCACAGTGTGCTGCGCATACCAGAAGAGAATACAAAGATGCATGCACAATTGCAGTGTCTGTTCAGCATGACTAGCCAGAACCAGCCCGAAGTCGAATGCCTGGCTTGAGCAATTCCTTTGTAACTTCTCTTGCTTGAGCGGATTTCTTGGATGATTGGCACCTGCACAATCTCCTCTCCAAGCATGGCGCGAGTGCGCACAGTCCTTGGATAAGTAGCCAGCTGCACGCGCTCCATCTGATCTGTAAGGCCCAGCAGCCCATTCTGCTCTATGGGCTCCACTCGGTAGAATGCCCTCTGGAATCCCAGCCGAGACAGCACCGGCTCATCCGCTGCCCAGCCCAGCAGCGCTCGCCAGGACAGCCGGATGTCGCTCTCCAGGTAAATGAACGCCGTGTACTCTGTGCATGACACATTTTAGTAATATTTAGTCATCTTGGTAATTTTTGGTGAGCTTAGGAAATTATTATTAGTGATGCTAGTTATTTTCATATCAAGGCACTTGGATGTCACTCCAGGTATATGAACGCGGTGTACTCTGCGCATGACACACGTTAGTGATCATTAGTAATCTGAGTGATCTTTGTGCCAGGGCACCCGGATGTAACTCCAAAGGTATATGAACGCCGTGTACTTCGCGCAGGGTACACAGTAGTAATCCTTAGTCAGATCACAAGTCCACTTATTATCATGCTAATTGACAGAAGTGTCTGTGCTCTGAGCCCCCACGTGTGGCACAGTCAGCCATTTGTTGGAGTCTTCCGCTATACCAACGATGGGGCTCATTGTCTTTGCGGTGTCGTACAAACTATCGCAGCTTGTCCAGATATTTTCAAGCAATTTCAAGTGGTGGTGGGATTGCAGACCTCGGCGCAGCTGCATCGTGAAAATTGATGAAATACAGGAGCAGAAGAGAGTGCATACACGAACAGCCAAGAGTGGACGTACCAGGGTCAGTGCTTTTGAGAGCTTCTTCCATGTAGGTGCGGTGCGCAAAGGCGAGCTGGTATCGATGACTCAGCGCTGCTTCAGGGCTGCAGACTAATGCCTGACTGGACCAGGATTGCAAGGCTAGCCTCAGGCGCTGTGGCTGATTAGTCAGCACCCGGATGGCCACCTTTGTTGGGTAGCGCTCCAGAGGAGCGAGTGCCTGCATAGAGGCCATGCAATTTACCACATTCTGATATGTTGTACTAGTTCAAACACTGAGCACCGTGCCCGCGGTTGATTGGGTCTTGCTGGATCTGGCGAGCCCAACAAGGGGGCGGATTTTGGCAGCCTTTACAAGCAGATTGCCTGCATACGCACCTTACTTCTGGCAGGAAATGTGTGTAATAATGAGATCATAACAAAGTGCTGTATACACTCTCCTCTCTCAACTTTATCCACTTTCCCTAAATTAACTTGATCTTGGCAAGATGATACCACAAATCACATGAAGGGATGCAGTCGTTGGAAGTGGTCATGTAATGACAGCAGAGAGAGCTGAGACAGACTCACCTGGCGAAGGAATACGAGGGAGCCGACTTCCCAGTGAAAAGTGATGCAGACGAATATTTGCTGCAAGCTGGCTGGCAAGTCCCCTTGATCCTGGCTGCTACTTTTCCTAAGCTGCATGACGTCGATATCTGCCACAGCTGCATCAGTGTATAGCAGCCAGGTGAAGTCAGGAATGAAAGAAAACATGATCACAGGTGTGTCTACAAATCATCGTCAGGCATATTTGACATTTCAGGAGAATTTTTCGCACCCGTCGTGTTCCATCCTCTCACTTCTTTTGAGAAACAGCAGAGGACGAAGATGAGCCAAACAGCAATGAATAACGAACGCATCGCTGCCGCCCTCAATATTTACTTCTCGATGGTGGTGGAAAGCATAACTGAAGTCAAGAAATCTGAAGCATACGAACGAAGAAAGACCCGGGAGAAGGTCAAGGAAACCATGATCCATCTATAGACACATTTGCCCTCATCTTCGCGCAAAGAATCCTCAGATCCACTTCTACGCCTGATCCTTTCCACAGAGCACGGAGCTGATGTCAACACTATCATTGCGAGGTGCGTGGATTTAGCTGGGGCCTGGAACCCTAGCGGGGATATAATCAGGGTTTCATTTGTGTGTCAGATTGCCGTACAATGTAAATGAATTAGAGGAGAGCCTATACTGATGTCTTCAGGGGTGATTTTGCCAATAATAACAGGAAGTGTTTTGAGCCCGGTGAATTCCCAAGGTTTCGTGGTTGTAAGAAACAGAATGTTTTCAGGCGCTTGACCAGCGCTGGCTGGCTGCAGTGGCTTGGCCCCGGCTGGCGGGGGGCAGTACAAATTTTGAGCACCTTGCCCGCGATAGATTGGGTCTTGCTTGGACCTGGCGAGTCCATCAAGGGCAAGATATCTGGCAACCTTTCCTGCAGCTTGTCTGCAGACGCACCTTGCCTTTGGCAGGAAAAGTGCGTGATGATGAGACCAGTGGCGTGCTGGGGTTGACAGCTCTCTCACTAAGACAGATTACACATCCTGCCTGTCTCTGGCCCTAGAATGTCTCATCCATTGCATCAGCGCCTCTCATGCTTGAGACAGGTGCTCGATATCAAGCAGACTGCAATGACACTCGATATTGCATGACTCTGTACACTAATTGAAACAAGCATGCCCAAACTTCGTTCCTGTACTTGCATTTTTGCAGCCCCGGGCCCATTCCGAACTTACTTCGTTGCTTTGCCCATACTTCAACACATGCTGCTCCCTGTCTCTAATACACAATCCCTGACCCTTCAAGAAGCTTCCTTGCCCCTTTGCATGCAACGCCGGCCCCTCAAATCCGCGCCCATCGTGATGCTTTCAGTACGCAGCACTGCCGACATCACCCATGCATCCTGGTGATCAATACTCACACAGGGACCTCCCTCCCCCGAATACCCCTGAACCTCTGACCCCTCCATCCCGCCGGGGGTCTTCACGCATATGAAAAGTCTTGCTGGCAGCCGAATTTTGTTCAACTGGCGTCCGGGTGCGTGGCTGCAGCGGGCGTGCTAGACCCTCCGCTCGGCAACCCCTGAACCCCAAGCCCTTCTCGGGGTCTTCACGCAAATAGAAACTCATGCGCTGCCACGGTACAGTGCAGTTGGCCGCCGGTGATGGCGCTGCAGTACTTGTTCGACATGTGCTCGATGGCCGCGTGCACGTTCATCCTGGGGGGTTGCCTCTGCTGGGGAACCCCCGGATTGTAGGGGACCACCGCCGCGCTGAAAAAGCCCTTGGGGACGTCCACGAACTGCAACCCGCATGCAGCCATCGCCCGTACCTGCAGACGTGCAATGGATTCATGAATTCAGAATGAAGAAAATATCCGTTGGTATTGGAGTTTGATTGCGCTTGTTCAAGCACAATAGGGCAACGGACAGCTGCTGTGCGAGCGCACTGCAGGGCATGGGTCAAGTCCAATTATTATGGTAAGCACATCACCAAAATGCTAGGCACGATATTCATGCATAGGAAGGTTCTTGATGCTTTGATGAGGGGAACAGGCACTCAGGTGAACCAGTCTTGTGTCACATGCAATGGGTCGGGGGCACTAGATACATCCTCCAGTAGAACAATACAGATACCCATATGGCCTTTGTGCCATCAAGGCCATTAGTAGGACAGTGAAGATGTCAAAATTTGAGTTCCCTCCAATATGGGCTAGATAGGGGTGAGCTTACCGCCCAGGGCTTGTATCGCACGTCCCACTGCGCTGAGCGCAGGAACTTGGCCAGCTGACTGCGGGTGGCCACCCACACTGCAAAGTAGGGGTTGGGCAGCTGCACAAAATGCTTCTCCTGCACCGCACCACACATATGTTGATGCACATCTAAGTGATCCAGCAGCAAGCATCAGAAGTGACCGGACTCTGAACAACATCAAGCAAAGCAAGATACCTTTTGCCAATCCATGGCTGTCCACTGCACCACAAGTCACTGAGAGATCTGCTTCGCTCCAATACCAACCACGCAGCAAGTGGAGAAAACTTCTGAAAATTACATGCCCAGCTATTTCTTGTTCCAACAGGGCCATCCAATGGGCTTTCTTCTGCTTGACTGGTGAAGGGCCCCAGCCTGGCAGGGGCGGTGTAAATATCGACCACCGCCCTCACAATTAATTGGTCTTGCTTGGATCTGGCAAGTCCGTCAAGGGTAGGATGCATGGCAGCTTGTCTGCAGACACACTTTGCCTCGGGCAGGAAAAGCATGCAATGATAATGATTTTGATACTGAGTCACACCTTGACGAGGTCAACCTCGTCGCGGAAGCGGACGCGCAGCTTCTTCTCGTAGGCCGTAATGTTGATGCGGCCGATCTGGTCCGTCAGTGTGGGCAGACCGGTGTGCTGGCTGGGCTCCACTCGGTAGAATCCCCTCTGGAACCCCAGGGGCTCTAAAAGGGGCGTATCTGCCGCCCACCCCAACAGCGCCGGCCAGGGCACGTTCATGTCGTGCTCCAGGTACATGAAGGTGGTGTAATCTGCAGCAGCAAAGAACACACCCACATAGATCTGCATTAATTCCAAATTGCAGTGGCATTTGATTGCTCTGCAGCTTGTCTTCAGACGCACCTTGCCTTTGGCAGGGAAAAACGTGTCATTAGAACGATTGTTTGGGTGATATCTAAACAGGCCTACTGCTTCTGCTTTTCACCATGCCAAAATCTCGCTGCCAGCTGCAGGAGCTGTGCACATACTGAGCACCGTGCCCATACTTAATTGGGTCTTGCTTGGATCTGGCGAGTCCATCAAGGTGTTAACCATCTGGCAGCCATTACCTGCAGCTTGTCTGCAGGCGCACCTTGGCTCTGGCAGGAACAGCCTGTATTTTTATCTGATAGAAAATCAGCAGCCAAAGGCATCTCTCTGCCGTTTTGCTATCTTGCCATGAGACAACTTCTACCTGATGCAGCAGAGCTAAACAGCTCTGCATGGCCAGAGCACCTGTCCGAGTACCAACACAATTACCAACTTCGAGGACCATAGACATTTGAGTAGTTTGAGGACTCTGCAATGGGGGGCATACCTTTGTTTTTGAAGGCCTGGTCCATGTAGCTGCGGTGCACAAAGGCGAGGTGCAGCGGATCGAGCAGGGTCTGATTAGTGCCGCACACCCAGTGATCCGCCCCAGAGCCCCATTCTCTTATCGCCTGCCGCAGGAGCTCCGGCCGATTGCTGATGATGCACATTGTCACCGTTGTCGGGTAGTGCGATATTGTCATCACAGCCTGCGCAGCAGAACAGACATAACAAGGTCACCTGATGGCAATGTTGATCTGTTATCATGGTAGTAATCACGCAGATTTTTCCAGGGGCAAGGTGCGTCTGCAGACAAGCTGCAGGTCAAGGCTGTCACATGTCTGCTCCCTTGATGGACTCGCCAGATCCAAGCAAGACCCGACCAATTAATCAACCGGGTGGAACGATGCGCAGTACTCATACCGATCATTACAGAAATGGAATATGGTGTGTCCCGGTGACAGGAAAGGGCTTCCCACAAGCTGCAAACCTGTACCAGGTCTCGGTGCTCTACAGCAACCTGAATTCCGCTCTTCCTAGCTTCTTGATGCTCATTCAGGCGATGTGGTCTTGACAGGATTGTGCAAAGGAAGCGCTGTGGCAGCAGGGCTCCACCTGGCGCAGAAGAGTGAGGCCCGAGACATCCCAATGGAAGGTGACGCAGACAAACATGTGCTCCAAAAGTGGCCCACTATTGGAGCCTCTGACAGGATCCACTGCACTGGTGCGTGCTTTTGAGGCCAATGGCCTGAGCCCCTTGGTTTCCAATGCAGCGATCTCTGCATGATCACTGAGACCTGTGATCGCCAAAATGACAATGTCAGGTGCTTTGACGATGCTTGGTATCAGATCAACGCCTCAACACAGCTGAGTGGACCATGACTAGGCTCTTGACAATGGAAGTGATGAAGGGAGGCCAGCACCTGAAAGTTGTAGTCTGACTTTGGATGTTGGTGTCGGAGAGATGGTGAGAGCGCAATAAAGAGAGACAGCAACGAGAGCTCCAATAGCCAATGCCCAAGGTGGAATGTTTGTGCCAGACTGCTGAAGGCCACAACCACCCCTCAACCTGTCTCTGATGTCTTTGATCATCAATACTCATAGAAATCTTATTGTATCCGCTGTCGTTTCACTGCGTTTCAGATAAGCACCCTTCCGTCATCTGTCCGTGAGATCGACATCGGCAACGTTGTGCACTCTGTCGATACAGATCCACGTTTCATGCACAATTTGGAGCAATCACACATCGATTTCCTTTCTTTAAATCTTCTTTAAATCAACAGTGAGACTGTTTTTGCTGACATGCAAGCACATCGTAATCTCGATGCATTATGTGCTCCGTTGGGGTTTTATAGAACTGGGGTCAAGCAAAGCCCTCAGCTGTTCAACCTTGGCATTTGCAATCTCGACCCACAACAGATTTGTCATTACACGACGCAAGTCGATTACGAGACACTCCGGATGTTTGTCCAGAGTGCATGACGCACCGCATTTGTCCATGGGAACAGTTGTAGCTGCCCCTTCTCATCAACTCGATCAGGATTATTCCACTCCGTGTCACCAGAAACACGATTGAAAATGAAATTGTGTTTGTCTGGGTTGGAAATGATTACAATGATGAGCCAAGGTGATAATGATGCTGCAAAGTCAGCCAGTCCAGAGAAAAATCTGGATACTTGATGGGCATGTGGGCTTGAAGAGGACAGTACTTGCAGCAGTCAGGAAGGGACCAGTGCCCAAGATCAACAATGCTGACAAATTTATCTGAAGTTATGTTGCATCCATGATCCGCGTTCTCCAGCTGTCAGAAAGAAGCTGCAGCTCTTGAGATAGATCACTCAATGGAGGACCCTCACGCCAAAGACGTCAATGAGGTCAGGAGGACCCTCATCACCACTTTATCTGTATTGTGAAAATCCCATGCATTCCAATTCTCAGGCACGTAGGTGAACGTCATTTGCTTGACCGAGAACATCTTTCTGCAGGTGCTCTCGTTCTTCTCTGTAGATGCAGCCTCAGGTCTCTCCAGCGCCCAAGTCCTGCAGGTGAGCGGTTTGGTGTATGCCAATCAATGACTCTGGCATCCAAGATGTGCCTGTCCTCTTTTTTACTGAAGCTGCCGTGACAATCTGTGCAGGCACGCAGTATCTATGGCAGGAACGAGCTGGCTCCAGACAAGGGTGAGGTCCCCCGTGAGCCCGATCTGCTGCTTGATCTAGCGGCATTGCATCGTCTTTTGTCAGCCGTGATCCTGCTCTCAGGGCTGAGTCAAAGGCTGATGCGCAGGCACACCCTTCTGGAAGCTTGTACTCAAGCAGTTCGACGATCTCCTGGTCAAGGTGGGACTTAACACCATGCATAGACCCAGATGACATCAATCGCTTGAATCCATTTGCACTAATAGCCCTGGCACCAGACTTAGAGGCCTGCGGAGTTGCCTGATTGCACTGCTGCACTTGATGCAGATCCTCATAGTTGCGGCAATCGTGGACTTCCTGATTGCTCTCGCGAGTGGTGAGAGTGGGCTCAGGTGAGTGCTCTGCCCTGCTGTCAGTGCATGCACACAATGGTCACAGAAGGCACGAGAGTAAGATTCATCAGCTTTAGGTGTCTGACATGCATGGAATGAAGAAGGTTGATATTCTTGCAAGGTAAAAATGTGACGAATGTTTGTTTGCTGCAGTGCCTTCATTGAGCCCCTGGTCATCATTGCCATCCTTGTTGCCAACGGTAATCCCAAGAGCCTCCTGCTTCTGTGACCTTGATGCAAGCAAGGTGATTGACCATACAAGAACACCTGCCATTCATGAGCTTCGTCCCGCGCTATGCTGTGAGTGACGACTGATGACACTGCAGCGACCGTTGGAGTCATCACGGAGACCAATGCAGAGAAGGCAATAGAGGAGTTGAAGGCCTATGAGGTGATGCTCTGCCCATCCTCCCTCTCACTGTGTCAAACTCTTTCAGGGCATTCCCCCGGGCATGCCTTTGACACCCTTTCCGAGTCCCCTCTTCCAGCGTATTACTTACCAGGAAGGGCAGGGTTTTGGAGTAATAGCAAGGGGTCATTTATGCGCAGGCGGATGTTGCAACGGCGCTGAGAGATGGCCGGCTGACTGTTATTCCTGCAGTGGAGCTCGTGCCAGGAGATGTGGTGGAAATTGCCGGTGGGTGGCCACCCCACACATTGCAATTCTCACCCTCCTGCACCCTGTCATGTAATTGTGAGCCCTTTGAGGGCAGTCTTTGCAGGGGATCATGAATGAAGGATTATCCCATCTGCGGTGATCGGTCCAAGGTTAATTGGGTGGTGGGCAGAGTCCACACAGTCCAAGTGTGGAGTCTGATACCATTCAGTCCATGTTGGGATTGTTGTCGTAAACCGACTAATGCTGATCTTCATGGGCACCTGCTGAAAGTGATATGCGCATCTACAGCCTCACCTGTGATCTTGAAGGGCTCTAGATCCTGCCCTAAATTGTGTCAAGAAATTTGGACTGCCAAATGCATCCCCATGTGCTGCTGCAGTTGGGGCGAAGGTGCCAGCTGATCTGCGGCTCATACAGAGGTTCAGCAGCACCTTCAGAGTGGACCAGGTATGTCTCTTAAACACCCACACCACTCCCGGCATCCCCTAATGTCATCAAGTATTCCTCAAACATGTATACTGTCAGTTCCAGCAGACTGATGATGTTGAGAGGCTTGTCTAGTTAAATGTTTATTTGTGCATGAGACACTGCATATTTGGTAGCTGTGTCCATGACCTTATGGGGTGACAATCATGCAGATCGAGTTTCTTTTCTAGCATGTCGGAGTTGATATAGCTTGCCTAGAAGGACCCTGATCTGTGCATGAGAAGCTGCATGCTACTTGCTGTGTCCAGCAAAATTGTGAAGCATCAGTCACGCAGATGTGGTCTCTGTTTAAGCAGAGCAAAGATGAATCAGCTTGCCTAGAAGAGTCTTCATCTTTGCATTTCACAGATAGCATGTGGGTTGCTGTGCAGTCGATACTAACGGGTGAGAGCGGCAGCGTGGAGAAGTACCTGGAGGCTGTGAGGGACAGGAAGGCCGTCTACCAGGACAAGACCAACCTGCTGTTCTCTGTGAGCACCCCTTTTTTGCACATACGTGTCTTCTGTGCTCTTCTGTGTGAGCAACCCTTCTGTACACTTCTGCCCCTTTTGTGCTCTTCTCTGTGAGCACCCCTTTCTTGCACACAATCGCCCCTTTTGTGCTGCCTTGCTTTCTCACATGAGCATGCACGAGTGTCCCTGAAATACCACCCAACTTTGAAGCTTTAATTTTGATGCAGGGGACGGTGGTGACTGCTGGGAGGGCAAGGGCTGTAGTGGTGGGATCGGGGCAAAACACAGCCATCGGCAAGATTAGGCGCGCGCCTCTCTTTACTCATCCTACTCTCCTGAGCCATGCTTCCCAGAGCGGTCTCACAGATGTGTGCTCAACATGCTCGATTGTTTTGGACCTGCACAAGCTACAATGAGCAGCTTGTGCCCCGGCCGGTGGGGGGTAGTTTGAATATCGAGCACGGTGCCTGCGGCTGATTGGGTCTTGCTTGGATCTGGCGAGTCCATCAAGGGGCAGGATATGTGGCAGCCTTAATCTTCAGCTTGTCTGCAGACGCACTTTGCCTCTGGCAGGAACATCATGTGATAGTAATAATGTGCAGCTACTTAGCACTTGCTGGCGACAGGGACGCTATGGCGGAGTCCGTGGATGAGATGACACCGCTCAAAAAGAAGCTGGATGAGTTTGGCTCCTTCCTGTCAAAGGTGCTGCCCTTTTCTTCCCTCCTGCATAAATATTTGCCCTGCCTTGTACAGTGAGAGCCTCCAATGTGCAGACAACTGTCTGTATGGTGACCTGAAAAGAGTTGCTGTATCAATGATGACACAAAGAGAGCGGAATCGAATGCGCAGGTGATAGCAGTGATCTGCGTGCTGGTGTGGGTCATCAACATCCCGCGGTTTGGAGACCCCGTGCACGGCAACCTGGTGAGACGCCCCTCGTTGTCACTTAGCTCCTGAAGCCCAATTCTTGGACAGTCTTACATGCAAAATCTCTTGCGCCCACCGGTGTACAATGCTCACTTACTTTGCCTAGCTCCTGGGCACCGAGAATGTGCACTGCCTATGCCGCCCTTGCTTCACAGCCTGTGCACAACTCTGCGCTAGGTCCTTCCAAGGTAGGCTCTTGCCACAGCAGTGTGCCTTGCTGGAAGAGGCTGTGTAGAGCTTTGTGCAGCCTGTCAGAGTTTGGGCATTGCTTAGCAGCCAGTGAGTTTCTAATCCGCCCAATCTAGAGAAGCACGTGAGAAAGGTGGGACAGTCGTGTTATGGCCTGCCGAAATATAAAGTGAGCTGCAAAACCAGGGGCTCGGGAGCTCAAAATAAAGATGATAAAAATGGGCCAAAGAACTCCTCAAGCAGTGCGGACCACTCTAATCTAGGCAGGAGAGCATACTGTCTGCCTTCGTGGGTGCAGATGGAGGGGGCGATATATTACTTCAAGATCGCGGTGGCGCTGGCCGTGGCGGCCATCCCCGAGGGCCTGCCAGCTGTCGTCACCACCTGCCTCGCCCTGGGGACGCGCAAAATGGCCAAGCGCAACGCCATCGTCCGCAGGTGGGTTTCAATTTTCCTCCAGCAAACTTGCGTTTGGGATTTTCTCATTGCATACCTGGGCTCCTTGCGGCGTAAAGAAAGTCGGCCTGGTTCTGGTCTGCTGCCTGCCATTACATTGAAAAAGCAAAAGGCTTTTGCCAGGAACTAAATGTTCAGACCGAGGTTGCTCCCCTATGGTGCGCAATCAGATCAGGGGGAGACATCAGGGCAGCTGTCAACTTCCCCCATGCATAATGGGCGCAAGGGATTGTTACTGCAACCGGTGAAAAGACGCCCATTCAGCCCCGGGGATGTTCTCTGCCTCCCCCCCCGCTCAGCGATGCTCTCACCAGCTTTGCTTCTGCTGGCTTTTGTATGTCATCAGATGCAGTGAAGTGCCGAATTACATCTTCACGGAGAGCTGCTCCCCTCAGCATCAAGAGAGGGGGGTGTGCGTGCAAAATGATGGCAAGGGGGCCCCTGTGGATCTAATCATGCATGCTGTTTTGCAGCCTGCCCTCGGTGGAGACTCTGGGGTGCACGACGGTGATATGCAGCGACAAGACGGGCACGCTCACCACCAACCAGATGAGCGTTGCCCGCCTGGCAGTAGTCCAGTCAGCCAACGGCCACCTCACCGAATTCCGGGTCACAGGTGCGCGCTTTGACTCGTTTCCTCCAAGATCTGTTCTGTCTGTCCAAAGCCGCTTGCATGCCTTCTACTGCTTTCAGGGGATGCTTGACTGGCTGCCAAGGCAGATGACACGACGCTAAGCTCGCAGCTGCCCCTTTTCACAGCTCATGTGTCGAAGGACTTTGTGTAGAATGTATACATTGCAAATCAGCTCCCTGAGTTTTGGGCAGCACGAATGGATCTTGGCTAGGACAAGGCGTGCAGAAGCATGCAGAAGTTTTCTGCACGCCCTCTAGACCTGGTACACCATCTTGCACCTGGTCTCCCTCTGTCAATGGTGGCTGAAGCGCATGAACATTAGGTCTGAGGGGAGCGAATGAACTTGGCTGCAGGGGGCACGTATGCGCCGGAGGGGAGCGTGTTGGATGCACAGGGGGGGCCTGTTGAGACCCCCGCTGACGAGGCCAGCGTGCTGGAGACCGCAGCATGCTGTGCGCTCTGCAATGACTCAGCGCTCACCTACGACACAGGCAAGCCTCCCTCAGCACATCAAAGTCATGCGTTTATCAGAAAATCAGGATGTGCGCTGCATATTGGCAACACGCCCTTGTTGGACCGTTATATTTCCATATCATTCTCCTTGCTTATGCTTCAATGGCTTGCATGACCATCATGCTGATCTAAAAGTGCTCTTTGCCTACTGCAGCATCGTACAGCAATGCGCAGGCTGAAGGGCTTTTTTATTTTGCGTGATGATGGTGCACCCTTCTGAGCATGTTGCCCACACTGGCATTCTGAGTCCCTCATTGGCCCTAGGGCACTTGTAAATTGCAGCATGTTCAGACTGACCTGGATGCCACGTGTGCATTTTTCTTCTATTGCAACCTTGTGACATGCATGCTGAGAGGGTCTTCCCCTGGCAGGTGCAGACGAGATGAGATGCAAAGCGCATGCAGGCTTGATGAGGAGCCACATGCCCAGGAGGCCGCCTGGTTGACGCGCAATATGAGAGATTTCAAAACTGCATGCGCAGATGCGGGGGTGTATGCGAGGGTGGGCGAGGCGACAGAGGTGGCGCTGCGAGTGCTGGCGGAGAAGGTGGGCCTGGCCGGCTACGCCAACATGCCGGGGGCCCTAGCGCACCTGTCCCGCCGCGAGCGCGCCACCTTCTGCAACGACTACTGGCAGCACGAGTACCACCGGGTGAGTTCCCAATGAAGCCTAGATTGGCCCCTCCTTTCACAGTATCATGGCATTCAGATATGTCTAGCCAAGAACTTATTCAGCTGAAGAAAGAGCATTCTCAACTGGCAGCACGAAAACCACCGGGTGGGTCTCTAGCCAAGCTAACCTCATTTGCAAAGAAACAAGCATGACACGTTTCTATCAGGAGGCACTCAAGTACCACCGGGTGAGCTTGTCTGTAAGAGATGTAGAGCCCCTCCAGGGGTTGGGAGACCGAGTGTGCGGCCTGTCGACCTGGCGCAGCCACCGATAGGCTCTGCGTCACAGGATGTGCAACTTGCAGACTGGCAGGTACCATATGGGTCATCCCCAGTTGGATTTCTGTTAGTAGTTTTCAGGCTTCGGTACTGATAACTACAAGGCTTGAGCAGCCTCTTTAGATGGATGAGGCACCGATCGTTTGGCTGAAGGGTGATACTGGCCCAGCTGCCCACATGCTCAGACATGAAGGAATGGAGCCTTGCAGTTACAGGGTCTGCAAGGGGTGCAGACTTGGCAGGTGACATTGGGATGAAAGACCCCAAAGAGACGTCAAGTGTGTGGCCAGACTCTGTTGGGAAGCAATGGTCCAATGCCATCTGCCTGGCCTGCGGGACACGCCCGTGCCCTGCAAGGGTGCCACCAGTGAGCCGCCCGGATGTCACAAGACATAGAGCCATTTGGCTTGGGAGCGTTTGAACAGGACCGACTTGACAGGTTTTGCTGCCGCCTCGACTTCAAAGAAGAGACAAGTCATTGTGTTGGTCTTTGCTGGCAAGCCGGTGGCTGCTTTCCAACCTGTCTGGCCTGTGATTGCACCGTTGGGATCCACAGGCTCAGACAAAATGGCATGGCGTTCTTCATTTTACAGGACCGGCAAGGTGCAAATTTGGCAGGTGTCATTGGGGATCACTCGCTTTCCAGATGAGACGGTAAATGTGGGCAAATCTTTGCTGTGAAGCCAGTGGTCCCTTTCTGCGACCTGTCAGGGCTGACAGTGCTCTGCGGAGCACATCACGCTGCTCTGGCATGTAAGGTCCGTAGAAGTGTCATTCTGCGTGGACACATAACCAAGAGAATTCAGCTGTATGCATGTGTGTGCAGATAAGTGCGCTGGAGTTCAGCCGGGATCGCAAGATGATGAGCGTGCGCTGCAGGCGAGCCGGCAAAGATACCCTCTTCGTCAAAGGCGCCCCCGAAGCCATCTTTGCCCGCTGCACCCACGTGCGCAGCAGCCCCTTTGCCTGTCCAATTCCTTTGTTGCTTTCTTTCTGCACTTTTGTGCTTTGCTTCTGTTTGTGGTCGTCGGCATGGCTACCTTTTCCTCGCACATGGCAGACTCGTGGTAAGTTTTGCCTGGTCGATATTTCTTTCTTCGATTCTCGGCGTGCACGTGCCAGATTCGCCACTTCTTGCTTTACTTGATTGCGGGCAATGCATAGGATTGTGGAGGCTGCCATTATAAGGCGGCCTGCGTTGGAAAACCGCTATTGCCAAATCTGGTGCAGGTGCTGCTGAATGATGGCAGCGGGAGCGTGCAGATGACGTCAGCGATGAGGCGGGCGCTGACAGAGCGGGTGACTGCATACGGCTCGCACCACACGCTGCGCTGCCTCGCCCTTGCACGCAGATCCATCGCGGCCAGCAATGAGCAGGTGCGATTCCCGGCCCAAGCCAAAATTTGAATTATTAGCGTATCCTGCTGGGATGTGATATGGAATACACAAACGCAAGAGTTCCCAGAGGAAGTTTGCTTTGCGACTGCCTTTGTGGTTGGTCGTTGTGCATGCAGTCCTGGGTATTTCTTGGCCTTGTTGCCCTGAAGTATTGGGAAACAGAAGACCTCTTGCCGGTTTGCAAACTGATGCAAACTCTTGTTGCAAAAGCTTTGCACAAGGGATTGACTGCATAGAGCAAGATCTTGGTCATTGAAGCCTCTCAAACCTTTTGAAACCCTCTATTAACCTGCATCAATACAGTCCAATGCCCAAATTGCGCTGTCTGGTTCATAATACGTAAACAGATAAAATCAAAAAAGGAAATATGAAAGTAATAAATATATTGATAATGATTAGTATCACGGCACTCTTATCATTTAAGAGACCTTCTGGGAGCCACCTGAGGCTCATTGGTCTTGTAGGCAGTCTGTCACTGCCCATCTTCATATCATAATCTTCTCATGTGTCTGCTTTAATAACTCAGATGCAGAAATAAATTTCTGGTCATGTGCAGGTGACGGAGGATGATGAGGTGGGGCTGATGCTGCTGGGGTTGGTGGGAATGCACGACCCGCCGCGGCCGGAGGCGGCCGCCGCGGTGGCGACTTGCCGGGCGGCCGGCATCCGCGTCATAATAGTCACCGGCGACAACAAGGCCACCGCCGAAGCCGTCTGCCGACACGTGCGCAGGCCCTCTCTTCCTTCTGCTGTCAATTTTTATGGGCATGGCTTTCCATATATCATTCCAGTCCTCTGCAGTGGTCTTTTACCCCCTGACTGCTTGTCACAGATAAAGTGATGCAATGTACAGTCCACACCTGCTCTGGACTACATATTTAATATCAGGGTTCGAGGCGCATGCCCTACAGTAGTCTTTACGCTGAGTGTTGTCGACTCCAAGGTTGCCCAGTCCATTGCTGCTCATTCAACATTGAGATTGCTTCCTTCAAGTAATACTCGTCGTCAGCCTTTTTGGCTTGTGCATGCTGCGTGGGCGACCTTATCTACTCGTCGGGTATTACACCCAAAATTGCCCGACAGAACGAGGTAGGGCAGCCTTACGCAAGCCATATTTCATACACTCTCCTTCTGGGGTGGAACTAAGGAGCACAAGCTGATGCAGAATCTATGCTGTGCGCAGGTGACGGCGCTGGACGAGGGTGCAGCGGGGATATCTGGCGTGCTGAGCCTGACGGGCGCGGAGTTCAGCGAGATGTCCCCGGCCGCGCAGGCGGACGCAGTTGCGCGCCTCAACGTCTTCTCCCGCGTCGAGCCATCTCATAAGAGCCTCCTCGTCGACCGCCTCAGGCAGCAGGTGCCGACGTTGCTCCCCAACCTTATCTACCAAGCACGCCAGCCAGTCGTCGTTATTGACATGCATGCCTGCAGCATTAGATAGCCTGTGGTGCAGTACAGAAGACAGATTGTGCCCAACTCCTGAGTTATCACAATAACAATCACTTTCGTGTGCTCCAACCAGCTGGTGGCATGCAACAGCCGGGCTGCAGAGCTTCACAATGGCTTGCAATCCACAAACACCAGTTTCTCATTTGACTGCCACCCTACGCGCCCTACACGCGGCATGAGTGATCCATACTTGACTGGCACCGCGTCAGGGGCATGTGGTGCCGAGGCACGTTAGTAATTTTGAGTTTGAATGATGCCGCGGCATGAGTAATCTTGAGCTTGACTTCATTCATACCGCGGCAGGGGCACGTGGTGGCGATGACGGGGGACGGGGTGAATGATGCGCCGGCGTTGAAGCGCGCTGACATCGGCATCGCCATGGGCTCAGGCACCGCCGTGGCCAAGCACGCCGCAGACATGGTCCTTGCAGACGACAACTTTGCCACCATCGTGAGTTTGTTACTTTGAATTGCTTCAGTTCTATGTCGTACATACGGTATACACTTGCCAACCTTCCATGCCAGATCCGCCAATTATAATCTAGGTGCTCTGCTTATAGCACCGGGCGTGCCGCTGCCTTGCGCATCCTCCTGCGTGCTTCAGATACAGCAGAACCGTGGCACACAAGCACCTAGATAATAAAATGGCACAAGAGCAAATTGTCAAGCATGCCGTAGTTTCATAATAGCCGCCGACATGAACCTCAATGACAACACCATCGTGAGAAACCTACTTAGATTGATTTTGATCTATACTCACTATATGGGATTACCACCTTCCCACGCCGGTGCTTGCAGCTTCTCTACGTTTATGCTGTACAGACAGCGCGAGCAGAGGCCCAAGTTTACTAATTTTTGAACTTTTGCTGCTTTGGAGACAGCAGATCATTCCCTGGAAGTTCGTGGACATGGTCATAGTTGTCGGCCGCAGCTGAGCTGGAGGCCCATACACCCGCTCTTCACAAACCGCCAGATTGCACAATTTCACTGTTCCCAGTTCACACGATCCAATCGGGGTGACCATGAGGAGCGTCCGTGTACACTTCTAGTGTAAATGACAGCCTTTTCATATTACAGAGGCACACTCGAGGCAGCTATGAGTGTAATCTGCATTGTCAGTCTCAACGATGACGTAATGGTGACAGGTGGTGGCCGTGAGCGAGGGGCGCGCGATATACGCCAACACAAAGCAGTTCATCCGCTATATGGTCTCCTCCAACATCGGCGAAGTGGTTGCCATCTTCTCTGCCGCCCTCATCGGTGACACATTTTTCCCCCTGTGGTCTCCACATTTGGATGCACAGTCCTTGTATTTGGCAGCTTTAGGAAGAGTCCGGTTGAGGGGGCATGCAGCAATAAGCTCCTGCGCTCTCTTCAGCCAAAGAGCTTGGTATCCGTATTGTGTAAATTCGGACACGCTCTCGTTCTGCAGCGCTCAATTCCTGAAGCACATAGAGCGATGCACAACTTTCTGGCTGACCGTCTGCAGCCTTCACTACTCACTCTTTCTGCATATAGTAATGTACAAAGGCTTAAATCTTGGAGCGCTGGTCTCTGGATGCATTCTGGCGTACTTCTGTGGTCGCTGCGCTGAGATCTGTCCCCTCAATAAGTACAGAGGCCGAAGATAATATGGTGGGTGCAGGTCTTCCGGAGGTGCTGAATCCGGTGCAGCTGCTGTGGGTCAACCTGGTGACTGACGGCCTGCCGGCCACGGCGCTCGGCTTTAACCCCCCGGACAAAGACATCATGACCAGCCGCCCGCGCAGGTGCACAGCTCCTCCAAACACACTGCAAACATGGAATTTGAACATATGAGATACTTTGTGCATCTAGCGAAGGAGCCATGCAGGCATCAAGGCAGTGCGAGCGCCAAGGAGACGAGAGGAAGGGCTGCCTTGCGAGTGCACATCATGCAGCACTTGTCAAACTGAACGAGCACATGCAGAATGTGTTGCATTGGTAGGGGAATGGTGAAAGGCTGGTGCAACGCCCTCTATGGACCCCCGAGAAAACAAGATCAGACTGGATTGAACAGCGATGCTCATCAAGTGTCTGGCCGAACATGCGTGTTGGCTTTTGTGTCAGACTGCTGACAATGCAAATAGAAGAATGCAAAAAGAAGCAAAAAAAGCAGGAAAAAAGATGGATAAGCAAAAAAGTTATGGCATGCGTCCGCGCAGGACGGAGGATGGGATAGTGAACCGGTGGCTGTTTGTGCGCTACATGGTCATCGGCCTCTATGTTGGCGCTGCCACCTGCGGCGGATTCGCCTGGTGGTTCCTCTATTCCCCGGTGCGCACCACTCCTTGCCCTTCCTTGTATCTGCCACCTCACGCTGTTTTAGCATTGTCCCGAATATGCCTAGCAACGGTCCACTGCAAAATCGCTGCAGAACAGCGCAGGAATTTTGGACACACATGCCACTCTCTCCCTCCTGCAATACTTCATAAGACCTCCACAACGCGTTGCATGACACTGTGTAAGCGACCCTGCATGTTAACCCCCATGCACCTGCAATTTTCCTCATCCTTCCTTGGAAGTGCCATCTCACACTGTTGCTGCCATCCATTGAAGCATATTTGAAGGGGTTCCCACTGCCAGAGTGCTGCAGACAATAGCGGTGGGGTCTCAGCCGCAAAAAACAAAGGAGCATAAGCGCCACTCTATCCCTCAGCCAATGCTTCACCACATTTCGAGAAGGCCTAGCAATCGCATGACACAGTCCAAGAGACTGCGCCTTTATCTCTTCAAGCGGCTGCATGCCAGGAATGCCCTCACAGCCACTCAGCAGACCTGTTTTATGTACAAAATGGTCTTTGTGTGGAGCCTGCTTTGCAACAGCACGCAGATGCCTAATTACTCGCAGGTACAGTGCAGCTGCGTTGGCAGCGATCTAAGGTGCAATCCGCACAGGGTTTACATTTCATATATATATATTATATATTTTTTGCCCACGGTTGATTGGGTCTTGCTTGGATCTGGCGAATCCATGAAGGGGTAGGATTATGGCAGCCTTCAAGCTTGTCTGCAGGACGCACCTTGCCTCTTGGCAGGAAAAGCGTGTAATAATAATAGTATTTTTTAGGGTTTAGGAAATATAAACCATAAACCCTAAATAAATAAATAAAACAAGTCATTCTTTTTGAGGAATATGACTTGGCGCGTACAGGGCGGCCCCGGCCTGAGCTGGAGAGATGTGACGGGGTCTCGGCATTGCGACAGCGAGGCGGCTTGCGCGGTGTTCAAGGACCGGCACCCGTCCACGGTGGCCATGACCGTCCTGGTGGTCGTGGAAATGTTCAACGCGCTCAACGCCCTCTCAGAAAACAACTCGCTGCTCCAGGTGAGCACACATTCTCGCCGGCTTTCTCGAGAGAAGTTTGCTCCTAAACAGGCACATGCAAGCGTTTGGGGAGTTTGTGAGAGAGGCTGGTGAGGCAGGGCAATGGAAGTTTGTGCTTTGTACGGCTGCAAGCACAACTCCTGGCGCCTCTTTGCCAGCATGCAGAATGACCTTGGAGGGCTGCCCCCACTAGGTACCATTGTGTCTTTCATCCCTACAAGTTCGAGGGGTGGAACACAAATGATTGATCCCGGACCTCAGGCTCGGCCACTCGCTCTAGACAAACGATAGGATGCCATTTAATTGCCCTGTCTGGATCCCCTGAGCCTGATATCAACACAAGTGGGCTGGCTGATGTGGGATGTGAGAGGAAGTGATCAGGATTCTGTTGAATCGCGCCTGTTTGTTTCTTGTTTGAAAAGTTAAGTATGAGACCCTTTTTGCTCCCAGGCTACTTGCGGCAACTGGGTGTCCTTCTCTCATTCGCTGCCAGTAGTACTGTGTCAAATCAGGCGCTGCCTCTTTCCTTGTCAGGCCAGCATGGCCCGTCGCATTCAACAGGGGTCTTTTCATTCCTGTCAGGTTTCCACATCCTCCACCCTGATTAAAATGCATCATGATCTTGCAATCAACCATGGTTTCATGACGTATGTACGCATGTCCTGCCTCGTCCATGCCAATTGGAAACCAGACACTTAACACCTCACCCACGAATTGCAGTGCTCCTCTGGAGTTCATATAATGGACCGTATCTATGCATGTCGTGCCTCAAACATGCCAATTTGAAATCAGGCACCTAACACCTCACCAACGAACTACGGTGATCATCTAGAGTTCATATAATGGACCCACCAGTAAAGGGGTGCAATGTGGTGTTTATCGCAGCTGCCGCCCTGGAGGAATCTGTGGCTGCTGGGCGCGATAGCGCTGTCGATGGCGCTGCACTGCTTCATCCTCTACGTGCCTCCGGCCGCCCTCATCTTTTCGGTCACGCCCCTCTCCGCCGCCGAATGGGTCGCCGTCGTATGGCTCTCATTCCCGGTCATCCTCGTGGACGAGTTCCTCAAATACCTCACCAGGTGCCGTGCCCTCACAAAGACTGTTTCTCTCCTCGTTTGTGTTTTATCATCACACGTTGTTTCTGCCAGGAGGCAAGGTGCGCCTGCAGACAGCTGCAGGTAAAGGCTGCCCAGCCCAAGCTAGCTCTGAAAGGGCCACAAGATCAGAGAACTTCTCTGATCTCGTGGCCCTAGAGAATGACATTGTGATGAAGCTGGGCACTGGCCCTCATCGCCTTTGTGCCAATGCATGTGTGGGAGTTGGGCTGCGCTGGACAGACTCTCCAGCAGATGGCATGACGGATTCCCACACACGGGCAGTAGTAGCATGTCAGGCGGAGTCCAGCGAGGCTTCTCTTGCCGTGCATTCTCCTGGGACACATCAGTTCAGCGTGATCATGACCAGAGTGTCTGGGCAAGGCAGCCCTCTGCATATTGCATCACCTGGACCGCCTCGTGTGCATCACCAGGAGATGCTAAGCGCAGCCACCATTTTTAGGGCTGCCGTTGTGGTATTGGTGTGCGCTGTTTCTGCTGCTGCAGTCAGAGGGTGTCCAGGTGGGCAATGATGGAATCTGCGCCTTCTAGCTCACGGTCCTCGCTCAAATCTTAGGGATAGCTTGCATTGTTGGAGTCTGCTCACGGAACCCTTTGCGGTGGTGCCGTCTTTCACACGCATGAGGTGCTGCGCAGGAACTGCATGGTGGCGGGCCGCGCGGGGCGGCTGCCGCGGGCACTGAGCTCGGTGTGGGAACGCGCAGCACGGATGCTGCCGCGGCGGCTGCGCACAGGCTCAGCCTTGGAGCTGCCGCAGCACCACTCAGGTAGCGCCCCCGCGCACACCACCTCCTCTGCCCTCACCGCCCGGCTCCTGCGTGCGGCCGGAGGCGGCCGGCCGGCCGCCGACTGAGCCGGAACTCGATCTCGAGCAGGTGACGGCCCCGGGCGGCCCCTGCCGAGCGCTGCAGCCGCTGTCCCTAAAGGAGGGGTTTACTGAGAAGAGAGGGCAGGCTGCCTGGCAATTGCAATGTGTGCTGGGTTGGCAGGGGATTGTACCCAGTAGAGGGAAGCAGAAGGGCAGAGAATGCAGCTGGAAACGTAGGAAGATCGAAGGGACCCTGTTACTGGGTAAATGGGTTTTAGACATTTGCAAAGTCTGCGGATGCTTTGGCAGCACCTGCTCTAACACACGGGTGCGATATTGACGAATGCACATCGCCTATTTTTTTTGTGTATGGAGGGCTGATGTGGGCGTCTGGTGCTGCTGTGCAGGCCCGGTGGAGGATGAGATTGACACCCTGCTGCCCAAACGCAACGGCGGCAGCTCTGAGCCCGCGGCTGTCTGACTGCAGACTGGATGATAGAAGAAGACGCGTCTAGCGCATGTTTGTTTGTGTGATGGAAATATTCACAGAGACTTGCATTCTCACTGCGCAGCAAAATTGGCTGCACGCATTGGCGCTTGAAGATGCAAGCTTCTGTCACCAGGAACATTTGAACGAGGCCATGTAATGCTGCTGCAATCAATGGAGTCCTAGTCGTCAATATGAGGGATAAGTGTTTGATTGTTGTTGCTCACTGCTGCAAATTTTGAGGTTGCTGTGGACAGCACTGATTGTGTCTTGTGCCATGTAGATCTTTGTAGATTCGAAGACATCCCGTATGTAAAAGCGGCACATGTACATGGTTTACATGCATGAAAATTCATGCGTGGCGACTGGTTTCTTTTTTAATCAAAGAAAGAAGATCTCGTTTTACACCATCGTACATAGCGACACACCACCTTAGCCAACATGTCCGACTCGTGATACATTTCCAACTTTTGACTGTCCAGCATCAAATTTTCAGCGCACGACAACCCATTCTCTGGGTTGCAAAGTGTGCAATGCCGTGTCCAGTCCAAGACAACAGGTCTAGGGAGGAAGCAGGACAACAAAGAAAGCTAATATTTGAAACCTCTATCGCTCGCATACGCACAGACTCGGCATTTACTGCATGCAGCTGAGAGCTGCAACAGCAGCAGGTGCCTTATTGAGACAGTCAGGAAAGAAAAATACTTCAAGTCACTCCAGAGGCAGTCAGAGAGGCCTGGCAGAGGAGAGGCTGCAAGGTTAAGTCTACTTGATAGGATTGAGCTGTTCCCGTTTGATTGCATGTTCTCTTGAGGTTCATCAGGCGCCCTGCATCTCTGCAGGAAGGGGCATCCAAGCAGATCACAGGGCAGCGCCACATGCCAAAGCAAATGCGCCATGAAGGGAGTTTGTCCTTACAGCCCACGCAATGTCATCATCATTACAGCAGCGCGAATGCAGCTCTCTTCCAGGATGACCAGCTGCTGGTTGCATGCCATCCCTAGCCTCTGCCTTGTGGCCCTCGCTGGGTATCTAGCGGCCTTATCCCTACACATGAGTTACACAGAGCCTATCAAGTTCACAGCGCTTGCATATGACAATGACGTACATTTTCCCGCATTCAACCTTCTCCACCAACCAATGGCGATCAGCCAAGCAAGATGCAATTGACTGTGGGAGGCAGAATGTGGCAATTCCGCTACTCACACCAGATTCTGAGGTCCTGAAGCCCACAAACACTTATATTGCAATGCCCTCGTGTCTTGCACTCTCCTTTCTCACAATTTCGTGCTAAACACTGCCCACAACAGAGATGGACCATCGGATTTGGTAATCACAATATAATATATTTGTTACTTGTAGTATTATTATTGTTATTACGCGCTTTTCCTGCCAAAGGCAAGGTGCGTCTGCAGACAAGCTGCATGTAAAGGCTGCCAAATTCTATCCCTTGTTGGACTCGCCAGATCCAAGCAAGACCCTACTACTTGCATACTTGTATACCGTATACAGATTGAAGATTAGACATAAGAGTACAAAAGAGGCACATGCCTGGGGGCGAGTTAGGCCGGGTGTCACATGGCGGGAGATCTGGGCGCTGCATCGCTGGACTTGAGGAACATGAGCGCTGAAATGTCCTCCAGCGACGGCCGAGTCGGTGGCGGCGCGCCCGTAGTTACGGTCTGCCCTCTGCCCCACGAGTGAGTCACCCCCGCCTGTTTGAGAGGTGATCTCTTGTCATTGCAATGGTCACATTTCACAGTGGTCTTGCACATATGCCAATCAAAAAAGTTCCCCGACAATCTCTACATCCATCAGATTCTTGTGTGCAAAAAGCACATCCTGCTAGGCGTGAAGATGTCAAGGTGACTTCCTTGATTGTCAAAGGTCCTGGGCATATTGCCTAAAAAGAGGGACTGCAGCAGCTCATTTTGTGCACAGGAATGGCTATCACACACATTCCGGTCATATTTACAAAGGCAAAAACGCCCACCTGCATGCCGGTCTGGCCGTTGTCAGGGCTGCGCCACCGGACAGGAGCTTCCTCCATCTTCTGCTCCACCTTCTGCACGTCAGTCCCCCCCGACGCCACTGGGTGCGCCACCGCGGTCCCCATGCCCGCCGCCGCCGGCCCCCCGTTGGCGGAGCCAAGCCCTCCACTCCCCACCACTGGATCAGCGGTGGAGCTCCCCCGCGCGACCATCGCCTCGGCTGCGGCCGCGGCGGCGTCTTGTTGCGCGGTGAACGGCGCAGCGGGCGATGCCGTGATCGGCGTGGGGCGGCTGATTGTGGCCTGTCCGGACGGCGGCTGCCCGATGCCAGGCGGCAGCCGCCCGCTGCCTGCCCTCGGCAGCGGCGGCAGGTCTGACAGCCTGCAGGGCAACAAATATGGAGGGTCAAATTCCTCTTCCGCTTGAACTGCACAACAGAAGCAATACCACCGGAGTTATCCTGTCCAGCATGACATCTCTTCTGATCCTGTGGCCCTCAAGTCCGTAAGGCCCACAAATATTTTCAGAGGACACACTGAAGATTGTCAACAAGCTGCGTGCTTGAAAGCTACAGTGTCTGGAATTCAGAAACAGCAACTTCATTTCGAATTGAAGAGATTGTTGGCATCGGGCACAGCATGCGCATGTGACCTCTGCTGGGAGTCTTGGCAAAGGACACCAGCTCCTGCAGCCCCGGTAGGAACCAACAACCATGCTTGCTCCTGCTGGATGCAAGACTGACAGCAATGCCTGTTCTTTTGCTCTTCCCGTGCAGGAGGCAGAGGGTACGTGCCTGCCGGATGAGGTGGTGTTGAGGGGGGCGAGGTCGGGAAGGCGCCCGGAGCCGGCCGGGTTGAGGGCGGCGATGTTGAGCGCTGAGCTGGATCCCAGGCCCACTCCGGCCAGGCCCAGGCCCTCTGCCAGCTGCCCGCTGCCCAAACTGCCCATCGCGCCCAAGTTCAAGCTGCCGCTGCCCATGCGCGCAGCCGCATGCAAGAACTGTGACACAATTCACGTGTCAGGCTGAAGGCTACTTCGTGCGCACAGGTGTGATGCACTGACAACAAGGCAGTCAAATGGAGTGGGCCCGGCAGCGAAGCCTGCCTGCGAACTTGTGCTGCTTGGAAATCGGACTGGTCATCATTCAGGAATCTCGAGCATACAGTTGGGGACATTTGGGCATTGTTGCAAAGGACGCTCCATGATTTTTACAGGGGAATCATTCTGGACGTCTGATTTCGGCTGGAAAGCTTATGACGGCACTGTTGGAGGCATATACTAGGACCAGGGACTTGGCAGCACACTGAGCAAAGAGATGTTCCTTTGCAAAAGCTGGGACTTTCTCTGCCAACTGGGTTTCCCAGCTCTGGCAAGCAAGAATTTCTCTGCTCGAGAAGCTGTCAGGTCGATTGAAGGGTGCGCATCCTGCTTTAGGAAAAAGAGAGATCACGCACGTTCCAGGCGTCCGACTGCTGCCGCTGCACGCCGTACGCATTCGCCGCCGCGATTCCCGCCGAGTGCAGCGGCTGGATCGGGCTGAACGCAGACGGGCCGCTGTTGCTGAACGCCGAGACCCCCCCGCCGGCGCCACCACCCCCACCGCCGAAGCCGCCGGTAGCCGCCGGGGCCGGGGCCGGGGCCGGGGCGGCCGATGCCGCGGCGGCGGCTGCCGGGCCGGCCGGGCCGGAGTTGGGCAGGCCATAAAAGGCGGCGATGTTGCCGAAGACGTCGGCGGCGTTTGGCGTGCCGGGCGGCTGCGGCTGGGGCGCGGCTGCACCGGCGTTGCCTCTCTGCAGCAGCTCCAGATTTGCCTGCTGCATCTGCGCTCACGCAACACACGCGCGGATCAGGTGATCACAATCACAAAAGAAGGACAGCTGCGACACCACAAGTTCAACTCTCTAACAGCTTGCACTGTAAACAAAGTTGCGACGCGCCCGGAGTGTGGCATGGATGCCGCTAAGCTGCATCGGACAGGACCTTAGCAGCATCCATGCTTCACTTTGGGCACATTGCTGCAGGTTTTCAATGCACGCCAAGCGCAAAAGCCACCTTTCTAACACCTCCACGGCATGAGCGCCGCCTCGGATGCTGCACACGACGAAGCACACTCCGGGACTAGCAGAAGGAGCACCCACCTCATCACCAGCAGGACTAAAAGAGGCCCATGTTACAGTCAAAGAGAGCTCCTGGCGTACCTGCAGCGTCTTGTGCAGGGTGGAGAGTTCGGACTGCAGGCGCATGTTGTCGCTGGAGGCTGAGGTCCATTTGTTGCGCAGCGCTGCCACCTGTCCGTTCAGCATGCTCTTGTGCGCCTCCACCTCGCCCACGTGTGACATCAGCCGCTGGTTCTGGCTCTGCAGCGCATTTATCTGCGCAAACCGGCATTATTATTATTATTACTAATTCTCGCTTGTAACAGCCCAGGGCTAGGTGCGTGGCAGCAACCGCTTCATGATTCCTCTCGAACCTTCCCTGGCTTGGCACTTTCTCCACCAATGGCATGTCAATCCGATGGAGTTCAGGTCATCCCTAACGCTATCATTTCAGGAACCTGCATTGCACGTGTCATTCCCAAATATTGCTCTCAATTGCAGAATTTTCAAGACAGGTCTCAGATTGGGAGTGCTTGTGTGCCAATGTGTGACCGCAGGACTCCTGTCACGGTGAGACAACTTTTTGCATCATCTTTTGCACAAGTCTGACATTTGTGTGATGCATCCTATTATAGTGAATACGTATGTCAATGTGTAGCGTGAACATACTGCCAAGAGTTGTGTGTGATCTGTGCCCGCACACAGCCTGACAAAGCACTCGCATGTGGCAATGCAAGAGGTTCCCAGCCCAGTTTGTGAAGCATCAACTTGCACTGTCACATGCTAGCGCTGAACCAGCAACACAAGATGAGGCGCCCAGAGCAGCAACTGGTGCATGTTTTGAGCTAAGAGAGTGTGCTGAGTAAGAATCAGCAGCTCCCACCTTGATTTGGAGCTCCTCCATAACGTCCTGCCTCTTCTGCCGCACGCGCCGAGCCGACTCCCGATTTGCAATTCTCCTGCGGGGAGGCCACAAAAAGACAGGACTTTGATAAGAGTACACAAGGGAAGAGGCCCTGCTGCTGTCATCGACAGCAACGCTTGATGAGACTGCCAGCCGGGCGCTGACTCACCGCTTGATGCCGCTGAAAACTTGTGTGGCATTCTCTTTCCCCATGTACCCAGGCGAGTCGTGCCTCTCTGCTAAACACCCCAGAGAGACCAACTTCCTCAGGGCACATGAGGAAAGAGAGCCTTTGAGAGCACATAAGGAAAGAGAGCCTGCTGCTGCAGTATTTATTATATCCCTATACTGCCAAGCAGCCATGGACATACGCGCCCCACTGCTGCCGAATATCTAAAAGCAGAAACTACTGCCGGCAGGGCGGTGAGTCACCGCTTGATGCGGCGGCGCTCCTCCTCGGTCAAATTGGGGTTGTTGGGGTCCCCCCGGTATGCGATGGGCCTCCCAACGCGCTTCTTCTCTGCCGAGTCCCCCCCGCCACCCCCGTTGCTGGCCCCCCCGGTGATCCCCTCGTCCTCCTCCATCTCGCTGTCAAAGTCATCGTCCTCCTCTTCTTCGTCCATGTACCTGGAAGACGCGCGCCGCCGCGGCCTGCGCGCATGCACACTGACACCTGTCATAGACAATGACTTTTTCCAGAGAGCGAGATGCAGAGAAGGAAGGCTGGAGGCTGCGGGGTGGAGGACAGGCTCCTGGGCTGGGTACACTCAGAGCAGAGAAGGCTGGCAAATTGTACTGAGAGGAATGCAGGAGACATAAGCCGAAGAGCGCTGTCACCGTGTCTGGCAGTCGGCCAGCCCCGTCCTCTCCCTACAGAATCAAGGAACGTCTCTTGCCGCCAATCCTGAGTGCTTAATCATTTCCAGACAGGAGATGACTGATTTATACTGGATTACCAGGGAGATGACTGAACGCAGAGAGAAGCATGCACAGCTCCATTCGGAGGACATGAAAGAGCTGGACAGTACTGCTGGCTAATAGTCATCCAAAGACGGCTCTGTGCTTCAGTGACCAGTAGGCATCCACAGGGGTGGCAACGAGGGGGGCGTGCCTGAGGTTGTGCCCCCGGGCCATGTCATTGGAGGTCTCGCCCTCATACGGGCCCCCACCACTCTGCGATGCTCCTCCCATCGCCGCCTCTCTGCCGCGTCGAGGGGCCACCCCCTTGGCTGGCATTCTGCCTCTCAGGCTGCGCCAATCTTTGACTGATCTGTGCGGCAGCCCTCAACCCCTGCCAAGATGACCCTGCATCACAATCGAGCACACCTGAAGCTCTTATTCGATGGCAGGCTGCGCAAGCAAGGTGAGAAGCTCTGTTTCATGCAATTTACAGATGCCATTTGCATTTGTACACAGGCTTTGAAGCTACTCTTTGTCCTGCACAGCACAGCACAGCACACTTGTGCAGATGTGTTTTAACATGCGCACATCTACAGCAGGAAGCTGGTAGGTGTTGATAGTTCAAGTGCCAAGACAGACCTGTCCATGACTCTGCACCCCTGCACCACAAGCTGCGCTGTGAAGGGCTCACATCAGCACACCCGTCACCTCCAGTCCATGTCGGTTTTTCCGCATGCGTTAGCCATGCCTCTTCGCAGATCCTGCGCACATGAGAGACATGAGCGCAGCCTGGCTTATGTTTTAATGGTACTTACAGATCAAGGGGACGAGGCAAGCAGCTCCCGTGACTACAGCGTCCCGACGTCATCGCCGCGTCGTCATCCATGGTTTTCGAGTTTTCCAAAAGCACCAGGCGTTTCAGCCGCTGACTTATCACAAGAAATCGTCCGACTGGCCTCATGCACATTGACCTATCGGAAATTTCCGTGTCCTCCTTTACTAGTGCCTTCGCACAACGGACACACAGCACTAACGTATTAATTCACAAAGGATCAGACTGTGCGATCCACCTCATTCCAGACGGGCAACACGGGGCAAGCAAAGCCGTGGCTTCTGTTGTAGGCAGCCGATACTCAGGACTGTGCCACCTTGCACACTGTTCTATTTTTTGGCATGTACACCATGCGGACTAACATAAAGAAGTCAGGTCATCAGGGCACCTTGGCTTTCCTCGAGGATGAGCCTTATCACTCCAGCACTGTTCCCACAGGCGGTGAATAAGCAAGCTGGGAGGATCGCTCTCCCAGAACTCTGCCCGGAGGCGTGGAGACTGCTCCAATCCACAGCCACAAATCACAATGAGCTACCTGGCCAACGCTTGCCGATCAGCTGCACGGATGTCACCGGACCAGATCCCTCGAGCGAAGGCCCGAAATAGCGCTCCTGCGGTGAAAACCCTGCTTCCAGTGCCACGCGACAGGGTTTTTGGCGATTTTGTTTTAGCTTCTCGCCAGAACCTCCCGGCGATTGATTAACCTGTGGCGATATTAAGAACAGAACCACGTGCGGAATCAATTACTACTATCGACGTGGGAGGGGCACCCGACGGCCGACGGCCGGAATCAAGCACTTACATCACTGTTCGTCTTCCTCTTGGGGTTTGTGGGGCGGAAGTGGCCTGAAAAGACTTTGGATATGTGCCCCATAGAGATAGGCGTGCGTTTATGCGGAGGCGAGAGGCGAGGAAACGGAGGGAAGCGACGCGCTCATTTCGACACCCTGTTCTCCTGCTTGAAATGGGTACGAAGTCCCGCGAACACGTCTTGCTCATGTAACACCCTACCGTAAGCCTTGTGAGGAAACTTTTTGGGGCTTACTTTGCCGCAAGAATGGTGGACAAGAGGTGAAGGTCTCAGCCATTACGTGCGGACGTTATGCGTGGGCGCGCCCTGCTGGCCTGTTTCAAGGCCAAAGGGCCTTTTGATTTCAGGATTAAACCCTGGGTGCATGTCGGAATTTGTTAGGAGGCTTGGTTGCTCGAGTGCCGCGCATGTGTACGTTCCGCATGCAATGATTGCCGCTGTTGTTAACAAGAGAGAGGAAACGTTTTCGTTGCGCAGAAATTCTGACTGCGATGGCCCTTCTTGACCTGCAGGTACGCGATTGGCAATGACATGAGCACCCGTTTTGATAGGGGCACTGAGGATGACCTCGCTCGATCCGCTGAAGCCCTCGCTGCTTCTTTCGCCAGCAGCTTTGTGACACCCCTCAGGGCCGCCAGCGCGTCCACCGTGCTACAGGGCGTGCGTTATGTGAGGTAAGACCAGCTCCAAAGCCCTTGGTGGCAGGGAACCCCGGTCCAATCAGAGAGCTCCCACTCGCATTCCTTGGCCTCGTACCAACGATGAGTATTCTCCTTGCTTTCGGAGCTTGTCTCCTCTTATACGGACAAAATCTGCAGCAAATGCCGTGTCGTGGTTGCTGCAGCATCGTGGTGCCGGCCAGCACTGGCCAGGTGATCAGCGTGGCAAATCTGGCAACAGCAGGGCCCCTGCACATGACCCTGCTTCACAGCAGCCAGTGCGCGGCAGGACACACCCTGCAGCACCGCTGGGCCTTCACATCATCCTTGTGAGCCCCCACCTTCCCTCACCCTACGTATCCCCACCCCACCACATGCCCTGATCCCCATTGCTGACAGATCTGCGCTTCACACCCTAAATCTTGTTGCTCAGACACCAGCATTATGCACTGGTATCAACCATGACAATGCCCTGCAGGTTTAAGCAACTTCAAGAGTATCCCCTCACCCAAAAATACCACCACCCCCCACCTGCCTTGATCCCCATGGCTGACAGCCCCATCCTGCCCACTGGTGTTCTTTAGACGCCAGCGAAATGCAGTGATGTGGCATATTCCAATGCCCTGCAGGTTCAGCCACTTCAAGGATATCCAGGCCTTCCCAGAGGCAGCGCAGGCAGCTGCGCTCATCTGCCACCCGCTGCTAGAGCAGCTGCCAGGGACCCCCCGGAATGCACCCAAGCCGCGGCTGCAGCGAGCTCACAGCGCCCCTGTCTTGCTGCAAAGGGCTGCCGAGCAGGAAAGAGCACCCGCCACACCAGCAGGTATGACTCACCTGCCCTGGTTTGTGACCTGACACACAGAGTCAATTGCGTAAAACAATTTCTGCAGTTCATCACGTGGAAGAGGTTGCATGCCTTCATCCAACTAGAGACAGCTTATCAATATGGGTCATCATGTGCGGTTACCTTTAGGCAAAACACAGAAGCACCTTGCATACTATCCTGCATCCTACATGCCAGCACACCTGCGAAGCAGTCAGACTCTGCACTGACATGCTCCCAAATCTCAGAAGCTTACATTATCCTGCCCGGGCGCCTCAATAATGTTTCTGTTTGGAAGCGGTTGCAATGTCAAGACTTACGCTCCTGTCTTTCTGCATGGCCCAGGTGTACACAGGAAGGGCTCGCTCGCAGCCGGTTTGGAGCTAGAAGCACGTGAGCCAGATTTTGACTGCGGCGCCGGATTTTCGCGGCTGCCGAGACTTGACGAGGAGCCCGTCAAGCTGCCAGTCATTGGCGCTCTGGTCCTGGGCTTGGACACAAACAAACCGCCCCCCAAGAGGTGCACTGCCGCCTGTGAAGAATGTCCATTACCAAAGGCCTGTGAAACTGAAGGCTTGCTCAATCCTTCCTGCCAAGATGTGTCAAGTGCCTTCTGGGCCCCACTTGGCCTTCAAGACAGGCAATTGGTGGATTGCCAAGAGAAATATCAGCAACACCATGTAATTGACAAAGGCAAGATTAAGAGGTGTGCTTGGCTGCAGACGCACCTTGCCTCTTGGCAGGCCAAGCATGCAGAAATCATAAGACTATTAGTAACAAGAATAAATATGACAAGAATATTAGTAATAAGAATATCAGTAATAAAATTTCTCAATAATTATAGTAATGTCTACAGGCGGGTGGAACAGCTGGCGGCTCTGTTGGCCCCCCTGATAGCGCCGCTGGCCGGCCGGGCCGTGGACATAGCATCGGCCGCCTATTTGGCGCGCACACTTTCCCGGCAGCCTTCGGAGCCCTGGCATGCTCCTGCCAGTACCTCGCCTGACCAGAGGGCCCCTTCAGGCGAGGAAATTTCCACCGGTGGCAGCGGCTCCAGTGGGATCAGGCGCATGGCAACTGAAAGCTGGATCCTCAGCATTGGGTAAGTCCTTGTCAATTTCTGTCTTTTTCTGCTGTTTAATATAGGATGGCTCTGCTGAGCTGTGGGCTGTTTAGTGTCGTTGGGCGGGTTGTGATGAGCAGTGCTTTGGAATTAGCCATTTTTTATAGACTTAATTCAAGTATTACCGATTATTCTCTGGATGGATTATCTCTAAAAAGTTGTTTGATATCATGGCAAGGGTCATGATTAGTGAGCGGTGATATGGTTGTGGCTTCATCATAAGCTGGCTGAGCTCCTATCCCGGCCCATGCCGCTGCATATTGGGAAGACATAGGTTGCATGTCTCATGTTTTGAGTGAATCCTTTCACCATAATAGGGATAGGTGATTTAGGGGTGGATAAGGTAAATACAGAAATGATCAAGGGTTCGTGGTGTGCAGGGAGCGTGCGCTGCTGAGGCAGCTGCTGAACAACGCGTCGCTGACTCAGCGCAGCATCAGCGCGCTGCCGTGGCGCGGCGACAGGTCACCGATGATGTCACCGCTGATGTCATCCATGGACGTCGCCAGCCGCCGCGACTCCAGCTCCTCAGAATTTACCTTCACCCCCTGCATGCCCCTCGTCGACTCCCCTACAGGTGGGCTCAATCCCTAGGTTTCCCGCTTCTAGTTGTAAAGCATTCTGCGTGTTGGGTGACAAGCTTCTGTAATCTTGCCACAACACACAGACTGGGTACTTAGCATTATGCTGTGACGGATTAGACACTATTTGGTGGATATTTAGATGCTGCGGTATTGGGTTTAAGGGGGTTTAAAGCGCAACAAAACATGCTGAGTCAAGAGGATCACCAGATGACGAAGCTGCATTGCAGTGCAGATCTGTTTCTCAAATCCCAGTGGCACGAATGGTTGCACACGCTTCGGTGGACTACCAGCGATTTCTTGTTTTTATTTGAATTTTTACTTTTTGTGCAGGCTCTCAGAGGCTCCAATCGCCGCCTCACGGCAGCGTCCAGCGCGCGCTCTCGGCAGAACCCGGGGGGCCCGCTGGGATCCCCCGCTCGCAGCCGCAGCCAATCCCGGCCGGAGAGCCGCCGCGCGGCTTCTTCGCGGATGACAGCAGCTGCCCCGCAGCTTCCCCGGCAGCTTCCGGCCGAACCATCCTGCTCGGCGAGGAGAGTGTATCTTCAGCCGCCAACCAAGTCGAGAATCCGTTTGCCGGTGCCGGGGCGGCCCCGGCGGGGGGGTCGCCCCCCGGCACACCGCCGACGTGGAGCGCGGCCACCGCCGCGCGGTGGGGGCACCCGGCCCCCACGACAGAGGGGGGCACCTCCCCACGGATAGCCACCGGGTCCCCCACACCCAGGGGGCCCACGCCCGAAACCTGATTGCAGCTCTTCCTTTCCTGTTGTACTATTTACACGTGCTTTTGTAAAGTTGTTGCGGCTTGCAAGAGCTGCTTGTAACCTGCCATGGCCTTCAGCCAACTGGCGCTTCGAGCCTTTGATTTGGTGTTTCCTGCGGCGGGCAATGAAAAATATGGCTCTCTCAGGCCACAAGAAACCAGACGCTTGTGCGCAATAGTGGGATGCAGTCCATATTCACGAAGCTGTGGCTATTTAAACCTGACATGCAGTTTGCTGGCAGACGCCAAGCAGACACATATGGTCTGCTGATTTGTTTATTAAAAAAGCAAACCCCTAAAGCAAGGGGTGAATTTTCGATGACTGAGATTTCTGATGGATGAGTGGGAGCTGTGCTCCCTTTGGGGAAGGGCACGCCTTACATTTTTCAATATTTTCACCTTTTCATCTTTGGAGATAATTTGAAGCGCTGAACGCAGCTGCTTTCTTAGGGGACATAAGCTTACTAGGATTTCAATTTCTTGATTATTATTTCTTCACATGCGCACCAGGGCTTGCCTGAGGGAGCTTCCTTCCCAGAGTTTATGCTGGTCTACCTTGGACTTTTGTGAGATTCAGAATCAAATTTGAATCAGCGGCAGGGCCGCAGCTGTCTGGGCAGGTGTGCTGTGGCCTGCAGCTGAGGGGGCACTAAATGCCCAAAAGTGTGCAGCAATATCTTTGCATCTATAAGTGTTGCCGAGTGGGGTAAATTTGCTTATCCTCCGCTGCACTGATCTGCGCGCAGCAAAATTCCTTCTGACCCCTCCGCAGTTCGAGCGCCAAAAAATGTCCTGTCACAGTTTTATTGTGTGACTTTGCGGCGGAGGCAGTCTAGGTGGGATGCGGTGCCGATGAAATGCTCGCTGAGCCTGGAATGACTCCTGGGAGCCGGGAAATTTGCTTCTTTGCGCAAATGTCTGACCGGCACAATCGCACTCTGGCCAAATGGTTAATTAATTCTTGGCATTTGCATGGAAGCTGCCCTGCATTTTCATGAAGTGTGAACAAGAAGGCGGATTGCCAAGTATCTGGCAGTGCTTGTGTGCCCATTATGCCTGGCGCTGATTTGTGCTAACAGGCTGCAAAGAGAGGCTTGCATGTGACTTTCTCTGCAGTGCAGATCTGCCCATTTTATGCTGTTGGGTCAGACGAGCTGCTTTTGCCAGCTAGCTGAGATTGCTTGCCGAGTCACAGGCTGAGTGATACTTGATGATCAAATTTCTTGCAAATTTGTACCTCACCATAACAAGAATGAAGATTATAGTTTTTCTGATCTTGGTAGTGGGGCACAGATTTTGCTGGCAGATGGTAGCCACTGGCATGGTGGCCAGTGCCTTATATTTGATACAGGTAAATTGTCATTGATCCAATTGCCACCTGGCAGTGTCCAACTGTATACCAGCATCCACATTTGAGTCGTGGGCAGCAGGAATGAGCGGATGTACAATATTTCAATGTCTGACTGCTTTTATATCAGCTTTCTGGCACTCCTTGTAAGGGTGCCTTTGACTTTAAAGTTTATGTTCGGGTTCTTTTGGGGATGTTCGTTAACAGGAGTACTGCCTCAATGTGTGCATGTCTTGTTTGAGGAGCGCAATAATTTTACTATTTATAAAGCACATGATTAGTTATAGCAAAATCTCTAGATGGAGTGTCTTGGGGTGGGGTTCAAAGGGGTATCTTCTGTGTACTGTATTGCTTTGGATGATGAAATAAAGCGGTATATGTATCAATATGCATGGACGCTATATTGCTAGGACAGCTTGTTTACGCGCATAGCAACAACAGTGCACTAGTGAGAGTGAGCTTCATATCAGGCAGTGGTAGATTTGAGTGTCTTGAACAGGTTCTGGGTGCCATAAAAGAAGAGTTACACTGTTGTACCACTGTTCAATGGGATCAATTGCAATGGGTGCACCATGTCAAGCGAGGTTGGGATGTCTGACTGTAATTTACAGGAACTGAAGATTAGTACGATACACTCCCTGACTCAGATCAGGAGACTGCAATTCTCATGACATGAACATATCCAGTGGCTGACACCAGAATTCCAAGCACACAGAGCATTATCATATGAGGGTGCTAATGATGCTATACAACTAATCAAGTACAACGGTATCCATGCCTGAGAAATTTTAATTAATACTGTATCAATTTGAACGATCTTGCCCCCTAATCTAGATTAGAGGCTGCATACAGGCACTGCCGCCACCGGCAAAGCAGTGAACAATAGTGAAATGATACTTTATATGCCTCTCCAAGCCCTGAGGGCAAGCATGGTATTGACACATTACGCACGGTAATGCTGCAAGCTCAGCATGCCCGCCCAGTCCTTTGCAACAGCATCCCATTGCAGACAAAGGAGGTCTCCTAATAGTGATGGGAACTTCCCATTGGGAAGCAATCAAAAGGGCTGTAATGTGACATCATGAGCAATTATAAAGTATGAAAGCGCCGCAAATGCGCCAGGCACATTGCAGAGTCCAGTTTGAGTTTGACACGTTTGACACGCTAGAGTAAATCAAATGGATCCCTATGCTCGCATGGAGCACCCAAGCCAGGCAAAGGCCCCTCGACTTCGTATTTGTACAGAAGAAATCATCCACTGCCACGTCATCCACATCCACAGGGTGCACGACCCTTTTGTCCAAGTGTAAGTGACCCCGAGGCATCATACAGTGTGATGTCCAGTTCCTGTTGCAAGGCGCTGTCGCAAGCTAAGCGGGCTGGGAACTTTTTCCAGACTTTGTAACCCGCCTAAATCAATTGCAAGACAGGCGTCACCTGCATGCTTGCCATGCCGAGTGCCTTCAAAAAACTTGTGCAGGCAACCTTGCATGGGGTCAGGTCTATCACAGGTGTCCTGGCAGTCCTGGGGTAGACCCAGGCTGGAAAGATGCATCGCCATTCGGTCTTGAGTCCCCCCAAAGTGGTATGAGACAGGCCCGAGACCTAACGACACCCTTAGGACATCTACGGGATCCTGCGGCCAGTGCTCGAAGCAAGCTTGGTTTGGGCTAAGATCTCCACCTGATTCAGGGGACCAAAATATTTACCAACAACCACCATTTAGCTGACTTGAGAATCCCCTTGCTCGCTGCCGAGCAGGGCATTACTTCCAACCGGTGCCTGAAGACAGGAAGGGGGTAATCTGTCATGAGATTCTCCCCCGGCTCATTTTTGCACCGGGCACCGGAGGCAGCCAAAGCCGGAAGCTAGCGAAGGGGAATTTGTTATTAAAGGAATCCCCTGGCATGTTTCTGAGCAGGGCATCGAAGGCTATACCAATGCCAACAGCCAGGAAAAGGCATGTGCAGTTGAAACAGGTCCCTGGCTCAATTTTGGGCAGAGCATCTGATGCAGCATGCCTGAAGCTAGTCAGACGAATTAATCTGACATGTGACAATTTCGTCAATAAAGAGTCCTCTGGCATCATTCCAGATGTTTCCGAGGCAGGCATCAGAGGCAGCTGCTGAATGGCGCTAGGAAAGGGAAATGCATCATCTGGAGAGCAGCATCTCCAGGACTTCAGCGTCCACTAATCCCACGTCATCGTCCAGATCATCCACGCTGGGGAACAGGTCCAAGTGGTGCTGCGCGCCGTTGCCTGCATTTACCCCCAAAAATCACTGCTCATTGGACCCTCAGAACCCTCAGAAAGGGGAAGTACAGTGCTCAGCTGCTGCAAAATGCAGATGTGAATTCTATATTCTGTCAGTCAACGCACAGGGACTATAAGCTGCCCTGAGGCTGCAACAATAGAGATGAGAGCCACCAAAAGAGCATACACCGTGGCTGAATGTTCCCTGAGCCCCAGTAAGCCCATGTAAATGGCTGCTATGAATCTACTGAGCCGATTGTACCCAGGCCATTTCTAACAACAGGAGACTCTCCTTCTGCCCAGGATACTTCACAACTTGCATCCAACTACAGTGCATGCTCATCTTGAGTGTAATTTGCTTACTTCACACAAGATGGGTGCTGCTTTTTTTTACTGCTTTATGAGACTCCTTGCAAAGCAGGGAGTTGTGAGCGGCCCCCACCTGCGTGCTGCATCCAGTTGTGGGTGTGCTCATCCATCTTGGCATCGATCATGGTGCGCTGGTTGGAGTATGAGAGCAGATCCTGCCCCCTGTAGCTTCCCTCCCCGCCCACCATCATCTGCGCACACGTAATTCCCTCAGCAACCCTCCATGACCTAACCAAACCTATATAATTCCCCTCGTCCAGATTTACCGCCCCAATGCAGCAGCAGCAATACCATCATGCCTCTGCCATGATCGGCCCATCTTAAACATCCGAATTCCTCCTTGAAATGCCTACAGATGTTTGTCCAGCGGGAAGGGCAGCAAGCCAAATTCAGCAGCGGCATGAGTTGACGAAGGCTCACAGAATACAGAGACTGCATCGGTGAGGTGCGAAATGTATATGGAGACATGCAGGGGTAATAATAACGAAACCATAAACCCTAAAGCAATCCACCAACAACCCTGAAAATCCCACAAATCCTAAAATCCCAAGGGTGAGGGAGACGGGGGTCACCGGGGGGGACTGGTGCTGTCCTGTCGGGGGGTGCACGTGGCTCAGAGACATGGCCGGCATTGACAGGGGGGCAGAGATTTGCTGCCCCCCGTCAAACACCTGCAGACAACATATAGCACATCCTGATCAGCTTCTTAAGACTCTTAAGGGTCTGCATCTCATGGCCCACCCAGGTCTTGAACGGTCACCATCCAAGCAGCTTCACTCGGGTGCTGAGAAGACAAATAATGGCTGTTAGAAAGCGCCAGGAAGGTGGACACCATGGATCAGGAGAATGACCAGGTTGATACAGGGGTTTTGAATGGCCACTCCAACTCCACAACAGTAGGCTGTATTCAGCTTGCTTCACGCTTCTGTAGTAGGTTGATGATTGTTGGTGAAAAGTAGAAAGAATAATGGATCACCTGAGGCATCATGGCCGGCTGCGTGCCAACGGGCATGGCGCCCGGGTAGGAGTGGGCGAGGTGCGCCGCGGAGCCGGCCGGGATCGGCATCGGCGTGCTGTTTGCACTGCCATAATGCTGCGCCTGCTGCATGTGCGCATCCACGGACGGCCCAGCCGCCGCCAGGTATTGGAACGCAGCTTGCTGCATGCCCCAGCAACCACGCAGCTTTCAGAATGAGTTCGATGATGAAGCAGAGCCTCCATGGAATTTTGCCAAATGTCTCTGGTGCTTTTTCAGCGGTGTGTGGATGGATTGCTGCGGTGCGTGGCAAAGAGAAGACCGACAGACAAGCAATCAGACGAGCTCCAGAGCAGCAGCGTCCTGTGCTCCCTTCAAAGCGTCTACATGACAAGCGTGTGGGCACTTGGTACGTGATGCATGCAGAGCGCTCACCATATTCCTGAATCCTTAACCCTAAAAATCAGACCCTACAAAACCCCTAGAAGTATATTATCGGGTTGCTCACCCCGCGGTGCACGGAGCCGTCTCCCGCCAGCGCATCGGCGCCGGCCACGGCGCCGGAGTCATGCCGGTGCAAATGCTGCGCGGATGCATGGCTGGGCAGGCCATAACCGGCGCTGGCCGCTCCCACGGGGGACCCCTGCTGCAACACATCACTGTCACATCTCTGATATTAGAGACGAAGGCCACTTTGCCATATTAGGCCATATTCTGAACCCTGCCCAGTCAGATTGCCTGCAGGCACGTATGTATGTATGCATCTCGCAAGGGCTTATAGCCTGCCCAGGAATTCTGTCATGTCCGAGCTAAAGAATGACCACCACTCCGTAACAGTCCTCGCTGATCTCTCATACCTGTGAGTTTCTACTCGTTTTGAGGCCACATGTACTGCCTTTGTTTCAACGCCTGATTTTGACACTCTGCACACTGTCCCCACACAACAGCATGCTTGTGGCTTTTTCTACCCTCTGTTTCGCCTCTTCCATACAGGGATTCCTAAGGCATTGTGTGATTCTTCTGCAGCACTGATTTATACCTGCTGCAGGGAGCCGTTGGAGTGGTAGCGCTGCAGCTGCTCGGCAGCTGCCGCTGCCACATACGGGTCCACGCTGGCGCTGCTGTCCACGCGCTGCAGCATGCGCTGCGCCACATCAGCCGCCACGTCAGCACATCATAACTTTATCTTTTTCAGCTCCCTCTGGTCCTCTGGCTTAGGACTCCATATACGTAGAGAGTTCACGCTCCAGAACAAAGAAAGAGGCCCAAATCTGTGTTATAAATGCCCTCCTTTTGGAGCATCCACTGTCCACATAATAAATAGCAATTGGTACTGGGCTGGCACACGTGAACCACTTGCAGTCACAATACACAAGCAGCAGCTGCCCTCCAAATGTTCCCATCTCCTCTGCAGCAAGGAATGGGTCACAGGATATTCAAAGACAGCAGGGAAGGAAGGAAGGAATTGTTTTGTACTACATTGCGTCATGGGCAAGCAGCTTCCTGGTCGGTGGAGTGGGTTAATTTTTGGGTGCGTGGCCTTTGCAGCGCACATCTCTGAGTCAACAGTGAGGCGCAAAAATCCCATAACCCCATTGGTGGAGTGGTCGAGTTGTGGATGCGTGGGATGCAAAAGCTCCAAAAGAAGTCCTTTCGAACAGTGTGAGATGAGCAGCTAGTTATCTGGCCGGTGGAATGGGTGCCTTGTCGGGGCGTGGCATTTGCAGCTCACTCGAAGTCACCAATGGGGCGTAAATAGCCCCAGAAATAGTCGCTTCACAAGTGAGATGGACGATTAGTCACCTGGTCGGTGGAGTGGGTGAGGGCGAGGGCTTGGGTGGAGGGGAGCGTCTTGTGGGGCTGGCGGTTGTCGGGCTGGACAGCGATCCCCGGGATGAGCTGCGCCAGAGCCGTCCACCGCGTGTCCGGGCCCGGCAGAGGCTGCAGACCTGCACAGACGTTCAGCTTTTCCTTTTTACTCTACACTCCAACACAGGGCTCCCTCTTGTAGACTTCCAGCTTGCACACAGCTGCATAGAGGTGTGCTTGAATTTTACAAAGAAATTAACCCTCCAACAGCCAAGGCCGAATCTGAACAGTTGATATGCTTGGTAGCTATCAGAGAAGGGGAGTGGAGGTTTTACTGGATAGAAGAGAAGTGAAGGGTCCATCCAAGAATACAAATCACAACGCTGCTTTGTAAACGTGCACTGTTTTTGTGCAAAAGGGTTGTAAGATCTAGGGAGACCGGCCCAATGTGATGCAAGCTTAAGGTGTATCCACTAGGCGGGGCGCGCACCGTTGGCGGCCGGGGAGGAGCCGTCGGCGCTTTTGACGGAGCCGGTGGCGTTGATCTGGTCTATCGCGCGGCTTAGCTTCAGCAGCTGCCGCCGCGGCCAGCGCTGTATGCCGTGCCGCCTGCAAGCCCTCTGCGCACAGCAACGACAAAATACCTTAAGATCTTGTGTCTCCCTTCTTGAGCCCGAACCTCTCTCATATCTACAAGTCACATCTACCGCCCGACAGACCTTCTGAAGGCACACCAGCAAAAAGGTTCAAAGAATCGATCCTGTGTCTCTATAACGAGACTGTGAGTGTCTCCCCACCCTTGATCAATTGCACAGGAAGCACACCTCTGAACAGGCAGCAGCAAATAAGTTGCAATGAGGAGACTGGGCCCCTTCTAAGTAGCCTGTATCCATCTCCCACCCATTTGACTAGACAGCCACCCGCGCCGCAATATACTGGTGTGCTGTTGGATCGACCACAATGAAACTGCTGCGCTGGCATTGCCCGGTGAATAATTCGAATCACAAGCGGAAAAGCTGTAGACATTGTTTCAGTTCTGCTGCGCGGCAGGAGACAGTGCAGCCATCTTGGCACAGGGCGCCTGGGTAAGGGGTGGACCAGTCATTGCTCAGGGGTGAACCTTGAGGGTGGTGGGGCAGATGCCGAGGCGGTTGGCTGCCTCCTTGAGGCCCACGCCAAACTGGCTCTGCAGATCCTCCAGCCGCAGCCGCTTGCCCGGCTTGCCAGGATTGCCCGCCCCCTTGCCCTTCCTCCGTGCTGCATTGCAACAACCACCGCAATCAAGTCAGAGACATATGAAGCCTGCAACATACTGCTAGATTTTGTCTGATTCTGTGCGCTCGGCAGCACCGGGGAATGTTTTTAGTTGCCCAATAACGACACCAAATGTCGCTGCAGCAGAGAAGCAATGCAAAGTGGTAGTGCCAGGAATTTTCAGAAGACAACAAAGCCGCATTTTTGGTCAGGATTTCCCCTCCACAGCTGGGGCTCTGTACCAATGAACAGGAATAATCAGCGCCTTAACAAGGTTCAGCACTGCTGTAATCTACATGAAGGCATCGGGGTCCCACCTCGCTCCTCCTCTGTCTCATCTTCCAGGTCGTCGTCTTCGTCCATGTCAACTTCCTCCTCCGACAGGGAACCCCCCCGCGCAGACATCTGCTCCGCGCCGGCACCGGCCGTCGGCGCCGCCGCGGCAGCCGCCAGCGCCTCTTTTGGTGCCGAGTCCCGCAGCGACTGCTGCCTCAGCGCCGCTCGCAGATCCGCCGCCAGGCTGGCGTTGCGCGTGCGCGTCCCCAAACTCCTGCGGCCAAACAAATAAGCCCCTTAAAAATCCATGTGCTCCTTATAGGGGCTCGATAATATGTGAAGCTAGCCCCTAAGCCCCACTACTATCTTCCGCAGTTGGATTGCTATGACGTGGAGATGAGTGGCCAACAGTGCTACAGAAGTGGTGTGCGATTGGTGAGGCAGCTTGTATGAGCTGCCTCACCAGCAGGTGCTAGGTACACAATCACCTCCGATTAGCGCAGCTCCTTCACACACAATGAGAAGACGCATAGGCGCATAAGATGCTGAAGGCTTCTGTGCTGCAGGACTTCACAGGAGTCTTGCGCAGTAATCTCTGCCTCGCATGCAGGTCCGCTCCGTCACTGGGCTCCCAGGAAGGGGAACCAACCGCGCCAGCAAAGACAACAAGTAAGCACGACGCAAGGATTGACTATGTGCATGTGTTACGGTCAAGCCTGTAGTGCGCACTTTTTTCGCTCGGCCTCCAAGGAGGCCGCGTCGGCCAGATCCACACTGATGGAAGCTGTGCTGGCGCGGCCGGTCAGGCCGCTGGTCCCCTCGTTCTCTGCGTCGCCCGTCGCCGCCGCCTTGTCCGCCTCGGAGGAGTTGCTCCGCTGCAACATGCACACTCTCAACCTCAGGCAATCAACACTCTCTTGGTGTTAGATGTCAATAGGAAAACAAGGAATGTGATGCAGCAAACCCCATCTCTCCTGCAGCTCATTGATTGCAAGCACCAAGGGACAGAGAGCACCCAGTTGCACCTGTTGACACACAGACAATTGGATGGTAGCCTCAATTTGCACATTCCTTGCAGGGCGGTGGCTCTCAGAACCGTGCTGACAACTTTGGAGACACCAGCAACAATGATAACACGGCTGATGGTAGCTGCGCACAGGACTCACGGTGGAGCTTGAGGGCACGAGGCCGCCCTTCACCATCTGCTTGATGGCGTCCGATGACTCCGCCATCTCCTTGCCTCGCAGGCCCTCGCACGTGAACAGGTTGCAGTCCTGCGATTGCAGGGGTCACCCTTCAAACAATGCAAATGATAGCACAGCACATCTCTGCAGCATCAAACATGAATGCACCGTGGTCATGGAGCCGCTGACCCTTTGGCTTAGGCTCGATAATGTCCCAGAATGGGGAACTGGTCCCAAGCAGGGAATACAATGTTGCTCACAAGCCGGGCGTTGTCCGCCTTGGCGCTTCAGGAGTGGAGAGTCCATTGCAATAAGGGTAGCAAAGTTCAAATGAATGCCTCCGTTCATTATGGATGCCCATTCCAGCTAACTGTACATGCTTCCAAGCCAACCCCCACAATCCACAGCAAAGTGATCGCAATGCAGGCACCCTCATACTCCCTGTCACCGCACCTCGAGGGAGCGGGCCAGGTTGGACACTATCTCGGCGAAGGACATGTCTTGCCGCGTCTGCACAACCTCAACAACGCCCAAGGAGCTCTTGCGGTCGGCGGATGTGAAGAGAGGCAGCACGACGGTGGAGTGCACCCGGCACTGCTGCGCCTCGCTGGCGCGCAGATACACCTCCTTGCTGTACTTCTGCACGTTGCGCGACATCTCCGGCTGCGCATGCATGCGGCTCGTCACCAGAAACCAGGATGGAGTCACCAGTATGAAAGGATGGGTTGAGATGAGATGCGCGCACCTCCTGAGTGGTGAAGACTCGCCCCGGAGCTCCGAGCATGTCGGGCTTGGTGGCATCTGTGCCGAAGCAGTAGCGGCAGGAAATGCAGCGGAACAGCGCCAGCAGATCCCCCACGCCCGCCACGCAGAAGGGTAACCCCTGCCAGTAAAACACGCCAGTTGATGCTGCCCTCTTTCAGATTGAAAACGTGTCAGGAGGGCTCCCTGGCACTCTTCATGCTCTCGGGACGCAAAGATGACGCAGAAAGACGCCATCTTTGAGCTACTGGAGGTGTTTGGGAATCAGGTGGTGACTTGAGACGAGGAGATTGGAATTTTGCAGAGGACAACTTTAGGTTGGAGAGTGACTTCCAAATCCAATTGGGTCCTCACCTTTGTCCGGAGGACCACATCGCCATCTTCAGAGACTTCGGGAAGCCAGACCTGCCGTCGACAAGGAGGTTGTAAGAGATGAAATTTGAAGGACTGCCCTGAAGTGACAGTCAAGACAGGCAATGGGCTCATCTTCTGCCAAGAGCGTCGCCTGGATGATTTATAGATTGATGTTTGAGCTCTAGGACCTCACTGAGACGACACTGCATAGCAGAACTTTGTGTTTTTACTAAGTGAATAATCCAGCTTGGCAGCCTAGGGCTTGACTTCCGACAGGGAAGGTGAGCTAACAACAGCGTCACTGTCGCTGCCTCACAAGATAGCTAAGCTTCAGAGGATTGCAGAGCCAGCTGACAGTCCAGCACGGCAGTGCAAGCCTCCGAATCCCGCCGTAGGCAATCACCTGACAGAGAGATCCAGTGTTGGAGTCCGCCTCCAGCAGCTGATCCTGGAAATTGAGTACTGCTCTTGCAATGCGGGATGCCATCGCTCCCCTCTGCTCTACGCTGTGCGGCAAATCATAAACTTCCGTGTTCACCATCGCCCGCCGTCCGTTCTGAACTCGCAGCCAGGTTTTCAAGGGAGCCCGCTGATTCGCTCAGCTTACCACAACGCGCTGTATGCCATAATTGCCTACACGTCTTCTCAGTATTCCGCGAAAAGCGAGGTCGGTCAAAGGAAGCGGTATCACATGACAAGTTTCATGGGGTCCACATGACCACCTCTACTGCAAGGGTTTCCTGACCTGATTCTTCGATCCCCCGGAAAGGGACCTACTGTGAATAGAAGATCTCGATGCATCATATGAGCATCTTTCGTCAACACAGATTGAACCAGGTTGCATCGTGTTCGTGGCCGTAAAGTCCCAGGCTGTCTGGTGGGCTACTGCAGCATATGCCAAAGTGTCCATGCCATGTGTGTGTCTACCTTGACCATTGACTACCTGCACCCCGGGTGCAGTCACTGACCACGCGGTGTGTACATGTCCAATAGCCTGCCAGGTGTGAATCACATCACATGCTATTTTTGCAAGATCAGCTCGGCATGCTTGCTGCATGAAGTTCCTGCTTCACAGGCCTGCCTAGCTGCACAATGGCCACCACATACCAACAGCGCGCGCTTTGCTCATGTATTGCCATGCCTGCTATCATGCGCAATTACTACTTGCGCACTGTAGTACAATGCAGTGCACCCACAAGCAATCATTGATCTGACAGCGCTGGGCTGGGCTGTCAAGCTGGCACTGCTCTGTATACAGTCCTCGCACCAAGCCTGGACCTTAGAGAAACCACTTAAGCACTGATCGGCGCCATCATGCGTATATGAATCAAGCACCTCCTGAAGAGCCCTGAAGCGTCCTATGGTATATGCCTCAAGCCATCGCTAGCGCAAAGGTATTGAAGGTCGCTGCGTCGTGTGTCACTGCATAACCGTGGCCGTGCAGGAAGTCTGAGGTGGCCGCCAGGTCACCCTTGCTCAGATGCTGGTTCTCAAATCCGATCAGCACCGGGCGGAAGCTGGCGCGGTGCAGCGGAAGCTGCCGCAGAACCTGCCCCCACAACAGCGCCACAGAATTTTCCAACAAGATTTTCACTCGCTGCATGTGGCAGGGTCCTTGTCAATCGTTCCCGCAACAAGCATATTTGGTGAGAGACAGAGCCCCTCACACAGCAAATCATACGCCTAGCGCGCAAGTGACTGACTGTAAGATCATGTGAACTTTGGGCATCAGATCTGGTGGTGTATAAAGAGAGAGGGTGGACCCTCACACATCAGAGCATGCGCCAATGCGTAGGACAGAGACCTTCAAAGCGTCAAGCAATGCATTCCAAGAGAGTGTTGGTGAACTATTGCAGGCACGGGCAGATCAATAGGCAAGCAATTTCTATTAAAAATAAGGCCAGTGCTCACCTGCCAGTCAAAGCCCTCTGTGTCGATCAGGACCACCAGCACGTCGCTGATGTCATGCTGATGCAGCATCTGGCGCACAGTCAGCGATTGTACCTCAACGCTCTTCACCTGCGCAGCCGGCAAACTATGACTCATGCCAGCTGAACTTTTCGCCATGCTGACGTCCAATCAGCACTCCCTTGATCTGTCTCTTGTGTGCAAACACTTTCCACTGCACCACGGTTCTGCAGCTTCTGGGCTGCTGAAATGTCTGACGGGCTCTGGCTCTCCGCTGTTGTTTCATCATGATGAACATGCTAGAACAAGACCAACTAAGCGCCAATGGTTGAATAAGCAAGAGTGAGATTGCTGGCTCTCCTGTGCAAGGAAGGGTGCCGTTACAGCATGCACCCGTTCCCCTCTTCATCCTGAGAGCAAGCTCAAGAAACAAGAAAAACCCGCCATTCCCAATTAAGCTTAATTGTTGACTCCACTGGCCCCGGCTGGCGGGGGGCGGTATGAGTGCCGAGCACCGTGCCCATGATTGATTGGGTCTCGCTTGGATCTGGCGAGTCCATCAAGGATTAGGATTTCAGCAGCTTTAAGCTGCAGCTGCCTGCAGACGCACCTCGCCTTCGGCGGGAAAAGCATGTGATGATGATGATGATTGTGTGAGGCTTTGTGCACCCTGAAGACATACCTGGGCGTTTGGGAGGAGTTTGGTGATGTGGTCGTGGCTGAAGGAGCAGATCTGGTCCGCCCAGAAGGGCAGCTGCGTCCCATTCGCAGGTTTGGTTGGCGCTGACTGCTCGCTTTGCACGCAGAACATGGTTGCTGTTGACTTTGAATCATGCCCGCTCTCATCTGGATCACCTGCGATCGCCAATCTACCACTTCTGTAATCAATTTATTATTGAATTATAAATCGGTTAATTTTGACACGCTATTCTTGCCAAAAAGCAAGGTGCGTAGCTACAGGTAAAGGCTGCCGCAACTCCTACCCCTCTATGGGCAAGCAAGACCCGCTTGACCGAGGGCATGGTGCTCAGTATTTACACCGCCCCCGCCGGCTGCCGGGGGCGCTGTACGGTGTATTGTACATGTACCCCCTTTATACGCAGAAAAGTGAAAGGCATAAAAGTCAAAGGTACCTTCTGCCATGCTGCTGATGGCTGCATTGATGAAGGTGGCGTTTGTCATGTTGCCCAGGTTCTGCTTGAGCTGATGGAAGAGCACAGGAATTGGCTCGACAAAAATCTTCCTGTGACGCTCGTACTTCCCCAGATGGACCAAGAAGGGATCGTTCGGGTTGTCCATTGTGTTGGCCCCAATCTACAAGTCACAAATTGTATCTAATATTGAAGAGATCTCAGCACGAAGTTTGTTGCACAGCAGCGTCACGAGAAACAGGGGTCCAATAACCTTATTCCATACTTTTCTGCAGTCTTGAGTCTTCGGCTGAATTTTATTCGTGAAAAGAACGTCTTAGGAGCTTTTGGAGTATCGAGGAAGTGCAATCGTACCTGAAGGTATGAGCCGGTTGGAAACAGGGCGGGTATATGTGCGAAAACCTGCTGCACGTCTACAGGCGTGAAAAGAACCTGCTCGACCAAATCTCTGAAAACTGATCTGTTCGAGAGGGCATGCTGCTGCTGCTGATGGTGCTGCATGACCAAAGTGCTCCCGATCGCTGGCAGCAGAAGGAGTTCATGCAACAACGCAAGAAATACTGCAAAACGGAGCACTCCCATCTTCATCAGTCCGAAAGTGTAGCACTTCAGACGGCTGACGAACGAGCGCCCTTTCACCCCCGTGAAGCTATTGCTTTATGATGATGAACCCTTCAATGTACGTTCTGTATCTGTATGAGTGCATTGACGATGTGAAACAATATGCGAGTATTGATCCAACTGTTAATATTGAATTTGAGAGAATGATCTGCCAAATCATTGGAGTGACCGTCACGTGACGACAAAATTGGATAGGAATCGTTAGTCATTGATTGGTCACTTTATAAGAGATAGATGGGAAGATATGTGCAGGGTGGCGAGTTATAATCGCATGAGGAGAAGAGAGCGGACCGTGAGGCTGTAGCCATATCTCCTCCTCGAAAATTGAGATTGTGCTCAGACCCGCCTATGGAAGTATTCAATAAGCAAGTTGCCTCTTTCACTCTTTTCTACTGGGGTCTCATCCAGGATTGTGACAACAAGTCAACAAGTCAATGACTTGAAGGCGTGCATGGGCACAGAATCTCTTGAACTGACATGGTTCAGAAGTTCTGAAACGGCAGACAGCGCATATGAGGATTACTGATCAGGATATCATCCCGTAGAATAAACCGCCGATTGGCCACTCAGTGAGGTCTACTGTAATCAAAGCATGCAATCAACCCAGCACAAAGCTGTTCAAATGGTCATCCACCATGTCTAGGACTTCTTCTATGCCCAGAATGCCGCCCTTCTGGGCAACAACAAACTTGTCTGGGTTTTTGGCTGCGAGCTCCCTGAGAGAGTCCGATGTGAAGCCCGGCACAAATACCTTGCTCAGCAGATTGGCCAGCCCTGCAAAGGGAACAGACATCTGTGTCAGAATATCATGCCGTGCAATGTTTAGTACTGCCAGTGGAGTTGACAAAGGCCTGAGTGTATTTAGCAAGGGATTATACCAGAAATGCCCAATAGCAGTAAAAGCCCTCGATGCTGCAGCTGCTTAACATGCCAGGGTCTGCCTGTCTCTTGATGCCCTTGCAACTCTCCCTAACTCGACTGAGACATTCACTCTGAGACCTGCTAGACCGTGCCTCTGTTCATTTGCAGGTCACCAGGCAACGCAACGTGAGGAGCTTTCTGCCTCACTACACAGAAGGCAGTGCATTACCTGAGCATCTCTGCCACGGCAAGCATGCCCCATGCAGCTGCCCAGGGCAAGAAAGCCCCCCCTCACAACAAAAACACCCTTCAACTGTTTTGCTCAATTTTCTTTGTTTTATCTCTATTTTCCCACACAGCATGTGGGGCTCCCAGCAGCAGCGCAGCACGCACCAATGTCATTGTCGTCATCGCAGAGCAGGAAGGATGAGCTGGGCGCGGCGTCGAATTTGTCCATCAGGTATTTGGCGGCGTTCTCTTTGCCGCTGGTGGCAGGGAAGACGTCCGCGTGGCCCAGGTTGAACGCCCAGATCAGCCCCTCGGGAATTCCCTTCATCGCTGCCTTGACATCCTCGTCCGTCTTGCTGCCGTACGCCTTGAGCCTGGCAACACATGCAGCGGTTGTTCAGACATCGTGATCAGATCGGTTCATTTATTAAGCTGGGTGCATGCCGCACTCCATTTTGCTTCAATGTCGGGCAGCTTGACAGAGTAATCTAGATCACGCAGCAAGCTGGCAAGATTGGGGCCCACTAATAGGGCAATGCCGTCAGCGGCCTTGGCTGGCAGAATTCCCTGCATGCCATGTAGCCATGGAGTCTTTCACACCAGAGCCGGCTACCCCTCACACCCAGCACTGCACAGCGCTTGCAGTAGCTGCAAAGCTTTCCAGGCTTGGACCCAAACATTGCACTGAAGACAGCATATAGAGGGGGGTCTCAAGTTTCATTATATCCCCCATTTTTAGGGGTAGTACCCTCAGACCCGCACCTGAAGCTGGTGGTGTAGCTGTACACATCGGGCGTCCACCCTTGGGCGACGAGCTGGCGGTAGAAGTCCCACAGGGTACCCTTGCGATCCTCCGGCTTCATTTCCTCCTGCAGGTTTGACCCAGCTGCACAGGGGGCAATACACAATAACACCCTCAGGCGGTGGATACATATGAAGGTTCCTTGAGGAGCCATTTTGATCACTACAGTGCCGCCGCAATCGCTCAAAAAATAGGCATACTGGCTGCATGTAGCCCACAGGGCGCCCAAAAGGTAGAATTGCAGGATTGCAATTCTGGCTCACTTCAAGTAGAGATCTGCAAAGCTCAGTGTGGTGAGCGGTATCTCATAGTGTCGAGTTCACACCGGTGCTCTGGAGCAGCACTGACTGCGAGTTGTGTTCTCTAAATTAATTCCCCTTAGGGCAGCGGCAATAAAGGGGCGCGCACCGGCAGGGTTGTGGAACTTGCGCCACTTTGTGTCCTCCATGAGAGGCATGGCGGTCGGCAGCGTCTGGTCCGGATAAAAGATTCGGCCGCCGTTCTCTGCCACGTACGCGTCCGCGCTCGGCAGAAAGGGCAGCCGCTGCAGCAGCGTCGCCGTGCGCGCCCCAGTTATCAGCACCTGCATCGGACAAACTCGGATTTGATCTTTTGTGTCAAACTCAAATTTAAATTCAAGCATGGGATTGGTGGATGACGGCGGCATGCATGGTTTTGGCTGACATTAAGGGTGCCCAATGTGGGTAAGGGCATATGCCTGGCAGAGTTTTGCATGGAATTGTTGGGATTATGCACCCTGCATGATGCATGGCCATGGCACAATTTCATGACTCCCTGCATGACAAGGCATGGTACGAATGTGCATGCAAGCTGCTGCATGCACCAGCAGAGAGACTACCCCAGCCCAGATGCAGGGGTGCCTTTAGCCGAGGGCGGAGCCGAGCAAAGCCCGCAAAATTTCCCCTGTTTCCCTTATTCTGAATGTTGATTTGAGGAAGGTTGAGAGGGAGGTTGGGTGGGATGTAGGCTCACCAGCATGGCCCCTTCGTGCCTCAGCTGCGCCAGCTTGGACAGTGTCCTAATGGAGATCATGCCCTGCCGCACAGCAGAACCACAAGTGAACACTGTACCGAAAACATCGGCCAGCCTTCATCCTCAGAGGCCCCTCGGCTGCATTTGATCACGCTGATAATGTTGCTTGCAAGCTCGGCAGCAAACAAAGGCTCCTCGTCATGCCTACAAGGCCTGTTTATCACTTGCAAAAAGAAAGGCAGGAGGACAATCAAAGGCAGCTCACCGCGGTTCCGGTGGTGGAGGGTGGCAGTTTGAGGACTTTGTGGCGCCGCCCGGTCTCTCTCTCCACCCACAGGAAGCAGTTGGGCAGCACCTGCAACATGCAAAATATGTAAGGTCTTGAAAGGACACTGTCATGGATGTTTGATAGTATGGAAAGCGGGAGATGTTGTGGATGCAGTGATGTGGCCAAGCGAGTGCATGCAGGAGAGTTAATTTTTGGCTGGGGCTTCCAGATGGACCCTGTACAGACCTCAACGCATGCAAACAGGGATGCAGAAGCAAGCCTGGGGCCCAGCAGAATCTGAGTACAGCAAAACATGAACTAGAATTGTTGATCAGCATGATTCGTGGCGCATCAGTGATGCGAAGTAAGAGAGTGGGGCTCACCGAGGGCTGAGTCACTTCTCCCCAGCTGGTCAGCTTGTCTGGGAAATGGACAAGGGTGCCTGCGACAAAAGGCGGGCCCTCAGCATGAACACATCATAATACATCCCTTATTTTTTGCAAGCATGTCAGAAGCTTTGTTACCAATGCATGCCAAAGAGACTGCGAGATTCAGAGCTCTTCGAACGTCCTGAGGGCAGTCTTTACCATCGATATCCGCGAAGCAGATGTGCTTGAGAGGCTTCTTGGGCCTGTCTGTGTTGGGCATCGAATGTGTCTCTGGATCACCCTAACCAACAGAGGGGTGCGATCTCAGTACACCTGCACGCAAGAACATGCCAGAGTCCAGCTTAAATTGATGACACTGCAGTATCTTGTGATGCTGGGGGCATCGGGGTGCTTTCGACACGCTTGCTGTGCCAAAACTAACACCTAGCTCAGTGTTAGGGCTAAAGCAGGAATGCCAAGAATGTATCTTCGTCGCGCGGACACGTGACCTTTCACAGCAAGAGTCCGCACTGACCTTCGAAGGCCGATTGCCACCTTCCTACAACCGCTCTTCAGAAGGAAGAACCCATGTTCGCGGCGTTTTGGGATGGGTCTGCGTGGAGCACGCGAGCTCTCAATGTAACTGTACGCAATATCCAACTTTCCTACTTTACTTACTTTCCCTTCCAAAATCGCTTACAGATCAGCATATGTAAATAGAGCTGTATCGGCGCTGGGAGGGCGCTTTCTTCGTCCGCCTGACACCGTGGCGCACGTGAACCGTTGCTGACGTTGCAGGATGCGCCAGGATGGCACCTGCCTTGCCTGAGCAGCTTCCCTCAGCGTGCTTCGTTGAAACCTCCAGATCAACTTGGTGATGATGACAGAATTGTTTTCCATGTGCAAACCGGTGTCGGTCAGTTGGTCACAGCTGCAATGCCGGGTGGGGTAGCCGCTGACTCATGAGCCCTGAGGGGCCTTATGCCTGCCGCCTTTCAAATCCAAATGGTGGCGGCCCAATGGCAGCTGCTGCTGCACTGCAGCACTGATCATGCATGGCACCCCAGAAGATTACACACAGCAGGCAGCTGACTTCTAGAAGGCATCGGGTCTTCAAAGAAAGTGCCACTCAGCGAGTGCCAAAACCATTCGCATTCAAGCTAATTCCTTACAAGCACATCTCAAGAGGAGCAATCCAGATAGAGCAACAAACATTGCAGAGCCATGCAGAAAATCCAGCTCAAAAACAATCAAGTCGAAGGTGATATATCACCTATTAGCTAATATGAGGCCACAATCCTGCACTCGTCCTGATCTTGAAGGAACAGGCAGTGCTGGACACTGGCAAACGCCGCAGTTTAGCCAAACATTGTCTTTTAAATGGCAAATCAAGTTACTCACCTCTATGAAACCCAAAAGAGCAAGTACGGTGACATGCATGCGCCCATTTGGATGCAATGCGTGCTGAACAGGCTGCACAGGTTGATCACTCCACACAGCAGCTGATAGCACTCGGACGACTTCCTTGGGTAGAGTCACTGACTTGGTCATAATTCTGCGTACTTGAGGTTTCAAAGTGAGACTTCTTCATATTGAGAGTCTCTGTCACACATTATCGCAATTCTGCTCGTGAAAGCAGTACTGCTCATGAAAGCCGGACCGCCAACTTCTGTCAGGTAGCTGAATCTTCTTTGAATGTAAAGATTAGATAGACTCTCACCAGAAGCTCAGACAAGCTGGTGTCTATCCTGGCTATCTCTAAGCTTCACCATAGGGGACCAAAGAATAGCTCACATGAGGGTGACTCTTGGCTGTTGAGCTCCCTTGACAACATCTAGTCAGCAGAAAAACTCTCTCTCCTTGGCAATGAAATCATGATAAAGCAATATTGGCTGCCCTTGATCAAGCATAATTGTTTGGGATCAATAGTATAAATATCTGCTCATAAAGACCATTTCCATGTTTAGGGGGGGAAGAAAAGGGCAAGATGCTCTGCATTGCATACCCTAATCCTTTTCTAATCAGACCGCGCTAATTATGGGGCGACCAGATCAAGCCTTTTTTTAAAAGAGAGCCTGTAAAGATTATTTGTCTGCTGACCTCTGCTTTCCACCCTGTGCAATTCTCAGCGTTGGTCACTACGGTGCATGTGCTCCAGTAGAGCGCTGGTCCGGAATGAGAACACCGGTGACCCCGGCGCATCATGATATATGCCATATGTGGATGAAGATTGATTCACTCCAAGTCATGCATGTCCATGTTCAAGAGTCATGAGGCATGCATGCATGCATGCATGTGGCAGCCCAGGGGATCACCCAGCTATCAGCAGGCATGACAGATTTGCAGATCAGCGTTGATGTCAGGCCAGTTTTCTAGAAAGCATTCAGATCTGAGAGACTTCTCATTGCAATTTCTGAACTGCCCTGAAAAGATTACAAGCTTTGAAAGAACTCATATTTGAAAAGAGATCATACAGTCCCAGAGATCCCAGGGATCTCATCATCATGCTTGATTCAAATCCATTGCTCTGCTGCACTTGGAGAGGTGGTATTTACTTGGAAGACACTCTTCAAAGTACCTTAAACTTGAAAATATGTGGGACCCCAAATTTAGGTCACTGGATGTTGACAGGGATCCGAGTCGGAAGAATCAAACATTCTCATATCATCGCTCGTTGACCACTGATCTGAAAAGCAGACCGCAACTTCCGATCAATACCAGTTCACAAGTATTGAATGCCTCGTGTACCCCAAATATAACATTCCAAGTGCCATACAACATCCAGGAGCTCTGACTAGCTGTCATCAAACAGCTCACTTCAATCTCACAAATCAATCTTCTCAATCTCACTCTCAATCACAATCTCAATCTCAAAATATATCAATCCTCTGTACGTCAATACTCTCCCAATAAATTTGCAGTACTCACTTCAAACAGCTGACAAGCATGAAGCACAATCTGAGATCAGTCTTCTGCCGTCAAAAGCGCGGCTATCTCACCAGGGAGTCTCTTATTCTTGCTGCAACTTCAAACCCAGTGGACACTTTTTTTCGACGCCAAAGCAGTCATCTCAAACATGCAGTGCTCTGCACGAACCCAGTGCTTGCAAAAGTGGGAAATGCACCAAATTATTCAGCAGAATAAACCAACAGCTTCTTCCCAAAAAATCATGCATAGTAATAGACCGAATGTCACTCCAGCCAAAGATCCATCTTGGGTTGCATGCAGCCCAGTACAGGCTCTGCTGGCCAAATGCCCTCAAAACAATTGTACCGCTGTATTGTCATTGACAGTATCGTGTGACTGTTAAGTTGTCTGCAGCACTCATCAACTGTGGAGAGCGTCTCTAGAGGAGTCAATTGCTCTGCCGCTCACTTGCCAAAGCCAAACCCGCCAAAGCCGGAGTCACCAGAAGAGCTTGAAGAGCTTGAGCCTCCAGATGAGTAGCCACTGCCAGATGAGCTGCTTCCTCCGGAGGAAGATCCGTAGGAAGAAGAAGCAGGCGTGGGGGAAGGCGTAGAGTAGCTTGAGCTTGAGCTTCCCCCAGTTGAGCTTGATCAGTAACTGTTAGAAGAGCCGCCCGTAGATGATCCGTAGGAGGATGCAGGGGTTGGCGAGGGAGTTGAAGAAGACGATGAGCTGCCGGATGAGTAAGAGTTGCCTGCAGACAGCGCAAGTCTCCGTAAGGGGCATGCCAGTTTGACCAGTCTGACCCAAGAATGAGCAGCACGTTGCAAGCTTGCCATGAACTCAAATATTTTTTATTTTTATTATTACAACATGCTATTCCTGCCAAAAGGAAGGTGCGTCTGCAGACAAGCTGCACTCCAAGGCTGCCACAATCCTACTCCGTATTGGACTCGGATCCAAGCAAGACCCTATCAACCGTGGGCACGGTGCTCGTTATATATGCCGGCCAGTCGGGGCCCAATCCCCTGCTTCACACATGCCGGGCAAAAACAGGTACCAATGCAAACACATGCCGGGCAAACAGATGCATGGCACCTGATGGGGAGGGAGAGTAGCTGTTTGGAGATTGGGAGTAGCTGCCAGACGATGCAGGGCTTCTAGAAGAAGAGACTGCACAGAGCAAAACACTTAGTCTGAGTAGAAGCTGACCCAGCACTTGATTCATGATGGGGATGCCAGTGAAGAATGGCAAACACAAGGGAAAGCTGATGGGCATTAGTGCATTTATCAAAGAGGAGCTGGGGGTTGTTATTTACCTGGAGAGGGGGTGGGGCTGGGGGTGGATGATGGGCTGGGGGAATATGTAGGGCTGGGGGAGTTGGAAGGGCTTGGAGAACCAGATGTGCTGCTGGCAGCAAAGGAGTTGATGGGAGAGCCTGCAGCATGCAGAGGATGCTTTTAAATATGTTATCAAGAACATGCATGTGACAGGATCTGAGTGGCGTTCCACTGGCAAGTGGGCAGTACAGAAACCTCATGAATGTCCCTTGCAGGGCATGCAATGATCTCTGCGCAAGCTTGTCTTGTGCAGAAACAGCCTGCATTCCACCTGCAAGCAAGGAAACCAGAAAGGAAAGGCTTACCTGAGCTGCCGGGGCTTGGGCTGCCCGATCTGCTCGGAGACGGGCTGTCCAAAGAACCGGGGCTGGGGATGCCCGAGCTGCCCGGTGATGGGCTGCCTGAGCTGCCCGGAGAAGGACTGCCCGACTTGCCCGGTGATGGGCTGCCCGAGCTGCCCGGAGATGGACTGCCCGAGCTGCCCGGAGAGGGGCTCACACTGGGGCTGGCCTGGGTGGGAGCCGTGGCTGCGAGGGAGTTTGTGGGAGCTGAAGCCTCGCTCTTGGCAGGGGCATTTGCAGATGTAGTGGGGCCATTGGCGGCGGCGGTTGGGGGCGTAACTGTTGAGCCTGCCGGTGTCTGGGCTGCGAAGCCGGCGGCTGGAGCCTTGGCCTCCGATCCTGCGCAGCCATCAAAGCTATTCAGCACGGAAAACAATGTTGGGGCTCGCTTAAATCCGGATTTGGAGCAAGCTGACAAAGCATGCAGATCTTATTGGGACCTATAAAGTTCAAAGTCTGCAGGCTGTGTGTCAAGCTCAAAAAGTGCATCTGCAATCGTATGCTGAAGTAGCCATGTCGCTCGCATGCTCCAATCATGTTCTGATCTCAACACTTCGGCAGCTGGAAATGCATGGTGGTAATAAATGCGGCCCTAAGAAATGCAAGACTTCTGGAATGCTAAAACAAGTGATTCAGGCCTCACCAGATGGAGTGGAAGCCGTGCTCGTGGTGGGGCCATTCGCCGCTGCACTGCTGGTTGGGCCATTAGCTGCTGCGCTGCTGGCAGGGCCATTTGCTGCCAGGCCGCTGGCGGGTCCGTTGGCAGAGGGGGATCCAACAGGGGATCCCACAGCTACGGGTGCGGCGCCGGGGGCCGCGGCGATTACGGCACCGGGGGACGCCGCCGGGGGTTCCGCAATTTGCGTGCTCGCCGTTGGATTGGCAGCAGCAAAAGTGGTCGCCAGCTGTTGGTTGGAAGGATTGTTGTTAGCGGTCTGCGCAAGACAACACACGCATCTTCAGACTATTCGTTTTGCTTTTGTCGTTTCCAAGATACTGAGCGCCACATAGGACTCTGGAAATCCATGCAATGGCTTAATGAAGCTTCATAGCTTCCCTTGGTAAATTCCTCAGCCTTCATATCTCACTTCCCCGGAACTCCCGTTCTTGCAGCGATACATAGGAATGTGCTGTGACGGGATTGAGCAAACGTAGTCAACCAACCCGCCAGGAGGCAAATTTGCACCTGTGCTGCGTTGTCGCCAGCCTTGGCATTGAAGATTGAGTGAAAGGTATTGATTTTGCCTCCGGCGATGAGTGCATTCGGGTCGCTGTTAAAGACGCCGGAGTTGATCTTGCCCGCTGCCTGGTTGTTGTTGAACACTGTGCTAACATCATCAAAGGGCACCTGCAGCCAACAATTTCAACTTTTTTCAAGCCTTGTTTGGCAACACATATTTGATTAGCATTACACGATTTTCCTGCCAGAGGCAAGGTGCGTCTGCAGCCAAGCTGCAGGTAAAAGGTGCCATGTATTCTGCCTCTTAAGCTAAATGGACTCGTCACATCCAAGCAAGACCCAATCAACCGTGGGCATGGGGCTCAGTATAAGCAGCCAACATGGCACAAGCTAATAAGTTTGCAAGGTGCTGGCTTTATAGCTGGCCAAAGTATGTTTCTTGTCACTTCATTCACACGGGCAGCGGAAACCAAGCTTTAGAGATAGTGGTCTTGCGAGAGTTCAGAAACAGCAACAAGATGCACGGCAAGCATGCAAAGAATTTCATGGCAAGTGGGGCTCTCGCCTGGTTGACAGGCTCCACGGCAGTGGTCATGTAGTCACTGTTGTAAGGGTAGCATACACCCTGGCGGCAGCTGCCCACCAGGTTCCCATCCTCATCGGTGAAATCACCCTCATAGTCGGCTGCAAGGCACACGAGTCATTCAGCGCTGCAGGTATCGCAACAGACAAACAAAGACAGGGAGGACACTTTTACTATCAAGAGAATGTGACAGCACTATGGATGTGCTTGGCAAATAAGGGATTGTCTGCACTGTGGTGGTTGCTGACATTCTGCTAGACGGAGTCCTGTGCGGTGTTATAGAAAAGCAAGGCAGTCCAGGAAGGGAGTACTAAAAGGTGATAGCCTGCCTGAGGCACGTGCAATGTGCATTCTTGCAGAGCACAAATCCCCACTAATACCAGTGAGACAGACATGCCAGCAAGGGTGCGAATGACATACAAATGCCCTGGCTCCCAGGAAGGGAGGCTCGAGATAAAACACTATAATCAGGCCCCGGGTGGCTGGGCGCAGTACAAACACCGAGCACCATCCCCGCGGTTGATTGGGTCTCGCTTGGATCTGGCGAGCCCAACAAGGGGTGAATTGTGGCAGCCTTCAACTGCAGCTTTTCTGCAGGACGCACCTTGCCTCTTGGCAGGAAATGCGTGTAATAATTATCATAGTAATACTTCAGGGAGGGGTACTCACTCGAGTCATCAAGGTAATCGCCCAAGTCATTGTTCTGCTTCAGCTTGCGGCCAATGATGAAAGAGAGGCTCAGCCTGGGGCGACGGAAGCGGCGAAAGCGGCGGCGTGGCCTGCATTATGAATTCAAATTCAAACTTCAAAATTCAAAGCGGTTCGGAGGCAGGTCAGTCACAGGGGACGCATGTTTTCATACTACCCCGGTGCATGCAGCTTGCCTGATCTATGCGTGGCAAGAAGCACTACATTCACCGGACAGGTGGTAAATGTTTTCCAAATGATTAATGGCTGTTGCCATGCAGTGTATACACAAGTCCTGCAGCAAGGATGCTATGCTTGACACATCAGGATATTAGCCATACAGTACGAGGCTTGCTCAATTGCATGCAAATAACTACCACCTTCAGCTGGACATATGAGGTTGAAGGGCTGCGGACAAATGGTAATTACTTGAGGAACCGAGGAACTGAGGAAAGCGTCTCACCTCGACGCGACGATGACAACAGGGCCGATCTGCAGGGCTGCAACGCCTGGAGTCACGATAATTCTTGGGGTGACAACGAAGACGGGAGGGGCGACGAACACTCTGGGCGGAAGGCCCACGAAAAACCTTGGCACTTGCACGTTGAGGTTGGCATTGACCCGGGGCCCACCGATGCCGACGTTGACTGCAGCAGCACACAAGGGACACATTAGGCCTAGCCAGGAGAACCCTAAAAAATCTCCCTTGCGCACAAAAACGTTGGTGGCCGGCAGGATGGAGGGCACGCGCTGCGATCAAGGAGTTGTGATCACTGTTGCATGTCACCCCGGCGGCCAGGAAAATTTTACGACACCGGAATAAACTCGCTCACATACGCTTATTTAAAGCAATGTTGTCCCGCAATACACAGCATTGCATCAATAGTGCGCTTTTGTGTAGAAACGGGCTTGGTGAAAGCCCAACTCACTCTGAGCTTCGACGTGACAGGCAAGACCCAGGAGCAGCAGGAGGATGCCTTTCAGCATCATTAAGACCTTGAGTCTCCTGCACATCCACTCAAAAGATCTCGCACACCTAGCAGGAAAGAAGGGGGCTTCCGATCGGCGACGAGAGCTGATTGGCGCATCCGATGCAGGGTTTAGGGCTCAACTCTCCGCCGTCGCCGTTATCGTTGACACCAGAAAGAGGGACGGAGTAGTCGACACATGAGCCAAAAAAATTGCACAATACATAACATCCAGGACAGGACTAGAACATTCAGTGATCCAACGAAACCTTACAAGGCACGCGCTTATACGTCGACTGGCCATCCTTGCAGCGATCACATATGGAGCGTAACAGAGCTCTTACCTGGCGGAGGCTGCTTGCTGGAGTTTCGGGGGGTGCACGATCCTCAGGCGTGGGCAAGTTGCTTTGAGAAGGAGCCGGTTTTTGCTGACCGCTATCTGCTCGCTATCCACAGTTAGATATATATTTACCTCGTCACATGACGAATGACAAACCAAAGCGATACAGTCATTACAAGGAAGCTGCCTGGGAATTTGTCGAGGCGATGACCTGACATTTCGTAAATGTGGCTCTCATTGACTGCGAGGTTTTTTCTGCAGAGGACACTTAAGTACCAGCTTGATCTAGATGAGATCTCTGTGGAGCAGCCATCAGCCTGGTGAGCGCCAATGACGTTTCCTTCAAGGAGTTCACAACGAAAGAGAGGACTCCCTCTTCGGAAGAGGGAGAGAGAATAAGATCAGCCAGAGCTGAAGGGAGTGCCACCAGTGGTGATCTCCATGATGACAGGCACGATACATATATGCAAGTCTAAGCCTGCAAGTGCGCTTTTACGCCACATATGGACGTCCCGAACAACACTCCTGCCCCTTGCCTGCAGCTGCATGCATGCAGCGGTGCGCACAGTCTGTGCGGCACATATACGCAATCAAGTTAGAGGAGAATAAGGAATTGATGACTGTTCTGTGAATTGCCGGTTGCAAATAGTCACCAGTGGCCCCGGCTGGCGGGGGCGGCCGCGGTATAAGTACTGAGCACCGTGCCCACGGTTGATTGGGTCCTGCTTGGATCTGGCGAGTCCATCAAGGGGTAGGATTTTGGCAGCCTTTACTGCAGCTTGTCTGCAGACGCACCTTGCTTCTGGCAGGAAAAGCGTGTAACAAGAATAATTATAGTCACCAGTACATCACCATGATGACTCATCATCAGTGCATCATGCTGTCTGCGCCATGACTTCCTGTGCAACCTGACCCTGCCTTCTGGCCAGGCACAATCCGATCTGAATCAGCACCTTCAGTTATGCGTTAGGGCCACATGTATCTGGCAGGGCCAATCCCTCCTGATCAGGGGCATTAAATATTTTTACAAGCCCAAGTTTTGAAGGCCCCACATCAAGACCGCTGGCCTCAGTCATCAGTCACAAGCACTGCAGCTTTTGTCACCCTGTCACCCCTAACCACTGACGCACACACGAAAGCAGACTCGCGAGTCTCTAATAAATGGGGCCGGAGGCACGCGCAGCAACGCACGCAGCAGCGGCAGTCAAGTTACTAGCTATGTATCGGGCGTCCCATCGTGGGAACAGGCAGCTTGTACATGCACAGGTGGCGCTGTCAACTCGCCAGTCAATGTAAACATATTCTTCACCCCTCCTGATTCCCCCGCCATTCTGCACAACACCTAAACTTCCCCGTGCGCCCGCTAAACTCTCTCACCCGGCACACCCCTTTTAGCCGCTCGCCAAGTCATATTCTGCCAGCTGCCAGTGGCCCAACTCAAGCCAAGCCAAATAAACAGGCAGACTCAGCCGGCTGCGCGGACAGCTCCTGCCAGGGTCTCCCCGCACAACTCAAGTTCACATTGCAAAAATGGTTGCCGTCCGATGCCTGCGCTTCGCAGCCTAGCACCCAGGTAAAAGGGGCCAGCCTCCCAAGAGCCGCTCGGAGGCACGGGGGCAGTGAACGCCGCGACAGACCGGTGTTACATGACTTGTCTGGCGGCGGGGGGCGTTGTCATTCAGCCGGTCTCTCCCATGGCCTCCTCCTTGACCTCGTGCGGATTCAACATGCCGGGGATCTGCGCCATCCTCTGCCGCTCCGCCTGCAGTTGAAGCATGCGGAGTCACTTCCATCGTGGCAGAGCCACAAAGCACAGCGGTGTGCCAACAGGAGATGATCATAGGACTGAAAATGCATCCACACTGGGCTTGCAGGGATGCCATGCAACAGGCCTCAAAAAGAGACAAAGAGAGGCATGGGACCACTTGGGATGCACACTGTCCAAGCAATTATGCAAGCTAGCAATCGGTGGGTGCCATTTTCTCCCCACGAGCCCTGAATTCTCTCTTTATCATGACAGATGATAGCATGCTCCATGGCAACACTGTGTGTCAGAAAGAAGGAAGGCAGGAGTTCCGATAGCACCTCGCGCTGCGCGGCGGCTTCTTCGGCGAAGAGGTCGGCATTGTTCTTGTCGGCGAAGGACTTGGTCTGAACCAGGAAGTCGCGCAGGTGGGCCTTGAAGGCGCTGTCCTCCTTCAGCTCAAACATGCCCGTCACGCACGCCTGCGCACGTCATCACCCGCACACTCAGCCAACTTGTTAGCATTACTATTGTTTCCTGCCCAAAAGGCAAGGTACGTCCTGCAGACAAGCTGCAGTCAAATCCTACCCCTTGTTGGACTCCGGCAAGGCCCAATCAACCATGGGCACGGTGCTCAGAATTTATGCCGCCCCCTGCCAGCCGGGGCCAACTTGTACTAAATTGATATTCAATATATCGTTCACGCGCAAACCTCTCTGAGCCGCAATGCCCAACAGATTGGCTGCAAAAGCATAACGCCAGGCAGAGAGGGTGTTGCAGAAGCCAAAGTGCTCCAGAAACCAACAAAACACCATCTGGAATTTCACAGGCAACCCATGACACAGCAGTGGACAACTCGCATGAGCTGAAGCCATGGGGGTGCCTTCAATGACTGCTCGGCTGTCTCCTCTGAAGGCTTGGATGACAATTCGAGAGGGTTGCACAGGCTTTTCAAAGGCGAAGTTTATTGATGGCAGGGTTGCCCCAGTCATGCAGCTGCTGCATGACTGGCTGCTGGCGGGGCAATCCTGCTGTCGACAAAGTCTGGCCTTCAGAAGCCTGTTCAGATACCGTACTCGGCCTAATACTTAGTCAAAACCAATCAAATAAAACCTTCAAAAAGGGTCAAATAATAATTTTGTATCTCCAAGAATATTGAGGCTATAAAACGTTTGAAGGCAGCTTTTGAAAGCTGTCAACGGAGGCATTCCATTGGAGTTGACTTTCTGCACTCTTGCATTGTTAATGCCTTCCTAAAGTTAATCCGACTAAGGGGCACTCCGACTTTAATTAGGACGAGCACGGCAGGCAACAGGTGAAGCAAAAGCGCACACCTCGACCTGCTGCGGCCGCAGGTTGGGGAAGGAGGTGGTGAGGAGTTGGGAGACGTGCTGGTGCACAAAGGCGGCGTTGTTGGGGAAGGTGGAGGGGCCCAGCGCGGCGGTGTCCCACAGGGGGGCCTTGATCACGTCCGTGTTGACGATGGTGAACAGGTGGTGCAGGATCTTCGCGTGCATCTTCAGGCCCGGCTTGTGGAACGTGTCTGCGCAAATAACAGCAACAAACGACTCTTAGCCTGAAAGTTTGTTGATACACATTCCTGCTCGAATTGAGTGGGAATCCAACTGCTGCAAACAGGGGATGACACTGGCGGCTGAAGTTTTTGGGGCCGCATAGAGAATGACAGGGAGCGTTGACAGCCTCAAGAATTCCCAGCTCCAGAGGGCTGCAATGGCTAATGACATCAGCAAGCATGCGCAAAGGCCAGCGATTTGCTGTGCAGTACGGCAAGACAACGGATGGCTGTCTTGCACATTGCCGACCCTCAGTGCCCATCATGCTTGTGGTATGGGTCTGCACATTGCCAACCCAGTGCCCACCTTGCAGAGTGCTGCTACCGCCATAAAATGTCGCAGAAATGCAACCAGTAAAAAGGGCGGAAGGGCGAGCGCACACCGGTCATGACGGCGAAGATCTCCTGCACGAGCTGGAGGTAGTAGGTTTGGTGGAATTGGGTGGCGTAGTCGCTGCGGCTGAACATGAGCAGCAGCTCAAGCAGCAGGTTGAGGCCGGTGTCCGCCACGTTGCGCTCGGTGTGGCGGAATGCCCACACGATGGAATCGATGACCAGCTTGAGCTGGCCCGGGGACATGGCGAAGAGCGTGGGGAAGCACGCGTTGGTGATCGCCCGCAGCAGGTTGAAGAACTGCAGCCGGTGCTCCGGGTAATCCTGCATATGCATGCGCAAAGATCTCAGCCTTCTCTGTAGCCTGTGAAGCCAAAAAATTTGTGCAGCATGTATGCACCTTCAATTCCTCATCAAGGCCCCGACAGCCAGCGTTTGCACCGTGTCCGTCATTCGGGGGGGTTGAGAAGATCAGCGCGCATTTCATGGATGGCATCGGTATATGCCACCACCAAGATGATCCAGAAGGACCTCTGGGGATGTGCGAAGCTGCCAGTCTTATTTGTGGCGAATGGTCACACCCAAGACTGCATGCAGCTGCGGTTTCACAGGCCACCATATATTTGACGAGCTACGCATACATCACGCATTCAAGGGCCCTTCAGCCGGTACTTTGCACCATTATCTCCAAGTTGGCATAAAACAGCAGCAAAGAAGGAACGTGACACCCTGCAGAGGCTTGGTGAGCACAGGCGGCGGCAGCAGGGAGCACCTCAAAGTTCTTGGTGATCATCTGGAGGGTGCATTCGAAGACGGCCTCAAAGATGCGCGGAACCTCGGCCGCCATTGCCTCACGCAGCTTTGAGATGATCGCCGCAAACACGCTCAGCACCTCCGCATCCCTGCACCAGGGTTTCAGGGAATTAAATTGCTGCAAGAGAGAAAATAAATGTAAAAGGGTATCCATTAAGTTTACCCCTGAGATCAAAGCTTGTTTCCGCATCCCCAGACATGCCCTGCAAGCTCAATGAAAACCAGCAAGACCGCCAGCCAGACTCATGTCGAAATTGGCAGCCATCAGGTATCCTGACAAATGGTCAGTAAAACGACAGCACACCTGGGCGATGATTGAAGGCACCTTCTCGTCAGAAAAGAGTCTTGAGAGCCTCTTCTGAATAAGGATGCGACGCTTTATTCCCAGGTATACTAGCAATTAATGAATGACACGACATCATGCATTCGTAGAATATGTATGCAGATTCTTCCTCATACGGGTCTCTTCTGGAAGGAAGACTACTTCCCAGGTACACAGGCTCTTTGTTAAACATGACGGCATGCCTGAAGAAAGGGGCAAAAGCAGCATCTCTTCAGGAACTCTCTTGAGTGCCCTTTTCGAAGAGAATATGCTTTCGTCCTCATCCAAGGTACACTGACACTTGGTTGGTGATATGACAGCATACCTGAGCTTGGAAAGAAGGCATCTTCTTTAGTGAATTAATCTTTCAGACCCTCTTCAGAAAATGAACCGCGCCCACTGCTCCTGAAGCATTTCTTTTAAAACACTGACAACATGCCCGGGCGAGAAACGGAGGCAGCCTTCTACAATTGGAGTCATACTGAAGGTAAGGGCCTGAAAAGGAAGCCCAACTACCTGACTGCCTAAGATGGGCAGCTGCTCGCAGCAAAGCAGGCGGTCAGGCAGAAAACTGCGGGGAAGCTGGCCGCAGCGCGAAAGGCCGCTGAGTCCATCGCGCCGAGTGAGGCTGCACGTTTCAAGCCAAACATGGCGCAGTCTGCCGAGCCAGAAATGGCGCAGCTTGCAGGGCTGCTACGATTAGTAATGGGATGACAAAAGCCCACCTGGCATCTGGGACGTTGCGCGCGTAGTCACCCAGGATGGGATCCATCATGGCGGGCACAAACTGGGTGGCGATCAGCTGCGTGTCCTCGCACTTGTCAACAAACGTCTCAATCAGCCGCAGCGTCGCCTTCTTCACCGCGCGCATCAGCTTCACCTGCGATGTGCGCGCCGCGTGCGGGCCGCCACTTGCTATCGCCGCCGATATGAGCTCGCTGTACATCCTGTGAGGGAGGGGACACAGCCGGCGGTCAGTCATATAAGCACGGTCACTTTTTTTGTAGATCCTCGAGTTCGTGAAGATCAGGACCGCAAGCTTGCATGGCTACGCGGAGAAACACACACAACAGTCTCGGCAGATGTGGGCCAGGAGCCTCAAGGCACTCATCTCCAGACCTGAGCAAGAGGAATGTTGCCTGGCATGCTCATAGCCTCTTCGCACCGTTCCAATGGACAGCAGACATGGAATGATCTTTGCGCCCGTCGATCCAAGTGGCAAGCCTTTAAGGCCCCAAAATCTCAGCCGGATTGTCTTTAATGTATGCACCGACAAGCAGTAAATTCAGGGGGGCGGCGCACCGGTACATATTGAGCATGTCCAGGTAGATGAGGGTGATCTGGGAGAGGAAGGGCTGGCCGAGGGAGGAGGCGACGGAGGCGTTGGTTGACAGAATGTTCTGCACGTTGCGCATCACCTCGGTCTGCTTCAGGATGTCCGCCTGCGCGCTCGCCTGCCCCACTATCTCCCGCCACGTCAGGTTGGGGGGCGCCATCAGCTGCGCCTGCGCGCACAGAACAGGGCGCAGGATACACTCAGGGGGCGCATGTAAAGAGGCTGCGATCATCAGACAATGCATTTATGTTCTCTGATATCTGCGTGCTGTGAAGACCTCTGATTGTAATCTTGAACAGGCATTCCACACTCCGGTATGATGATACCGGATGATGGCAGCTGCAACTTCACGTACACTTGATGCGGCCTGTCAGTCATGATGACAGTCCTTCTGAAGAAAAGACTGGCCAACTCATGACTGTACTTAGTGTCTCAGCATACATTTGACCACACCGTTCCAGTATTTGAGCCATGCAGATCAAACAAGAAGGAAAGTAGGAAAGAAGGCCAGCAGCGCACCAGGTATTGTTCTCGTCGCTTGGCGTCAGAGTCTGCGGAGATCATGAGGCCCACGGCCTCATAGAACATGTGGATCTGGTGAGTCTCAAGGTCCTGGATCGTCGCCGTGAGTTCCCCCAGCAGCTCCGATATGAACGGCTCTGTCTCCCCAACCTGCAGTGGGCATGCAAGGCCATTAAGTGCGCCAATCATATCGCAATATGCATGGAAATCCCATTTGCTCGGCCCTGCACAGTTCAGCCAAAGAGGTTCGATTTTTACGCAGTTCCTCCATCAAAGAAGATGTTGCCTTCAACACATGCCTGGGATCTTCCCAGGAAATCTTTGCTTTGCCCCAAGGGCTATGACAGCAGAAGGGGGCGCTGCTCCCCTTGAATTCAGCAAGCTCTCATTAAGCTCTGTTCTGCAAGCAAAGAGCCTCAGCTGCAATCACAAAAAAGGAAAGCCGGGCTGAAGAGGGAGGGTGGGCGTGCCTGCATGATGACGAACTTGCGCTTGCACTTGTGGCAGATCTTGAGGAAGGTCTCGCAGGCCATGTCCTGGACGCCGGGGTGAGTCTCGTGCATGAACTCAAACAGCTTGTTCACAACCGTCTTCAGGAACTTCCAGTGATTGCGCAGGAAGCGCGGATACTGCCCCACGACGTACCTGCACACAATTACTTACGCAGTCAACAACCTGCAACAAGATATACACTCTTGTGCTCCCCAGGATGACGCCACAAACTAATCAGGCGTGACGATGGACAACTGAAAGCGAAGACCAGAGGGCATGAAAAGGAGAGAAAGCATGGCTAACAATGCTAAGCCCCCGGCACAGGACCCGAGGGCCGAGAACCTAAATACGGTTGCACTCTGTTCATCTTCTGGTGGAACTCAAATAACAAAGGCCTGTTCAACTGGTAGCCAGGCTGATGGGTGTGCATGTACGTGTGCTAAGTACATCCAAGTCTCTCTGGAACCAAGGAATGATGGCTCAGATGCGACCACCCAAGGAGCCGTCACACTTGATTTCGGAGATACTTGTGCGATCAAGCACAATTACATGCACAAGCATGCGCGCACTTTCTGCTGCCACAGTGGTCAGATCACACTGTGACCGGGCTCTAGGCAAAACATGCATGCAGCTTGCCGAGGCCAAATCAAGTTGTGGCAAAACGCCAACCAGTTCTCTCCTCAAGGTCCAAGTTAAGAATGACCCAGACGCCAGGCACGTTGATGCGCATGCATGTAAGAATGCTGGCAAGAATGGCAGTGTCTTTGAAACAGTGCAACGCTGGCTTGCATTGCATCAGTCAACATGAGCCATCATTATACTGGTTTCGGAGAGCCTCTCATGTGCTTAGCAGTGACAAATGCAAGCGCACAGCCTTCTGCTACTCTTATTGATAGACAGGTGCACAGCTCTCCTTTGCCGAGAACCCCATACTCTCAAGAGGCAACCGCAATCATGCATGTGCATGTGAGTGGGCTCCTTACATGCGAGTCTCCCGGAATTAATGCAACGCTGGCTTGCGAGACAGATTGTCACATAAAGCCAGCTTCACATGGTTTCGGAGATACTCACGTGCCATAGCATGGACACATGCATATGCAGCGCACTCTACAGCTATCAGACCACCGAGCCCACTGGCCAGCAATCACCTTCACGAAAGAACTTGTCCAGGAAGCCACTGACAAATGGCGTGGTTTCTGCATCCCTGCCTTTCCTGTCAGGTGCCCCCATGAAGAGCACTCTAAGCTGCCACCTCAAGATCCAGAAATAAAGGTGGTACAATGAGACATACAACTCTTGTTCTCACTACCGCCTGAGGGATCAGAGCTGGGAGGGAAAGGTTGAACCCTCAACAAGGCCAAAATCAAAAATTTGACTTTTACAAGTGCATGCCGTCTTGAAATTGTAGCATGGAAGGGAAAGGGGCGTTGGTGCGCGCACATGATGTTGGATGCGATGACGGCCTTGTTGTCCTTGCCGCGGGTGATCTCGCAGAGGTTGAGCAGGTCGCGGATGACTGTAACCAGGAAGCGGTTCTCCTGCTCCTCCATCATGCTGCCGCTGATGCTGCCGATCGCCCAGCACAGCGTGTTCAGCGCGCCCCAACTCCACTCCTTCCCGTTCAGCTGCGCAGCGGTGCACCCCTTGCAGTGTGACATTTCTGCTTTACCCGTGCAGTGTGTCACTTGTGATTCACCGGTGCATCGTGTCACATCTGGTTACATAACAGCTGCGACAGGAACTGCAGGGACAAGCAAGTGCAGGGACAAAATGTTTAAATCCAGGAATACAACAGGCATGCAGCCACCGAAAGCCAACTGTCAAAAAACATTTACTATTGCTATGCTTCCATTTGAAACACAGCAACAGCTCTGCTGACGCCCCCATGGCAGCGGTATGGAATGGAGCAAGTGAGCACCATCCCAAACCAGTGCCAGAAAGTAATCAGCAGGGCCATTGCCAAGAATGCACACTGCGGGGGCATGTGCGAGCATGTGCGCGCACCTGCAGGCGGAGCTTTTCGAGCATCTGATTCTCGGTGTCGTCATGGTCCAGGTGGCTGAGGTAGACCAGCGTCTCATGCATCGTCTTGTAGCGCGCCAGCGTGTCTGTGTCCTTCATTGTCTCGCGCACAATGTTGCCGTTCTCGTCCTCCACCACAATCACCTGCACACATTTGTTAAACACTTATGCCTGAATCTGCCATGTCCGCCTACCAGATTTGAATATGTGCTCAGCCATTTGTGTTCCCCTAGGTCATTTGTAATCTGATTACCTCTAGATAGTGCACCTTTTAGCATGCATAGCAGAAATTGCGCCAAGTTCATATCCATCTTTCACCATGATCTTTGGCAGCAGCCACAAGGGAACATGGGCAAGTGTACAGCAATCAACCTGCATTGACCAGAGGAAAGGTGTGCAATTTTAGCACAACCGCACAGTCCGGCAACTGCAGTGTGAGATGCATGCAGTTTTAGTACTCTTGTCTGATAAAGGCAAAGGGCAGCGCACCTCCTCGGGCTTGGCCATGCGCGAGATCATGAGCAGGCGCAGGCGCGACAGCACAGCGCCGTACAGGTGTCGCCGGCCGGTGGCGGCCGGGGCCGCGCCGCCGAACGCAAACGCGGCGTTAGCGTCGGCCATGCCGGTGGTCACGCTGGCGTAGACGTCCGGGACAAAGTAGTTCCAGAAATCCAGGCAGATCTTGAAGACCTCGTCGTCGTCCACAAAGCTCACGCTGAGCAGGTAGTCCAGGCCCAGCAGCAGCGCCGCCCGGTTCTCATCGGTCGTCTCCAGCGTCGGGATGTGCGCCTGCGTGGCGGTTGGAAATACATCCCATTAAGAAGGCATACGATTTGTCGACTTCAAGCATTGAATTGCCAAAAAGAGAAGCTCTCTGCCAGGAGCTCCTCCCCAACAGGAGCAAAGGCTCCTCAGCGGTTCTTCAGGCTCCTTGATTGATCTGGAGGAAGTCAGCAATGTTACACAGCAGCAAGTGCATTCTCGTAGGTTAGACATTGCCCGTTTGCCTATTCAGCTCCTCAACAATTATGAAGGTCAACAAATATTGTTGGGCATCTTCGGAAAATGCAGCTTTGGGTTGGACTGGTCCAGCACTGGAGCGACTGTATTGGAAAGTGAGCGACATCATCACGTATGAGAATGCACGGGGCTGCAAGCCAGTAGGCAGTGTGCAACTGGGGGCCAGCAACTGACCTTAAAGAAGGTGGTGAGGAAGATGGCCAGGTTCTGCACAAAGTCCTGGTCCTGGTCACTGCCGCGCTCGTAGGCGGCTGGAATGTTGGTGCCCGCGGGCAGGATGCTGCCCAGCTGCCCAATCCACACCTTGAACAGGCCCTCAAAGTGGGTGTTGTGCTCCGCGCCCACTTGGAGACCGGCCACCTGCGCAAGCAGACATAATTACGCCACAGTGCCAGAGACAGTCTTGGTTTGACTTTCACTACGACAGCAATTATCTGGCAGCGACCCGCTCAGAGCTCCTGTGTTTAGCGTGCATCCTGCTTGATGCTGTGCAGAGTGCTTTTCCTTCAAGGTCAAGAATCCCCCGTTTTGCACTCCTCCTTGTCATTGATGAACAGTAGGCATGCATGCATGCAAACTGTCAGGAGACCTTGGCTGAGCCCAGAAATCCTCAGCCATGCATTTCCGCATGCATTGCAACATTACGGAATATTCTGTTTGTGACCAACATTTTGCAGAGAGTTTGGGGGGGGGGGAAAAAAAGCGCACCTCAGTGAGGCATTGGAGGGCAACATTGCGGAAGGGCTGCTGAGGGAACAGCTTGAGCAGGACCTCGACCAGGTTGGAGTTGAAGATGTAGGCCAGGGGCACCCACGACAGGAACGCGTGCAGCGTGGACAGCGTGGCGCGGATGAGCTCCGGCTTCTGGCTCGCGTTCAGCACAAACAGGCACAGCTCGTGGATCAGCCGGAACTCCTGGTTCAGCGAATTCTTCAGCTCCTTCGTCTTTGCCTGCGCACATCCAATATTTGTCACTCACCCACGGCCTCATATCCACAGCACTCTCCTCCTTTTCCTCCTCCTCTGACTCAGTACAAGCTATCCACACTTGCGTGGCGCCTCCTTCAACTTACTAAAGACAAGTGCGTTTCTCCCCTCTCTGCGTTGACAGTCAACCTGTAGAGACTGTTGCCAATGTGCCATGCAAGGAATTACAGGAAGCAAATGCAGCAGCACATTGTAGAATGTTCTGGCACGCATGCAGCCCATGTGCAAGCACAGACGCACACCTGGGTGAGTTCGCCGCGGGAGAAGTCAAAGATCTCCTCAGAGAGCAGCTTGAGGATGACCATGGAGTTCTCGCACAGCGGCTCGCTCGTCTTGGACGCTGCCACAATGTCCGGGATGAAGGTGGGCCACTTGTGCGGCCAGTCCTGCTTCAACACCTGCGGCGCCAACAACGCTCATCTCACACACCATCTCGAGAGGAGCTTCCTAATAGGCAATTGCAGCACTGATTCAACCACATCTTGCAACTTAAAAAAATCAGCAACCCTTCATGTGCATGTCCCCAGAATTTGCAAGCTGAGAACTGGACAACTGGCTTGTATAGAGCAGGTTGACTGATAGTAGCAAGGGGCATGTGCACGGCACAGGCAGAGGCAGTGCCATGGCTGATGGGATAGTGTCTGTGCGTACCTGCACTAGGAGGATGTTGAGTTTGTTCAGGAAGACCTTCTCACGGCGCAGCGTGACCTCGTCAGAAGATATTTTGATGATGAGGTTGGAGAGGTAATTTTTGATGCCCTCCCTCTGCTGGTCGTCTATGGCACCCCATCTATGCTTTATAAGCTCCTCCAAAATCTGCGGATCAACCGTTGGAACTGCGTTAGGACTTAATGGAAAGGCAACAACAAAGTTTGATGAGCCTGCTCTGCAGGTGACCTTGTCTATGGATTGTGCTGAGATCTCATGCAGGCAATTCTTGCTCATTCAAGAACCAAGTTGCGCGAGTTGGCTTTGCAGTCCTTTATGTTGCTGTCAGGACAGTCCTTTCGAGAACACAAAAGATAGGGCTTTTCTGTATGCATTACATGGAAAAAATGTGTCGTTGTCCAGATTAAGATTACCTGTAGAGCGAAGAACTTGGACTGCTGGCTCTGTGAATGCTCCAATATCCTGTCCACACGCGTCCAGGCATCTGGGTGTTCCTGTATTTTGCGAAGGATGTCTTCTGCAGTCGTCCTCTGCAAGGAACAGCCCCACGTCAGGTATCTTTTGACCTTGCACACATATAATAATATTATAATCGTAATGGGCGCCATTGGAACGCCTTCTAGAAGTGATCTTTTACTGTAACAACAGCTGCCTTTCCGCCTTTTGTATCGGGGATCCACATACTCCCTCGTCAAGGCCTCAGGCAATCAATCAAAGCGACATAGGAGATTCGCAGCAAGCTGCAGATGTCGTATTTTCTTCACAAATAAAGCTTCATCACACCTCTGCTGGGGTAGCTGCGCCATAAAATGCTGCCACCGTTGCGTCAAGCAATGGAACATCAATAGGCTGACTGTAGTCCAGCAGCTGGGCTGCTGGCCCGGAGGCCATGTCTCTTACTTGTCACCACACGCTTTGTAACTTCACACTGCTCAGCAGAACCATCCTCTACAGGGCGTGGTTAAAGTCAATGATGAAACAGCGGATGCGAAGCCGGTGACATTCTGGCATCAAGCAAAATGAATTTCCAGCAATCGCAGAAAAGGCTTAAGCGCGCTGCATCTGCTTTGCCAGCAAAATTGCTTTCGCTTGTCACGGTTGCCTGATTGGGCAACAGCTGGGAGTCATCGAGGGCTTGTGATGGGGCGTCTTGGAGGATTCAAAAGAGAATTTAGATTATATTAGGACTCATCTGGTGAATCTGGGATTGCCAGTAGCAACTGTCGCAATGCAAAGGACAGCTCTCCAAAACGCTATTCTGGACTGATCTCCTGAAGAAAGTTGTTCTGAGGTGTCAAAATATCATTCCCATGATGTGAGAAAGTTTCCAGTATCACAATGTCGTTTGGCGCCTGCGCTGGTCACACGCAAGAAGGAGGAAGCAGAGTATTTGAAGTAGCAGCTGGACTCTAGGCTCGTCGCAGCGGAATGAGAGAGTATTTCTGAAAGAGTATATGACGATCTCGAGCCACTAAAAACCTCACAGTTGTATCGAAGGACGCAGGGAGCAGCAATTACTTACCTTCTTCAGAGTGCTTGCACATATCTTGGGCCATGCCAAGACCACCTGCAGCAGTCTTTATTCTATCAGCATTGCTGATCGCATGCGCAAGTGCTTTGGAAGGGACACAAATACTGGATCCGGCTGTTGCAAACAAATCCCGGTGAGAGCTCAGAACGGCAGTCTGCTTGAGAAGAAGCACTGCATTGCCGATGGTAAGGTGCATGCACTTTATATCACACATGAAATCTTGTGTTGTTGAACGCAGGACGGGCAGTCACATGGAATGGCTGGAGCAGCTGCGCGTGAGGCTGCCAGGGTCTGTGGGTGACGCCTTGAGCAGTGCACAAGAATCTCTCGCAGCTGCTGCCAAGCATGTGACACCGGTGGAAATCTTGGAGGTATGCCTTGGTCCACAGCCTCCTCCTTCAAAGTATTTGTTGCTGCAGTATGCATCAGCGAATGAGACTCAAGGCGTGCAGCATGATTTGCATCCCGAGCGCACAACAAAGCGGCTGACAAGGGCTTGTTGTGACAGGCGGTGAGGGGCTCTTGGGATCTGTTGAAACCGGGAGGCAAGCTGCACCCCACCTACATCATTGAGCACCAGGGACACTTGGTGTTTGAGGTGGTCCTGAGTGTAGTCATAGCCTATTTGCTCTTCCAGCGATCCTACAAGCCCTCTGCAAAGCAGGAGAAGCCGCTCACAGAGAAGGTGCGCCGCCTCCACAGACCCAAGAATTGCATGGAGCAAGACTGTGCATGTTCACTACTGCTTATGCTCACTTTACTTCTAAAAAGAAAGTGGTTTCTGATCCGGTATCTATCTGCAGGAAATGGATGAGCTCTGTGCTGAGTGGCAGCCAGAACCGCTGTGTGGGCTGCTCACAGAAGCCCAGAGGAGTTATGAGCCTCCAGTTATTTCCAGGTCAGTGTTTTTTTTTATTACACCAGCATTGCCACCTATGATTCAAGCCTGGGGATTGTGCTCCCAAATGCATGCATCTGCTTTACATGAGAATCCTGATGGAATTTCATGGTCCCGCAGTTCTGCGGGAGTGTATGTTGTGGCCAATGGCAAGAAGGCGCTGAACATGGTCTCCTTCAACTTCCTGGGGGTGGCAGGCGATGCCAAGATCAAGGTGCCACATCCTCCCTGAAAATGTATTCCCCTGTCCTTTCTGGAAAGCATGCGGTGGTACACCCCCTGGTCATGCAAGGCTGGAAGCAATTGTGTTTATTTTTGCAGGAGGATGCGCGCAACACAATCAATAAATACGGGGTGGGCTCCTGCGGGCCGAGGGGCTTCTACGGGACCATCGATGTCCATCTGGACTTGGAGGTGAGCGCCTGACAGTCTGCTGTGCGCAGAGAACATCCACTGGAGCATGATCGTTTGGACCGTCTGGTAGTAAAGAAATTTGTAGTTAGCTTGGGAAAAAGGCCCTCTCGTATCCTTACTGTTGGCTGCCTGACACAGTTGTATTACCGGTTCGAATTTTCTGGCTTGCGTGGGTTCCTGCTGAATCTGCCATACTCCACAGGATGACATGTCCAACAGTGGCTGTGTCATGGAGCTCTTGACGTTGTTCTAGGATGCTACGTAATATGGGCAATGTGCGCAAACAGCATGCGACAGCTGCTGGTGTGTGCAGGAGCGGCTGGCGAGGTTCATGGGGACGCAGGAGTCCATAATCTATGCCTATGACCTGGCCACCATCCCCAGCGTGCTGCCTGCCTTTGCAAACACGAAGGACCTCATTGTCTGTGACGAGGTGCATGACCTTCTTGAGAGCACACCCGCCTACGCATGCAGAACAATCTGATAATGGCGCCTGCTAAGTTGCTGCCGAGGAGCTCTTTCTTGGTTGAGAGGATTGCTTGCAGACATGGAATGTGAGCGGAAGTGTTCCAGCGTGCACGTGGCTTTGCATGCAAGCTGGATGCTAAGAGCTCCATTTATATCTGCCATGCATGCTCCTTCGTGCAAGAGGACACTGTGGCACACCAGTATGAGCAACTGGGGTTTACTGATAAGCTGACGTAGCTGGCAATGCTCTCCGAGGCGCACATCAGCCTTTCTTTGGTTATCTGCTGTACTTCCGGGGCTACTCTGACAAGGCATCTGGAAAGGGATTGTCTGATTTTCTGTATCAATTGAAGCACTCTGAAAACTTACTGAAGGAAATACCGTGGTTGCCTGTTCAGGGCGTGAGCTACCCCATCCAGAACGGGTGCCACCTGTCGCGCGCGTCCATCCGCCGGTTTGCCCACAACGACATGGCTGACCTGGAGCGCGTGCTCAAAGAGATTGACGCAGAGTACCGGCGGCTCAGGCGCGCAGCCCGTGCCCTGCTTTCAGAATGCATGAGCAATTCCATGATTACCCTCGCAGGCATCATTGGATCGGTGCCCATGCATCAGGAGACTGCCCGTGGACCCGCTGCGTCATTTGCGCATGCAGTTCGTTTGGCTGTGCTTTGCTGCAGAGAACACAGTGGTGCTTCTTGGCCGGGGAAGCATGCGGTTGTTGCTGCCAGTGTTCCCTTGGGAGGCCGCCCTTCCCCTTAAGTTTGGCGCATGCTTTTGCTTCGCATGTCTGCACTTCTGAAAAGCGGAGACATAAGGCCGGACGAGGACTGTAAAATAAGCGTGCAATGGTTGCGTGTGGATGTTGTGCTGATTGGTGTGTGGTGGGGTAAACGTGCAGGAAGCCTCTGAACAGGCGGTTCATAGTGGTGGAGGGCATCTACCTGCACTCTGGGGACCTGGCGCCCCTGGCAGACATCTACCGCCTCAAGGAAAAATACAAGTGCAAGCCGCTCCTTCACCACACCTTGCAACGCCCCTTTCATTTGCTTTTGCAGAGGAAGAAGACCCCATTTTGAATCAAAGCCATTGTAGTTCTTGCAAGATCCGCCATGGCTGGGCAGGCATGGAGGGGCCATACTTCCCTGACAAGAACTTGCAAAGCAGAGGAAATGGAAGGCCCTCCGCACATCAGCGCGTATCACTGCTGCACAGTTTATGTTTTGGGAGAATATCATTGCTGCAAGAATTTTGTGCCCTTCTTGCTGGCGAAAAGCTGTGGTATCTCTGTTGCGGTGACTGATGGCGTTTGATTTTGCGCCGAGCAGGTACAGGTTAGTCGTGGATGAGTCGCTGGCGCTGGGTGTGCTGGGGGAGCATGGCCGGGGGGCCTGCGAGCACTGGGGGCTCAGGCCGGGCGACGCAGAGATCGTGTCCGCCTCCATCGGTGCGCAGCAAACCATCCCTTTCACCTTCCATTTCCAGCCACACGGAGCAATCCCTATGGCGCAGTGCCCACCCTCACAGACTGTGCAATTCCTTGCAACACTGCCTCGAGGGGTGCAGCGTGGGGCCCATGGATGACATGCACTGCTGGCTTTGTCTGTGAATGAGCATGCACACGGTCTTGACAAATTGTGATTTATATTTGGTTATTTGCCACAGATAGTGCAATATGTCGTCGCAAATGTGTTGCATACATCCTGAATCAACTCACACTTTGCCGACCTCAAGCGCTAGCTCAGTTACGGTCTAAGTGCTGAACCCTTTATTGGCCAATGCTCGGCCACCACATTTCCCCATGCATTAGACGAGCGGTTTTGAAGCCTGAGCCCTTCCCTTTGACAGCTATCTCATTCCCCAAAGCTCACACTGGCTTCCCAAAGCTGACGCTGGCTCGCATGCATGCATGGGCAGGCAACGCGCTGGCATCGGTGGGGGGATTCTGCGCGGGGGATCGTGAGATTGTGGACCACCAGCGGCTGTCGGGGCTGGGCTACTGCTTCTCGGCATCGCTACCGCCCTTCCTGGCCACCGCCGCCATCGGCGCTCTGGACACTCTCGAGACGGCCGCACCACGCCTGCTGCCGGCTCTGGCCGCCAACGCGCGGCTGCTGCGCTCGCGCCTCGCCGACACTCCAGGTGGGCCCCCGATTCTAGCTTCCTTTTAAATAGCACGCTTCTGGCATTTTTCGCGTCCAGCGCAATGGGGTTGCTTTCCTGTGTGTCATCAAGTATGCTGCCGGCCCAATTTGCAAAAGCGCGCCTGCTGCGCTCACGCCTCGCCGATACCTCAGGTGAGCCCCACTCCTCAGCTGTATTGCCGAGATCAGATTACTGGCCGCGGGTAACCTGCTTGGTCAAGTAACGGCCATATGGGCGTGTACAGGATCCTGAGAAGAAGCTATCTAGCAGCCTTTGATGCCCAGTCTGCGCAGTGCAAAGCTAGTCATCATGCGTTTATTCTGCGCTCGCCCCTGCTCCCTGCTTTCTCTTGCGCTCATCTTGGTTCGCCCTAATAACCGTCTGAGCTCTTAAGAGTGCGCCCTTTGGAGGCTATCACTCATTTGCGCAATCCATGATCCTGAGTGTGCTCTCGTTGCCTGATCAGGCGTGGACGTGGTAGGAATGCCTCGTGACGCCCCGTCGCCGGTGACGCATGTTCGGCTGACGCAGCAGCCGGAGGCGCCAGATCAGGCGGAGGCGCTGCTGCAGAGAGTGGTGGACTCGGCGCTGAAGCGCGGGGGCGTTCTCTTCACCGTACATCGCGTATCTCCCCTGGACCGCATCCGCGCGGCTCCCTCTATACGGTGCGCCCCTTTGCCGACGATGCAACTCGTCGTTTTCTGAGTGCCACAAGCTGTCTCACATCAGTCGCTGGCACCTGATGGCGCAGTGCCGGAGGTTGGTTGTATTGGGCTGCGCCTGGTGTCAGATAGCTCATGTCCCCAAGAGCCGGGGGGGCATTCATCTTGGTGACCCAACAATTGCAAAGTACCAGCCGGATTGCTCCAGCATGTAGACGAAATCTGAAATGACAGCAAGGATATGGCTTGCTAGATACTGTGGTTCTACGAAGCGGTCATGTCAGAGGAGCCTTTGCTGTCAGAGGCAATTGCCCTCTGCTCTCATCAAGCCCACATCTCCGGCTTTGTGTGACTTTGACAATGATGCATTGCAGGGTGGTTGTGACGGCGGTGCACACAGAGAAGGATGTGCTCAAAGCAGTTACAGCGTTGGCGACGGCTGTGAAAGAGGTGTGCAAAGTGTCACGCGTCGCCACTCGCAGCTCATACATGACCAACACAGCTGCCTCATGAGCGCTGCACAACAGGCAAACAGCTCGGTCCTATCATGGCCTTGCGTGGCATAATTTTGCCATGCTTATTTTGAGTGGGAAGGCATGGAAGAACAGCCTGGAGTGAGGAACAACTGTGTATGAACCGACCATCTATTTACTTCCTCTTTGAGTTGACGAGCACTGCAGCCCTTTAAAGTATTAGATCAGGCAAAGCTAGCTGCACTGCCAGATTCTGAGGAGGTCCAAGATATATGGGTATAAGTTGGGAATGACACAATTTGTCAGTCCTCCACGGACCAGGGCTGAATGCAATCATGGCTGAATGCACTCATGACTGATTAAAGGAATAGACAGAGGGCAACCACGCCTGTACAGGCAATGTGATCGAGGCGGTCTCTCGTGTGAAAGAGATCATTGGAATATATTGGTTATGAAGCTCGAACTTACATGTGTACATTGCATATACAGAAATGCAGTGCCCATGCAGAAGCACGAACGTTTCCACATCTCGACATGAAGTGCAAAGGGCCTTCATCAGCCAGATAGGCAGCCTTAGAAGCTTGGAATGAGCACACGCTACTTACTAGCAGTGCGGCTTGTATCCTGGCTTACAAATGCAATACTCCATCTCGGCAGCCGATGGCAAACTTCACACTCTCTTGAGTTCTCCAGAGCTGAGCAGGACTTTAACACAAAACATAAAAACTCTCGCAGCCCTGATTTTCACACCATGGTCATGAGACTGAATGCCACTGCCCTGAGGCATGAAGGGATCCTCAAAGTCCCCTTGCAGGCCTTAGGGCAGTACTCCTAACAATTCCTTGACCGCTCTTCGGAGAATTCTTTGAGCTCTGGTCATTCAAGCGCGATCCCATGCCCTTCAACAGGCTGCACAAGCAAAGCTGGCAGCACTGCCTGCAAGCAGAGACGCAGACTACATCCCAGATGCTCTGTCCTTCAAATACAACACCCAAGATTACTTGAGAGTGGGTGAGATCAGCTTGATCCAACCAAACCAATGCTGCAGCCATCAGTATGACATGTCTTTTTGCACCCACCAAGGAGCGACTGCCTTACCATGTTCGGAAAGAAGTGTGCAAGCCGAGCAGCAAGCAATTGATTGACTGCAAATTATACAACAGGGACAACCCCCCACAAAGCACTCAAAGCCCTGGATGCAAGTCAGCCAAAAAGAAACCACCGTCCTAAGGCTGCAACGCACTTCATCTTTGAGAAAAATAGCCTAATGGAGAGTTTCTTGAGAGCAGAGCAGGACAATGCAATGTTTATACCGGGGCCTCTTTCAGGATGCACAGCAGCGCACAGCGCCTATGATTGTTCATGGCACAGCAGCCAAGTGCACAGGGCATACTTCCACGCCCCAAGCCCTGCAGTCCCTGGCAGGGGACTCTTCATCAGTGCTGCACGACACAATCACACAAGCACACCACATGTTGGTCATCTCTGGGTAGAAGTGGCGAGGCGAGGTGCGCATGGGCAGAACTATTTGATGAGAGGCCCCTGGTCTCCGGGGTATTAATGCAGGGTCAGGCGGCTGGGGGTCGGCGCATGGAGTCCTGAGAGGTGTCCATGGTGGTGGCGGGCAGCCAGCGCATGGGGCCCATAGGCATCCCTGGCACCATGCTGGAGCCGCCCGCTCCAAAATCTGACATGCCCCCACTGCTGGCTCTCCCCGCCTGCACGCATGCCCACAAGCACACCTTTAATAATCATGTTTCCACACTACTTGACTCTTTAGTTTTTGGCTTGGGTTCCTGAAGGTGTCATAGATATCTTTCCTCTCTTTTTTCTCTTTGGAGTCCCTCACTAAAGAAGCAGTGTCTTGCAGTGCATGATGTCAATGGCACGCAATGAGTCTAAAACCATCATGAACGCATCAGGTTTCAGCAAATGCACGAAGCACACGGTGTATATTAGCTGGAAAATTGCCTTGCGGTGAACAAGGTTACTTGACTTGCAGAGATGGCCATGAGAAAGCCACATGACAGGTGGAGCAGCGCACCGAGGGGGAGAGGGGCAGCAGGCTGAGGCCGCTGGAGGAAGCGACGCCCATGGAAGCGTCGTGTGTCACATAGCCGCGCATGCTGGCATGTGCCGGCATGCCGCCGTCGCCGGACTGCTGCAGGGACTGCATGCCCTGCGCTGGGATGCCCTGCACGGGCTGCCCCACCGCCATGCCTGCACATGCCAGCACATGACTGCTTCATGCATGCTCCAGACACCTCATCTTCCTTCTGCATAACTGAGACCATTGCTTGCGGCTTGTGAGTTCCTATCAGAGCTCATTGATGCGCAGGAGATGTACTCAGATAATATGCTTTTCTTGCAGGTACAAAAGGGCACAGGTATCACCTGCGCCATAGTGGGGCGGCATCTGGACAAGATGGGATGGACCGGCCTGCTGCATCAGCGCCGCTTGCATCATCATCTCACTCTTCTGTTTCTCCACCGTCCCCACACGCTCCTGTTGATCCCAGATCATCACATCACCGTCATGCATATGACATCATACAAAGATTAGACAACATTGTGCATGTGTCACGATGTCAAAGCACATCACCTTGAGTACATCTGACAAAACATTTCAGTTATATTCTTGCTCAAATGCCGGTATGTGAGGCGATAGTGCAGCATGGAAAAAACACTGCCCAGCAGGAGCAAATCATTGCAGGCAATGGATGCAGGGAGCATGATGAGACTGCACCTCTAGGAATTTGTTCAGCTGCCGGAGCTGGCCGTTCTCAGCGCGCAGCTGCGTCACGACTCGGATGGCATCTGTGATTATGGAGGACTTGTCTGTCTTGGCTGCCTTGCCTGGCTCCAGCACCTTGGACAGCTCTGAGAAGCTGCAGCAAAAAACATGAATCATTTAACAGGGCTGCTTTAATTACTATACTCTTGCAGCAACATCACAATGCAACGCATGTATCAATAGGCGTCCTTAGGGGATGAACAGGAGTTGCAAGGCGCAATGCACCTCGCAAGGCAGTACAAGGTATGCCAGCAAATGTGCTGCTTCATGCACAACTTTCACTAATCTAGCGCTTAGTTTCAGATTGTTTTAAATAGCTTCAATCCTGAAGGCCTGTTGCAAGGCAAGGCGCTAGAGGACATGCCTGTCGTTCAAACGTTCTCGTCGAGCCCTTTCACGCCCGGCTTTGGTTCTCGCTGCTGCCGAAGAGTCTGCTGGGTAGGATCGTTTCCCCTTCTCCTCACTTTGCGCCGTCGAGTCATGCTTCACACCGCTGGGAGTGTGCCCTCCAGATCCTCCAGAAGCTTGCTGCTGCTCACGACCTAGGTCTTTCAGGAACGTCTCCAAGGACTCGCGCTCGATGGTCTCTCGGCTGCGCTTCCGTCGCTCTTCCTCATCCAAGCTGGGCTGCGGCTCCTCGAAGAACATCGCTGGGGATGCCTCCATCGAGCCCGTCTGAGGTTGAGGTGGTGCCGACCTCTGCGGACGCACGGAACGGTTGTCATCAGCCACATCATTTTCAGCCGGGCACACATCGACAGGGCAGTGGGTACCAGATCACCACAGCGCAGCAAGCAGGCTCATTGTGAGAAAGATATTGTAGAAGGGCAGTGAAGCCCAAAAGCCCCACCTGCGCCTCCTGGCGCAGATGCAATTCGTCCAGTTCCAGCTGCAGCACAGTGTCCGACCATGTGTAATTCAGTAGACCTCCAGAGGGTGAGAAGTTGTCTTGGCCAGGCACCCAGGCGTTGTCCATCTCCAACATTCCCTGGCCCCAAAACCACTCGCCGAGCTGATCTGGTGGGCGGAAGAGGGCAGGACCAGGGAAGCTTGTGTCTAGTAGAGTATCCGTGGTTGCTGAGATCCTTCACGGGCTATGGGAGATCAAGATAATGTGCAGGAGGCAGGCTGCCTTCACGTGAGGACGTGATGGCTGCGGGGCACTCGTAACTGGGTCTCACCGGGATCATGGACTGCCCAAAACATTGGATCCTCTTCAGGCACTTTTCGCTATGCAAATAGTTGTACCACAAATTTTGACCGATGTGCATGTGGCCTCTTTTCAGCTTCAAGGTGATCAGCTTGGATTGATTGATCATGATCAGGTCAAGTCAGGACAGATTTGAATGTAATTACATTGATGCAAATATTTATAAATGACTCATGACCCTGATCAGAAAGGAATTTTGAACTTTGTTTTACCGTAGACCTACGTAGGTATACCGTAGACCTCAGTGAGACTGTAGCAGCAACTTGCAGTTCCTGTTTGATACCAGGTGGCCGCCTCGGGCAAATGTGGGTTTCAATGGCCCATGACCCATTGCACTGCCAGGCATTCACTCGCGGTAATACACACTGTCAAGCCTGAGCTCAGCAAGCTTGCAGGCTGCTTGCTTGCGCAATTCTTCCCATTTGCAGCGGCCGCGGCAGATCCCCGCTGCGGCATGCTGGAGTTGTGCAATATATGCCTGCACAACCCCAGCCTGTCAGGCCCTGAAGAAATCTCAGAATGATGTCAACAGCATAGCGCCTGCTGCGGGGTGACACTACGCGCCCTCAGTCGCGGTCATTACAGTCACCAGCAGACCTCAAGCCTTGCATGCTGATCTTGCATGTACAGATACAGTCTTGTGCGCAGATCCAATTTATTGCAACATTAGTTGAACAGGAACAGAACGACAAGACGAGTCACTATGGATCTGGACACACCCCAGCATGCGTCAAGGAAAGCAGACGCCAGTAGTACTGCAGCTGGGTGTTGTCAAGGGTTCCAGCCATAATCTTGTAGAAGGCTCAGCGCAACGCCGTTTGTCCAGCCAAAGCCGGCCTGCACAGGATACTCTCCGTCTCCTCCCGGATCGCCTGGTTTGCTCGCATCGTACTTCTCAAACTGCAAGCACAAGAAGCCACTCAAAATTGGAGGAACTTTGGCTTGCCGAAGTTGACCCAAATCCCAAGCACCGCCTACCCATCAAGACTCCGTAACACCTTTTCCTTTCCTTTGCCAGCAAGCTAGTGGTGACAGCAGAACGATGCAGGAGCAAACACGACGGTGCAGTTAAGACATCGTCTTCTTCTTTCCCAGCAAGGCCAAACCATAAGCACAGCAGGCGAATGCAGCAGCAAGGGTAGCAGCAAACCATTTGTCTATGCTTGCGCCAGGCTGCAAAGCAGGTCTCCAACCAGGCCTGCGCAAGCAGCCGGCCGTCGGGGCTGGCGCGCATTTGTGCGCGGCCGACGGCTTCAGCCGCCTCGATGAGCATCGCCTGAAGAGGCGGCCATGCGTTCCGGCCGTCCCACTGCTGCCCCGTCTCCGACAGCGATGTCGCTATACCCCCTCGCTGCATTAGGCCTAAGTCACCCAATGTGGTCGTCAGTATAGTAATAGGCTTAGTAATAGGAATGACTACAAGAGAAAAGGTGATTTCCAATGTCTAACACGGCCGATGGCTCCCAGTCAAGTACAAAATTTCTGAAAGCTTGCAGAAACCTTCATGAGCCACTCTTCAGGTGCGGGTATCCTGCCGAAAGGAAACAATATTGGGTAGGGAACAGCGCGCACCTGATGCCTGAAGGGAGTTGAGGCATCTGGTGGCCTGTTCAGAGCCCGGAGCTGCCACGCCCGTCCACAGAGGAATGTATGAAGAGGCAAAGACGCCTTCCGGTGCCTGATGAGCGATTACTGCCTCTCCCCCTGATCAGGATGTTAAGAGAAGGCATGAGCAGCTGTACATCTGTCCTCCGACAAGCTTGATATTGTAGCGTCACTTCTCAATGTGGAGCAAAGCACAGCTTTCTTGCACCGGCAGCACCTGTAGCGGGTGGTTGCCTGTCGAGGATCAGGTCCTTCCAGCATGCAGATGACTCGTGCCACATCAGCGCATTCATGGCCGACCGCCTTGACTCGCTGGCACTGCTGTACATCTCCTGCAGGCTGGGCTTCCCAAGGATCTGCACAGCCCAACGCAACACAGCCTCATAACACCGCATCTTGATGCTGACACACAATTCTTTCTCCCACTCAGGCAGAAAACACAACTAGTACATCAAGGGAGGCAATACAGCAACTGCATGGGCAATCGTGAATACCCAGCTGATTCGCAGGAGCCTGCTAGAAGATCATCCAGGGACTTTGTGAGTCTCAAGCACATGCGCCAGGAGGCACACCTCGGCAAAGCGCGCCATGTCGAATTCAAATTTGAAAAGGAAGGCGTTGAGGTCAGCAGGGATGACTCTCGTCGTCTGCAGTGATGCCAAGGAGCGGCCATCAGCCATCCAACGAGAGGAAAAGTCCCAGCCAGACTCTGCTGCACTAGCAATGTCCCTAAACAGGCCCTCTGCTTCGGTCTTGCTCCCTCCGAGCAGGGCTGCTGTGGCAACATCCTCCCTGCACATGGCACATGCATTGATCATCTCTGCCGGTGCTGCCTCTGTGCGCAGATACACTTGCCAGCTTTGCCAGTGCTGCTGCTTCTGTGCGCAGCATTAGCTAGTGTATGAAAAGAAGGCTTGATGCAATGGTACAATGTAAGGCTGGTGGAAAGACTCCTTTCGCATGTAGGCCTGTCTTAGATGACTCTAGCACTGCAAGTTTCTAAATGGTAGGGGTGACTTCACCTGTAGGATTCAGGGCGGGGCTGTGTGGTGTTTGCATAGTAACGGGACAAACTCACAGTGCTGCCATTTGGCCCAACCAGTCGGACAGCCTTGGGCGGCTGATTCCAGTACTTGTACTCCTGCTGTAGCGCCTCAAAGGCCTCCAAAAGGAACAGAGTATCTCTCTTTGCCTCGTAGATGAGGCTCACCATGCTGCTCAGCAGAGGAGGTTGGCTGCATGACAAATATCAGAACAAGTTGACTTCAGGGCTCTCACACAAGACATGCCTCACAGGGGAGTCCAAATCACTCTGGAATGGTTCTGATGCAGGCTAGCAAGCTGTAACTCCTAAATAGCTAATAAAAATCTAGTGAGGAATTTATACCTGCGATTGAGATAGTATGAGCGGGAGCCATTGGGCACGTGGCCATGCTCTTGCAGAAGGTGAAGCAGATTCTTCACAACAGTCTGCATGGCACCATGATGCATCAGTAAGTCTCCAGATCATTTCCCATAAGCAGAATTTGCTCGCTCTCTTTGCATGTAACTTTGAGAAGCTACTGATGGTAGCATGAGAATTTAATGAGGATAATTGACCTCTGCGCTGGCAGGCATCTGGCTGACAAGCAGTCCCTTGACCACCCAGTAGGTGTCCCAGTAGTACAGCTCTCTAAATCGTTGCCCAGGAATGAAGAAATATCCCGGCAAGGGCAGAAGAGTGTGCCGTTCAGGCTGCTCCTGTACGCTGTCTGCCACCTGTTTAACGGTTAAACTTTAACCACACCAAAATGCAGGCTCACCACTGACGTTTGCACCAACAATCATTTCCTGCTTGCTGGGTGCAGACACCTTTCGGGGTCTCGAGCACTACGGGCCACGTCTGCCAGCAACGTGGATATTGACCATATGCCGCATCAGAGCATATGATACACATGCCACCTGAAAACTGAAAACTGAAAACTTTACTGTCAAACACTGCAGCTGTGGTGCCCAATCCCCACTAGATTACCTTGCGACATAGCTGCGGCCAGAGGCAATGCAAGGCAAGTGCCCACGCCTTGACTTCCTCATCCTCGATCTCAGGCATGAAGTTGCAGGGATCAGAATTGAAGTCTTGGGGCATGTGGTCGTCAAGATCACTGCGCATCAGGAAGCCACACATCCAAAGAATCTCTCAAGGTCCAAGGAAGGTCAAGGTCCAAGGTCCTGCTGCATGCAGGAATCAAGCAAGCAACAACTGTCAGGCACTCAGAGGAACGTTGTCCACCTTCCCGGTCCCTCAAAGTACTGCGTCGCCAGTAATAAATGGTCATTTGGGTGGCTATTTGTCATCACTACTTCCCTGAAGGCCTGCAACACTTCAGCTGAAGCTGCCTTGAGAGGCAGGTCCCTGCAGCAGAAGAAGAAAATATCTTTTCACTCACAATGATAAGACTTGAAGATGTGTCCAAGTGATTCGAGGGATTCACGCGTTCGCAACATAGCAGATGCCTGCAGCTCTGACACCATCTGTTTTTGATCCAGAGATATTGACGAAATGACAGTGACAACATGATCGGTGTTTGGCGGTTGACACTTACACATATGATTTTGAGTCGTCATAAAGCCCCGTATTATGCAGAGTCTTCATCAGATCAGCATCCTTCCATATGTCACACATCCTCTGGAATAACGCCACCGACGTGCCAGATACAGCAGCTCACTCTGGCTCAATGTCTAATACGTTATCCAAGTGCTTTCTACATTGAAAGATGGTCGAGCTGCTCGACTCGAGCACTTCCTTGTCAATTGGCATGGGGCAGATGACTCATCATGTTTCGAATGCACTTTCCGACAGCTCCAGATCTGGCCGATCTGTTCCTCTTCAATCGAGATTTGGACTATCTCTTGAGATCTAAAAGGGACAAACCATTACAGTGTATCGTGAACGAAGGCACAGCCAAACCATTCACTGCACTGGTAAAAAATGGGGTCTCACAGACAACTCCGACTTGTCTGTGAGACCCGAGTTGTCTGTGAGTCACACCCCGGTACCCCCAACTTGGTGCCCCCCTTCAGCCAAAGGGCACCACAATATTGCCTGTGATCTATTTGTGAAGTCAAGACACCAACGTTGGCATGTACTGTAACACAGGCCTAGGCTCTCCCAATGAGAACGCACGCGCAGTGCATCAAAGCCTGCTGACCCCGCCGATATCAAACGACCTGCATGAAATCAAACAATTTTTAAAACAGCAATGAGCCCTTTACTCAAGTTTGCAACGCAGACACCTAGAGCAGGCATGCACAGGGTACACACTTGCTCAACTTGCTAAACTGCCACGTCATGCCCGATTCGATTGTTCCTGAAAAATTGTTCAATGACATGGCACCGACCCACCTCTTGGTAGCAAGGGTCGGCGCTAGATACCGGGCTTTAGCCGCAATGGTGTTGCCATGCGCAGAGAGAGCTTCAAGACCTTCTCAGCACGAGTGCTGAAGCGCCTCCGCCGCCATTGCAGATAGCCGCTACGCCAACGCTGCCATTGTTAGCTCCCAGTACTGTCAGCAGCCGCACAATTATTGCTGCTCCCGAAGCGCCAATGGGGTGGCCTAGAGCCACTGAACCTCCGTGCATGTTCACCCTGCACGGTGTCAATCCATGCCTTGGCAATCCCACACAGACCGCTGCCTTGCACAAGTGCAGCATTCAGAAGGCTGCGTCAGAGTTTTAGATCGTGTCAGGATGTCTTTTGCTTTGACATGCAGTTAATGGTAGCAGCACATGTGATACCAAAGCTTATGGCTTGAGCACAGTTGCAGTCTCACGGGCTGTGTAGCATCCACATGTTGCATGAGAAGCCATGAATTTTGACGTGGAGAGGGCATGTCTGCAGCAGAGCAGGGCGCCCACAACGCACCGCTCAGGGTCCAGTTGCAGCAGCCTCCGGTTGACAAGGTCCACAACGCTGAATGCCTCGTTGATCTCATAGCAGTACACCTGGCTTGGGGCCACGCGCGCGGCTGAGATCGCCTTGGGAATGGCCTGCGCCGGCGCCGTGGTAAACTCCTGCGGCGCCTGTGCTGCGTCTGCATATCCCAGCACTGTACCGAGCACCTGGCGTCAAACAAAAAGTAGCCATCAGAGACAGAGGAACTAAGCCTGCCTTCTAGCGGTTATTTATAAGGCCTTGGTAGGCCGCTCTCTTGCTCACAGATCCAACATCAGTGCTTCCTCTAAGAGCGCAACACAGCAGATAAAACCGTCAAAGCCCAGCGTAGGGCAGAAGATACATGCCATCTAATGACAAGAGAGATGGACGCACCTTCAAGCCCATCGCGGCAGCTTTTGCAGCCGACATCAGCACAAGCGCAGCCGCTCCATCGGTGATCGGCGATGCATTGCCGGCCGTCACGGTGCCCTCGCCGCTCGGCAGAGGGAACGCTGGCCGCAGCTGCCGCAGCCGCGCAGCGTCCAGCTTTCCCGGAGCTTCGTCCTCCGTCACCATCGTTGACGGCCGGCCTCTCTTGCCCACCACCTCTATGTGTATTACCTCCTGCAACAGCAAGATTATCACTTACCTGCAGCCTCCTCTCAGATGCATGATAGGTGATCACGCACTGCCAGAGGCCCACAGCAACAACATGCCTTTGTGCATACAAGCTAGACATCCCTTCTATACACCGAAATTTGTTGTCCAGGATAGTCATCACTACAATTGAGCTGGCAGCTTTCGATGGGGACAGGTGCAGCAACGCACCGACTTTGTATAGCCGCGCTCCCGGGCTGCTGTCGCTCGGTCGTGACTCGCAAGCGCATGGGCGTCCTGTTCCTCTCGGGAGATGCCATACTTTGCCGCGCAGGCCTCCGCGCACTCTCCCATATGGACGTCGCTGTAGGGGTCCCAGAGCCCATCAGAGATCATGCCATCTGTCAGCTGTCCGTGGCCCATGCGCAGGCCTGATCTGGCGCCCTTCAAGTAATACGGAACATTGCTCATGCTCTCCATGCCTCCTGCCACTACAACCTCATTGGCTCCTGCATCCGACAATCCAGTAGTGTCATTGCTGCAAGTCTGGTGCAGGTTGTATTTCTGCCCATGTCCTGACCCTCAATCCTCATCAAACTGAGTGCCCCCAGGACCGAGCCAGGCCTGTCTTGCATCCTGCCTTCCCTACCAGGTGCTCTCATGATTAGCAGGTCAAGCTGGCACCTAAGGGTCCAGTGGATTACAAAGTAGTTGCAGTACCAGATCGGGTCAAGGAGAGTCTGAGAAGTGTACAATGCAAGCTGACGGGGTAATTGCTGCCAAGCATTCGCAGTGATTGATGGGATGGGTGATCACCTGTCTGGATGCTCTGAGCTGCTAGCATGACCGCTTTCATGCCGGAAGCGCACACCTTGTTCACAGTTGTGCATATTACGGATTGAGGTAGTACCGCCCCAAGAGCCGCTTGCCTTGCAGGCGCCTGGTTTGCCAGGCACAGCGTGCTCATTTCTCAGAGAAAGCAAAGGCGCCACTTGGAACCTCAATAGTGATATGTGCGCAATGGCAGCTGGGGATCACAATTTTGACTGGTCTCTGCTGGGGAATTTGGGGAGGCACACCTGTCCAAGCCCTGCACTGAGCACGTTCCCCATGAAGACCTCCTGGACCTGGCCTGGCTCCAGCGATATTCTTTCCAAAGCCCCTGCAATGCAGGCACCACTCAAGATAACACTAACACCATTGCAGCATGGACATTAGCGCCCGGTGGTAAACCAGGTGGGCAAGTCACGATGCTAAAATGTCTACGTTTAGCGGGAGGCATTAGAACACCTTGTATGGCGAAGGACCCCAGCTGCGTGGCAGATAAGGAGGAGAGTGAGCCTTGCAGACTGCCAAAGGGTGTGCGCACTGCGCTCACGATCACTGGGGTGCGGTCTTTCTCTGTGCACAGCACAAAACAGAATGAAACCTTCAAGGCACTTCAGCTTTCGCAAGCCACGTCAGTCGCGAACAAATTATGATGCTGCCAAGGATATCTGGATTCATAAGGTTGCTTTCATTTGTATGAAGCAGGAGTGCAGAAAGGGTTGTTCATGAATCAATAGGTCCCTACCTCCCATTGCGTGCATGCTTGCCGTCGTCACGATGCTCCTGTGCAATTGATAATTAAAAGGTGCCAACAAATTCGATATCTTCTCCAGGCTATTTACTGTCCACCTCAGCTGGTGTGATGGGGGAAGTCGCATTGGTATCGCCTGAGAATTCTTTTAAAGCAATCTGAGATGCCTTGCGATCAACGAAGGTATGTACGTAGTATCAATTTAACGTGGATTTTGCAGCAAGTCTCGAGAGATACAATACAATGTGACAGGGGAAGACAAAGGTCATTCTTGGACTGCTGAGTCAGGGTGCCCGTAAATTACACGCAGGGAACTACGGATCAGGACATTTGGCTCCAAATGCACACAATCGACTCACTTGAGGAACTAGATCGGCGGTGAAATCGTCAATTGTATCTTGTCACATTCAAAGGTTCTACCAGCCTGTGCATTTGCTACTTGTGGCTGCTTCTCATAGCTTCTTGGGCGGCTTTTACTTATTTATCCCATTTCGATCGCAATTAGTACACCAACAGTTGTTATTGTCTGACATCCTGACACGATGTAATCAAAATGATTTCGATGTTCATCTAAGATAGTTCATCTGATCCATAGTCAGGTTAAAGTTCCAGCTTAGGGAAGGCATGCCGTGAGCAACTAGGCCTTTGAAGGGTTTCTCAGAACGGATGATGCTTGCCTGAATGGTTCTATAAAATCGAGATAACAGCATGTATGATTTTGCGCTGCGACACAAGCTGCTGCGCCAGTTTCTGGGCACATCGTGCAATCTGGTCGCTCAGTGCTTTTGCTCGCCTGGGTCTCGGACATCACTCAATCAATGGGCCGAAGGGTCAGCCATTGGAAACTTTAAAGCACAGATAATGGTCCGAGATTACCGTCCAGCTAGTGCCGCGCTGCTCGAGTATATTAATGCTGGGATCCTGACAGGCAGTTACGCCCACCCATCTGATCACAGGGGCCAAAGCCTGCCCAGTGACAGGAGGAAGTTCTCTACTGTCCCTGCAAGGCACCAGCAGCACCAGCAGGAGCGCAATGCTGACATCATTGCACACCTGAAGAGGCCCCAGCGGGCACAGAACCTGGAGGAAGCGCAGCGGCTGAACAGCATGCACGAGTGGCCGGTGCGTCATGCATTCTCCTGCTCTCAGCATCACTCACTGGCATAAGCATTTCTTGGGCTTGTTGACCACGGCTCTTGCAGGACTCTCCTCCTGCATGCATGTGTTGTCCCTCACAACCTCCAGTGTCTGCCTTGGGCTTGCCAGGGCGATAGCAAGCCACGCATGCCTTCTCTGATCTACCTTTTGCGACAGTACCTCAAGAGCCACCTTCTTGTCGAGGAGCCGCTAAGGAGCTGATTGCTGACCAAGCCAACAAGTATCAATGAACAGCGTGGGACACTGTGCATGTGAATAACGGTTTGTCATTTGGATCATCCAGGTGAAATGCAGGCCCCAGTTAGTGAAAACATTGAGTACCAGCTTGGCCCAGGCATTTCAGCATCAATCGGAACGAGTAGAGTGATTTCTTCATGCACGCAGGTGATAGCATTCCGGCCGGACGGTAGCGTGGAGCAGGCGGTGCAGACGTCTGAGACGCTAGGATTGGCGCCGCGGGACGTGTCGCTGTTCGCGCCGCGGCCGGCGGGGCTGTCCAGTCAGCGCGCCACCATCACTCCGCGCGAGGACGCGCTGCTCGTTCGCACCGAGATCGCCGCTGCCATTGTCAAGCGCGATGCGGCCTACGTCTTCCCCTGTCGGTGCGCGCCCCTGCACACACGATTACCTCTGCAGTTCCGTATAAAGGTTATGTCAGGCGTCGGCTTGGGCTGCTCTTATGCCATATCAAGCGCTGGGTACTCCCGCTGCGCACCTACTGATAGGAGATGATGACCTCAAACTATGACTGGGCACCTTAGATGCATCGTGGGGCTACATTTAATAGTGGCGCCCTGCGTCCGCTCAGCTTACTTGGCCAACGCCGGCTAGGAAAAATAAAGCCGGCCTTGCCCATTTTTTGTCAGGGAAGCTGCTTCAAGGTGCATGTATGCTGGCGCGCGCAGGCGGGACCGCGACACGGCGCGCTTGGCGCAGGCAGTGTTAGACCACGTAGCTGAGGCGTCGCCGCTGCCCTTCGAGCTGCGCGTGCTGGAGGCGCTCCTGGACGAGACGGCGCGCCAATTCGAGCGGCGGCACCGGCGGCTGGAGCTGCTGAGCGTGTCCATCGAGGAGGACATCTCCAAGAACCTGCGCAACATCGGCTCTGACCTGCAGCGCCTGCTGCCCATCCAGCGGTGGGGACCTCTCCATGCGACAAACCACGTCTTTGGTGTCCGCCTTATACTTCATAGGGATGTTCAAATTATTTTCCATAAATTTCAGCAGGAGCACCTGCCAAGGGAATCGACACCTCAAGAATGAGTCAACATGCATGGATGCTATGCAGCTGGATGCAACCAATCAGCAGGGAACCTGTCATTGTTCCAAGCCCATTTCTGCTGCATGACAATAAAAATTGCCGTTGCAGCTCAGAAGAGCTACTTCAACACTGCATCAATGTGCTTTCATTTAGACTGTTGACCAGTGCCGCACTTACGGTCTTGCAGGGCGCTTACAGAGATGTAGCAGGGGGAACAGAGCCTCACAGTCTAGGACTCAGCATTAGTAATATGTGCACGAGCTTAGTCAGCCAATTCATTGCTTGCAGGACGCTGACAGAGATACAGCATGATGAAGCAAATCTCACTCTGTGAGATTTAGCATCAGTGATAATGATGTAATCTCAGTCATCCCGGTTGTCTTGCAGGGCGCTGACGGAGATGCAGCACGACGTGAACCAGATCTCACAGTCCAATTTTTAGCATTAGTAATATATAAATAAGCTTATTCATCCTGCAGGGCGCTGACGGAGATACAGCACGATGTGAAGGAGGTGCGCGAGGCGATCCAAGAGGTGGTGGACAACGACAAGGCGCTGGCGGCAATCTGCCTGAGTGATGCCCCGGAAGAATATGAGCCGGGGATGGCGGCGGGGGGCCGGCAGACGCCGAGCATGCGGCTGGCAGCCGCGCTCCTGGGAAGCTACGAGCGCCAGATCCAGTCCGTGGAGGGCTCCCTCAGGGTGAGTTGCTCTGCCTGCTGCATTGCGTGTTGCTCCCTATCAGGTGCTTGCATTGTAATGATCTTGGGGTTGAGCTTAATCTTGACCTAAAACAAATTATATAGGCGTTTTTGCTGGGAGCTGCACTCCTCCTGGCCAGTCACAACCTGCGTCAGTTGCGCCGAAGGCAGTTCTAGACACTGTGCAAGTGCCTAGCGCTGCCTCAAACACCAGTGTTGCAGGTCTGGCAGCAGAAATATAGTGTTGACTCGCAGTCGAGACCAAGTCAAGGCAAGACTCCCAGGCTGCTAGGGGTGCTGGGAAAGGGACATCCGGGTGGGGCCTGTGTTGGGGCCATGGTGCAGGGCATTGCCCTCACATCATGCACTACTGCTTGCAGGGCCCTGCCGTCGATCGGCAGCAACAGCACAACCTTGCTCAGACAGTCAAACAGTGTCCCTTCTCAGAAAGATGTTCATGTAGTAATCCAGTGGACCCTAAGGTGCCAGCTTGACCTGTATCTGCCCGTTACCCCTGTATATCATCATTATTATTATTACTAATATTATTGTTATTATTATTATTATTATTCCACGTTTTCCAGTCCTTAAGGACGAGGTCCCCCTGTAAATACCCCACAGGAGATGGCGGAGAACCTGGAGGTGTTCCGGGAGGTCTGGAGCATGCACCTGAGCGCGACGCGCAACCGCATCATCCGCATCAACCTAGTTGTGACCGTGGCCGCATTCGCGCTCTCCATCTGCATCGTGCCCGCCTCCTTCTTCGGCATGAACCTCCCCCACGGCCTCGAGGTGCGCCCGACATTGAAGGATGGCACTGTGACAAAGTGTGGGCTGCACAGCTCGGAAGAAGTGAAAGAGGTGCTCAGAGACCGATCAGCACTGGTTTCTAGAAGGCTCACATGCACTGTCAATATGCACCTGGTGTGCGTTCTGGTGGAAGACTTGGGCAGTCCATTGGCTCGTGCACTGTCTGTCCGGTGACTAGCCTCGAAGAATTGCCCAGAGGAGGTGTCAAGCGGAAAGACACATTTGAGATTATTGGCCATCTGGCGCAGGACGACCCGGCGGTGTTCTGGCCGATAGTGGCGGTGTCGAGCGCGGCGTCGGTGGCGATGTTTGGCGCGGTGTACGGCTACTGGCGTTTCTGGCCCAACCGGCGCCACGAGAAGCGCGTGCTGGATCTCAAGGCACTGCGCGATCTGCTGCTGTACCACGTGGACGACCTCGAAGATATCATGGCCGCCCTCAAGTCCCGCCACGACTCAGACCTCCGTGCGCGCCTTGGTCTCCTTCTAAAAAAAATTGTGTATCTTATTTCGTCATGTTCAGCGTGAGCGGCTGCAGAACAGGCACTGGTGCAATCGGGAAGTGGTTGGTGATCCGTTGTAGCTTTTGGGGATGCTATGGTGAGGGCCAGGCGGCCAGACACCTGCAATACTCTGGCGGAGTACGCATGTCAGGTGTGACATATGCCGGTGTGATGTTGGCAGTCGTAAGGACCATGTGTATGTACCCCTGCATGACGAGGCTGGTTGATTGGTGATGCAGAGTCCTCCAGCGAGACAGGCATCGACCAGCAGGAGTTTGCCACCCTCGTCCGCCAGGTCATCAAGAACCGCGAGGTAAGCCGCACCTCTGATCGACCCCGCAGGGAGCAGCATTCCAAGTCACCACATGCAGGCTCTCCTGTCATGGTGAACTCTTCTTTGCAAGGACACTCCTAAAAGTGCCTCCATGATGCACTCCGAGATTAAGGAGGGTTCCTTTGGGCTGTAGAAAAGTCCTTTGAGATATGTAGGTCAAACACACTTAGTCCTCACAATGCTGAATGAAGTGTATCCTCAGAATGTTGATTGACGTGCGGAAAACATTTGTTCTCAGAGTGCTATACGAGATGTTCACAGTCATCGCATGCATGTGGTGTGCAGGTGCGGAGGGACGAGCTGGATCTGCTGTACAGGGTGTTTGACACCAACAGGAATGGATTTCTGGAGTTGGGCGAGGTGGTCAAGCACCAGGAGCACTTGGACAAGTCCTATGCCACAGACCAGGCCATCGCCCGCGCGGCCACGGCATTATTTTGATTTGTTTTCTGTACATAACTTTAGTCACACATTTATACAGTCATTGCTTGCACTTCCTCGTATTGCTTGCACTCTCCCTGATTATGTAATATATATACATTGAATGCTTGTCTCAACATTTATGTACTTTACAATCGTGCGGTCTCTACCATACCTATTAGTTTTCTCTGCCAAGCTATGCTGACTAGTAAATATTGTAATGTAAACCCACTTTACTAAATTGCCATCCTGTAGTGTACATGTGCTGCTTTTACAACACAAGTGGCCTTCATAAAATGCAATGGAACAAGCAGCTGCAAGGCTATCCTCCTTCTCCTTCGCAGTCTTGCAGACTCACGCTCTGCAGCTTCTGCTCAGCCAGCTTCTCACGCAGACGCCAGGCAACGTCAATCTCTGAGTTTAGGCGCTCCTGTAGGCACTGCATCTCCCGCAGGTCCGACAGCCGTAACCGCTCAAGTGCCAGAACTCTGCGCAACAGACCACACCGCGCATCAGCTTTGCTAGCACAGCGCTCAGAGAATCTGCAGAGAGTTTGTTCCCCAAGAGGAGCATGAGAGATTGCCATGTCAGATCCTGGTCATCTCATTTCTCCTGCTGCAAAAGAGACTTGCATTTCTAATTCAAGACCAGGTGTCTGGGAAACATTGCACCCACACAGCCGGCCAAACACATGGCCACCAACTGACCTGTTGCACAAGCTTTAAAATAAGAGGACTCAGCCTTTGTGAACAAGCTGAGGCTGCAAGGAATCCTTGCTCACAATGGTCTCACCTCCTCATCTCCAGCTCCAGCTTTCCCAGGTGCCCCTGCTCACTTTGGATGGCCCTGGCAACCTCCTCCCATGCAGCAGACTCAACCTTGTCCGCTTCCACCCCTCCGCCCGGCTGCTCCGCACCCTCTCTTAAGCCTGTGCACCCAATCACACCGATGCTCACCTTGAGTCTCTGGGGCCCATTTATCAAGCAGGGAAATCCTCATGCTGCACGCAAGCCTTGCCTTGCCTTTCAAACCAGGGATGAAAGGCAAACGGCCCTGCACAGCCATGGCAACCCAATCCACAGAGAGGTCTGGCTTGCCAAGGGATGCATGCTTTCCCCAATAAGTGTCGTTTAAGCATCGCGATTTTGGCAGGGCCCCAGGTCTGAGCCCAGGGCTGATGTGCTGTGCACCTGTCAGGGCTTGCGTGCTGCGCTGCAAGGCGTGCGCGAGGTTGAGCTTCTCGTGCACAAGTGTCGCCTTGGACGCCTGCAGCTGCTCTGCCAGCTCTCCAGCCGCCACAACCTCTGCGCGCAGCCGCTGCACCTGCTCACACCACACACAAAATCGCTTTGAACCTCTAGAACCCCTCCACCCTCTTTTGAAAGTGTAAGCTTGCAATGCCCGGCGCAATGCCCACACTCGCTAGTGCCACTCCCCATGACAGAGGATGATCCAATTACTTTCCAATTACTTGGTAAAGTCCTGGCTTTGATCCTGACGTCCGGTAAATGGTTTGTTTTAAGGATGATGCCATGGACACTCCCAAGGTAAATCACAACATATGGTGGGAGGGCATATGGAACCTGCCGTGCCCTGCCATGCCAAGCCTCCCCTGCCTGATGACCTCAAGACAGAACTGAGCATCTGCCGAGTGATGCACGGCACTTGCTTTAGAGGCCTCTGTCCCCAATTACTTTCAGGGCTTCAAGCTGCGAATGGGAGATACCCAGGTGACGGCCTGCTGCGCGTGGCTTCTGGCGCAGCGCTCGTTCTCCTTCTCGACAACTGCCGCCTTGGCCTGCGCCTCGGCCGCCTGCTCCAGCCGTTCTGCCTTGCGCTTCCAGTGCGCCACCTGATCAGCCACCATCACACATCCTTGACACGCATGCACCCACGTGTGTGCTGAGCTGTGTAGAAGAACGGATGAGAGAGTGGTATGCAATGGAGGGAGCACCTGATGCTGGGCGCTGGAGAGTGCGGTCTTGGCCAGCTGCATCTTGCCCAGCATGCCCGACAGCTCCCCCTGCAGCAGCTGCATCTCGGCCCTGTCCCGCGCAGCCGCCTCCCTCTCACTGGGCCCCAACTCGCCTGCCACGCACGCACTATGTTTCTCATCACCTCAATACTTGGGGAATGGCACTTTCATCTTGTAAAGAAAGTGTCATCATCAATGCACACTGTTTCTGCCAAAAGGCAAGCAGCATTTCCCTACTTCTGAGGGGGAAATTTCTCTTAGGTGCTTGGGCATTTGTAATCGCTATTGATATTGAATTATGCTGAAAAGAAGCAGAGCGAAGAGCGGCGCACCATAAGCTAATCTCCTGTTCTGTGCAAGCGCTGCTTCTGCGTCGGCCAATGCATGCTCCAAGGAGGTGACCCTCTCTCGCAGCTGCTGCCGCTCTGCATCGCTCCTCTCGTGCTGCTGCCTCATCTCCCTGCGCAATAGATCATCTCCCTTGATGATACTGCCCCCACGCACACCCCGGAAGTATCCAACATTGCCTTGCAGAGCAGCGTAGACCATCTTGCATGCATCCTGCCTGGCATCAAGCCATCAACATGATTTGCATCCTTCAATTCCTGTGGAAAAACAAGGGGGCTATAGTGGAATACCATAGCCCTCTTGACGATAGATTCAGGCAAGGCATTCTGCGACAAACCTTATGTCCTGCGCTGCGCAGTCGCTGCCAGCCACAGTAGCCTGCAGCTCAGCCTCTGTCAGCCTCAGCCGCTGCCGCAGATCTGCCGCCTCTGCTTGCGCAACCTTCGCTGCTTCCGCATGCCCATCCGCCTCTTCCTGCTTGACACACCATCATTCACTACTCCAGCATAATCCCTGAGAGGGCTTGTGAATTGATAGAAAGTACCACCTGCAGTAATTCAGGTGGTCTGTCCAGCCGAGGCATATTGTACCAGCTGGCAAGGTTTCATGAAGGTGGCATGTGTGCACCTTCATGCCGATGACAGCCTCCTCCAGCTCGTCTCTCTGCCTCTCCAGCCACTGCACCTGCTCCATCCGCCTCTTTGCATGGCTCTGCAGCCTGTGCACACACCAACACCTCATTACTGGAGTGCAATCGGTGCAGCACAATCGGGACAAGGTGACGCCTCTCAAGGCTTGCGGACCACGTCAGGGCTGCAGACGGCTTGGCGTATGACTCAAGCTTAGCAATTTCTGGGCCTGAAGGAAGTGCGGCTTGTGCAATGATTGTGAGGCTCACTTGTGTCTCTCGGCTGTGAGCTGCTCCACTTGCCGCTCCAGATCTCGAGCCCTGCTGCGCTCCAGCTCGGCCTTATGGGAGGCCTCCTGCTTGGCTCTTTGCATGGCCAGGATCCGGCCCTCATACTTCTGTTGTTCGACCTGTACATGACAGCCAGCCTTTATTTTCTTTGGCTGTTCAGTTGGCTAGGGAGGTGATCATGTCTGCACGTAGGGTGAAGGTTGTTCGGCCTAGTGAGGCCTAGGCTGAGCAGCTACCTGTAAGCCTTCCAGGACACTGGCAAGGAACCCGTTCTCCTCCTTGAACGTATGAAGCTTTTGTACCAACTGCAACAACAGGGTTAATTTAATGCTTTGGGCTGATGTTGCATGTTTTGGAACTTATGCACCAGGTACTATATTGGCCACCGTTGCTTTGCAAGTATTAACGAGAGAGCTTCTTCGGTTAGGTGCAATAAGAAATGTGGCAGTAATGACGTTATAAGTACCTCTGTAAACGTATCTTTCTTAAAGCTCGACGCCCTGCTTGGCAAAGTCTGGACCTTCACAGAACCCATTCTCTTTTGCTAAAGGGCGTCACAATCCATGGACATCCCTGATGTCAACCAGCATGGTTTCTTATCTACGTGCTCGTGTCTGCGATACTCTGGCACTATTTGGTCCTTGTTTACTCCATCTTGTTCTGTACAGAGCCAAAGGAAGATATGCTCGGGCCCTGAAGTACCACAGCGCTGAGAAGGAGTCAAACAAGGATCTTGAATTTACCACAGCATAGATCGATGTGCTTGAATGCTCGGATGATCTCGAACGCACAGGAGTCCACAGGTTTGACAGCCAGATGGTTCGAAGGTGGACCATCTGCCAAGTTTGGCTCCAAGGGTATATCGGATAAATGTGAGGACTTTGCGGTGTCGAGACGAAAGGTGCAGAAGAGTCGCCCCCGTCCAGGTCAAAGGGTCACCGTCGTCACCGACCCATATGGACCCATGTGGCCGCGCTGATCTCACAACTCGCAACTCCAGCCATTCACAAACCCGCAGAGCCCACTCCCAGCAGATAAACGCATTGTCCGCACATCTCAGCTGGGTCATCCGCCGCTCGGGACAGCAGGCATCGGCTGTACATTGCAGCGCACAGGCTTCCCAAGATGGCGTCTTTGCTCCTCCGCGTTGTTCTTTGCGTAGCGCTCGCCACCGCCGTTTCCTGCGCACCCATCAGTGAGTTTTTGGCACACAAGGGTCTTTCACATGTCCTGCAGATTCAGATGTCGATGAACTGGACGGTTGCTCGCACTTGACAAAGATGCGAGCTGTGGTTAGGTCTTTTGTTGGTTTCTTTTATGCTCGAGGTAAGAGGAAGGCGTTGATCACATCGGCATCTTGAACTTTTCTTTCATCTTCATTGAAACAGAGGCATGTGGACTATTCCCCATTCACTAGTGTTGGCACAAATCTTTTGCACTCCCAGAATCCTCACTTTGTGATATTTTACTTTGGGCGCACCTCTGACTGCTGCATGACATGCAGTAATTGTTTTGGAGGAATAAACTCTAGATGCAACGTTCATAAATCCATCCTATCGCTTCTTGGCGGACATCCCTAGATGTCGTCTTGAACGCGTCGGCCCTGCCTTTGCGTGCAGGCCCGACCTTGATCTTCCCCCCGAATAGCCCGAATAGAGAACCCCATAGCTTGTCTAACGTTCATACTTGTGCTTTGTGATGATCTATTGATGGAAGTAGTGGTGGTCCTTGCCCTGCTAGAAAGTCAGAGTGTCATCCATCCTTGGGCTGTGCAGGTCTTCACTTTAATGACCATGCACAGCCTGTCAAGGCAAATTTTCAATTTCCCCCAATAAACTTTCTGTCTCGCATCCCTGGCTGGCATCAGCCAGCCTTGACCTTCCACTTACTGGCAGGACCAAGCTGGATCAGACCTCATCTGCTGTGCACGCCACTTATCCGACTGACCAGAGCTTTTCTTTTGCTGCGCGCAGAGCTGGCGTCCCTGCCCAAGAACATCACCGTGAAGGTGACTGGCTTTGAGGAGCATGGAGAGATGATGAAGGCTGGGCCCCCCTGCATGGACCAGACCTTTGGCCACTGCCCCTCAGTCCAGGTGGCACCCCATACCACAGCTTCACACTCAAATCTTTAGCTCACATGTTACGTATGAAAGTCACACTCTCTCTCTCACCAAATATGCAGTGACTCTTGCTCAGAGTGGTTGCTCGGTTCCCCATGCAATGAGTTGTGATAAGTGCAGAGTCTGCACTGCAGCCCGCAGACAATGGGACATCGACAGAGTGCGGGGAGCTTGAACATATGCCGATGCCCTGCGTGTATGCTCTATGGCCTTTGGCTTTGGTGTGCCGACGTGTATTAGTATTAATAATAAGAATATGTTGATGCTGCTGCAGGCTGAGGAGGGAGTAGTCATGGTCTCCTACAGCGTCCCAGACTTCCTGCAGAAGCCCAACGCGACCGTGTCCATCGTGGCATGCTTCAGCACCTTCTCGCAGTATGACCGCGCCTGGAGGAAGGGCAACCCCCTCAACCTTGCGGTGAGTTATCCCTTCCCTCTGCCTTGTTATTGCATTGACTATGCCGCAGCTCAGCCCCCTGCCCTAACCGCCCATGAGGCTCAGTAGGCAGTCCTCTACACAGCGCAGCAAGCCATGCACACCTGGTCATGGGCTGCGTGCTCTCCTGCAGAGCTGTGAGACTGACTGCCCTGCACCCGTGGCGGAAGATGGCTGCGCCGCAGTGTCCTCTGCCTGATCTCCACAGCTTACTCAAAAGTAAATCAAGCGGATGCAAGAGCCCAGTTCTGACAAGTGTGTGGGGGCCGTATCAACAGGCGGCCAAGGATTGCCAAAACGTGGCCAAGAAGGGCCTGACAGCGTTCTCCGGCAATGTGACCTTCACCCCGAACGAAAAGGTGCCCCACTCGACAATGTACATGCGCGCCTACCTCAAGTGCCTCCAGCCGGACGGCAGCATGCAGTACTGCGCCTACGGCAACTCCGCCGGCTACTTCGAGGTACGCCCCTTGCCCCTTCAATATCAGGGGACTCTAAAGTTAGTTTGGAGTCCCCTGTCAACTTTGTAATTCTCTGGCCTTTAGTAAGCAGATGACCTCCAGGTGGGACAATCTATTGCATGACATTCAAGTCAGGGATGCTTGAAGACAGTCTTTAGATTCTGCCTGCAATGTGGAAGCTGAAACCACCCCCCTCCACTTTGTCTCGTGCTTAGTAAGTTCCGTCGTCATCAAGGTTTTTGAATTCGAGTTTGAACCATGTCATGAAGCGTGTGGGCTCGTGCACAGGTGCAGAAGGTGAACGACATCCCCATCGGCCTGGAGGTTGCCGTGGGCATCTGCTGCTGCATTTCACCAATCATGCTCGTCATCGCTTACTTCATCGAGAAGAAGAAGAAGCACTGAGCCCCCGTGAAGTCAGCCGACAGCTTGAATCACCACCCTAGCTTTGGGTCGATACTGGCTGTGCATCAGAATGCTATCACGTGCAAGACAGTGCCGATGCGTGGCCCTGCCCACTGATACCCCAGCCGGCTGGGGTGTGCCAGGGTGGGCCTGACAGGAGGCACGTTGACTGTAACATATGATGAAGTTGTTGGAATTGGCGCTGCTTAGTGTCGGCTGCAGTGGGACACTCACGCATCTGTCTCTGTTGTGCCAGCAATGTGTCAGAGATGCTGCAGTGTGGGGGTTGCCGCTTCGATGGGTGACAAATGAAATAAGGCGCCATTTACAGTAGTTGCCGGAAGCGGAAATTGTTTGGGGTATTTATTAGCCCATCAGAAAGACCCTGATTGACTCACGGTGCTGGCAAATATATTTAGCATTATGCAAAACTGCAATTGCGTCAGCTTGCACAGCTGCCATGTTGGGGTGAATAAGCCGGGCATTGTATCTATTTTCTGGTGTCATTCCTAGTTTTGGGATCTGTCCACCTGACATTGACAGCCTCGTGCTTGTATAGGTTGGGTGATGCCAACAAACTGCATGACTAGTGCAGCTTGAAGTATATCTTGTCTCTCAATTGTCCTGTAGTCCCATGGTAACTGAGGAGTTCAAGTGGTTGGCCTCATATTAAACCATGGATGAGGCCCCTGACCAAGATTGGGTGGGCCAATGCATGTCTACGTCTAGTCGTGGGTCTTAAAAGTGAGTTATCGATTATGTCTGCTTGGCTTTCAGCCCAACTGTAATCTTGAATAACAAAATGTTGTTGACCACTACACCAGAGCCTGGCCGCCAGGGCATCCTCATGTAAGATTTCAACACGCATGCAGCCTGTGTACACGCAGGCCCTTGAAGGGGCCCATAAGCCCGGCCTTCTCCTTAATCGATATCGATGAGCTTTGTTTACAGGTGCATGACAGACACCAGATCCCGTACAAGCATTCCTCACCTAAGTACAAGCTGTGTGATACAGCTAATAGAGACACAAAACACCATAAAACTGTTCTATAAGAATTTCTGTACACTCAGTACTTCATCAAACTACCATCTCGCAAGCCTTGTCCAAGCACAGTGTGTATAGCAGTACATGTAGGCATCAGTGGTCTCGAGACTGCAGCCACTGATAAGCTCTGTAGTGGTTGCCCCCTGATCATGTCATGGTCTGGGGGCAACAGCTACTGTAGTAACAGGACCTCACAAGAAAGCCTAGCTCTGACTATTTGACTCTGCAACACTCTGCAAAATAGCTCAACGTAGTATGCTGCCTACCCAGCGCATCGACGCTTGAATCACTGTCACATTTGTGTCAGAATGCAGGTCATTCCAGATCAGCTATCATGTAATAGCTGAGACCTTGCAGCAGTACAAGGCTGCATGCCAAAAATGAGTGTCATTCCTCAGCAGCGCTCCTCAGTTGCCCTGCATCTTCGTTCGATTACTTAGTTCATTTACTTTTGAGCTCCTAAGACGTTTGGATGACGGCACCGCAACTGCATAGCTGCGGTATATTTCACTTGATGACTCATGACTCATGATGACTGCGGGCTCCTCGGAGGAGCCCGCAGCTGACAGCTTTCCCTGCACCTTATTTCGGCCTGCCCGTCTCAGAGTGCCTATATCTACTTCCTATTGGCTACATCAGCCATGTCAGGTCCTCCACTGACATCTAACTTCTGCTCGCTGCCCTCTGTGCAGGTGAGACCCTACTGCAGCAGAGCAGTCGCCCCTGATCCTGCAGGGGGTTTCATAGCTGCTTCTTGTCCTCTGAATTGTTCCAGCCGCCCACTCCCCAGTGTCTCTGTCAGGTCCGTCCACTTCCTCGGCTTCCCTCTGCACAGATACACACGCAACGCACGTCATGGCGACCTCCTGGAATGCCCATATTAGCGATGTGCCCCCAGGTAATGCTCTCCAATAGGAGCAGTAATGTCGTTGTCCTAAAATGCCAGTCAAGTTCAAGTGCTGACAAATGTGCAGCGCAGACAAGATGCAGTCAATCCTATGAGCAACCCTTACTTAAAGTTTCCAACAGCTACCCCCATTAACCGAGGCACGCCAACAAGGGCCCCACAGCATATTGCATATATCCACGAAGAGGGCACTCCGCACAAGGGAGCAGTCTGGTTCTGAGCCTTACCTGAGGCACACATATCGGCCAGCGCCATTCCAGTGGCAGGACTGGTCGAACGTGCTGCTGCCGCCGCACTCGCGCACACCATAGCAGGTCGTCTCATGCACAACCATTCGCCCCTCGCTCGCCAAATTCTCCACAAACGCCTTCTCCAAATCCATCTGCACCGTGCCATGCCATGTTGTCATCTTGAAACATTGTACTCAAGTTCAGGATGAAAATATCTCCCTCTAAGCCATATAGTGCTAAATTTGGGGGGCGCTGTTAGCTGCCCTGCTAGGCATGGGTGGTGCATGGGACCGCTTCAAATTGTAAATCCGAACATGAGATGCAATTCCAGGAGCAGCGGCCAGAAAAGGGAGGCACCTTGTGGGCCTTCCAGGTGTTGTTGTGCCAGTTGAAGCCGAAGAGGTGCAGCACAGCATCGGGCGGGGCGCAGTGCAGAACGCCCTGCAGCCCTGTGCCAGTCAAACTCCAAGGCATGAATGTCAAAACATGGCACAAAGGCAGAAAGACAGCTTAAGTCGTGCTGAGGCAGCAGTCTTGCATTGGGTAGGACCTTCCTGCGACGGCGATATCTAACAGTCGACGCCTTAGAAATCACCAATGGCTGACTCAACATTCCTTGGGCGCCCATGACAAATTCCCAAGTGCAGTGGTCAATGTGCACAAGGGAACAGCCACAAAGCTAAAATTCCTTCTCAATCAGCCTGATACCCTCAATGATCTACATCTCTTTAAGTGCCATGAGGCTGACTGGGAGGAGAGTCCATGATCCATCCAGTGTGATTTGCAAAGCGGAGCGGCACCAACAAAGCCGGTGGAGGGATATCCGCCGGTCACATTCATCTGGCGGTTGTAGGCTGCTGCGAGCGCCTCATTGGGCATGAGCACTGGGTGTGCCTTCTCCACTGCCGGCACTTTCTTCACCAGCCCGTCGGCGTTCTCCTGCCGCCCTCCCACCAGCCACATCGCCTACAGCAGGAGTTTGAAATTTTATGGTTCATCTCAGTCCGGATCTGAGAAGACTACTGAATGCGGCTACAGCAGTGAGATGAAATCCTGATCCTCATCAGCACATCCCTCGTCTTTTGGCATTAGATGCCTTAACTCTGATACCCACGGGTTTGATCTTGATGGAAACGTGGTCAGTTTTCCTTGAAAGAAGTAATTAGCATTGTCACTGTGCCTATTGAAATAGCTTTTGGCCCCGTCTTATGTATCGCATGCTCACAAAAAAGATGAGACGCTCAGAGGCTCAAAAGCCACAGGCGTGGAGCTAGCTTGCAGAGATTCTTTCAAGAGGGCACGTACCTTCATGAGTTTGACCACGTTGGTGGCCTCGGCCAACTGCATGTTGGTGACGCCCCAATAGCTGAGCGAGGCTTCTGTGCTGTAGCGGATCACCCACACATCCACCTTCTCCTGAAATCGCCGCCAGTTGTTCATCAGGTTGAACCTGCGGGCACAGGCTTGCATTGATACACAAAGCAGATCGACAGATCGTGCACAGGCCAGCGTTACTTCAGCCAGCAGGAAGATGACGCATTGAAGCTATTTGGCCGTATGCCAAGATGCAAGATTGCCGCACGCATGTCCGTCAGGGCATGCCATGACTTCGCACAATTGGAATTGCCAGATGAAATCAGCAAGTAGTCAAAAGTCTCTAGTGCCAGGCCTGTCTTCAACGCATCCCTGCTATGCAGGCTGTAACAGGTTGCCCAACCTAGAGGTCATCTGGTTGCTGATAAACAGATTAAGACAAGGAGGAATTTGAATGGGATGGCATGGCGAAGATCTGCTGTTGAGAAAAAAAGGGCGGCCCACCTAACAACTATGTCGGATGCATCAATCTCTGTGCGCTGTGCCTGGTCCAAGGGGCCATTACCCACAAGGGCAATTGTTTTGGAATTGCTGAAGGCAGAACAGAGCGGGTTGTGATCTCTGTCATTTGGCCCAAAGGGCTCGTCCACGGTGGTGTTGAGGCGCGGCACATCTCCCTGAGGGTCCTGCGCATTCAGGGGAAGTGTTAAACCCTGGGTGGTCGTGCCAGGGAATGAAAACCAACCAGCAGTAATCTAGCAGTAGTACTGACACATCTCCATGTGCACAACAGCATCCCCAATGCGTTCTGAGGCAGAGGTGTCTTTTCAGTGTACTAGTATGTACAAGCATGTTCTAACAGCTGGCCTTGGGGCCAAATGTCAAAATTTTCACCAAGTGTTTGTCTCGACATCTCATGCATGCAAAGACTTGGGCAGCGGAGTTTACCTCCAAGACTTTCTGCAGCTCGTCGACCAATTTGTCCATTTCGGATATCTTCGCATCGGCCTTGTCCTTCCCGGGTGCCAAGCTCTGTTCAGGGCTATTCCAAACACCATTCTCCTCTCCCAGTGCCCAACTCTGTCCCTGCATTCACTCAGCTGCTTAAGTGATAGGAGTGTAGCAGCACATATTTCATTGCAAAGAAATGCAGAATGCCCATTGGCACACCCAGGAAAGTACGCTGCTTTGCAGGCTACCATGAAAGCACCTGGTCTGGTGGCGAGCTGATCAAGACAGGTTTCAGACCATCCTCTGCTTCGTCCTCATTTGCAGACACATCAATTGTCACGTCTTTGTGTTGATGCTCACTGACTGGCACGTCTGTGTTCTGATACATGGCTTCGTGGATCTCTTTTCCGCCGGGTTCAGGCGCCTGTGTGGCCTGGGACAATCAATGCACCACAAGTTAGCATGCAGTGACTAAGCAACCAGCAGGCGACAAATGTACAATATACCGCTTTTGCATGAAGCCCCTTGCAGAAGAGTGCTCACCATGCCCAGCAATGAAAGGAGCTGATCCCCGTTGATGGGCGACCAAGTGCGCTCCGGACGGGCCCTCTCAGTGCTGCTTTGCCCCTTCAGCAACACAATTGTCATCAGAGTGTTGTCATACTGAATGTCAAATCTGTGTCAGGTTGAGTACAGATTTCAGAATCTGCCTTGTATGCATCAATGCAATAAGACAAGGGGCAGCTTACTACCTGATAGGGGTGCATCCGTGCCATGAGTGCAATTACACCAAGCGCCAGAGCAAAGGCCCCAAAGATCTGAACGTGTGCGAGCCTGAGCGTCCCCGTCCGAGATTGCTGCGTGTTGGTCAATACAGCCTCAGTAGCTTGCACCATGTACCCTCCTCGACAAGCTTTGAAATGCTTTTGTGACTGAACTTCTTCGGTCAGACTTCGGTAGTTCGGATCCTGAACAAACTACTTGCTAGGAGTCGTCCTGTCCAGAGAATTTACGCCTAAATTGCCAAGCATATGGCTGACATATTTGAGCTGCCGTTATTCACCTGGTGGTGGCGCAACAATGCATTTCGGGTTGGGGTGGGCATCCTTCCAGATACTGTATGCTTGCGTTAGTATCGTGCCTCAATTATGTCAAAATCCCCTCCACCCAGTGCATTTCGCTCCAGAACACGCCTCTCCCCCAGCTTCTCAACAGGGACGGTCACATCGCCGCAATTGACAAGGGGGGAAATCTAGTCGGGGAACAGTAGTCACTTTTATTACAGCAATGCTTGATGTCATATATAGGTAGGAATAATACTTATCTCTTGCATTCCCAACATCACCCTCTCCATCCTTTGAGACCCGAATCTTTACGAATCTTGTTGTTCGCAGAATCGATGCAAAGATTGTTGGTATCAAGCTATGTACACTGCAACTGTTCCATCAGGGTACGCAACCCATCTGTTTTGGGCTTTGTTCCGTTGAAATGAAACGCCTGACAGTGACGTCGCCCCACGTGGAGCACGCATGCATGCATCGGCAGGAGGGCGTGCCTCTTGAAGAGGCACTCTGCACCCACATGATGGACATCGACATCAAGAGGAGGCGCCCTGTTTCACCTTTCTGATGCGACACATGTGTACAATTGGCATTCATGCAATCAATGGCCCGAAGAAGGGCTCATTATTGATCATGATACATGTTTAAACTAGTGTACGCTGACAGCAACATGCAATCGGAATGCATGGGCCCATCCAGGATCGATCAGGATCTCTTCTCACTCAAACACCCGAGTTCCTGATCAGACCGCCGCGTTTGCAACATCCGCCCAATTTGATACAGTCTGTAAGAGCCTGGGGCATGCATGTAATACATCTGTGCACTATAGTGGCCTCCACACCCGGGGCCCGGGATCAAAAGCACTTTGTGACATTGATGCAGCTGCCTGCAGTCTCCTAGTGAACATGTAGAACTCTCCACAAGATTGTTGCAAGCAAAGATCACTTAGCCAAGTGTGGCATGCGCGCCCCTTGATTATTTGCCAGCAGTTTGGTGCTGCAGTCAGTCCTGCAGTCCAACACGCCACATCCCAAGGCTACGAGCATGTCCATAAGCAAGCAAGAGCCCGCTACCTCAGCTGTCCGTCTCATCCTGCGCTGTGGGCTTTTGTCCACTGCTCTGACCTTGCGTGCTCCGCTTCTTTTGCTCCTGCTTGCCTCTGCTGGGCTTTCCCCCAAGCCCAAAGAGACTGCTCACCAGCTTCACAGCTCCCACGAGGCCTGCGCTCAAAGCTGATCCTGCAGAGCAGCAACATGAGACCCTTCAGGATGAGAACGAACCCAGCATACTACAGGATAGTCCAAGGCCATGACATGTGGTATGGCCATGGAGCATGTCGGTGATGCCTGGAGATTTTTTCTTGTTGGAACTGGCTAAGTGTGAAAGGCAGACACCGTATTCTGAACCATATAAGCCATCCCTTTACAATAAGTGCGTATTAAACCCAGAAACCGCATACACAGCAGGCACTAGTCCTTGCTAACCTGCATCGAAGGAGGACTTGCGAGCCTGAGGTCTGCTGGCTCTGGACTGCGCCGCGGCTGCTTTGCTCGATGGGAATGGCAGACGCTTGCCACCACTCTGCGCAGGCACTTCTGGGCCAGTACCAGTCAGCTGCCCCAAGTCCATATCTGCAGAGCCCATAGGAAACCAACCTCAGCCCAGCTTAATAAAACACACCCCGCTGTCCCACACCAAATGATTGCAATCGGTCACAATGTCTTCGAATTTGTTCTTCGGCAGCCCTTCTCACTGGACCATGCGGTAGGCAGTGCGTGCTCACCCAGCTTGACTTGGATGGAGCCAGGCACGCGGTTGTGGCCGGCCGGCGCAGTGCCAGAGCCGCCGCTCAGCTTGGCGCGCTCTTCGGCCAGCGCGCGGCTGAGATCGGCCGCCTCGCTGTTGCGCGAGGCCAGGTCAGCCTCCAGCTGAGTCAGCTCCCCTCGCATCGCCTCCAGCTGGCCCTTCAGCTCATCCTGCCAGTCACGCCAGCTCTGCCTCAGCTAATGCCAGATGGCAGAAAGCTTTCAATTGCAAAATGGCACCGGGTTGAGTCACAAAGGGAGCTTGTGCTGCATATGTTTCTGCAAAAAATGAAGCTGTCATTTGGGCTGCGCTCGTGTTATTGCCCGGCACATGCAGTGGTGTGTTGCTGTACATAAGGCCCCAAGAAAAACAGTGCGGTGGCAATGATGGAGCCTTCATCTTGCCAGCGCTTGTGTCACAGCTCGTAACGTGAGGTGGTGTGCCTTAGGGCGACATCAATGTTGTGTGCACCTTTGCGCTGGCGTTCAGGGTAGCTTTGGGGGCAGCGTCCAGCAGTTTGGCCAGGCGCCCAGAGAGGTTGTCATGCTTCCAGGCCAGCTGCTGCGACTGCAGCTCGACTAGAGCAGCCTGCACACAGCAGTTGCAGAGTTGCTGACATCCTCTAAAATCATGTCGCATGGACAATTATATTGTTGAATATTACACGCATTTATTAGTGCTTGGATCTGGCGAGTCCAACAAGGGGTAAAATTTTGGCAGCCTTTAAATGCAGCCGGGCTGCAGATGCACCATGCCTCTCCTAATCAACCGTGGGCACGGTGCTCAGCAACCATAAACTGTTCATTATTTGAGCCTATGGATCTGATAGTTTGATCATGATGCCTTGAGGTCATGATGGCCCTGAAGCAACAATGGAGTGATTGGTGTTGTGTACCTGTAGGCTTGCAATGCGGGCGGTGTTGTCATCCCCGGCAGTGCTCGCTGCCTCCATTTTGCTCTGCAGAGCTGTTATGGCCTCCTGTCTCTGCTTCATCTGCGCAACGCACCCCATGCATGCGATGAGGCCCTTACACCAACACAAGGAGCTGCACACTTTCTTCTCATCCCTGTAGTGATGCTTGCAGAAGCGTCAATGCCGAGCCAACAGAAAAATAATGATTTAGCGGAATCTCACCTCTTCTTGCAAAGCAGCCACCTCGGCTTGCTGTGGCAGCTGGCCAGCGGAAGACCCAATGGTTTCGACCACACTCTCATCCACGTCTGTTGTCTGATCAGGCTTGACAGGCTGAATCTCTGTGACAGGAACAGCCTCCACTGTCTCCAGTGCATCTGCCTCATGTGCGCTGGGCAGCACCTCAGCAGCTGTTTCAGCCATTGGGGATGTCTCTTCTGCCTCTGCAGCACCGTCCGCAACTGCTGCAGACAACAGGGCAGCCTCCTCTGCAGTGGGGGCAGCAGCGCTCTCATCAAGCTCTGAGCTGAGTTCGCCCTTCTCTGACTCTGGCTGAGCCTGGAGCTGGCCAGTCTGCATCTGGACAGTGTCCGCTGCCATGTCTTCTGCTGCCAATGCCTCTGCCGAGCCATTGATGGTATCCCTGCTCTCATAGTGGTCCTTAGCTTGCTCATCCACATCATCATTAGGCGCCTGCATGCCTTCCACTGCCTCGTCTGACAAAGCGTGCAGCTGCGCTGGCGATGTGGCGGCCTCCTCTGTGGCGAGCTCAAAGCCCTGCAGCTGCACAGGCGCCTCTGTCTCCAGCATTGCCAGGTCCTCTGGAAGCTGCTCCAGGGCAGCTGCTGGCGCCTCTGCAGCAGCTACTGCCTGCTCAACGTCCAGTGCCTCTGGTCCACCCTCCTCTGCCTGATCTGCCAAAGGCAGGTCCACTGGAGCCACTGCTTGCTCAAGATCCACTGCCTCTGCTCCATCCTCCACGGCCTGATCTGCTCCTGTGTCCTGTTCGGGAGCGCCGAGCTGGTCTTCAACAGCGCTGCTGCCCGGCTGTGGGGTGGAACTGCCTGTGCTGGGCAGCTGGGCAGCCTCGGGCAGGCGAGTAAGCATCCACTCCAGCGCTGTTGTGGTGTCCAGGCTGGACACGCCCTGCGAGGCCACCACCGCAGACTCCTGGCCGGCCGCATGCGTCAGCGCTGTCTTGCCCTGGCGCTGGCCCGCCCCCTTGCCCTTTACACCGCCGCCTGCGTGGCAGCACCTCTCACATGCTTGCAGCGCTTATGAATGCCAACAGACCTTGCCAAAAACCGCTGACTCTAACATATGGTTACTGTGTCACAGCAAAGCTCCCTTTCCCTGCCCTCTGGGGCTCGAGACAGAACCGGCACCATGATTCTGGGCTTGTCAAGACACAGGATATAAGGAGCCAGCAGGAGTGCTAGGTGCACACCTGGGATGGAGACCGTGCTGCCAGTAATCGGAGGCACGGAGTACTGCGGCGTTGCCCGCCCCAGGAATGCTGCCTTGCCGTCGGCCGTCGCGCCGCTGACAGCCGCCGCGCCGCGCCCCGTCCCCACCAACGTTCCCTCCAGCTTTTCCCCTGCCACCACCGTGTCCAGAAGCCCCTGTGCTGTGGGCTCTTCAAGTGGCCCCAGCTGCTCCTCATCCCTGACATCCTCGTCTTCATCCAAGGCTTCGTCCTCAAAGTCCGGCGAGCGCGCGCTGAGGTTCTGGTAGTTGCGGTGGCGCTGCGAGAAAGGGTCCTCGGATGTATGCGCGCTCTCAAGCTGCCTCTCCCGCCCCTGGGCCCCGCTGCTGTCCAGCTGGACCAGCCGCTCCTCCTGTGTGCAGCTCACGAAGCTTGAAAAGCATACAGGGCTTCAGCACGTCCCGGTTGGGCTCATTTGTTTGCCGAAGGCTGTCAGTACAAGCAGTTATGCATCCGCAGAAACATGCATGCAGGATCAGTGGAGGTATGGTGTAAGAGGATGGCAGGGGAAACCCACCGCATCAGAGTCAAAGCCATCTGCATCTTCGCTGACAAAGCTGAAGCCATCTTCCAGCTCATTGTCAGTGTCGAAGCGGTCGGGGTCCTCTCCAAAGGGGCTCATCCGCTGCTGCCTCCCTGACCTCGAGCCTGCATTAGTGATAATGCTCTAAGCATTTTTAGAAGGAAACATCATCTTATCAAGCCGCAAACATGACTCATGCAATATGCTAGCAACATTGCACAAGCTGGAAATGTACAATATAGGGGCAATGCCAGGACTTGTTTTGTTGGGAGCAAACCTGTGACAGAAGGATTCATATCATCATCGATGTCCTGAGAATCCTCCACTCTGGCCTCCTCGTCTTCATCGTTGTTGAAGGCCACTGCATTTGTTCGTTCAGCCTGTGCATCGCAGACGAATATGTGTATCAATGCTTGCAACGTCAGTACGTTGACTAAGACCAAGGGATGAATTCTGGTCCAACTGGCATGAGAAATGCAGGGCCTGCAATGAGAAAGATCGAAATCCCAGTGCTTCTGCCGTGCACTGTTGGCTGGCTGAAGCACAGTAATGCAAGTGATGCCACTTAAATGCCTGAGGGGAACAGAAGAGCGCACCCTTTGGTGCTGAGCATAGTCCTCGCTTGCCAGCTCTGCAGCTGCGGTGCCCTGGTGCTCAAACATCTCCATCATCTCACTGGGCCTGTTGTTCATCATGCGCCAGTCCCTATCCTGCAGGCACCAACCAGTACCGATATTTTGAGAATACAGCCCGATTCTGGCTAGGACTGCTTGCCTTCTGTGACGCTTTTTGCTGTGGAGGATTTTTTTGTGGCTAGTCATGCAACACATCAGTGCTTTGATTCTCCTGCCAGCACTATTATCACTCTCCAGCGGTGCCACAATTAGGAGGCCAAGACAAGTACAGATCATTGCCGCACCGGGAGGTCCTTCTCTGCACTTGGTCTGCTTTCCATGTTCGGCCCTCGCTCGGCGTCCTCACCCGGCATCCCATAATTCCCCTCCTCTGATTCCAGCTGTGTCGCCCACATCGAAAAGTCCTCTTCCTCATCATCAGCGCCAGTGCTGTCCGTGACACCAGGCAGCCTGCATCAGCTCATTACTCATTAGCTTCACGCAGACTAGCACTGTAAGAGTGTGGCAATACTCATACTTTCATAACGAGCTCCTGACATTTCACAAAGTGTACCTTGCAGCTCTTTCATCCTCGCAGTGACAATGGGCACACCATGTCAAGAGCCACAATGTCAACACCTGCGTTTTGGGCGCCAGAAAGCAAAAGGTAGCTACAGACGCTCCAATCACAAGGCAAGTAGCAGGAATTTATATCTCAGGTTCAAGCAAACACATGCCTGAAGCCAGAGCTGGCAGCCGCTTCCTGGTACTGCCGCTGCAGCTCTGCGCTGGCTTCCATCTGCTCTGTCAGCAGCACAGAGCGCTCGTCCTCCAGGGCAGCAAAGAGGCGCTGCGCAAGATCGGTCTTGTTGCCTGTCTTGGGCAGCCCACGTTCCACCAGAGCCTGTTGCAGTTCTTTCTGCAGGCACACAATGAACACAGTCATAGCGCTGCAAGCCTGATAATCAGCTGCAACATGCAGCAATGCAAACGCCATGCACATTGCAGGAGGCCATCCTTAGGGGCGCTTTGCTCAATGCAGGTCGTTAACCCACGTTGTTGCATGGGCTTTACATCGTCACATGTCCTCACACGGGGATTAAAGACATGAGCAAGGCGAGCTTTTAGCAGCAGTGGATATCTATCCTCTCTATGCGTGAACAAATGCCTCTCGATGGTTCTTGTTGATGGGTGCAAGGGTTCTTATTGAAGTGTGCAAAGTGGGCAACGCGAGCACACTTGTAGGGGCTGATCCGTACCTTTGTGAAATCGAGGAGAGTAGCCAAGCTGTTGTCCGTCTCCACAGATACGCTGACGGTGTCAGATTGAAGTTCGAACGTCGCAGTTTCTGATCCAAGCAAATGCGGCACATTGTCCCTGCTCGCACTGGATGAAGGTGCCTCTGGGATTGTGCGCTCCTCACCCTGGAGTGTTCGCATGATGTCAGAAAGGGCCTGGTCCAATCTGTCTCATCTACGATTCATCATCGTTCAGGGTCAGTACAGCAGTAGCATTGGTCATGTGAAACCCAACAAGTATACACTAGTGCAGGTTGAGGCGCACACCAGGAACACTGTGAGGGCGGCATGCAGACGTTCAACAAGCTCTTGTTTGTTTCCTGAGGCGTCTAGGTCCCGTATCCTCAGCTCCTCCTCCAGCTTCGCCTGCACATCAGGCTTGCAACTTTACGGTCATCACGCATTTTGCAAGGCGCTTCCCCCCGCAGCACATGTTATATGATGTAAATCACAAGCGGTGCTTCCATCATGACATTCCTTCCATAGCGTGCTTATCCAGTCAGGGGGAAGACATGGGACAACAATCACCTTGGGGTACTTTCTCAGGGCCGTCTTGTTCAGAACCTGGGCCTGTGGAAAGATGCTATCTCCTTCTTGGTGCTCATCCCTCTTAAACTTGCACTGGATCTGCTGTCGGCTTTGCACTTGACTTGGAGGCAATTTGCCTTGAAGGGGCAAGTGAAAACGGTGTGCGAGGGGGGTTCTCTGCATCACAGCATGCAGCACTTCGATCAGCAGTTGTGCACTACTGGGGGCATGGATATCATCACTCCAGCTACCTCCGTCCCGCCAGATTTTGAGTATGATGCAAGAGAAAGCCAAATGTCATTTTGGATATTATGGCATTTAATACCGTTAGGCATCGCGCCCTCATGAATTCAGCAAAAACTTTTATACAGGTTGAAGACTCGTGAATGGCGGCCTTCGGGATTGAAGGGAAATCTGATTTTGAAGTGTTCTATTGCATTGCATGATGTACCACAGTGGCACGCAAATTTTGAGTCGTGCTGCTGACGTGCCTGATTCGCGGATGGTCCCAAAGAAGCAGGACGCAGCTGCAGTCCGCTGCTAGACATGGTCAAGCAACGCTTCAGGCTCTGGAAGGGGGTCACATCAGCGATCCGACGCTGCAAGTTGTCCTGGCTTGTTTTAGTTGCAAACTTGCTGATGACGGGATTGATGGAGCGAAAATGTATCAATTGCAATGCACTTCAGTAGCTTCTGATTACTCACAAGACACACACAATGAGAGTACTCTTGCGATGTAGAATGCTTTGATGTGATCGCCAAGGCGGGAGACATCGCAATTTGGGCTGGGCTTGCCCCAATTCATTATTGCCCCTCAAATCGCCCTTGAAGTACAAGTAGGGCTTTGGAGCGAGCACGTGCTAGCCTTTGATCATGCTCGACCACGATCTCTCATAATCGTCATTTTTGTTTCTCTGGCAATATCTCCTGCATTATTTGAGTGTCTTTTTTGCTTGTCTACTTGACATCTGCAGCTGCAGGTTGCTGCGCTCAAGCTCTTCTGAGAAATTTGTTGTACTAGTCCTGCTTGACGTTTTCGTTGCTCTGTGCGGGATTTGTACACTAGTTGAAATGGATCGGAGTTTCATGGGGTTTAAAGGCAGCCAAGGCACAATGCTGGCAAGACATGAGTGTGTCTTGCCGTTTGTGCACCAACAGATGCACTCTCAGCGTGGGCGTGACAGCAAACGACAGGCATTTGCACCTGCACATGCACCTGAAGTGGTGCGTTGTTCGACTCATTCCCCTGTTGGATTGGCAGACTGACGCTGTGCGCTTGAGCGTTCCTCTCAGTCAATGCTCCCACTGCAGGAACCTTTGGTTGCCAGTCCGTCTGGACAGGAGAGCAGAAGCAGACTTGGAGAGGGCATCCGCTCAGACTTTCCCATACTGCACCAGACCGTGCATGGCGACAAGCAACTCATCTACTTTGATAACGGCGCCACATCACAGAAGCCAAAGCAGGTGCTAGAAGCACTCAGGGCATACAACGAAGGCTACAATGCCAATGTACATCGCGGGGTGCACTATCTGGCAGCAAAGGTGCGCTCAGAGTCTCAGACTTGAATGAGCAGGAGCCGGAGCATTCCCTCAAGGCAGCACGGTGTTGTAGCTTTCTCCAGCTGCATTATACCTGCCAACCGAGCTTAAAAAAAGATAAGTGATGGCGCCTGAGCAAGGCGCTGTGTGCAGGCTACTTCTGCGTATGAGGATGCGAGAGACAAGGTGGCCCGACTCATTAATGCCAAGAGCTCCAGGGAAATTGTCTTCACTCCGAATGCCACAGCCGGGCTCAATCTGGTAGCGCAGAGCTGGGGCCGCAGCAACTTGGGACCTGGCGATGAGGTTCATCTTTGCAATGCTTTGCTGTCTTTGTATAAGGACGGAACGGATCTCATTGTCCTGCCCAGAAGATGCATGTTGCTCTGGCCACTTGAACAGGCAAGGTGCTCGGCATGCCAAGGCTGCTGCCTGTGAGATTCTGTCTCATGCTACTTCCTGTGTCATGCAGGTTGTCGTTTCTGTGGCTGAACACCACAGCAATCTGGTGCCATGGCAGATGGCCTGCCAAGCAACAGGAGCAACCCTCAGAGTGGTACCTCTTACCAAGGACACACAGGAAATTGATATGCAGGTACTCTCTCAGTTCCAACCCGTGATCGTTAGTTATTATTTTGTTGGCCAGGCCAGGATCTGCACATGTTTTTATTTTGTAAGGGTGACTGACACAGAATGTGCTCTTTGTGCTCCATCACACAGGCGCTTAAGGATGTGCTGTCAGAGAAGACAAAAATTGTGGCACTGGTCTATGTGTCCAACATGCTGGGTTCCATCCTGGATGTGGATTTTGTTGCAGAGGAGACTTGCAAGGTGAGCAGTTTGCAATGTTGACCCATTCATGTCTCATAGCACTGTTCCAATGGAATGTTGCAGCATCCTATGATTGATCTGCCTGTGATCAAACCAGCTCTGCATGCAGGTTGGAGCAAAGCTCCTACTCGATTGCTCGCAAGCAATTCCCAACATGCCAGTGGATGTACAGACACTCGGTGCTGACTGGATAGTGGCCACTGGTCACAAGCTGTGTGGACCCACTGGGATTGGTTTCCTGTGGGGCAGGTGCTGCTTTCCTCAAGCTCGGTTCATGCAGACTCTTGTTGCTCTCGGATCAGGATGTATCTGGCTCAAGAACAGAGTGAATTTATTCATTAAATTCTGCGATTCTGCGTGTTCCACTAATCCTTCCATTGCATGGCAGGAGCGAGGTGCTCGAGCAGATGCCACCATACTTGGGCGGAGGTGAAATGATTGAGGTGAGTGGCATTCTCCAACATATTGTCCGTGCGCTTTGGATCCTGATGCAACTCCCTGCAGTTGTGATTGAGATCCTTCTTAAGACTGCCAGGGGAGGTTGCTGAGATGTAGCAAAGTCATGTATTGAGCGATGTCTTGTGCTTGGTGCAGAATGTCTTCTTGGATCATTCGACGTATGCGCCGCCCCCGTCCCGGTTTGAGCCTGGCACGCCAGCCATAGCAGAAGCCATTGGAATGGGCGCCGCTGTGGATTACATCAGCGATTTGGGTTTGGAGAACATCCACAGCTATGAGCAAGAGCTGGGCGGATACTTGTATGAGAAGGCACGCTTCCTTTTCATCACTAGCCTGCTGATTTTCACCTGGGAAGCCTTTGAGTGTCTGTCTGCGGAAGCCTGCAGCAAGGTTGATCTTGGACAACTGTTAGAGCTGCAAGATCTGTGTTGCTGAGTATTACTGGTGTGTTCCACAGCTGAGTTCCGTGCCGGGGGTGACCATATATGGGCCACCGCCGGAGAAACGGGGATCTCCCCTCTGCTCCTTCAATGTTGAGGGAGTGCACGCAACAGACCTCTCCACATTCCTGGATTTCGAAGGTGAGCATCTGGACATTGCCTGTACAAGGCTGTCTGCTTTGTGCTCATGCAAAACATCCTGAACATGCAGACGTTGGGGCACAGTTTTTACTTTGGGTCGACCAATTGTCTGTTGAATTGCAGGCATTGCAGTGCGATCAGGACATCACTGCACCCAGCCGCTGCACCATCACTTGGGCATAAATGCGTCAGCTCGAGCTTCCCCTTACATTTACAACACAGTGGTAAGTGTGGTGGTTGAAAGTGTATCTGCTTCTGTTGAAATCTTGTCTCAGACACCTTTCCTTGCGGAGTTTGAATTCATCAAACGCTCGTGCATGGATGCATGCATGCATGAAGGTGACATCATATGTCCTGTGGCTTGCAGGGTGAAGTGGACACATTTGTGGAGGAGCTGCAGAATGTCCTGAAGTTCTTGAAGTGACCAGGGCGTTCTCTAGAGATCTCTGATCGTTCGACCACTTGCACGTTCGAACGGAATTCCGGCTGAGATTATTTGGCAGACCTTGACAAGCTTGGCAGACCTTAAGACTGATTGATCAGCCATGAGGATGATGACCATGTTTCAGGAGTGTAAGAAATATTAGTCGATCCCATCGTGCTCATCACGAGGTCCTTGCAATCACTGCATGAGCATGGCTGAAACCAAAAGGCCAACACAGGCTATGGGATTACTAACCGTGACAAACCACAGTGCCCTGCAAAGGGCTAGGACTGTGAGCATGGAGTCCAATGCCAACACAAAACATTGACAAGCACACCATGTCTCTTAGAGCATGTGCAAGTGCGATTGCTGAACATTTGGTGATCGACAAGGTGGAATCGTACACACAATAGTACAATTTAATAGCTGTTCTCCAAAGCCTGGCTTGGATGGATTGACTTATTGCCTAGGATGCACCCTGATATTTAAAGGATCGTTCCTATTTCAAGATGACGGGGGCTTGGGACTTTGTCGGTTCGTCCCCGGAGTGCGCGACAGCAAACGTCTCCTACGCACATCGCGTTCAAGATCATGAAAAGTACAACTGGTGCACTGTACCAAACAGCGGCAGTGATGCAGTGCTCTTCATCTCCATTGCAATTCTCGCCTCCTGTATATGCTCAGGGCAGCTGTCGGCTCTGTACATACTACTTCTAGGTGCGCCCCGCTGCAGATCTGAGAGGCCATGCATATGCCTTGATCGCTCTGCATGACTTATAAATCTTTGAAATCCAGTTTTTGTAAGAGCTCAATGCTCAGCATCGTGTACTCGTCAGGAGTTGCTCACCTAAATGAAGATGGCATGGGGCACCTTGACACCAGCCCAGCGACGCATAAACTGCTGCATGCTACCAAAACTGCAGTTTAAAGACTAATCGTCTTGAAATTTTGGTCAGGTGGTCTTTGCCAGGCGCTGTCCTTCCCCTTGAACTTGGGGCGGGTTGGAAATGCCTTCGCCCTGTTCCTGGGGGTGGAGCCTGCTGACATCTTTCTGTACGTGTTCTTGCCGCCCATCCTCTTCGATGCCGCTGTGCGGATAGACTACTATGTCTTCAAGAAGGTACAGCAGGGCATCACATTTGCATGCATTGATATCGGCAGCCCCATCCCATGTCGGGGCTTGCCCTGCTTCATTCGTTTGACAGCTACATATTTCGGCCTGCTGAACAGAAGGCCCTGTGCTATCAAGAGTTCAACACCGTTGATCGTGACAAGCTTGGACAGTATCTGCATCTCATGTGCCCATGCATGCCAACCAGTGTTTGTGCATGCAGATGATCGTGCATGTGATCTCCTTCGCATTCCTGGTGGTCATTGCCAGCACGGCCATGTTTGTGCCCATCCTGCTGTACGTCCTGGGCCTCAAGGACTTAGGCTGGACCTGGCAGCATGCAGCTCTGTTCTCGGCCATGATCGCATCTACAGATGCAGTCGCTGTGTCTGCCATCCTCAAGAAGGGTGCGAGAGTCTCCCAGCATCACTGGGCATCTCACTGGACAGTTGTGCATGACTGCCATGTATGTACCTTTTTGTGCTCAGCCATGACAGGTGTGGACCTGTCGTTTGCGCGCTTTCAATGTGCACAAGGTTTGTAAGGCTCAAAGCAGGATGCATGGCTGAGCAGGCGGCGCGCCAGAGAAATTGATTGTGCTTATGGAGGGCGAGTCACTCTTCAATGACGCCACCTCCATCGTCCTGTTTGAGATCTTCTTCCGCATGGTCAAGCGCATGCAGAACGGCAAGACTGCCAGCGATCTGGGGTTCTTTGAGCAGATGCTCGAAATCGCAAGCAGCATCTGCTGGCTGGCTTTCGGTGAGCACCCCTGAATGCATGCATGTCTTCTGAGCCTCTACTGGCTTCGTGTGCGCTGTCTTGACTGCTTGGGAGGCGTGCATGTCATCTGCAGCACCAGCTGGAGCACCTGAAGCGGCAATTGCTTTGCTGAAGCAAGCATCGATAACTTTTGTTGACTGTTGTTCTGACGCATGCGTCTGGCTTCAGGGGGAGTGGTGCTGGGCCTTGCCTTTGGCGTGCTTACTCGCTTGGTGCTCAGACTCATGCACAGGCGTGGCCACAAGGCCCCTGAGCAGCTGGCGCTCATTGTTGGCATGGCATACCTGTCCTTCTATGTGGCCAACGGTCCATGTGAGTCCAGCCTTCTCTACTCAATACAAGAGTACTGCTGTGCTAGTAACCTGTCGTGGGCTTGACGGGGACAATTTGCGCATAATATCTTGCAGGCTCTGTTGCTGGCATTGACAGGCTTTGCAATCAAAACGTTGGACTGCATTCTGCATTCTGCATTCTGCCTGGCGTGATGTCAGTAATGGTCCAAGCATGATGTTTGGAGACCATGCATGAATAGTTATTGGTCCGTGTGTGCTCAGGTGGGGTGAGCGGTGTCATAGCAGTGGTGGTGTTTGGCCTGTATGGCAGCGCGACAGGCAAGTGGCACATGAGTCCTCGAGTGGTGGAGAGTGGCGCCTTTGAGATCTTCTGGGACACAGTGGTCTTTGCCTTCAACGGCCTCATCTTTTTCTTTGCTGGCGCCTCCTCCATCAATTTCTTCTGGCGCTCCTCCACGGTGACCAATCTGTCTGCAATGAATGCTGCAAATCACCAGTGAAGCTTGCCTGGTGTGCACTAGTGCGCACCCCTGTGAGGACTCCTCCAGTGCATGCATCAGGGAAGATAACTTGAAATTTGTAATAATTGTAGGACTTCCAACCGCATGCACAGACATTCTTGATAGTCTAAAAATCTGTCACAGACCAAACTTCATCCTAACTTCTTGTGCCACAGGAACTGTTTGAGGACGAGGGCAATCTGGCAGTCTTATTTAAAATCTTCTGGCGCCTCCCACTGATTTTCATTGCCACTATCATTGTTCGGGGAGTCACCATCGCGCTGTTCAACCCCTTATTCAAGCTCGCAAAGTCAGGTGAGCTGCACTTACAGCTTCTTCCAAGAATTACCATCATTCATCCCTGTATGGACATGCTCCCTTTATAAGAGATAAGCCAAGTCTTGAGGCTACATACAAGCCAGTGGGGTTCGGAAAGGGATGCAAATGCATGCTGTTAGAATTATCCAGCAGATGCATGATTGACATGCAGATGCATGCTCAAAAAGGAATCATCACTGGCAATGTTGCGTGTTGCAGAGATGACAATGTCGGAGATTTTGTTTGCCACGATTGGTGGGCTGCGCGGAGCGGTCTCCCTGATCCTAACCCAGGTCGTCGTCACAGAGCAGAACCCAGATCCGACGCTAGCTAACCGCGCAGTCACTGCAGAGGTGCGCTCAGGCCCCTCTCTTCTTCACTCATGTCTCATCCCTAGCAATGAACCTGCCAAAGCTCTCATCGTCCTGGCAGGGCTCCTCTGGCCACCGACTGCAGATGCCACACACAGCGCCATTTTCTAATGTAGGTATTGTCAAAGTCATGGGGATCTGGCAGGGATCTTACTCGGCTATCGCACGTTGGGATCTGCTTGATGGGATTTGCTCTGACATGGAGTTTGCGTGTGTGACAGCTGGCGCTATGGACAGCGGGCATAGTGGTGTGTACTCTGGTGGTGAATGCCCCGCTGATGCCGCTGATACTGCGCTGGACCCGGCTGAGCGATATCTCCCCCGTCAAAGTGCGCATGCGCGGCAAGGCCGCCCGGGCGCTGCTGCGCTACACACGCACCGCCATCGAGGACCTGCAGCATGACGAGGACGAGATGCTGCGCGGTGAGTCATCGTTATGCAATGTATATTTGTCATCTGCACGAGCTGCATGCATGCTTTCGGGGAAGATATCTGGAGGGTATGCAGCAGAGGGGGATGCTGGTCAGGACAATGTCAATCGCTCATTTGCGAGTCAGATATGGAAGGCATCATGCAGCAGCAACCAGGAACTTTCATTCCATATTGCCCTTACCAAGGCTGGGACTTGACAACTTAATCAATGCATGCATGCATGTCCAGGCGTGGACTGGACGTCAGTGGAGACTTTCGTGGACTTGCATGGGAAGCTGGACCACTTCGCACAGATATCCCCCTCCAACGCTGAGAAGCAGAAGTGAGACTTATTTTTACTTTGCCATGAAATTTCAACTAGTGCATTCATTCTTCACGCATTCTTGTGTGGCCATCTCCTCGCTTAATTATTGCAAGGGGCAGCACAATTAGGATTGCTGAAACCCCTCTATCTAGCCAATATGAATGTAATATATGATCTGCTGAGGCAATACAGGTATTGCACCATGCATGCTGGGATGTGGGATATACTCAGCACTACTAACTTGTGAACAACATTCTGTGCTGCAGGGCGCAGGATAAAGCGCTGGCAAAGACTGCGCACTGGATCAACGGCTCATCCTCAGCGGTCGGCGACGCCCAGGGCCCAAGGCACTCCTCTGGGGACGAGGAGCAGCCGCTGCTGTCCAGGCTGAGCGTTGATGAAGAGATGGGCCTGGTGAGACAGCCATGACTGCCAATAGCGTTGATGAGCTAGATAGGAAGTTCAAGCCATCTAAATAATCTTCGAGGGGTTGCAAACCTATATGCTTGATTGGTCTGTCGATAAGCATCAAACCCCGACATGGCGAGTCTTTGTCCATACCCATCATTGCTGCCTCAGGCTTACTGGCAGCACCATGTCTCTGCAGGTCACTGATCAAGTCATTGTCTTTTTGGTGCTGAGTAGCTGCATGCTGCCTCTTGTGGGAAGGTTGATGAGCGCTTTTATGGCTGTGCAGGCAACAAGGGCCACTCTGGCCACATTGGAGGAGGGAGAGAACGAAGGAGGTGACGGGGAGGACAGTGGAGCTTCCGCCGAGCTGCCTCCGGCGGAGCTGGCGGCCGCCAGGCAGTGCGCAGCCAACCTGCTGCGCGCCAACACGGTCGCAGAAGAGATTGCCTTTCCCTCGGGCACGCAGTCTACCCTATTGCAGCTTACCAGCTCTACCAGGAGTGTTGTTTGTTCCCAAAGGGCTCCGATCTCTTGCCTGGTAGAGGGCGGGTTTAGCATGACAGGGGATGACAATTATTTCAGGAATAGCCAATTAGAGCAATGGAGGTTTGGCATGGTTGGTTCAGGGAATTGTCGGTACACAGACGATCAACGATGAAGATTATGTAATCTATTTCGGGGGCATGCAGGCATACAAACGCACTTCGGCCAGGTCATCGGGGCCGCGGAGGGCAACAAAGAGATGAAGGACCGGCACCAGGGCTTTGGGGCCTATGACGTACCCTTCCTCGGCCCATCGCGGCAGAACCAGGAGAAGGAAGCTGAACAGGTGCCCTACTCCTTTCGCTCTTGCATTTATATCAAATCGGCAGCTCCTCACATCATTCCGGGCATTTGTATGCATTTTTATGCGGCTGCTCGGTGAAGCATTTGCGAGTCTTCCTGAGAATAACTTGTCTTAGCGTTAAAATCTGTCTTTGCAGGAGGATGCTGAGCACGTGATCGACATGAACGACGATGAGAGCGAGCCTGAGGTGCTGGATTTGGAGAACCCGGCGTTTGACATCCGCTTGGCGGACGAGCTGCCCGCGCAGCCGCCCAAGATGGACCTCGTGGACCGGCTGGAGTTTGAGGAGGACGCAGCAGCCTCCAACGTTCCCTCCTCCCGGCTTTCCCAGGCCTCCCAGTGCGTCTACATGCCCTCTGCTAAGAACACTTTGCATAGTGCACATGGCGTTTATCTGCGGGTCTGTGCCTGACAATAAGTCATCTTCCTCCATGCGACGTGCTGTTCTGGAGCCTCCTTGTCCTAGTTGGCACTGATCTCTCTCTTGGCGACTTCAAATCCCACGCCACCCTTCTGCATCAAGACTGAGGACTTGTGGCTGGGTTAATGGGTCCTGAGCAAACCAAGTGCTATTAGATATGCCATATAGGTCAATGTGTGGCTACAATGGTGTCTTTCCTAAAACTCATTCAGCGTGAACCGCAGGGGGTTCATGTCGTGTTGGCTATTATCTGATGTGCAAGCAGAAGCAGTGCATGCATTGTTTGGACCCCCTTTGTTGTCGGCTGCAGGGCGTCACAGGGCACTGCGGACGCAACGCTGCAGCGAGAGCTGCTGGAGCAACAGCCGTCTCCCTTCCAGCGGTTTGCTTCCCAGAGCTCAATTGACTCCATGGCCACCATCCCTTCCACCACTGCACAGCAGCCAGTGCAGGCTCTTCCTGCGCCATCACCCTTCCAGGTCTGTGCTCAGGCTGCCACCTGCTCGGATCCTCTAACGCTTCCTCTTCGACTGTGTTCTGTGCGCATGCCCGCAGCATCAAACTGCACTGTGCTGCATGTAAGCACGGAATCATATGGGAATGCTGCATTCCTTGGCTGTGTATGAAGGCACATTCGCACATCCAAACTGACCTGTGCTGCAGATTGCCACTGACTCACGGTGAATCTGCTGCATGCCAACAGTTTGAGATTTTTTTTATCAAGATTGTGGCTGACGGAAGGTCACTGTCTCCAGGACGTGCTGCTTTCCACCCTTTCTGGGAGGGAGAGCCTGCAGCGTAAGCACCGCAGCACCGTCATCCCACAGCCCATCATTGTCCCGAAGATGGTCAGGCCTGGGTGAGTCACCACAGCCCACGTCACGGCCCTGCCTCTAGGGAGTGAGAGTTCATAAGAGTGTTTTGCTGGAGACTTCCATTCTCCAGGTGTCCTGTAGGGTGAACTAGAGTGGTATGCACATGGACCATGCATGATTTCAAATCATTTCCAAATCTTTTTCTGCATTGATCCGCGAGGTTGCTTTCGCTTTGAATCCCCAAGCGCAACAGGTTTGACATTTAGGTCTGGTTTTGGGTGGGCTACAATTCGACTGAAAAGTTTGGCGAGCACCTCTGTAATATTGGGCGTACTGAGATTGCAAAGACATCCAGCGGTCTCAGCGGTTTCACTTTTCTGTGAGGTGCTGAAGAGCGGGTATCGACTTGCCATTGCAGGGATGCGCGTGAGGGGGAAGGGGAGAGGCCGAGCATGCGGTGGGTGTCGATGGTGGGCAGCGGGCATGCGGAGGGTCAGCAGCCGCAGCAGCCAAAGGGGCGCACAATCGTGCGCCAGGACCCAAACGTGGCAGTCGGCGTCTCATTCTCCTTCACCGACACCTCTGCACCCACCCCCGGCGGCAACCGTAGGTGACAAGTACACAAAGTTATCTTAGTAATTCTGACCCTTTGTAATTTCAGTCATCACATCACCTCATCCCACCTCAGTATCTCCTTGATCTTTGAGTCTTCATGCACCATGTCTTGCATGTGGGTAAATATCGTTATCATCATTTGTATTGCTCGCTTTTTCTGCCGGAGGCAAGGTCTGCAGACAAGCTGCATGTAAAGGCTGCCATAATCCTTTCAGATCCAAGCAAGACCCAATCGACCTTGGGCGCGGTGCGCAGAATATATACCGCCCCCCGCCAGCCGGGGCTGGAGGGTGAGGAAGTGTGGCGAGAATATGGCTGCGCTGTGCTGCTGGGTTGTTGGCAGGCCAGGGAAACTAAGTAAAATTTCAGCTGACGAACCTGAGAAGATCCATTGGAATGGATGCTTGGCAGGACGCTGACGAGCAGGAAGAAGCGGGCAGAGACCAAGGCGCTGCACAGGGTGCTGAGCTCGCCGCTCATGCACAACCCTCCCGATGTCAACAATCCCGAAGACAATGAAGACATCGAGGATGACCTGGACGAGGATGACCCAGAGGTGCAATTTTCTCTAAATTTTCGTTTCTGTGTATCCCCAAACTGTCCCTGTTGACCTCAAGTTAACACATCCTGGAGCAGCGGACTCTGCATGTGTTCCTTGCCGCTGTGTACTCACTTTAAATGCAAGTGAGGAGGGCAGCACGTGTGCAGCAGGCAAGAAAGAGCAGGAAGGCAGGGGTGGAAGCAGTGTGGTACTGAAGCTGAGCATATCACTAATCAATTTGACTAAAGGACTGAGGAGCAACAGGTAGCAAGCTAGGATTTTAACAACGAGAAGGACAAGACGTGGTCATTTCATTGTCAATTGTTCACCACGTGTGGTGATGAATCCACCGGGTCGCTCACCGTTTTGTAATTCTATGAGCGCACATGGGGCTTTGGAATGGGATAAAAACGGACTGTATACGGCAAAATTTTATGTCGCGTCAGGGTGCATGTGTAATAAATTAATCTGTCTTTGCTATGCAGGTGCTGGCGGAGGCGCGGGTGCGGCTGGTGGCGGGACTGAAGCGCTACTTCCACGAGAAGCGCGGCCAGGGGCTGCTCAGCGGCCGGGGCATCGTGGAACTGGACCACGCATGCGACGCCGCCATGGACCGCTCCTCGCAGCCCCTCTCCATCTGGAAGGTCGTCGAGAGGTGCGCACTTTGGCGACCTCAACCTGCATGCTGCCTATTCAGGGAACTTCATGAAGTTATGCTGCCAGCTCCATTTAGGGCAGATTAAATCTACCTTCCCATGCAGAACCTCGACATGCTGTAGGACACAAGTCTGTGAATACTTACCGAGTTGCTATGCGCCAAAAATGTGTTGTGCAGGTTTGAATGTGGACATATTCTAGAGATTGAGCCAGATGTGGTGTTTGCGAGGTTTCCCTGGCACTGACAGTCGGTGTTTAACTGATTCCAATCCGCTAACGTGCTCCAGCCAGGTTATCACTCCTTGGTGCAAAGTTACTATGCCCAAAAATCGTTCGAGAGCGAATGTGTGCCGTGCAGGGATGTGTGCGGACGGGGGACAGTGAGGTGGCTGTCGCGCAGCCTCTTTTCGCTGCGCCGCCTGACCATCATGGCGGGAAATTGGGGGCCGCGCTTCCTCGTGAGGCCCTGCCTCATTGCCCCTGCCACCTGGCTCGCGGAGGTCAGCATCCCACTTCAATGAAATGGTTGATTGAGCATGTTTCCAATGCTGCAGGTTTTGTCCCTTGATCAGCATCAAGGTGCTACGGATGTGACTTGCAATTGAGAGTAGATACAAATGTGTAATATTGGCTGGCATGCAGTTTGTGACATGCAATTGAGAGAGGGTACAATTGCTTAACATTGTCTGACATGTACTTTGAAAACCATCATTTTTGCTGACTTTTGGAATGGTGAGAAAGACTAGGAACCTGATGTACATGCAGCGCTATTTGAATGTAATAATGGACTGGCATGTTCTGTGTGCGCAGCTGCTGGGTCGCCAGCTCAGCGGCGTGATGCTGCTGTCGATTGAGGTGGCTGTGGAGTACTGGCTGGCGCTCACGTGGAGCCCCCAGGCACAGTGGCTGAACGAGCTCGCCAAGAGCGGCGTCATTCAGGACGAGGTGTGCAATTCGGCTCACCTTGACGTTCACTTGATCATGAGATCATTAACGCCCTGCTTTTGCTCAAAATATGCTCACTTCCTGTCTAGGTAGCCTTGCATGCAGCATGCAGTCCCGTAGTGGGCTAAGAAAAGACTGTCAACTATCCTCCAAAAGAGCTGACATGCTGGTATCGTCCTGCACCGGCATATGTCGAGTGGCGCATTCAAGGAGCATAATGAAGAAGCATGATTCAATCAAGTCTGTGTCAAGAAACTTCCTGAGGGTGTGTCATGATGCCACAGGTAAAGTCGGAGAGCAAGAAGGTGTGGAGGTTCATCATCGAGCGGGAGATTGAGGCCCCTGCCAGGTTCCAGGCGATCCAGACCCACCGGGCAGCCATGGCCATCCTGCGCCAACAGGTAGCCCAACGATCTGAATGTGCTGGACAAAATCTGAGCGCAAGGACAATTATGCACGTCTTGTTATGCATGCATGTTATGCATGCGAGCATAAAGAAGGCGTCTCAAAATTCGTTCATTGCACCTTCCTGAGAGGGGCTGAGGGGATTGTCACGGTCCATCATAAAGTAAGCTTAGAGAGTTGCTAGGTGACCATCCCCACCACTCGTTTCAGCAAACTGCAACGCTTTTCTGTTCCAATGTTAAGCGTGCCAAGGGACCTCCAAAGCAGGCTTGTGTCATGCCATTGGGGTTGTGCCCAGCATTCAAATTTTGCTGGCAGGGGTTGTTTGTGGAGCAGCTGTACCACAGCGGCATGGTGGACGAGGTTGAGAAGGAGCTGCTATCTGAGCCCATCCAGAAGAACGAGCGCCGCCTCATGCGCAAGCACTCCCTCGGCCTCTCCCATCGCATTGACGAGGTGCCTGCACCTGGTCATCTCACGCCTTGCACACAATATTGTGGTAGCAAGATTTATGCACAGCTTTGTCTCCTTGCTGCCCAACAGTACCTTGGCTTGATGAGAATTTGCTTGATATTGTGTGTGTGTGTGTCTGTCTGTGAGCGGAACCGCGGTGAAAGCATGCTTTTTTCTGCAGAGCCCCATGTGGAGGGCCATGTCAGTCATGCATGTCCTGAGCAAGATCACCTAAAGCTGCATTTGATTTTTACAGCCTTGAGCGCTTCTGGCTAGATGCTTACTGAAGGAATGATCAATTTGCAGGTGCTGAACAACCTGCCCTTCCTCAAGGGTCTGCCCAAGCCGGTCTTCGACGCGCTGCTGGCGAGCGGCACGCTCATCAAGTGCACCAGCGGCGAGACCATCTGGACGCCCCCGCGGCCGGCGGCGGCCACCGCGCGCGGTGGGAGCAGGGCGGAGGGCGGCGATCCCTGCCCCGGGTCCGGCATTTATATTGTCATTGCGGGCCTTGTGCGCAGTAGCTACGTCACTGCCAGCGGCCACACCCAGGTGCCTCCCCTAAACAATGCTTTTTGTTCAAGTCGAGCCTCAGGCAAGCTTCCGAGGAGCCGCTTTGCATCCCGCCTGTGCCTGACAACCCCAGCACCATTATCCAACCTTGATATTGGGGATGCCAGCTATGGGTGGGTTGTACATTGGCTGATCTCTGACATGCAACATACCAAAGATCATGCGGCCTTGCATTGCATGTCTGGTGGGATTGCCATACTGCAGCATACTTCAGGCCTTGAACAGAACGGCAGCAGGGCGGACCACCAGAAACTGACAGCCTGCTTTATAAACAGTTGAAGGAGCTTTCTCTGGGCATGCGCAGGAGTACTTCATGGGCAGGGGTGGCGTATTTGGGCTGCTGAGCTCGCTGGCGGGCGAGTCTCTGCCGGGCAGCGGGCCCTGCGTGGCCGTCGGCAATGCGCTCATGCAGGGCCCCGTGCTGTTCCATTTCCCCCAGAGCCTCGTCACCGCTGTCCAGCAGCGGGCAGCTGCAGGAGACTCCCACCTGCGCCAGCTTGAGCTCGACCTGTACCGGTGGGGCCGCCTGCTCTAGCGCACGAATACCGTGTCTTGCGACTGGGAATCTGTAACGCAGCAGACATGCCTTGGGCTCCTTGTCTTCATTGAAATAGCCAGGGACGATCCCCGCTGCTTCTCATGTTCCAGCACCCCTTTCCGAGTTCCGGCCCAGCTCATGCAGAACAGCCTAGCTTTGCAAGGCTCTTCTATATGAGATGCGGCACGAGGATTGGAAAGAGGTGCTGTGCTGCTCTTCCTGAACAGACTGCCAGAAGATGACATTCTCAGAAGCGCATCTTCCAGAGCGACGTGGCATGGATTGGCTGCAGCGTGGCGGCGCTGTATCTGGTGGAGCGGCTGAAGAGCGAGGTGATGGCGGCGGCCGCAACGCACTTCCAGGCGCTGGCCGTCGGCCAGGCGCGCAGCCGCACCATCAAGCGCCTCGCGCGCAACCCGCCCGGCCACCGGCAGCCCATGCACGTGCGCACACACATCCCTCCGCCGCTGCTGATTATTTTTGCACTTCGTGACCCTGCTTTGCGCATGTTTGCACAAGCCCTCATAAGGGGCTTGCTGAGGCGCTCCAGAGCGTCTTGGAGATAGAAGACTAAGGAGCGACTGGTGGTAGCAAGTGGGACATGTCTCGTTGGCCGGCCAATTCCGGCTTATAATGCACGCTTGGGCGCAATTGGCGTCGGCACAAGGGGGCTTTGTTCGGCCTGGCCATTCGCATTTCTCTGAAAGGGAGCCATTCAAATTTGAGGACTTTATGACCCTGCTTTGCGCATGTCTGAGCGCATGTGCCGATGGCTGTGTCTCATTTGTGCCATTAGCCTCCTTGTTTTCCATGCAACTTTGCATGTGTGATTCAAAGGCTGTGTAGACTGATGTGTCGATGACCTCATTGTGCCTTGGCAAGTCGTGCAGCTTTGCAATACCTAGTCGTCCAAGCAAGAGAAATTTTTGTGCGCAGAAGGACTCCCGTTCAGGAAGAAGAAAAAACGGCAGTATCTAAGTGGGGCTGGCTGCGCAGGTGCACGATGTGTGGGCCAAGGTGGGCCACACAGCGAAGGCGCATGATGTGATGAGCGCTGAGCTGGAGGCTGCGCTGGAAGCCCCGCTGGCGATGCACCTGGGCGGCGAAACAGAAAAGGGGAGGGACTCCAAAGAGCACTCCGATGACAAGCTGCGCGAAACGTGCAACATTCACGATGACATGTCGGGTGCGCTGCAGCTGAACTCCATTGCACCATACATTAAGAACACGATACATACGCCGTGTACAAGACCTCTTATTCCTTCCATGATGGACTTGGCAGCAGGGGTTCTGCGACTGTCCTGGAAGAGACATGAGCTCTCATTCATGGGTGTCTGTAGAAGCATTTGTCGAGCCAGGCACATGAGGTCAAAAAAAACTGCAGCATATCTTGAAGAAGATGGCAATGGCTCAATTACATGGAGTGAGATCCATGTAATTTCCGATGTTGCATCATCGTGATCACTCTGTCTCGGTCCTTCAGGTCTGCACCAGAACGGCCCGGGGCGCAACGGCCCAACCGACTTGGAGGTGGTGAGCAGCCTGGAGGCCCGCAAGGTCTGGAAGCACATCCGCAAGCACGCCGCTCAAGGTGAACTCTCCCTTACTTTTTGCCCCACACTCACTTGTGCTTGTTGACACCACTTTTAACGCAATCCAAAATACGCAAATCTGCGCCGTTTTTGCCGTGCTATTTCATGGTGAGCCTCTTGACAGCTCTTTGTGAGGAATCACAAGCACGCATGATTTGGAAGTTGCACAAGACAAGAGCTTGCTGGTTGTCAGGGCGTATATGTGCCTCTCCCACTAGATAACGGTAAGGGCGACTATAGAAGGAGAAAAGTTGCATAACATTCATTGCATGGGGCAGGCCTCACAAGAGCTGGATATTTTACGTAAGGGAGGACTTGAGTCCAGTGGATCGTCATTGCATTGGTGGAGAAGTTGCCATGATCAACAGAATGGAGAAATCTGAGACACGTGTTGCTGGACGTGCCTAGATCCCAGATGCCTAGGAAGTGGAAAACGTGTTATAACAAACATTTCATGGGTATCTGTTGCAGCACTGGCGGAGCTGAAGCAGGGGATGCGCGATGCGGAGTTGGTCCAGCTGGCGCCCGGGGAGATGCACATCCAGCAGTCCAGCTGGGTGCTGCTCAAGGGCACTCTGCGCATCACCGGCCACGCTGCATTTGTTCCTGCAGGCATGCCAGGTGCGCCCCTTGTGTGCAAACCTGGCTTGGATCTGGTCTGCATGCATTTAATCTCAGTAGAAATCTCACGGTGGGCATGGCTGGATGGTATCTGACAGTGAGGAGGGATGCTAGGTGCGCCTGCGCCTTGCATGCAGTGTTGGCTTGATCTGGTGTGCTGCATGCATTCGCTGTATGAAGAAAAGCTAAGTGGGTGCGATTGGATGGTGAGTAATGGTGCATTGTTGGGAGCAGTGAGGAGGGAAGCTCGCAGCGGCGAGGCAGCCGCCTCCACCTCAGCAGAGGACATTGAGCGAAGTGGGCTCTGCACCCGCTTCTTCTCTCATGCATATTTACTTACTGTTCCACTCATGCTCATATGGCGTGAATTATTTTACGCTATCTTGAATTACCAGGATTTTTGATGGCTCCGGGGTTGACATAACGAGCGCAAACAAAGAATTCCACGCCACACGGGCATTGGATTTTTTTTGCTATGCTTTTGTGTGCCACAATGCTTTGGCGGCCCCACATGAGATCCCCACAGCTGCTCTGATACTGCTTCCGGTGCTGTTGTAGGCCAGCAGGGTGACCTGGAGGTTGCAGTGCAGTACAGCGGCCCGGCAGTGCTGCCGTGGCTGTGGCAGCCTGTGGAGGTGGATGGCGATGTTGTGCTGGTCCCCCAGCCTATCCCCCACATTGCAGGCCCCTCAGGCGAGCCCCCCTGCCGCACCCCCTAACATTTTCCCACACGGGCAGTGACGGTCACAAGTGCTTCTTGAAGCCAGACTATTAAATGAGATTGTGCCTGGCTGTGCTGTGGACGGCTTCTCGGGCCGCCTGTTGATGGCGGTCTATTGCTAATTGGCGTTGATCTGGCGTCCTCGAAGAAGTTGTCCATATCACAGTACAGAGAGGGATTGGGCAGCCGGTTTACCCATGCTAAACTAGCCTTTTAGCAGTAGGGAAAAAGGGCAATGCGCTCAAGCGGAAAAATTCACATCTCCAGTCTCGTCTGTATGTGTTTGAGGGGTGTGGGGCGGTGTGCGCAGGTGCGGTGCTGCTGGTGTGCCGCACTGAGGAGAAGGACAGCAGCGATAGTGAGACCCGCAGCGAGGGCTCCTCGGTGGAGCCCACCCCTGATTCACCCACGCAGTCCGAGTGAGCTACCCTCCCCGCCCATTTGCCCTATCTTGGCAAACCCCTCATGCAGAAATGTCATGTATCTGGTCTTCAGAGAGGCAGATTCACCTCTGCCGCTTTGGAGGTGAAGGTGAAGATGCTTGACATTCCAACATGCCGGGGACGGTGGCCATCTCAAATCATTTATGTCACCATTCGGTTCCAAAGTTGCTGGCCTCAATGTTGCTAACATTGGCATGTCATTCAGCTGATTTACTCGCCAGAAGGCACTACAAATGTGAATATAGTGCCAACAGGCAGCCCGTGCACATGCTGCACCTTACCAGAATTGTTACTGTAAAACATCAGCGCTATTTTTCAATGCGCGCGCAGGCAGCCCCAGCCGCCGGCGAGGCGTGCACAGGAGAGGGCCCGGGCAGCCGTGGCTGCGCGCATGCGATCGCTGCCGGGGGACGGCACGGGCGAGGCCACAGAGCACTTCGGCCCCATCCAGTCCAGCACAAACGCCAGCAAGCGCCTGAGAGTCATCTCCGTGCGCCACATTCCCACCTGATGCGCTGTCCTGTGTTGAGCCATCTGGGCCGTGCCATCTCGAGCGTCGAACCAAACTTCAAGAGGCGCGGAAGAATTAGATAGTGGGGATTACGTGGAAGAGATCGAGGATCCCCTGCATACCTTGCTGCTTGCGCCGCTTCTGTAGATTCAAGAGTATGACACGATAATACACGGTGCCCGGAGACATGTCAGCATTCTGCCCTAAAGCAGCAGGGGCATATGGGGCACTTGTGAAGCTCAGGGATAGACTGATAGATGGGTGGTGGTGCGTGGTCAGAATTTCAAGGTGTTGTGTCATTTAGAGTCCAGGGTAGTGTTCTGGTGTGCTGTGTGGGCGCGTCTGGTCAAAGTGCAAGTCATGTGCATTACAACATGACAAGGTTTGCCAGGGTTTTTTTTGTGAGTGGTTTGGTAGGAGGGGCTCTTGAATCAGGGTAGGGAAGATTATAGATCCTTGTCATGCCTTCACACAATCAAATCAGGTTTGTGCAAGGACACCAGCAGTGTGGCTAGCAGACACAAGGACAGCTTAAATTCAAGCAGGAACAGATCAAAAAAGTTTATGTGCATTTTGGCTTACCTGGGAGTTTTCATGCTTCAGTATGCAGATCAGAATGATCTAGGCTTGTGCTTGGGATTGTTGTATTAGAATGTGCAAGCGGGATCATAAATATGAGGGATGGTGCTTTCTATTCTCATGCATTGCATCGTGACAGACAGCAGGAAAGTCAAGGAAATACCTTATGATTTCTCGAGGTGTTGTAGGCATTTTCTATCTGTATCATGCGCAGCTAGCCGCACTAGTTTACTGAAGTAAGCTGAGCCTCAAGCAAAATGATCATGCTTGCCAGCAGACATTCGTTTCCTTTTTATCAATTTTTGTAGGTCATGTAACTGGGAACGTTTAAGGGATATATAGTAACCCTCTACAAGCCCCTGCCAGGCCCTAGAACATCTCAATTCCGATGCCACAGAAGATGTTTAGATCTCACGCGGGCAGTCTGCAGGTACTGTGACAACCTCTTTTGTTGCAATTATGATCTTCCTCTCATAGACATTACGCACCAGTGAAGCCTAGGCTCGGATCAAGCATTTGAAGACCTTCTGTTCAAGAGGGACCCCGACCTTGAATAGTGCTCGAGGATATGAATGTCCAAAATAGCAGTATCTCTCATTGTAGCTAGATCTCGCCACCCCCTTTCTCACACAATTGCAAGGTCACTCAAGCCACGCGCTTGCTAGAAGCCAGCGCCAGAAAGGATGTCATGCGGTCAACCATGCTCGAAGGCCACCTGCATGCAGCAGCCTCATATCTGGACATCCTCCCCACTCCTCCATCACACCGGCAGAATAGCGCCATATCAAAGGCAATAAATGCCATGACCGCACAGAATGGAGGAATCTGATACACGTGTTGCTGCACGTACCTAGATCTCGATCCCAAGGAACTGGAAAACGTGTAGCAGTAATAGTAATAATAAGGATTCTTAAAAGCGCAGCAGGTCATGCAGAGCATGCTGCAAATGGTGGTGAGGCATGTGGGAAAATGGCATCCACCTGCGAATGCGTGACAGCCAGTCCTTGTCCTGGTACTTGCTACAGCCCACTGAGATCCTCTCGCATGCAAAGTTCCACTCCGACTCGGCTGCCGCCTCATTACCCTGCAGCCAAGCAGGTGCTCACACTCAGGAGCTGTAGCTGTCACTGCTTGGGATGTAGTAAAACAGTACATTATATATTCGCCTAAGACCATGCCTGACCATGATATCAAGGTGAGGAAATCTGGATATGCAGTGATAACGGCTTGCCATGCACATGGTATCAGATTGACAACAGCCATCTGGACCAGTCTGTCACTTAGTCAGAAGTCTGCATCTATACATGCAAAAGTACGACACGTCATACTGGTGCTGGAAGGCACTTGGAAATGTCCTGAAAGCTGCTCAGAAAACTCTGGAGATCAGATATGATTAGTCCCACGTACAGCAAGAGCACCAAACCTACGCCACCAAATGATCTGCTGATGCTGAGACTCACATGGGCATGTCTTTAAAGCCTTGAAATTCTAAAGATCAGATGTAGCTCAAAAGATGACAGATCCCGGGTACAATGATTGGGGCGCACCTGGGACCAGTAGAGGGCAGCAAGGGCGGCTCTGAGGTCGGCGCTGCCAGGTGCCCGTCTGAGAGCCTTGCGCATCTCCAATATGGCGGCGGGCTCATCCCCCAATTGTACCAGCGCTAGGGCGGCGTTTGATGCTGCCACCACAGCATCTACAAGCAGCACAGCTTTTCCCTTAGTTTGATGCATCTAAACCAGTTTCAGATGCTCTCAGTGAAGGCGTGCTGCACTTGAAACACAACTATATGAGATAGAAGTTTTTGGGAAGCATGCACTCAAGGCAACAGACCACTGGAATAGCATGTTAAACAGGGTCCTTAGTAGAATGTTCACCGTCTAGTCGGAGAGCAGATGACCCCGAGCTGTCCCTGAAACCTGCCGCCTTCTGGAAGCCGGCTGCGCTCTTCAGGTAGTCCTGGCGAGCCTCTGCATGGTGATCACAAGAAAGTCAAGCACCCGACAGCAATAGGCTCTGCCCCTATTCCACGCACTTCCGGCATTGCAAGCTAATGCTCCAGCAAGGGACCCTCTGTCTTCTATGGTAAAACTACTGCTGTTGTGAGTGTCACCTTATGGGTCAAAGCATGCGTTGGGCCCCAGAGGAAGTGGCAAGGGGGTGATACATGTCATAGTCACGAGGTACTGCACAAAGGGCATCCGTGGTGCACTACCTTTCCAGCGGGCGAGGGAGGCTTGCACGTTTCCGCGGCTGTTGAGGACATAAGGATCCGGATATTGCCTACGAACACAAATGTTCCTTCTCGTTTGCATAAAACCATCAGATAAAACTGTGGCCAGCAGCAACCAACCCTCAATCCAGGTGCACCCAGTATAGTTGCAAAGCACCCCTCACAAGGTGATGCAAAACGATACAAGACTGTCGGAAGGACGCAGCTCCACAGGGAATTGAAGACAGCTACCCACCCTCCCTGTCGCGCCAGATCGAGGGCAGTGTTGTAGTCACCCAGTGCAGCCTCCCACTGGGCTAACCCCTCATAGGCCAGCGCTCTCCCTGCCAGCAGCCTCGCTCGCTCCACCAGGCTGTCAGCTGCACTCACACAGCAGCCTGCATTAGTCATCATCCCCGGTGGGTTCTGAGGGCAGGTCATGAATGATGCTATATGATCCATTGCAGATGCTGTGAACTGCAGGAACCCGAGCAGCAAGCCGATCCCTGCACCTCACTCCCTTACAGATTCATGCTCTTTTGAGGAACTGACAGTTCATTCCCCTGATGCAGATTCTGCCTTGCTGCATGCTGGGATGTGTGTAGAAGCATCAGACTCTTAAACTAACGTCACAGGTAAAGCAGGGCGAGGCTGACAGCTCCCTTACATCTAGGGCAACATGAATGACGTGTTGCTTTGTGTCCCACCTGGGGTGGCATTGATCGCCTGATTAAAGTCGGTCAGCGCGCTCTCGAACTGCTTCCCATCCACTCGGACAGCGGCTCTCATCTCATGCCAGCGTGCCGCGCTTGGTTGGGCTGCCACCAACTCATCCACAAGCTCAAGCGTTGTTCTGAAGTCCCTCTTGGCATATGCCTCTCTCGCAGCCTCCTGGGGGCATTTACAGTAGGTATAAGCAACTGACAAATTTCACCAAACCCCACCACTGCTTATTCATTGGCCTGGGCAAGTTGCGGGTTGTGCAAAATGCCTACACATTCTTCTCCAGCTAATTTTACAGCTTGTGATTGTCTTGTTCACGCTGCCAGCGATTTTTAAATGACTTCGTGATGCCCACCTCGATCTCTCGCAAATCAGGTGCTGCACTGATGGCAGCCTGGGCATCAGCAGTTCTCAAGAGATTGGCGCTGGTGACAGCGAGGACGCTGCCGAGGATCAGATCCCGTCTTTGCATCCTTCCTGGCGCACTGTTTGAACAGCTTGCCTGTTGGCAGCTAGATCGACGTTGATCCTGGCTGATGTTGCCATGGTTGCAACGGATATGTAGTGGATGCCGGGCTGTGCCAGCATAAGCTTCAGCTGCTTGATGTGATGCGGTGTTACCTCGCATGCTTGCACCTTTTGTGACGTATTATGCATAAGAAAGTCAGGTGTTGCATTTATTTCGGCTTCTCTTCTTTGAGAAGGCCACGCTTCGGGTGTTCCGGTGGTGAAGCTGCCCCGTCGAAACGGAAGCTGCCACCTTTGTGAGCACCCAGGACGTTCTCGGTGGTAGGTGGAGCCTGCGACTCATTCCTTGCAAATCATCCTATTTTACAGGATTATACAATTTGCATAAACTAAACTTTGAAGGTACCTCCTGCGATCATCTTGATAGCAAATGAAGTTCACCATATATGGCAATTGCATGCCGCATGCGTTTTACTAAGTATCTCAGATAGTTCGTCACCGTCCTTCAAGCAACAGTGAGTCACAACTGCACTCGTTATGCACGGTCTAGCCAGTGCAGGCAAGCACATGCGCAACACATCAAGCATCATAATCCTTAATACACCGGGTACCCTTTAATCATGCCAGTGAGCAGGCAGGTCCCATTTTCTTCTCTACCCAAAGCTGATTGCGTCCTGATCTGGTGGTGTTCGATGGCTCAGAGTATGAGACTAACGGCATACGTCATATCCGTTGTGATGTTTATAGTGTGGCATCAGGAGCGCTCAGCGCATCATTAACACATCTAGCCTTTCCTTCAATCACCTCTCTTTTGCTACATTCACTCCCTCTCCATTACCAAGCAACAGCAGGGTGCCGGAGACACTGCCGATTGCCGAGGAGTTTTCTTTGGCGTGACCAACTCCACTTCTTCAGCTTTGGGGTTTCTTCAGTGGTTCTGTATTGTTGATCACTATCTCTGTGGGGCAGGCATTGGCAGACATCTGGAAGGGTAGCAGTGCTGCTTGGGCAATGTCCTCAGGCAGGATCATCTTTGCGTTGTCGATCGGCACTCCCCTGCGCAGCAGCCTCAGCATCAGCCCAGTGCACTGCAGGCATTCTTGCACCTGCAGAAGCTAATTTCAGCCAACCCACAACTCCTATATCTCTTTTCTAGACCATATGTGCATAAAAAGCAGTGAGGGCATAATTTCTTCTTGAGTGATGGTCACCTGGTCATGTCTGAGGACACATATGCTGGGAATATGGTGGTCACCCTGATATTCTGCTCCTTCAGCTCCTGCATATGTACAACACAATGCGCTCACTTCTAACCAAGTTCACACCACACTCCAACAACACTCTGCACTGCTCACTTGGCAAACCAAAAAACCTGGGCCAGCCAGAGATGTTCAACACACTTTCAGCACAAGACTCGAGGAAGCTTAAGCGAGGAAGCTTTGAGCAGTCTGAGTAACAAGGGACATAGAAGACACCTCGAAGCACGCTTTGCTCCATCCTGTGAGGCCCCACTTGGAGGCTGAGTATGCCGCATTGTACTTTGAGGGGCGCAGGCCGGCCACAGATGAGATGTTGATGATATGGCCGCCAGCATGGCTGCGCGCCAGAATTGGCGCCAGTGCATGTGTCAGCTTCATGGGTACCAGCAGGTTCAGGTTGATCATCTTGTCCCACATGTCCACGTCAGCTGCGCAGCGCATGCATGCAAGTTTATCTGACTTATCTGTGCCCAGAAGTGCTGCTATATAGGTCGTGGACATTCTCCTTTTCATCTTCAGCAATCAAGTGATCTTGAACCAAGGATGCCACCGCCCATAGACAAGATAAATACCACTGCCATAAGGCAGTGCTTAACGCACAAGTGCGGCTGACAATTGCTGCTAATGTCAGCAGGAAGGAGGATTCAATGAAGAAGTGCACACCTTCAGCGATTTTGTCATGCTGATCTTCTTTGGATGTCATGCCTGCGATCAGCACAGCCACAACATCAACATACTCAGGTGCATAAAACCGTTCCAGCCTGAAGGGCGAAGCATAGTGAAGTGCAGACATGATCAGTGACTAGTGTGGTCATGTTGGAAATCTGCTTGATATTGCGAGGAAGAAGAAGATGCTGCAGGCTCAGTACCTGCACTGTTGACAAGCACATCCAGTCTATCAGCCACGCGCTCGGCCACTTTGCTGGGAAAGTCAGGCGCTGTAGCGTCACCCTGTTCCATGGAGGCATGAAAGGAAGCGGTAAAATCACATTCAGTAAGATGCTCCTCAGTATTGCTTGAAAGGGGACTAAGCAGCACTTCAGGAAGCAACAAGCTTTCGTTTGTCAGAACAGGTTCTCGCAGAAATCTTCTCGGACCTGCAGGCAGTCCACATCTCCTGCTCCGGCCTTTCGGCAAGATCCTGCCACCTGCACAAAGATTGCCCTTTGTATCAACGCAAACTACCTTGAGGAATGTAGAACAGACGGACTGCTCGGTCTTTATAGACCTGACCTCTTCAAGTTTTGCCTTGTCACGGCCGATTAACATGAGCGCTGCGCCCTCTTTTGCAAACTCCACTGCAATACTGCGCCCGATCCCTCGAGTGGCTCCAGTGATTACGACTAGTCTGCCGTGCAGTACTCCCTTCCCTTCTCCCATCGTATTGCCCAGCGAACGGCCTGTCGCCCACGCAGCACGGTATTGCACAACACAGAGCTACTGCCGATGCTGCGATTGAAGCAATTATGATAAAGAGATCAAGCATACCTACCCGAAATACTTATTGTTGCTGATTTCAGATCTTCACTCTCTGTCTGGATTGGGCAGCTCGGGCAAATAGTATTGATCTGTTTGTTTCGCTCTCGGTGATCTGGCTCAGGCACTTCTCATAGGTGAAAGCACGCTTATGAAACCTCTTTTCGTGCTATAATCTACCACTATCTGAGCCCAAATACTTGATGATTGGGCTGGTGCGCCCAAAATTCGAAGGCAGATCATATCCTCCACCCCTTTCCAAAGGGGTTTGCCGATAGGGCACTTCCTGAGATTGCACGTCCAGCTCTTGTCTGCCGTAATGTGCGACGAATACTCTTAGAACTCCAACTTATGTTTGCGAACATCGCGCTTCGCCGCGGAATTGTCAACCACGCATCGCAGGAGACGGACACTGCTGGGTAAGCCTAGGGCCGCTCGCTCTGTGTGCACTGCCTTTGGGACAAAGTTCGGTGCACGAATACAACTCTGCATAATGATGCGCGCGCACTCTCATTGATCTCGGGAGGAGAGTCCGGAGGTGAGATTGCGGAAGACCTTGTGAGTTCTGGTGCCAGCAGCAGGTTGGCAGCAGGCCACAACGTGCGGCCGACAGAGGGCACGTGCCCATATTACCGGAGACTATTCTTTTTGGTTTCAGTTCCTCTTTGGCAGAGTGTATACCAGGAATTTTACGTTTATGAGACTGTGCGCTTGTCATCTCACAGGTTCTGTGGTAGACCACCGTCTGGAGTGCTCAGTGCTCAACGAGGCATACGCACACGGAAAAAGCTCTCGAAGGTGAATATGCCCGCCTCATCTAGAATTTAGACAATATGTATCCTCCTCAATCCCTCAGTGGTAAGAGATTCCCGGAGACGATGGCTTGTCGTTGACTTGCAGGTTGAAGCGATCTCCAAAGAATTCTTGACCGGAGTCTCGATCGATATGGCTCCCGGTATCCTGCAAGACCTGAGTCCGGAGACTTTGGTCAAAAAGCACTACAGCGATGCTCTGGAAGACCAGAAGATCATCCAGAAGGCCGCTCCGGTCAATGGTCTGAAGTAAGCCCCATGCTGTAGTACCACTGTGCGTCGTCCCCGTTGTAAATGTAACCCAAGGCGGATGATCGCACCAACGGCGTATCAAAACCGTTCAAGCATAGGAGGGTACATTGCGGCCCAAGACGGGCGCATAGATTAAGTTCATCTAGAAATATACATTTCCCTAGGTGAAACAGCGTCTCCTCCTAATGAGCCATGACACTGTCCCTACTCATATGATGCATTACAATTGATATTGAATGTCCTAGTGTTTTCTTGATTGCCTTGTGCAGGCACTCTGGGCCGCAGGGCCACATTGAGCCCTTCACCATTGTGGACGACCCATCAGCATGGCTTGCAGCAGACTACAAGAACAAGCAAGACGCATACATCTACACACTGACCCCAGAAGACATCAAGGAAGTCGATGCAGCCATTGCCCTGGTGGAGGAGGGGGGTCTGCGCATCGAGGTGTGCTCCAACTGCCACCTCCTGTGCCCCTACACACATCACTTCAATGCACAAGAGATCTGCAGACATGTGTTCAAATTTGCTGGCTAATGCACGCCTGAGTTTTCTTGCAATCCTGCCTGCTCGCATGTCTTCGGGTTTCTAGTGCAAAAGGCTGTCGCGAACGCACATGGGTGAAAATCGAGCGATGCTTAGTACGGGGCAGTGTTTTGAGGGGATCACGGGAAAGGCTGTCTGCTTACTGTCTCCGTGTCTAGTCTAGGGCAATATATTTGATAATATTAAGCAGCTTCACAGTCATGCCTTACACCCAAAGGTCATTGCCAGGGCTCCGACCTGGCCAGATTGAGGCTCTTCATCCTTCCAATCTGCTCAGCATGCATGGTGGCGAGGCTGCATGTGTGCGCAGGGAAACCTGGTGCACATCCAGGAGAGGGTGCCCAGCCGTGAGGAGTTCCCTCTGCCCAGCCTCGGCCCCAAACTGGAAGCACTCCGGGAGGAAGTGCGCATCGGACGCGGCTTCCAACTGCTGCGGTGAGTTTCTTTCAGTCTTGCCACTGCCGCCTGCATATTACTGCATCCCTTGATCATTTCAAATTTGACCGCCCATGTCTGGCATGGACAAAACCAAGCAACAGCAAGTCACCCCATGCATGCGTTGTTTCTGAGGTGGTCAGCTGTTGCTGGTTAGATTGCCAATCCATTACACTGTACTAACAAGTGCTTGTATGTGTGCAAGGGGCCTTCCTGTGGACCGGTACACAAGGCTGCAGACCCTCATCGCCTACTGGGGCTTTGGCCTTTACTGGGGTGAGTCCCTGTTCTAGCCTTGCAGTCTTCTGGGGTGTTCCAATACTGTCAGTTGTAGACAGGCGATCACCTGCAGAAATTGTGAGGGTAGTGGATATGTTATGGTTGCTTTCATGCAAATGATGATGGCACAATTTGACCAAGCATGACGGTGCATCCTGGTGGTGTTGCAGGGAATGTGGTGTCGCAGAATGCCAAGGCCCACATCGTCGGCCATGTCAAGTAGGTTCCCGGCCTACACTTAGATAAACCACCTGTCTGAGTTATCAGCCTGTGTGTGTCCAAAATCCATGGGTGCTTAGCAAGAAACAGTGAAAGCAGTGCTGCGGGGACGCACAGCGGCCGGCCTGATCTTGAGTGCCGCTGGGAATAGACACATGCATTTGTGATTGAATTGGCATCTTTCAGGGGAATGCACAGAGCGCCTGTGAAGATGCAGCAAGTTGCACAACAGGCTTGCTGCTCAAGTGGCTTTGTGAGATTGTTTCATGCACAGGAACATTGGGCATGACGTAAAGACGCCCACGACGCGCGTGTATGCGACGCCGCTCGCGCAGCCGATGCACACGGACAGCGCCGACATCGTGGCTCTGCTCAGCCTCAAACTGTCCAAGGAGGGCGGCCTCAGCAGCTGGTCTTCCTCTGTCAGCGTCCATAACGAGCTCCTCAAGCTCGGCCGCAAGGTGTGACAGGGCCCTCAGACACACACACCATTGCATCTTGAAAGCAGTATCTAGTCCGCCCGGTACCGCCAGTGAGGATGCCAGCATGTCGCCTGCCCAGATCCAACTTGAGCCGTAAGAACATACTCTCCGTAAATTTAAAATGCATCTTTTCAGGGACACTTCACTCACCACAGGAGATTGCCTTTTTCATTACATTGATGATCCGCTCTGCGGTGCCAGCTTGAGATGCTGAATACGAAAGCACCTGGTAGGAACGGCCTTTCCAACACTTAAGGCAGTCACCTGTAGAGGAGAGCATGAACCATGCAAGGAAGCACCCTGTTAGATTGGAAAGAGGACCAGTGCAGACTGTGTTTATAGGGGCTGCAGATGTTGATGCTGACCTCTAGAACCTACACGGGGCGCATAAATCAGAGCATGGCATGCTTGGGTTGTGCAGTGGTCTGTAGGAGGAGGACAGGTATCCTTTGCTGTGATATATATGGTCTGGAAGGTTGCTTGTGCGGGGAGGGGACAAGATTCATCACCGCTGCAGCAGAAGAAGCACACAATTTGTCGGTCATCCTTGGGTAAAAAAGGCAAGGCGGTCAGGCGACGTGCGCAGTCATGTGCATGCAGCTGTGTGGGAACAGTGTGCCGAAAGCTGAAAACAGGGGCCAAAAGATTGCCAGACACTGAGGGTGCCATGATTGTAAAGGGGATTGTAAACGAGACAAATGGTTGGGTGGTGCAGGATTTGGTGGAGGAGCTGACTAAGGCGCAGTGGTGGGTGGACCGGAAGGGGGAGATTCCACCTGGCAAGAAGGAGTACTTCCAGCTCCAGATCTTCCACTACTACAAGGCACGCTCACCTACCTGTCAGGCAATCACAGGACAAGCTGTGACATTGCTGTGGCTATCCAAATATTGATATTGTCCAAAATTCACTGTCCACCAAGTCATTCACCTGTTTCAAGGGACATCCTCGTTGATCTCAGATCAGTGCCTTTTGAGTTTTTGCTGCAGTACCCGGTCTGACAGCAGTACCCCAGCTGCTAATGGCCTCACCTCGCAAGGACCCTCCGCTTGAACCTTGGGACTGAGAAACAAGCAAATGACTGATATCATGGCCTCCTCAGCATTGGTCGTGCATATCTGTGCTGGCCTTGTCTGACCTCACGCCACCCTCTGCCCCATATCCAACTGGGACACAGTCATAGATACAAGAAGCGCCCTGTTTGGTGTATTCACCCTTAGGGTATGCATGCGCAGGGGTATTTGAGCTCGCCCTACCTGCCGACCTACTACGAGCTGGCGCAGCGCCACGCGGACGTCCCCCGGCTCAGCGACAAACAGGTGGATCCCCTAAACCCTCAGCCATACCCCAATTATAAACACCCTAACTTATAAGAACTGTGGTGATACAAAACACTCAAGTTTTTTAATGTGTTGGGAGTCATCTTCGTGTACAACCCCCAAACCCCTAAATGAAACATGTACAGGTGGAGGCGATCAGGCTGTACAACGCGCTGGCGCTGAGCGACAAGCTGCGGCTGGATATTCTGCTGCAGCCGGGAGACATCCAGCTGCTGTCCAACCACACCCAACTGCACACCCGCTCCGCATTTGTCGACTACGCCGTGCGTTCCTGTACATTTAGATCTCGAATTTTAGGCATGTGACCTTACTTTCCTGCCTCATTTGCAAGGCGATCTCTTAGTAAAGAAGGGCTGAGGTCGCAGCGACACCTGCACATGCAGAGTGGAAATTCATAGCCGAGTGTCTGAGAATTGTTAATGAAAAGTGACAGGTCTGAGTGCACCAATGCATGGTGGATGTCCTGTGTGTGGGGATTATTTCTGCTCCTGCAGAGCTGTGCGCTCTCTACATCGCCTTCTTTCTACAGATCAAATCTATGGTTCTGGGGATAGTGATTTGGGTACTACAGTGACCGAAAGGCCGGAGCTGAAGAAGGATTGTGCGCATGCTGTATGCAGGAGGTGGAGAAGAGGCGGCACCTGCTGCGGCTGTGGGTGGCGCCCACCAACGACCGGCCACTGCCGGAGGAGTACGCGGAGCTGTGGGACTCTACGGAACCCGGCAAGCGCGGGGGGATCTACATCGACGGAACGCCCCTCACAGTCCCGCTGGAGGCCGAGTAGGTCTTTGTAAGGACTAATATTAAGAATTATCAGGTCTAAGATAGATCAGGTCTCCAAAGGTGAAGACCGTGAACGACAGGGGTTTGATAAACAATGGAACCTCTTTGCGTAGTTGAGAGTCATACCGGCGGGCAATTTCCTTTTTTAAGTCCAGCCATGGTGGGATGCATGTGATGTCCTTGCAAGCAAAAATGGACGGAAGTACGATTGTGCCTGCCAAGTTGCCTTTCTTCACCGTATAATAGTGAAGGTCTCCTGGGAATCGCGGTTGGTGTGAACAAATTTGGTTTTGTCTCCTTGAATCTGAATCTGTGTCTACTATCATGCGTGCCTTGCTGTGTATTTTGTCGCCACATCATAGATTGATTTATGTGACTGACCATACGGTGTCATGTTTTCGAGTGGCCTGAGCTCCTTGTATGACTTCTGTTTGGCATGTGTAGGTTGAGTGTATGATGCGTTGGGCATTGTGCTGATACAGTCTGCTTAGGGTGGTATTATCCCAAAGATCACTGTTGCTTACACCCTACATAGCAGATTTGTATGCTACCTTTTCTTTATAACCTTTCAGATAAGCTTTCCCTCTTCAAATGCATAGGCAGTAAGCGATCACTGCCACAGGACAGCTGCCCAACTGGCAAGAGGCAAATCTGAGGACAACCTTCCTGATCCTGTCCTAAAGGCAGAAACTTCAGTGCTTTCTTTCATAAGCACTATTTTTGTGCATCGCAACAATATGCAGTGCTCACAAAGCATACACCTCTAACTAGAGAGCCCCAACACTGCACAGTGTGCTGAACAGAAGCAATGCATGACTAAATGGCATCCCTGACATTTGAAATCTACTGACTTGACTCTGCCAGGCACTCCAGGGCCAGAGCCTTCTCCTCCACAAGCTCATCCCCTGTGGCCTTCAGCTTTCCAGCAGCAAAGTCATCGATCTTCAGCCCCTGCACAATGCTCCAGCCGCCGTCCTTGCACTCCACAGGGAAGGAGAACACCACGTCCTGCACAGCAGAAAATCAGGATGAATGTGACACAAACTATGTCTACAACCCCTAAAGTGATTCTTACAACCACATTATTGGGGACTACTGCCAGCCAACAGAGGAAAAGGACTGCAATACCTAGCAAAACACCCCACTCTGACAAAGCAATGCATGGCTTTGAATTTGCAGGAAGCTGCAGGAAGTTGCAAGAGGAGTGAAGGACGAGGTGCAGCACCTTAGGGGCGCCATAGGAGCCGTCGGAGAAGACTCCCATCGAGACCCATGTGCCAGAGGGTGTTCCCTTGATCCAGTCCCTGATGTGGTCGCACGCACTGCTGGCTGCTGACAGCGCGCTGCTCATGCCGCGCATCTGCTCAGGTACACACCGCATCAGCATGACATGCATGCAAACCCAAGGCCGTCATGTAGCGGACTCATGCATGCAGGAACTTAGCAATTGGAAAGCAACGCGAATGTGGCCGGCGCAATAATGCTGAGATGCTGCGATCACAGTTGGTTCATGGACTTTGATGACAACTATTTATCGCGAATGCGCAGCAGCCCCTGACTGATCCCTTGCATGCACTATCGTTCTAGAGCAAGGATGATCCTGAATCAATGTGCTCTCTTCAAGCAAGAGTAGTGCCCAAGCCAGGAAGAGAGCTGTCGCTGATTGAGACTAGGCGGTCTGCAAATGCTGCTGCGTGACATGTCATTCCACAACTTGTGGCTGCGGCCGAGGCAGCATGCAGGCACATGTCATTCCACACCTTGTGGCTGCGGCTGAGGCAGCAAAGCAGACACACCTTGATGATGGCTGCGCCGCGCTGCTGCACGGTGGAGATGAAGTCTCCGGCCAGCCAGGCGTCGTCGGCGACTGCCTCCTTGATGGGCTTGCCGGCAACAGTGCCGTGGGCGACGTCCGGGTACTGCGAGGACGAGTGGTTGCCCCAGATGATCACGTTCTTCACCTCGCTGACAGGTGTCCCGGTGCGCTCCGCCACCTGTCATCGCGCCATGTCAGCATAGGCCATGATTTATTTCCTGGCAGAATGTTCGATTCCTGCATGCCTTTGCTTGGATGTGCTACAGACCCCCAGAGTGGAGAAGAGTCGATAAAAGATCCTGGCATCCTGTCACGACAGGGAGGATGCAGCAAGTCTGAAGGCAGTGTTTGCCGTCATAAAAGAAGATGTGCAGGTGGACTTTCTAATATATCAGTTGGGTGAGAGTGTTTGACATGCTGGCAGTTGTTGCGGCAACCATGAGTGAAACGCAGATGCTTACCTGGCCGAGTGCGCGGTTGTGGTCGAGACGGGTGAGGCAGGTGATGTTCTCGGGAGGGATGGAGGGTGCATTCTCCTTCAGGATCAGCGCATTTGTATTGGCAGGATTGGCCACCACCAGCACCTGCCCAGAATACACCTCATCTCTAAATCAATGCATTCTTTGATTAATCACAAATCACATTCTTTGATCATGCACAAATTGATGTCACAGCATTCAACATTGACTCATCTCTCCTCTGAAACCCAGCATTGCTTCATGCCCTCTGTGACAATTAGCATAGCTTCATTCCCTCATGTGACACTCAGCCTTGCCTTTTGCTCTCAAGCGATGTTCAGCACTGCGTTCTGCTCACACGTGACACTTACGCATGATCCCTGTTCATGCAGTCACTCAAGGATGGCGCTGCCTAGTAGGGAGGACGAGACACACCTTGACGCCTGGTTTGGCATTCTTCTCAAGTGCTGAAGCCTGGCTCTTGTAGATGCTGACGTTCTTGCTCATCACATCCTTCCGCTCCATGCCTGCCTTCCTGGGAAATCCGCCCACCATTACTGCGATATCCACGTCCTTTGTGGCCTCGTCCACGTCTGTTGTGGCAACCACGCCTGTGCAAAATAACCATCGACATTTGGAGTCAGACCATCGTACTGATTTAAATGATCGGATTTATTGTGGGCAAGAAATGACAGTGTCAAGGAAGGTGCCCTATTGACCACACTGGACAATGGTTGTCAAATGTTCATTACATATTCTGCTCTGCGCTCTTTAGAATGCTACAGAGAGGAAGGCAAGAGCCTGACCATGCAGGAGAGGGAAGGCCGAGTCGATGAGCTCCATCTTGACGCCATCCAGGGACTGGGCTGCAGGAGGGATGTCGAGCAGGTGCAGGATCACGGGCTGGTCAGCGCCCAGCATGGATCCGCTTGCCACACGTGGTGCCAAGGCATATCCGATCTGGCCTGCAGAACAGCCAGACAGGCATCTTTAGCGACACCATACAATGTGATGGCCTTTCTCGCAGTGACGCGATGTGCAGGGCATGGCGATGAAATCCTTACATCGTCATGTAATGTGCATAATAATGTTATCTTCCTGATTGCAGCTACAAACTTATCTACGCCGCAACTTGTTCATGTGATTGATGACACCCAATTGCGCTTGTGACCAAATCCACGTCTTGGCAGTAGATGTTGCCAAAAACAAATGCAGCAAACAATCTTTTCAAGTCTGCCACACCCGAACATACATGCAGAGGCATGGTGCAAATCTCAGGGTTCCGCGATCTGGAATTATGTCTTTAGGGCAGGGATGGCCCAAGTTTTGAGAGACACACGGTATGGATAGATCTCGAAGCAATGATCATCAACAAAACGATAGATTTTATTGAACTAAATGATACTGCACAGCAGATCCGCAAAGGCCGAAAACGTGCCTGCAGCGCCAGTGATGAGGACTTTAATAGGTGCCTTGCCCATAATCGCTGGCACACTTCAAACAATGAGAGCAAAAGCTTCTGGTCTAATTTTTATAGTGGGCGACTGATCTTCTGATCGCTGTTGTCTGGCCGCAAAAATATGCTTTGTGTCGGAAGACAAGCGGAAGAGGCAGTATTTGAAGCTGTGTCATCCACTAACGTGATGTGGCGTTAGAGGGGGTGCTCCGAAGGATGGACCCCACATACAGGATTGCTAGACGACGGACTTGTTGAAAGCACAACCGTCTCTGATTCTTAATTGTGTGCAGTGACGAAGAGAGAGAGAGAGAGAGAGACGCAGTTTCCTGCTGCAGGACAAGGCGACGAGTTTGCAGAGCGGTCCTTGGGAGTCGTGTACGCCTATGCCCGGGCACTGATTGAGAGATAACACTTCAGCTATATTGGACTATTGCTGCATTGTAGATCGTCCACATAGAGGTGCCCATTGCGTTGACAATTGGCAAGCAGCCTCCCTACTAGTAGGAGGCATTGTCACCTGAACAAGAAGGAAACTTGGTCAGCAGAAGAAATGGAAATGAACTCCATAGGACGTGGTATCTTCTCAAATATTTCATCCGCCGTACGCACGTTCTGGGCGTCGCTGACGCTGACGGAAATCAGTGGAGCGTTTGGAGACATCGGCACGTTCGTGCCTTTATTGGTGAGATATTTTTATCTTGATCGACTCCCAATTTCAAGCTTATCCGCAAATTGCAGCATAAGGAGCACCATGACATCCTCAGCTGTGAGGATCTAGAGATTCTCTCTCATGAAGTGCCACTTCTGTTTGGCTGAAGATTCCAGGCTATGTGTGTTGGCCGAATGCATCGTTGATGGTGCAAGCAACTGATGTTCGCCCTCATCAGGTGGCTCTGGTCAGGGTGGTGGGCTTGGATTTGGGCACCACGCTCATTTTCACTGGCTTGTACAATATAGCCTCGGGGCTTGTCTTTGGCATACCCATGCCAGTGCAGCCCATGAAAGCCATTGCAGCCATCGCGCTGGCTGATGAGCAGATGACGTTGGAGCACGTCATCGCTGCTGGCATCTTTGTCAGCTCTGTCACCTTCCTCCTGGGCATCACCCGCCTCATCAACGTATTCAATTGGTGCGGCTCCTTCACAACTGGGAATGTACATTCCATTGCGAGGCAGCCCTTCCACTTCTTGGCGTTCGCTCTGCCTTGACGTCTGCACGTTCCTTTTTCTTACTCTACCTGGCACTGTTGGCAAGCTGCGGACATCTTGACAGGCAGTTGTACCCCTTGAAAGTACTGACTTCAGTTAATGGGGTGCAGGTTGGTCCCTGATGCAGTGGTGAGGGGACTGCAGCTGGCTGTGGGCCTTGGATTGGCACAGCGGGGCATCCACAATGTCTGGTACAAAGTGGCAGAGGTGCTCTTCTGGACCCCCGCATCCCTTGAATGTGCCAGATCCGCGCTATCTGGATCCTCGCTGGATCTGGTGGCGAGCTGATGTGGCAAGATCGTAATGTGATCAGTTGCCAGTGGTTGACAAAATCAGGGAGAATTCTGGATTAATCATGGGTGCCTGGATCGCAGCACAATGTTGCCGCATGTGGACAACTTAAACATCATGGACAAGAGGTAGGAAAAAACAAAAAGGGCGCTGCTTACTACGTATGATGTAATCCTGCAGGAGAAGGATCTGAGGCTGGTGCCGGATGAGAGCGGCGACAAGGATGTCTCAGTGTACCTGGGCCTGGCAGCAGCGGCGTTCCTGCTGGTAATGCTCTACCCGGGCGACACGTCAGCGCCTGACATCAGCCTTCGCCCGGCCGCCCAGCTGGCGCCAGCTGGCGGCGCGCATGAGCCCTTCATGTCCGGCAAGGGCGGCGGCCGGCCGCGCATGCAACGCAGCCCGAGCCTGCCTTGTGCCAGCGACGCCCTAGAGACCAGCTCTGTCGGCTCAGGTCCTTCTCTCCCCTAGATTTTACCAACCTGCAGGGCTTGCTACGATGCATCATACATAAGCATCATGCTGTACACAAAATGATCCATTATTATGCCAGATTAGCTGCCGATGCATCATACATAAGCATCATGCTGTACACAAAACGATCCCTTATTATGCCAGATTAGCTGCAGGTTGGGCTCACACATGCTGCCTTGACGTTTCTTCAGGAGGTGCAGCAATACTGATCTGCTACCTGACAAGCACCTCGATAATGTCAAGTCTGAGCACCAATGCAACTGCAGGTTCGGCGCGATTGACGAGGAACAGAGACTCTTCTGCCAGTCTGAACCTGTGGCTGGGTGTTGAGAGCTCCCCAGATTCAGCGCCCGCTCCAAAGACACGCGTGCAGGTGCCCATTCCTTAGACCTGCCTTCCCTCACAGTTCAATCTTATTTGGTCCTTCCGTGCATTTACCAGTATCTTGCCACCTTTCTTCACAGAGTCTCTGCCAAAAGGCGTGGTAGGCCAAGCACGTTGAAGAGTGCATGCTAGCAAGGCTGACTCTCTGCGACCATGGCAGGATCGTGCTACATTCTCTCAGCTTGACAGCATCCTGTGTCAAGTCTTGAAGTTCTGACTTTTCATTTCTTTCTAATCACGTTGGGACTTATATCGAGGGGGGTGGAACCCTACACTAACACTGTTTCCCTACACTTTTCCCTTGGTAATATAGTAGCAACATTGTTTGTGTGGTGCGTGGCAGGATGTGGCGCGGCGGATGCCTGCGGCGTTGCTGGTGATGTTTGTGGGCATAGTGGTGGCCATTGTGCAGTATCCCATGGTCGTGCGAGCGCTGCGGCTGGGGCCCAGCATTCCCCGCATCATCGTGCCCACTGCCGGGGAGTGGAAGACAGGTGGGGCCCGCACCCTCAATTTTGCGCTGCATGGGCTGTTTGCAATCCGCATGATCTGCAGTGGATAAGAGTCAGTTGACCCCCACACCAATATATTGGTTTTTCAGCACTTGATGGATGAGAAGATTATTGCCTTGCTTCATGCCTTTCTTCCACAGCTTCCACAGCACACAGATAGCAATGCCCAGGTCTCTTCTCATGAGATTGCTATGCTACATTGGTCTGCCAGCCTTCTTCTGTGGGTTGAGACTCCCGGTGAATATGGCTGGAAAAGGTCCTAAGTCTCAATTCCATGCATCTCTCCGGCCGAGCCGGATAGCAGGCTGGACACATGCAGTGCTGTGTGCGGCAGGCATTGTGATGGCGGGTCTGTTTGTGAGTATCACCATTGCTGACGTACCCCCCCCCCCCCCCCTTTGGCAGCGATTTTGTAGATGCAGGCGACTCGTCATGCGCTGCCCTGGCTGTATAGCACCCACAGGCGCCTCTTCCCTTGCAAGAAGCAATTGAATATTCGTATACAGAATGGCCTGCAAGCCCTCTTTGGCACCCCCTCCCTCCCCACAGAGAGCTCTGTGAGTGCAGCTGATAGGTTCTGATACAGGCACATCTGTTGAAGCAGATGCTGGCTTCAGGCTGAAACATACTCATTTGTGTGCGACAGGCATCGTGAAGGCGGGTTTGGCGCAGCTGCCGCTGACTACTCTCAACTCGGTGGTGGCGGTGTGTCAGCTGTCCGGCGACTTATTCCCCCTGCGGCCCGCGCGGCCGGCCCTGGTCGCTTTGAGCGTGGGGGCCATGAATCTGATCGGCGCCTGGTTTGGCGCCATGCCCTGCTGCCACGGCGCAGGCGGCCTTGCCGGACAGGTGACTGATTACTAACCCACTTCCTGTCACATCCTTGAGGTGTATGTCTTGAGATCAATGAAAGACCTGACCGAGCTGCTACGTGACCAGACAGTGCCCAGTCCTGTGTCGGGGGTGTTGTTGAAGTAGTGACCCTCAGTACAGGATCATGACACAATCGCCCTCACATAATCTCTCATGGATACAATTGTGACACTGTATGTGAGGCATGTGGTGTTTGAGGAGGTATTGAGTTGGTGGGTGCATTGCTGTGCAGGTCCGGTTTGGAGCGCGCAGCGGGGCGGCTCCGGTGTTTCTGGGGCTACTGAAGGTTGTGCTGGGACTGGTGTTTGGCAGCTCCCTGTACCAGCTGCTCAGGGCCTTCCCCCAGCCGATACTGGGCGCCCTGATGATATTCTCTGGTTCGTCCCTGTGCAGTCTGATCATAAAATGTCTTGCGTGCGCCTGGAGAATAAGCTCTAGACCGCAGCGTTGGTTGCTTGCATTCCTGGATTGTTGGTAATATTGATGTACTTGTCAGACAAAATGCTTGCGTCATACATTGGGGTGTCGAGGTGGTGCGTTATTGTACCCAGTTGTGCATGACGTGAACGTCCCAATTCATGATGCAACGACAAGCAAGCTCTTTGCTATTAGTAACACAAGATCTGCCTGGACTGGTGCAGGAATAGAGCTGGCATCCAGCTGTGGCCGGGCTCAGGGTGAGCGAGGTGGAGTCCTGATGCTCATCACAGCCGCCACTGGCATGACCCTGGGCAACACAGCGCTCGGCTTCCTTGCTGGTGAGCCTTTTCTGCATGCCAGCCGCACATCCTGAAAGTGCTGCCTCTCTCTTTGGAAGGAAGTTTTTTGGAAGAATGCGACTTCTCTGCTATCCAAGACGGAAATTTTCTGCTCCTGGACAATTTAAGGAAGTATCCCAATGAGCACAGGCCAGTGCTGCCTTTGCGAGTTTGCCATCCCCTTTCGACACAGAGGTCTAGCCACTCTGCTCTGTACAGAGGCTGCTCCACCGTTCCCCAACCAAAGGGATAATCTGTCAGTGTTTTTAACTAACACTGAATTGCACTGAAACACTCTAACACTGAAAACGTGTGACATGTCACGTCCGCGCTACAATCTGCAGGCATGACGGCCACGGCGCTGTTGGCGTTGTGGGATGCAGCGCCCGGCTGGTGCGCCAGATTTGGCGCGTGGGTGACTAATCTGCTGGAGGGGTCACCCGGCGCATCCACCCACCAGGCTGGCACACCCTACCTGCCTCTGCCTGATGAGGCCGTGGGCGCATCTGGGTCAGGCTTGGGGGTGGATCACAGCGAGGATGCTGAGTACTGGGGCCCCCCGAGGCGGGAGGACTCCCGACCACCTCTGCCGGTCAGCCAGCCTGGGGCATGCAGGCCCCCCACTGGGTGGGGCCCATGATGATGAATATCTGACCCCCGATGTGGAGTAACAGAGTGCTTGATCAGCAGCAGAGAAGAACAAATGTGGGCGAATGCCTAGTGGGAATTGCATTGCTGCATTTTGTATTAGTCCGGCATGAGCGAAGGGGAGAGTAGACAGTAGGAAGGCTGTACAAGAAGTAGGTCAGTGAGCAGAGGACAGCATGTTAGGCATCTCACTTGTGGCATGGTGACAAGTTGATAGCTTGTTGGGAGCATTGGTGCGCAAGTTTCCTTGTCCTGTGCAGAGAGTCTTTTTTCCTGCAGCTGGGAATTTTGGAGCAGCAACGGATGTGCTCTTCAGCATATTGCATGCATTTGCAACCTGACAGGGTGGCGTCGTTGTTGAACTGAGGCAGCCTTATAGCTAGCATACACATGCAGTCATTTGCGTGTTTTGAACAGAGTTCTGAAGTACCAGTGCATGCATGTATGGATGCTGACTCGATGCAATGCCGCATTCATAGGCAGCTGCAAGTGCCACTTAATGTAAAACGATTGTGGATGGAAGCAAAAGGCCAATGCTGCTATGTAGAAAGTAATTACATCGGCAATTTTTGTTGTTACACATTCATCCGGACCACATTGCTCATACCATACACTTGTGTGTTTGTCTGATTTGCTTGTACTATGTAGCTTTATGCGGACAGCTCAGCTGTGGCAATGCAGTGCAAAGGCTGGCCACACTAGTATTGATTGTGCGGCACCCGCCATTTGCAACTCGTTGCACATGGCTACAGTTCATGAATTCAGACTCTTATACTCACATGCCTCAGTGCGGACCTAATCTAGAGACATCACATCATGAGATCCCGCTCTTGTGTTCTCCTGCTGCTGCTTTAACAAAGCAGCCTAGTCTCAAATTCCATGACCGCTGCCTCAGAGGCTGGCTATATCAGCCGGGCAAGGAAGTTCAATGTTGGGCACAACATATTAGTCTATGTCTAGGAATGTCCGAATCAAAATAGATGCTTGAGCAAGAGGTTCTAATCCAGCTGCATGCATACATCAGTGTTTCTAAACACTTGCTCGGAATATAAGTTCAGGTAAAGAAAGCCAAATAATTTCCCCAGGACACCTCTGAAGCGCTTAATCTCTGTACTGACCCTTATCCCGCAGTGCAAATAAATTCGTCTTGCTGGGCAGCGCTCAGATTGCTGCTTGGCCTCCGCTAGGAAATACAGAAATTGCCAGGGGCGCTGTGTGATGATGTGACTGCCACATTGCCTCATGCAGCAGCTGCTGAGAGGCCGAACAGCGGCAGCAGGATGGGCAGTGGGTGCTGCAGGGCCTCTAGGTGCTGCAGGTTGGCAGCCGCGGGCGGCAAAGGCTGCTGCTGCTGCTGCACAGGCTGGCTCGGGAGAGTATAGCCGTGGCTGCGGCCACGCCTGTTGCTGCTGTGCGCAGGCTGAGCCGAGCGCGCCCACAGGTGCCTGAACTGCTGGTAGATGGCCATGATGCCGTCTGAGGGCGATGCTGAAGTGCCCTCTGGACAGGGCTGCTCCTGCTCCTGAGCTTCCTGCACCAGATGCAGGCATGTGGAGCAAGTGCAGTGGATTCGCCTTAAGACAGCCATGATACAGCAGCTCTCGAGCTGCTGTCTGTGACCTGTAACAGCTGTGTATAACGCAAAAGCATAGGCATGGTCCTGCCCAGAAAGTGGGGCAGATTGGGAAGTCTGGTGAGTGGCAGGCTGCCACCTGTCCCACAAATTATGGAAGAGAATATAATGAAACACTTGGTCGATGTAAATTCTACAGTATCTATGATGCCGACGGCCTGCCAATGTCTGACGTGAGCCTCAGGGGACCCCAATAGAAACCAAGACATTGAAACGTCATCAAGGCAAGTACAGAAGCTTTGATGAGGACCTAGCTGCAGATCTGACATAAAGGATGATCCCCATCAGAAGAAGGGTGATCCTGGCGTTCAAATGGGGCCTAGAACCTGGAAAGTGTGAGTCTTTGACCCGCCAATTACCCCCCGCCAAACCCAAATACTGTTTGAATAAAACGCACGCGCACATAGAGATGAGCGCTGGGATCGGGCATCAATCGATCCTCACCTCTGATGGAGCATCTGAGAGGATCTCCTTTGCAGTGGCACCGCGCTGCTTGGTCTGTCGGCCTTCTGCATGGGTTCGGCGCGGGTCTTCAAACGAGCTGCAATCGGCCCCATAGGACGTCGAGGGAGGGCAGCAGGACGAAAGCTGACACCGATCACTGGATGAGCGGCTGAGAAAGGTGGGAGTCCGCATCCTTTCCTCTCCCTATGGGCAGTTCCCACCAAGACAGCGCCAGTCAAAGCAGGTGTCTTTCCTGATGGCTTGAAATTGTGGGGACCCCTGGCCACTGCGCAAGTCTTGGATGCTGGCGGTGAATGCTCAAAAGATCGATGGATCGAGGATTGGGGGCCAGGAGCGCTTGAGAAAATGACAGTGACACTGTCACAGTGATGTTGCAGATTAAATGATGCCATGTTTCGATGTGTTCCTCACCCCTGACAGAGGTGCCACGCAGGTGCAGGTGCGCTAAAAGGCGGACACCTGGCTCCATGCACACCTGGCATCCTGCTCAGCATCGCGTTCTTCACCGTGTTTTGCTCATTTCTGCAGCACAAATTCACTATGCGTATTCCGTTGGGCATGAAGCTCTGTAGCTAGTGCCGCAGCGCAGCGGCATGCGCTTGCGCAACAGCATGCATGCGGGATCATGATGCATTGACCGTATTTCCATATTGCTGTAGAGTAAGCAATCTTGGGGCAGCAGCTACTTCAATGTAGAGCTTCAAGTGAAGGACATGACGAGTATGACGGTTCATGATCATGATCATGGCCATGGCCAGCTGGGCAGCTTTAATGATTTAAGTTGAACGTATCCACGGTGTACACATCATTAACGTTACAATCAGTGGCCATGGCCACATGGCCCATGATGGGAAATCTGAGCAACACCGCTACTCCATCACATGCAACATGCCGCAGTGGCATGTAAAAGCCACGCTGTGCTGCACAGTATTCAGTAAGGCAAGCCACCGGCAGTTTCGTGGGCCTATCACTCGTGCGTTACACCGTATCATACTATGATATTACTATAGACTCTATAGTATATATATGTCGGACATAGAAACATTGGCTGCATCCGATGTGCGTCAATTTTCTTGTGCAGCCTGTCTGCACAACAAGAGATGGTCCGATAACGGAAATTGCATCCTGTCCAAACACACATCTGAGTCTTCAGTGTTCCTCGCACAAGCCTCGATTTCCATTTCTCGATGTCGCTTGGGCAGGCCATATCCTGGCGCCCTCACATTGGCGAGCATCTCCCCATTATTTTGGGCGGATTGGAAAATTACTACAACACGTTTCTTCCTGCCAAGTGGCAAGGTGCGTCCTGCAGACAAGCTACAGTTGAAGGCTGCCCACAAATCCTACCCCTTATAGGACTCGCCAGATCCAAGGAAGGCCCAATCGACCATGGGCATGGTGCTCAGTATTTACACCGCCCCCAGCCAGACGGGGCCACTGGAAAAACATGGCTGCGTGTCTAAAAGCTGTCAGGAGTGGTCTGAGCGGCGGTAGTGGTTGAGCAGGCACAAGTGGCGCTGGTACTCCTCTCCGCGAAGGCATGGGGTGCATGCTCCGCAGAAACACACCTCCGACAGGTCCAACCCCTCCTGATGACGCTGCGAGTTCCACATCGAGGCTATCGCCCCGTCCACGTCATACCTGCGCAGCAGCCGCTGTCCATGTTAGTAACTGATGACTCAGTGCATTGCTGAGGGGCAACTGAGCTCCTTGAGGGGTCTGGATGAGAGTCACAAAGTTGCGGTGGTTGGAGGCCTGTCAGCAGCTTGTGTGAGGGGCGCGCAGGCTGGCTTGAAAGAGGTGGGCCCTCGGGGCCGGTTTCTGCAAGGTAACTGGGAGGGAGCCGAGGACACTGCACGCTCCGCACGTAAACATAAACATCTTAATCTCCTTGGAATGCGACCAGGCATGAGCTGCAACGTGAAAGCTTTACTTGTAGCAACCAGATATTCTGGCCAAAAGTTTGCAATCCTGCAGAAGCGCAGCAAGGGCAGTACCGCCAGTCTATACGCAAAACGTGGAAGGTTGCCTCTTTAAGGATTGCATCTGGGTTTTGTGTCGAGGTTTGCAGTGAGTTGCAGGGACATTCAAGTGCGGTACCACCAGTCGGCGCGCGCGGACTGGAAGGCCTTGTAGAGGTTGAGCACGCCGACGCCGTGCGCAGTCCACCACTGGAACAGCGCGGCCGGCATGCGTGCGGCCAGGCCGTCCACGTCATCAAAGGTGAGGTTAAGGGCGCCGCGCGCGCACAGGTGGATGTGGCCCCAGCTCGGCCGCGCCGGCATGTGCACGTTTACGTCCTCCCCCGTAATGCATAGCTGCCGCGCCGTCGCCAGCCCGCCCAGCAGCACCTGCGCGCGGACAGCAGTCTATAAGAGATGGAGACGCTTGGCTGATGTTCTGTAAGAGAGGGAGATGACCATGTCTCTCTGGAATGCCCGTTGCGAGGTTCATGATTGATATGACATCCGTCACATTGATTAGCCGACAGGCTCAGAGTGATCTTTAAAGGGTGCCGCAGAGATGGCCGGCAGGCAGGAGACTGCATTCCTCATGTAGGGCTTCACATTCCCTTCAGGCTTGCTGATGCCAGAGCACTTCAATACGAAGATAGATGGCAGTGATACAAGAGCTGCAGATGCTGGCAGCACATGCACAGAAAATCCCCTTCCACAGCTCCACATGCACGAGGCGGCATTCCCCCATGTCAAAAAATGCCATTTGGGGATTGGCAAAAGAAGGAGATGAGGGATCTCACGAGGGGCGCTGCGGGGTAGCAGATGTCGCCGAGGCACAGGCGCACAGTGGGCGGGCAGCGCGGGCCGAGCAGGAAGTTGGGCAGCCCCTCGATGTCCTGCAGGAAGAAGTCCTCCTGGTGCCACGTGAACGACACCAGCGATGGCAGTATTGTGTCCCACACCGGCCGCCGCGCCGTCTCCTCGCAGTACACCTCCACGTACACCTGCGCAGTCGAAGTGCCATTACTGGATGAAATGGTCAGAAGCCATTATCTTTCCAGTCTATGACCTCTGGGTTGGTGACATTTTGAAGGGTGTTCCAGAATTTCTAGTGCTGGAGTATGTGGTGATCACGTGTTTATCCCTGGCGACTGTAAGAGTCGCGTATACAGAACGCTGGTGCAAACAGTAAAATGGGGCCCAACAAGAGCTAGTCCCCCTTTGTGCTGGATACCCAGGAGAGACAGTTTGCTGGCTGGCTTGCCCTTCAGTAGGTAAGAACATTGCCTATTGGAAGTGCATATTATCATCAGGTAGGATGCGCGGCTTCTTGCAGTGGCGACTCTGATGCGCACCTCGCAGCCAGGTGGCAGCTGCAGGCTCTCAGGCGCCGTGCCGAAGAGTGCAAGCTTCTTCAGGCGGCGCAGGGGGGCGAAATCGAGCGCCGGCACCGTGCAGCCGATGGCCGTGAGGTCCAGGGTCTCCAGCGACCGCAGCAGCGGCAGCGACTGCGCCAGCCCCGCCATGAACAAACCTGACAGGCTCACCTGTGACCCAGTGGGCACACCCTTCAGAGATATCAAGTACACAACAGAGGTCTTTTACTTTTTGCTCCTGACAGGGAATGTGGGAAGCTGCCCTAGGAATACACAATCTTCTGCCGAGGGAGCACACTCTGCAGCTCGTGAGGCCTGACATAATCAAAGCTGTTCCAAACATGCACCAACTTCATAATGAGACTGGCAATATCAGGAATTGCGATGCTGCGCCATTCAAGGCAGTAGTGATGACGATGTGAAAAGGGCACTGGTGGAGTCTCAATTGATGCACAGTGAGAAAGGCAGCAGTCCGGCGCACCACAAGGTGTTTGAGGTTCAGCATGGGCGGCAGGCAGTGGATGGTGTAGGCTTGCAGGCTGAGCGTCTGCAGCCGCTCCGCGCGAGCCGCCATCCACGTCAGCAGCATGCACAGCGTGGGCGCATCGTCGTGCCTGCCCCATGCCAGATCCAGGTAGGTCAGCGCAGCCGGGACCGACCCCTGCATGGCTGCCATCGCGGTTGCTAACCCATTCTTTGGCGGCGCGTGCAGGTACAGCCTGCGCGTGCCCTGCCACCTCTTCGCTACCCACTGCATGCCTGCGCAGCAGATGCTCGCTTCTCTGCACATTGCTGGGTCGAGACTGTGTCGTTTCCCAAGTTTCAGGCTGCAATTCCCAGATTGGATGTGCGTGCTCATCTCTGTTCCATGAGCTGGTGGATATTACCTGCAGCTGCACCGCCGTCTTTGGGATAGACCCTGAAGGTTTCAGGCATCAGTTCCCAAGTAGTCTTGCAGGTGCCACTGGCTCTGCACCATTCTCGGGCTGTCAGGTGGTACGCGATCCTCTGCCATATTTCCTCGGGCAAATTTGTTACTTCTGGTGGCGCGACCTTTCTTCGAGCGATCCTCTGTCTATCCCTCCTGCAATGGTGCACAGATTGCATCATCCAAAGCCGATTGATCAATGTTGTTCAGCCCAGGCGAAAGACAAAGCAGGGTGCGCAGAAGCGTACATCTCGAGAATGCTGCAGCCTAAGTCCGCAGAAGTATTCCTAAGAACGGAACGTTCTTGGTTAATGACTGGAGCTGGACTGCAGGGTGCTGACTAGGTTCACTGTTTTCACTTCGGTATCACCCGTGGACACGGTTGCTACATGCTTTGCTCAGTGCACGTCCAGATTGTGGCTTTCAATGCTCCGGGATTATCGTCTCTTCAGAGATCCATCAATTGCACAGATCACCTTCGCATTTGCAGGAACTCACCCGTCTCCCGATACTTTTCTTCCCTGGTTTCGATACCGTTTTACCGTCCTTCACAAGAATCGCTCTCCTCGAGGCTCGCTTTCCACCCACATCGCCAAAGAATTCATTTTGAGCGCCCTCGATACCTTTCTTGTTCGTTTTTTGTAAGCTGAAAGTGGGAGCATTGGCTCTATTGGGGGCACAAGGTTGACGTGACCTGATCATCAAGAGGCATTCCAAGAAAGTTGCTTTGACGCTGCACAGCACCACCAGAACCCTGCCTCAACCTTGCAAGCATCATGGCTGAATTTGTCTTCAGCGATGCGACAGGAGAAGTTTTTACAAAGCTGCCAGGCACCATCAATGGGTATGTCCTTGAGGAACTCAATTTTTATAATTCTACGTCTGCCCGGTTGACAACATGCTCAACCCGGATGTATGTTCAGCTGCTCAATAAGCCAGATTCTGTGCTTTAGAACGCATGCTAGCCAGCTCATATGAATCTAGATTTGCCTTGCCAAGTGTGTCAAACTCTTATTCATTCCTTGTATCGATAAATTTCCGGCTACCAGACATTTTTAAAACATGTTGGCTTTGATGGTGCCGTTTGGTTTGACCAGGGAAAGCGTTGTCCTCAAGAACCTGAAGGATTGCTCTGTGTACCTGCTGGACTACTCGGGCGAAGTGGAGGTCAGCAACGTTACGAACTCGCAAATCTTTATAGGTATGCCTCTCATATACCACTTGAACAAGTTGCCACATCGGTTCAGATGCATGACCCAAGCAAACGACGTCCAAAGCTATTCTCAACACCCAAACATGTAGGTACAAATGCTGGCTGTGTCTGACGTGACTTGGGCATGTAAGTTCAGGTCCTGTGGACGGCCCGGCCATTTTCGACAATGTGCAGAGCTGCCAGATCAGCGTTGCATCCCAGCAGTTCCAGGCGCGCAACAGCACAGACACAGAGTATGGCCTCTACTCTGCCACCAAGCCCACCATCGAGCACTCGAGCAACCTGCGCTTCACTTGCTGGATGGGCGCATACCCCGGCCTCACCGAGCACTTCCACAAAGCCAACCTGGACCCCAAAGTCAACCAGTGGGACAAGGTGCTCATGCCCCACTTTCCCCCTCATGTCCTGAAGATGCGGGCAGCATTGCCACAGCAACCTGTGGGAGTCACATGCACAAGAATGAAGGCTCTGCATGTTGAGCATTCTTGAACAATATTGTATACATCAGCAACACGGGTTGAGTATGGGTTTGACATGGTCATGAGCAGATCGCTGTGTAGTCCTGGCCTGTGTTCAGATCCCCTGAGGAGGACTGATCAGGTGCACAATGTGAGCAAATGGCTGTGTAGTCCCGCCCTGTGTTTTGCTTCTCTTGAGGAGCTCGCCTGCTGGACTGACCAGGTGCACAATGTGAATAAATGGCTGTCCAGGTCCCATCCTGTGTCTACTCTCCTTGACAAGCATCACCTGCTGGACTGTTCAGGTGCACGATGTGAGCAAATAACTGTTCTAATCCCATCCTGAGTCTACTCTCGCTGACAAGCATTTATTGTTGGACTGTCCAGGTGCACGATGTGAGCCCAGTGGAGGGAGAGGGGCCCAACTTTGAGCTGCTGGACGCCATCGAGTACTGGGAGGTCCCCATCGAGGGGGGTCCGCCCCCCGACAACCCAGTCCCGGCTGGCGACGGCTCGCTCTACTCCGCGCCGGCTGCACCCCCGGCAGCCGTGCAGCCGGACGCGGCGCCCACCGAAGCGCCGGAGGACCTGTTCACAGAGAACGGCGGCGACTTCCGCGGCCCCGCTGAGAACGGCCACTCGAGCCCGGTGCGCTCCCGCCATTCTAGATACCCCACGCATGCTGCATGGTTCTTGGCTTGTGCCCTTATGCTCCCATACCAATGTCTAATTGGGCATTTGCTTGACGCCAGAGCTGGGGGTGTCAGAACAAGTTTTTTGCGAGGGTGAAACGTGCATTCAATCGGCGGCACAAGGGATTGCAAGTGCGTGCTGTTCTGGAGAAGTGTCCTCTGTCTATAGCATGCAGTTGACATGCAGACTCAGCATACAGTCATGTTCCGACCTCTGGTCATAAGAGAGAAGCAAGCGATGAATGCTTAGCTTGTTCGTCCAATTGGCAGATTTATTGCATCAGGCTTGTCTGACTGGCATTATGTTGGCGGCAGGCGGACTTTGGCGGGGAGCACCCGAAGGTGGCGGCGGTGCGGGCGAGTGCGCGGGAGCGGCTGCTGAAGCAGGAGGCCGAGGAGGCCAAGGCCAAGGACTCCCTCGTCAAGAACGCCGCCGGCTACCTCGAGAAATTCTACCAGGTGCCGATACTACCAAAAGTAATTGTTATATTCATAATTTGCACGCATTTCCTGCCAGTGACAAGGTGCGTCTGCAGACTAGCTGCAGGTAAAGCTGCCACATATCCTACCCCTTGATGGACTCTCCAGATCCACGCAAGACCCAGTCCACCGTGGGCACAGTGCTCAGCATTTATGCCGCCCCCCGGCCACCCGGGACCAAATTTAAACTCATGAATATTTGCAGGCTGCAAATGGCTCTCTCTCTAGAGTGCAGAGGTGCACAGGCCGCGTCCCGAGAAAAACTTTGTGCTCTATCTTTCGATATTGCACGTCATCTTTATAGTCCTCGTAAGCTTTTCAGTTGCCTTTGTTGAACTGCATGCGTGATACCTGCTGTGCCAACGCCTGTACACTGATGATGGGATGTGGCGTGCAGAAGCGCAACAGCGTGAAGGGCAAGCGGTCGCAGGAGAACAGGTCGGCCGAGAAGCAGGTCAGCCTTCTGCGCCTCACTCTGCTAGCAACTTTTTCATACCTGCAAATCCCCTCTGCCTGATTGCATGTCCCTGATCTGCCCAACATCAAAGTTGCTGGATATCTTTGCCTGCAGCTTTGTCTGCAGACGCACCTTGCCTCCTGGCAGGAAAAGCGTATTATCAAGATCGCCTGGACGGAGGCACCAAGCCTCGTTCTCATTTCAAACGCGGTGATTTCAAACAGCTTCCTGAAGCGGTTATCAGTAAGGATGGATATCTGTGTGCAGGTGACTGTGGCGGGCCCAGAAGGGGACACGGAGTGGGAGAAGACAATCTCGCTCATCAACTTCAGCTTTGCGCGCCCCAACGGCTCCGACCTGTCCCGCTTCAAGGGCGCACTCTTCGCAGCCAAGGCTCGCAATGTGGCTGTCTCCGTCAAGCCGCCTGTGCCGGCCCCCGCCAAGGCCTGAGCTGGCCACACCATTTTTTGTGCCAGGGAAAAGGCTGCAAAAAGTGAGTGCAGCCTTGGGGGAAGATGCTGCAGTCTCTGGCAGCGAGCTTCTCATGTGTGACAGCCCGGGGCATGGCCTGAGTTGGCTTCACCCGCCCACGTGGTCCACCCTTTCAGCAACACATGCCGCAGGAGCTGTATGGACTTGAAGCTCATCTGCCAGTCTGGCCGGGGCAAGTGTCTGTAATGGATGGGGCGAAGTTTTCTTGGCACCAATGGGGGCTTGCTCAGCCGCTTCAAAGCTGAGGCGCTGCATTTGCAGCTGCGGAGAGCGCTCATGTTTTGTGAGTAGAAGAAGCCCGGATCCAGAGCATAGCTTGAGATGCAGGGACGCCGAGAGCATCATTTGCGGAGCTGGTGTGGGTGCTATGCAATGGGTAGACGATGCCTCCAATGCTTGCAAAAAGAAATGATAGGAATTTGGATTGCAGTCTTGATAGCCCAATATTAAATTTCAATCAGTGGTGCAAAGGAATGGGTGCTGCAGCTGAGGAGCTTGGGATGGCTGAACAGTGAGCCACTCTTTCACACATGTGGACTCTGGAACATTTCATTAGCGGAAGTGATGGCACATCACCACCCTGTCTTCAGTGTCATTACGTAATTCACCCTCGAAGGGCGGCCCAGAAAGTTCATTGATGTTTCCTTTTCTCGCAGCAGATGACAAGCTTGCCTTGAAGACAATTTGTCCCTGCTTGCTTTGAGATCACTGCCGCATTGAGAAGAACAGACTTGCTCCAGATTCTGCCATTGATCTGCAACATGTGCAAGACTTGTAACCACATGTGACTTTCCCGGACCAGCCCAGACCTCGCTTGTACTGGCTGCTCTGCTCGTTCACCACTTTCCCAATTCTTTTGCCTGCTTCTGAAAAGGACGCGTCCAGATGGCATCTTGAATGATCCGCACAATGCTGCTGCTATGCATATGCATGTTTGGCATTCTGCCTTATATGTCTTGGATAAGACCCTTAATTTGATTGTTTCTAGGCCCCTCGAGAGAGCTTCTGCGCTGGGCGGACAACGATGTCGGTGGGGCAGGCGTAGGGAGACATGCGGAAGGGCAGCAGAGCCGCCTGTGCAATGTCCTCCGGGCGGATCATCTTGTCCTGAGACACCGGCGCATCCCTGCAGTGCACAATACCACTGTCAAAAGCCAATGATGCTGGGAAGTGCCAGCGTACACAAACAAGGCTAAGGTGCGATTTATTATTATTATTAAATGCTTTTCCTGCCAAGAGGCCAGGTGCATCTGCGGACATGCTGCAGTGAGAGGCTGCCCAAATCTTGTCTCCTGTTGGATCCAAGCAAATTCCATTTATTCGTGGGCACGAAGCTCACTATTTGTACCGGCCAAGGGGCCAACGTTCAGTGGCCGTAAATAGCGCAAGGAGAGCACGTGGCGCAGCCACATTCAAGACTCAAGCCTGAGTGCCCTTTGTGTCTCTCGGCATCAGCTGGGACAAGGAGAGTGTGGGAAAGCAAGGGTGAGGGCATAGGGTGCGCACGCTGTCATCTCAGAGGCAACATAGCCTGGGTAGATGGTGATCACTCGCACGTTGTGCTCCTTGAGCTCCTGCACACCCCTTACCCAACTTGAGTCTGCTGTGCTTCTAACATTTTGAGGCAGGGGAAGGAAGAAGAACACCAGGGCAAGCTTCCAATGCAAGGGTGGCAGAGCAACAACTGCACGGGAGTGCAAAGTGCAGAGCCAATAGCAGGCTGGCCTAACCATTGTGCACAGGAGGCAGTTCCAAAGGCAATCCAAACGCAATTCGAAAAGGTACCTCACATGACAAAATCATGATATTTGCCCTGACAATTAAGCCTAGGGAGAATGCAGACAGCAATACAGAGCCCTGACAATTGCAATGAAAAATCTCACATGATCTGGGCAAGACAGCAGAGTAGTTACCTGCTGTATGGACTTGGACCATCCAGTGAGCCCGAATTTGGCTGCATTGTAGCCTCCAATGCCAGGCAACGCCTCAATACCAGCCACAGAGGAGATGTTGATGATGTGGCCGCCCGCCTGGCGCTTACTAATCGCAGGAGCAATCCTTCGCGTCAGCCTCATGGGCACCAGCAGGTCCAGCTGCATCATCTTTTCCTCCCACTGATCTGGATCGCCTGCAATTTAAAACGGTGATCAATGTTCAGCAGTTGCTAGTGTCTGTGTGGGTCTCATGCAGTCTTGACTAAGGGGTGCAGCTGTCTCTGGTCCGCGGCAAGCCGTTGTATGATTGCTCACATAGCCTGAAGAAAAAAAATCCACAAATGGAGACAAAGCAGATAAGCGCTTCACAGGTGTGATCTCAAGCATGCCCACTGCAGAGGTGAAAACATCTTCCGCCATGTGCATTGCACCACTTGGACACAGTGAGACCTCAGTGGCTAAACGCAGCCTACAGCTCACAGGCAGCCGTATTAGCAGCAGATCGATCCTATGAGGGCTGCGGCAGCGCCAAGACCAGGCCTCCTGCGGCCTCCTGGAGGCTTCAATCCGATTGAACATTTTTGCCACAAAGATTGCTTCAGGCCTTGAGATGGGGCCCACCTTTCATTGCGGCAGCTTCCACAGCAAGTCCAGCGTTGTTGACCAGGATATCAATCTTGTCAGTGACCTTCGCAGCCAGCTCGTCCACTGCCTTGCTGGCAGCCAGGTCAACCTGCACCCAGAGACAAGATCCTTTGCTGTAGCGCCCCTCACCCAGTGCAAATTTCCTTGGTACTGGCCTTCTATCTTTCCAAAAGGAAGTCGGTGTGAAAAAAATGTATCTGGCACACCTTCAGGATAATAACCTCAGCCGCCCCTAGAGCCTTGGCATCCTCTGCAGTGTCCTTCAGCTTCTCCTCATTCCTCCCACTGATCCACAGGTTGGCACCTGTACGGGTCAGAATTATGTAAAAAAAGATGAGATACAGTTCACATCGAACGTCTTCGACATTCAACTCACCGTGTTCTGCAAAGGCCAAGCTGATCGCGCGGCCTATCCCGCCTGTTGCGCCGGTCACCAGGGCCCATCTGCCCTGCAAAAGCTTGTCCTGGCCTCCCATTTTTCCTGCAGAGATTTAGAAGTTGCTAAGATAGCTAATATTGCGGGATCTCTACACGGCACAGTATTAAGCCAGTAGCGGTATGCACCTATATGTATGGCTCAGTCCAAACTCACCAGACAGAACGATCTGTAAAAGATGGCTGGCAGCAACACTACACGAATAGCAAAAATACAGAAGAATTCCGACTGGACAGAAACTTTCCAACAGATTCCTGCACGACGTGTTCTCGGCGGAGATGCTATATTTAGGACGGGCCCTATTCATCACCAATGACATGTCATCACTGCACAGATGAAGGGAAGCAGGGAAGCTTCCAAACACGGGGATTGCGTGATATTCATGCAGAATTATTATAATTATTATTATTACAGGTCGGCAAACCCAAAGCCAAAGGCCATAGGGCATACACGCAGCGCGTCTGCAGCCACATCTACGGGGCCTTCAGAATATAGGTGCTGACCGTAGAAAACACATACCGGCGATTTGAGCCCTACATGGGACACCAGCACTCACATTCAGGCATGCAAAAGTACTAGACGGCCGCCTACCAAAATACTCTCTCTTGTACAGATCATGTGTATGATACACAAACATGCAATCCCTGTTCTTACCCACACACAGCAAGGGTTCCTGCCCGCCTGTCACCAGACGACCTATCGGCACCTTTGTGCAGCATCCAGGTTGCAAGCAAGGCTCATAATCGACAGTCAAGACAGTTACATCTACATCCACAGGGCCAGCATCGCTGCAGACGAGCTTCTCCCCAGCAGATCCAACTAATCTGCTACACCTTGCAATCTCCTTGACCACAGGATCATTGTATGCTGGCTGCATGACGTTGACTTGCAAGACAGCCCTTCCTCTTATCTCTGGCGCCCGCTCTGCCGCACTGTTCTGCATCTCCCTTTCCTGCGTCTCCCTTTACTGCGTCTCCTTTTCTTGCAAGAACGCATGCATCAGTCGCCACCGGAGGGGCTTAGCTTGTGGGATGGGCGCACGACAATGTCGGTGGGGCACGCCAAGTCAGACATGCGGAAGGGCAACAGAGCCGCCTGCGCAATGTCCTCCGGGCGGATCATCTTGTCCCGAGGCACAGATGCATCCCTGCGAGCCCATAATGATTCAGCTGGAAACATTGTGTGACCACCCGTGAGGACCCTGTGCAGCTGGAGGGCAGACTCTGCTCATCTTTTCCAGATGGTACTAAAGACTACCTTCAGTAGTCTTTAGCACCCCCCGTCTTTTGATCTTCCAGGGGAGATTGCGATCAGGACAAAGATTTCCGTCCATGTGCTGGGTAAACAGCTTCGGGTCACTCGGCGGCGGTGCAAGATCATGCAGCTGCAGGCACCAGAGCACTGCACAGGATTGAGGGCTGTTCCTCTCAGAATGATTTCGTGCACCCAGTGACCGTCTCTCTGTCTGACTTGAAGGTGGCCTGCAGGAGAAAAAGGGAGCAGAGTAAACCTTGTCATCTCAGATGCCACGTAGCCAGGGTAGATCGTGGTCACCAGCACGTTCTTGTCCCTCAGCTCCTGCACAATCATAGCTCGCCAGCTCAGTGTGCTGCAGCCTGCGCAGTACATTTATGACACATGCTTATGCATGCCATGAAGATATCCTTGTACCCTGGCCAACATCACTGTGTGATTGTGAGATGGCATCAAAGACAACGTCTATCTTTCAAATAGAAAGTCATATCCACCTCTGCTCAACGTGAACAGGCATTTGGCCATGTCAAAGATTAGGCCCCGGCCGGCGGGGGCCGGTATTGATATTGAGCACAGTGTCCACGGTTGATTGGGTCTTGCTTGGATCTGGCCATCAAGGGGTTTGGATTTGCGGCAGCCTTTACCTGCAGCTTGTCTTGAGACACACCTTGCCTTCTGGGCAGGATGCATGCATTTCTCACCTCAAAGGTGGACTTGCTGAAGCCGGTGAGGCCAAACTTGGCGGCTGCATAGGCGGCAAAACCCGGCATCGCCTCGAGGCCGGCCACGGAAGAGATGTTGATGATGTGGCCGCCGCCCTCGCGCTCACTCATTGCCGGTGCCAGGTGGTGAGTCAGCCGCATGGGCGCCTCCAGATCCACCCTCATCATCTTGTCCCAGTCGTCAGGGCTGCCTGCACACATTTTGAATTTACCTGAAGTCTGACGCCCCATTTTGCATGCACGCAGTTACAGGCTTCCTGGGGATGGCGTAGAAGAGTTGTGTGCAGGTAGTCATCAAGCGAATTGGGCAGGCATGAAAGCAAATTTGACAACAACTCCAACTGTGTAAGCAGCTGTGCCTCCACCTCGGGGTTATCAATCTCCAAGGGTGCAATTGCACATTTGCTCACACAACTGCAGTCGAGTTGCCACAGGGCTTGCTTGGTGGGAACAGCACAAGTACCAGCATGCATGCGCTGAAGTCATGGAGGGGCAGCGGTGCAATTAGCACAACTTCCCATGCGGTGTTCTGATCAGAAGTGATCACTTGAATTTGAAGCACATGCAACTTGAAACAGCAGCAGAGCTGTGCGCGCCTTCCAGGGCAGATGACTTGGTGAGGATGCCAGCATTGTTGACCAGCACATCGATCTTGCTGGAGACAACATTGGCCAGGTCATCCACATCCTCCTTGATGCTCAGATCTGCCTGTTGATGCACTCAAAAGGAAGTCAGATCATGGGTGCGGCCTTTGGCAGGATTGTTTGCAAGGCTAGCCAAACTCATACCCATGGCTGGCCAGGGCAAAAGAAATGGCACTGCACTGCTATGATTGTCAACGTGCGAGCAGGAGCCAGCCCAGTGCCGGCTAGAATGGTGGAAATATTAATGCATGTGAGCCTGCAAGGACTGTGGTCGATGTGATGAACGGACCTGTACAATGATGACATGCTCAGCGCCCAGTGCCTTTGCGTCCTCTGCTGTCTCCCGCAGCTTGTCCTTGTGTCTGGCTGAGATCCACAAGTTAGCACCTATACAATCAGGAGGAGGCGACAGTTCAGAGATGACAGGATAGGAACAAATATAGAATCCTTGCTATTTTTAAAGTAGAAATAATGCTTTGAATCTATTTCGCATACTGAAAGCAACCGTGCTCGGCAAAAGCAAGCGAAATTGCCCTGCCGATGCCGTAGCTTGCGCCAGTCACCAAAGCCCATTTGCCTTGGAGCAGCTTGTCTTGTCCAACCATGATAAACCTGCATATATAGAATTCAATCAGCCTTCCTGATCAACACGGGAATGCCGACCCTGCCGATCTTGCAGAGGGATCTGTTTCGGACACCTACACCGGATCCCATTTGCAAAGGAACTCACTTGGAATCGTCGACGATGACGCAGCAGCAGGTCCGCTAGTCACCTGTGAGGCATTTGAATGACACCAGAGAATAGCATAAGGGGATAGCCGTTCTGCACGCAATGCATTGCAAGCCTGGGCTATTCTTAGATTGTCACAGATGAGTCACCATTGCATGGCCACAAGCTGCACTTGCATTGCAACCGAATGGAGACAACCCCGAAAAATAAAAGAAGAGCTCCTCTATTCAAAGATATCCCAGGTGGACAACTTGTCCAGGACAAGTAGATCATGGATGCGGCAGATGTCACAATTCATTTGCTCTAGCGGTACCGCGGTTCGAGCAGTACACCAGTGCATTCAGTCAATCCCTTACAGATCAGCGCTGTACAATAATATAGCATGCATTGCAACAGACCTGTCAAACTTTGGGGATGATCCATTGTCAACAAATAAATGCATCAACATATAGACAGAGCATCCATGAAAGTAGATCTTCTCAGAGACCATCCTGCCAATCACTACATAGCGGAAACTGAGAATATATATTGTACACTTGTCCAATCATGGTGGGCTGTTCTTGCCAGTGGCACTGCCCCGTCCATGCAAACTCCGAAGGGACTTGGACGTCATATTTTTGAAGAGTTCCCAAGGGGTAAGTTCCAGTCATTTGAGTCCTGCATGTTGAGTACGCCCTGGCAGACTTCAACTCCGCATGGTGGGTTCAGAAAATCCTCGCTGCTGCAAGTCAGCAACAGGGCTCAGCAGGGCGTGGCGGGTGGCAGGAGAGGTGGCGGTGCAGGATTGGCCCAGGGCCTTGAGCAGAGCTAGGAGTGAGCAGCGATGGCCACCAGTGCACCACACAGCGCAATCGTTGTAATGTCCAAGTTGACGCGTTGGTCCTGCACATGCAAGAAGAGTGTCAGACAGCAGCAAGCAACTGCACCCTTACGGCAGAAATTCAACAGCGCACAGCAGGGCATGGCATCACATTAAGCCTGACAGCATTTCTTGGCCACACACCGGACCAACTTCAGAAAGCATTTTGTCGCAGCGTGTCACAGAACAATTGCATAAATGGGTTATACAGCAAAATGAAGTTTGATCCCACAGTGTCAGCGTGGCCTTATGACAGCGTCCCAAGTGTGCATCGCAATATTCAACCCACAAAGGGGTAAGGGGTGTGGGGTGCAACATTATCCACCCTTAAGCCAGAACCCTTGCTACTATATTGGTTACTGTAAACCCTGCACAAAATTATTGATTTAAACTTTGTGGGATTGAAAAATCTCATCTTTTCTGGGTGCGGGAGAGTGCCCGCGGGATCGGTGGGTGCCCCTTAGTCGGACTGATAATTCGCAAAATAATAATAGAATGGGCCGATTTTCGGATTACTGGCAAATAAACTTTTGATCGTGCGGGAACCCCCTACGGGAACCTGTTTGCTATTTCAATTATTCAAAAGTGCGGGGTTTACAGTGACCAGTACAGTAGTATATCTGGGCAGCTGACCTTGGGCAGGCTGCGCTTGAGGTCGCGCCAGGCTCGGGAGAAGCCGAGCGCGCCGGCCAGAACGAGCAGGCCCGGCGCGGTGTGGCGCTTAGTCACGTCGGCCGCCGACAGCCGCGGCGCGTTGCCGTTGGCCGAGGGCGGCCCCGAGCGGTAAACGTCCGCCAGCTCGCTGTCACCGCCCATCGCGCGCGAGAAGCCGCTGTTGCTCGCCCCCACCCTGCGCGCAAGAAAGCACTGGCGTCTTCCTGTCGCTATGAAGATATAAGGCCCATCTGGATCCCAGGGTCCAGATATGTGGTCCTTGAGTCCCACGAGAAGGACATGCGTGAGCTGATTGGTGAGTGTTGCTCTCTTTGCCGCTCTCAACATGGCGCATCCACACCATGATCATGCATGGCATCTTTTCGCCGGTTCAGGCCTGACATCCATCACTAAAAGTTCTGCTGCGATACGGCGACCTTGATTCTATGCAGCTCGTCCTCTGCAAGACTTCAGCATAGTCCCTGTTGCTCACTTAGTGTATCCGGGGATATGCGTGTGCAGACAACAAGACACACTATATTGGACACAAACTGAATGTGGGCCATGCAGGGGGCGCGGAGATATCGCCAGACAGCAATGCACAGAGCAAAGATGGCTATCCTGGGGTCACCTGGTGGAGGACGCCTGTTGCGGGGCATTCCAGCTTGGGGCCGCGCGGCCGGCCCAGCCGCCGCCGGCCATGTCCATGACGGCGACGCCGTCGCTCGCACCGATGGCGGCTGCACCCACTCTGGCCTCCACCTTGAACTCTCCTAGCTGCTGCCTGAGCAGCTCGATCTCGCTGTCGCGCTCCTGCACACACTTATGCTGATCAGTCATGCCCAGACATGCATGGCATCTGCAGCTTCTGCTAGTTGGCAAGAACTCTCCACTATGCCCCATGATGACATAGAAAAAACCAATTCCAACACAATGCTGTGCAAGTGTGCCCTCTAATGCATTTTTGATGTATGTAAGCTCCGATGCCAGGCACCAAAACACTGTCAGGCAGGCAGATGTTGTGCATGCAGCTTATTTCAATATGCACCTTGCGTCTGGCAGGACATGCATGTATTGACAAAGTTGACACTTTGCAACGACAATGAAGAGGCTGGATGATATGCTGGGGGTGGGCGTGCCTGCAGGAGGCCCTGCAGCAGAGCGATGCGCTGGGACAGAGCCTGCTGCTCTTTGCGCATTGCATCGAGCTCTGCCGCGCCCTGCTGCACGTTCAGGGCGGCCTCCTCCGCTGATGCTACCAGCTGCGCATGCTCCTCGTAATTCGCGCGCAGATCAGTCATCGCTGCCGTCAGCTCATCCAGCTGGGCCCTGCATTTGCATGCATGCAGGGTGTTCATGTAATGATGATAGGAAGCACTGCATGGAAAAAGTAGCAGGAATGACCCCGTCAAAGGCAGGAATGCTGCTCTGGAAGGAGGAGATAATTTGGCAGGGATGATGCCAGGAAAAGGGAATGCCTAAATGGGAAGGGGAAGGGAAAAGGTGGGGTAGGCCCACCTGGGAAAGGGGTGAGCGGGTCTGGGGCCATGCAGAAAAGAAAGTCATGCACTATCCTCGGACACCAGCCGTGAGGATAATGAGAGCAGGTTTGATAGATACTCCAAAGCCGCCTTGAAAGAGTCCCTGATGCAGCAGCAGAATCCGGGGCTGAAGGGTCAAAACCATATGGGAACGGAAAATAAAAAAATAGCCATTTGGAATGCGCTCCTTCAAATACTGATAAGTCTAAGAAGAAGTGCTGGTTTGTAAAATAGCCTGACTGCGGAGGTCAGGAAGCACCTTTCAGCCAGGCGAGCAGCATCAGCTGCGGTGAGACGCTGTGTCATGACTGTGAGCTCCTGCTGAAGGTCGGCCACTTGGCTGCGCAGCATCTGCACTTCTGCCGCGTTTTCTACATCCACCTGCAACAACGGAGGCACATGCTTGGATTGCAACAAACATGCATTCAATTCTGCTGCTTACGACCCAGGACGTGGACATAAGCGTTTGGCATCACCACTCACCTTGCCGTTGGTGGAATGGAGTTCTTGACTGTCTGATGCCATTGTGCTGGTGCAAGCTTCAAACAGCCTAGCCACAAGCGTTTCTTTGTTGCCATCCGCTCCCAGTCCTAGCTGCTTGAGCTGTTCTTCAAGAGCTGCCTGTCATCAGCCAAAAATGGTCATCATTACCCAGCAACCTTACCAACAGACCTCATCATCTTGCACAACCAAAAAGCACAAATTGAAGTATAGCTTGAACGGAATGCAGAGGATAAAACAGTAGTAATCCTCCAGTTGCTCACCTTTGGAAGCTTGCGAAGCGCCGTCTTTGTTGGTGGAGAAGAGTTTACTCCCGAACGCGCGACAATTTGTAAAGCACGGCTTGCGGTTCTGCGTGCCAGTCCTCCCCGGCAGGTCACCACCTGTGAGAAGTCAAGCAGCTCTTGTGCATCACTGCTGACCAGGTCGACAACCTTCCTCGCACGCCAGTGGCTAGCCAGTATATGCAAATCGTCAAATGCACCATTTGCAATATTTTGACATGCAGATCTGGCATGCTACGACGCCTGGGCTTCACCTTGAGAATTGATGTCATCGGAGTTGATGACCCTGTCAAGCGGCCTGTCCGGCAGTTCTTGAGTACAGACAATGACATCGCAAGGCGCCCTGCCTGTGTCAGATGCACCACTGTGAGATACGTAGAATTGGAGCAAGGCAGCCTCTTTGCTTTGGCTAAGCTTTGCCGCTTGTTTGCTCGGAGCCAAATCTAGCGCATCAGACGCACGACTTATTTGAATCGAAAAGCAACAGCTGGGCAAGGCATCCCTGAAGGCGACTCTCCTGGTGGCGCCAGGCTGTAATTGGTTCGAGCCCAGTCCCTGGACGGTTGGTCTGTAGGGGGTTCAAGCCCCTCCTCTATTCGGAAGGCCCGGGATCAAGTCCTGCCTTTTGTCCAACAAGTTCACTTCCATTTTTTTTAGGTACCACACCCATAGACTTGTGGATGGTGATGTTGATGTTGGATGCATTGCATCTACATAAGAGACCTCAATGTTACATGTCATACCCCCAAGCTGAAGCATGGGGCTGTTCAGATACAATATTGTGGCCCTCAAACTATGATACCTATGCCTATTTATAGGCGCTTCAATTTGCAGCTCTAGAGATCTGTGCGAGTAGTAGAATGAGTCAAAGGCAGTCATCATCCTACTCTTATCCCTACCACACAACTTCTGGAGGCGCATGCATGCACAACAGTCTCTCATCAGCATGGCACATGCTCTAGTGTACTCTGCAGACTTGACATACAAGTTTCAAACGTAAAGTTTACTTCGGTGGTTGTCCGGGAACTCCTCAGCAGATCTCACTTCAAAAGGCCTATGAGGGTGTTCGCATACTTCCGGCACTTTATCAATATGCGGCCCACACGGCGCAGGGGCAAGACTTTATAACAAATAATCCGTCCAATACATTCCATTGACACTCTACACACCCCTGAGAAGGCGCCTTGTCTAACTTCCGCGCGCCAATCAACTCTGGAATTCCTCGACCCTACCCACCAAAACTCCTCTCACAGATGCTGAGCGCCTGCCGCTCTATATGCAGAATTTGTCGCAAGCGCTGCCAGCAGCGCTTCTTGGAGCATGCAAAGCACCACGAGCTGCGGTCATACTCCACAACTCAGATGGTGTGAGATGCATGGCACAAGAGCAGGGCGCTTTCAGCTGCCCGGTAGCTGCGCGCTATCAGCTGCCCGGCAGCTGCGCGCTGTCAGCATCGGCTCCCCGGCAGCTGTACGTGTCAGCTGCCCGGCAGCTGCGCGAGCGGCTCCATCATCTTCCGGCCGCCGCCGACGGCCTCATGTGTTGCTGCAGCCAGCAGGTCTGGTGGCGGGTCCCCCTCTTCCATCTCACCGACGACAGCCGAGGATCCGCCAGACCGGAAAGCCTCTGGGAGCTTGAAGTGCGCAAACTCGGGATCTTCCGGCAGCCACCTGTAAGGCAGGATGCCATTATCTTCAGGGCCCGTGACGGCGCTCCGTTACAAGTGACATGCAGTGCCCAAAAGCGGAACCCCAACACTTGCACTGCCAATGGCAGGTGTTTTTGCTGTTGGCTTGACCCTCCCTCCTGGGCAAAACCCAGATAATGGAAGCACGTACGGTAAAGGCAGGAACAAATGCATCCGTTTTCGCTGGTGTTCTCTGTTGTGAAAATCTGCTGAATAAGCACTAAAATTTGGGGCAGGCCAGCGGGGTGGTGCGCACCTCCTGAAGATGTCTGTGTAGAAGTAGCCGAGGGAGGTCTCCAGGGGCATGTCCAGATGCATGCGCATAATCCTCATCGTGTCATCATTGTAGTAGGCCGAGTGCGCATCGCCGAAGCGCATCGTGTTGTACTCTGAGTGCGGGATGAACTTCTCCCGCCCCTTCACCCCCTTGTAACTCACCACCTGTAGGCAGCACTTACTAGGATTAAGCACCAATGAGTCGAGCGCGCATCTTCTGATGCTTCACAGTGTTTGAAATGGCGTGCACTCTCCCTGCTTGAGACTCTGCATGCCATTCGCCAAGCAGGTCGCACAGGAGGTACTGACCTTGCAGCTGTGAGTGAGGTCTTTGTGACAGGGAACTTGGGGTGTCATGCACAGGGGAGTAATGAAACACTTAAAGAATGAGTGCACCTCTATGGGAAAGCCCGGCTTGGTCTCCAGCTTGAATTGCTCCTGGAAGTCAGTGAGCCAGCTGTTGGTGTTCTCTATCAGGTCCTCGTGCCTCACGCAGACGCTCTGCTTGCGAGTCTGCACAGCAACACAGCACTCTGCCTCACTCCAGTCTTGCCCCTTGCATGCAACCTAGACTTGCCACACAGCAATACATACTTGCACATCTATCACAAGGTCACCATTGTGACACCATCTCTGCCCTTCTGACGTCTTGAGAGCAGCCTGCGTGGCGGAATTTCAAGGACAGCATCCCCCGATGTTCTCAAAGACCCCTCCAAGCTGTCAAGTGCTTCTGGTTCCTGGTGGATCTCCAGCTGATGATGCATTATGTGTCACATGCTTACTGACCTGGCAGATTTCCAGTGCCCTGGAAGCCTTCCAGGAGCGCAGCTCCAGAATGTTGGCTGCATAGAGGCCGCCGATGTTTTCATAGATCATGGGCATCCTGCTGTGATTTGTGTCATACTTCGGGCAGAATGGCTTTGCATGCAGCAGATTAGGCCGCCCTGCAATTATGAAGGTCAACACTTTGCTAGGCCACACTCACCAGACAAACACATGTGACTGATGAGAAATTGCTGGACAAGCCTAGCTGCTACTTAATCTCAGATTCAGTAGTGTCAATAATTCCACTGATCAGAAGAGCAGCATGACTTTATGTGTCACAGCATGGCAGGAGTCTCCATACCAAGCAGGTGTTCAAGCATAGGCATTAGCTGCTTGAATTCAGGAGGGGAGAATGGGTGGTGATTCACCTGCCAGCTTGCCGGGGGACCAACCCCGGAGAAGAAACTCTCCAAATGATGATGTGTTACAGTGATTGGCAGCATGCCACGGATGCCGGTGCATTGATGCAGCCCAATCAAATGCGTTCCTGCACCACATTTGAGGAAAGTGAGTACAGCTGCTCAGTGGTCTTGAGGCCTAGAAGGGTATCAAGGTACCAATGACTAAATAAACAGCTTAAGAGGTGGAGAAGACAGAGAGCCCTCTGCACCTGAACACTGCCACCACGAGGACATTTGCAGGAAGGAAGGAGAATTCATTGGGAACGCTCATGCCCAAATCATGCTTGTGGGGGCATTCTGACGGGTCATACTCCAAGTGGAAATTAGCCTGCAAGCAGCAGTCAAGATATTCCCACATGTGCTATTTGAGATATGGCAACAAGCATCATCCCTGGAGGCAGACTTGCTACATGCATTGCACAGCCCCCTTGTGCCAACTCAATCAAGTATTTGTGTTCAACATAAACTGCACTGATGGTACACAGCAGGCCCCAACGTGCTGTTGTATGTGTCTGAAGTAGCTCTTGCATGGTAGGATGCAATGCTTTAGATGATGGAGGCAAGTTCCAAGCAGCTCACCTCTATAAGGCTGGACACCCAGTTGCTGCCAGAATTCCTCTCTGAATACATGCAGAACTTCCTGACGGGCGGCCGGACGCTGTTCAGCACTGGATGCTCATCCCCAGAGAGTGCCTGGACAACAAAACACATCTGGTCACTCACCCTTCCCATCTCTCAATTGTTGTTGTTGGGCAGCTGCACCTCACATGCACTAAGTCGTAGTGTCTTAAACGACAATGGGTGACATTTGGTGGGGGCATGGGGTGAGCTTGGAAGACAAGTGCTGTGTTGACAAGGTCCTGCATGGCAGATCTGGATCACAAAGGGAGCGCTCAAGGTCTCACATCAACCATCTGAGTGATGCGTGCCAGGTCATCTGCCATGTCATCAGTGACTTGCAGCTCGTGCACATCAGGGCTGCGCCACGCGTGCTGGTTTGGATCAGCTTCCTGCAGGGCCCTGGGAGTGATTCGCCCCACGATCCGCGACTGACTCATCCAGGGTGCCACTGCCAACCCAGCTTGTGGCTGCGTCCAGCTGGTCTGTGGCTTGGGCGCTACTGAAAACATAGCAAACGGTGTCTTTGTGACTGGATCTGTCTGTCTGCAGATCACTCTGCTACTTTCAGTGCTGTTGGCAGCATGGTTCGTTTTGAGAGGCCTCCACATTATGCACCATACTAGAGGAATGTGGTACTGTGCTGCTGGAAGAAGTCATGGCACTACCTTCCCTGAAGTCGTCTACGGTGCAGAACAGCGCCGCAGTGGTGAGCAGAAGCACTACGACGCAAGAAACGGCGATTGCCCGGATGAAAGGCTGCCAGTCTCTGGTCAGCCTCCTGTTGGGGTTTGGTGGCCTCGTCATGATCGCTTGGCTGGGCACTCTGCTCCGCAGAGCCCCTCGCCTCTCCTCCATAACCTACTGAAATTCGGTCATGCCTGCAAGAATCCAGACGCACTTGGCATCTCGTACAGAGGAGGTCGTGCACTGAAAAGCTCTGGTATATATTACGATGGTGTGCTTTCAAAGAAGGTGCCTTCACGAGAACAACCAATTGCAAGGCCAAGTATTGACGGTATGGAAGAGAATAAGACTGCAGGGTATCGATTGCCGTTATGGGTGCTGGCTGGGGGACATAAGTCTGCAAGGAACGGTTTGTCATGCATGGGCATCTTACCTGTTTCGTGTCACTCCTAGGAGTGGTGAAGTCTGCTAAAACTTCGATGTTGACATCAAGATTGCGAATTTCATGTACCCAAAGTCACTGTCACATGGATGCCGAAGCAAATGCACCGTACATTGAAACATTGATGTCAACATGCAAATTTGAAGGGTATCGATATCAATTGAGGGTTCCGGATGCTGCCTGGGTAAAGGGCCATGGCAGAATGGAGTAGTCCTCTTGATTTTGATTGCTTACAGCTTCCACAACCTTGTTCAAGATCAAATGCGTAGTTCACTCATTTGTCAGTGCACACGCCAGCAAGCGGCAATTATGAGTAGTGGAACTTCTAGCCTAGTCTGAGACCTTCATCATGCCATCAGTGACGACTCATTGGCATTCGGTGCAAGATGGCCAGTTAACAGCAAACAACTGCTGCATTCAAACAGTCTGCACTGATCCAATGCCAGGCTACTCAGGCCATCTGCTTCAGGCCAGCTTGCCTATCCTCAGGGCTGCAACAAGAAAGTGCTGCACAGGGCAGGCAGTTCAAACTGTCGCATAGGCTAGCTGAAGACCACATGTCCAACTGCGCAACCTGTGCTCATACCATGCACTGCAGGAGTCTACCAGACCAGCATCCCTGTCATACTTTGCTGACGTAGGCCAATTGGCTTGCAAGCTGGTTGCTAAGGGAGAGCAGAGAAACACCAAACCAGATGGACAAAAAAATACTGAGCTAGAGCACACAGACAAAATCTCTCAAAGTCAAATTGCTCTGCCAGACAACTGCAACTTGGGGCCCAGATGCCAAGGAGCAACATAGAGACCGGCTTGTCTGCGCCAAGAAAGACATCTCAGCCTCTTATTGATTAAGAGTAAGTGCATGACCCGGTTCCCTCAGGCTAATTCTAAAATTAAGCAACTACGAACATCTGGGCCCGATCCCTTCTCAACCGCTCCCTGTGCCCAACGCGCCACGCTCTTCAACAAGCTGCACCGCTGATGTGCCCTGATTTGGGCGGTAAAGAATCCGGCATAATTCTGGCGTCAGGTGTGTCAAGGTATCTGTGATGCTGTCAGGTCCAGCCTGCTGTCTCTGCAACAGCTCCGCTGAAGACTATGAGGAGCGCCACCATCAATATGACTGCCAGTAGCACAGGGAGCATGCGGCTGTCATAGGGACCGTCCATCTTTGCTCTGCGGGCAAGCAGCAGGGCAATGATCAGCTTGCATGCCTGCCGGCTCCGGCTACAGTACACAAATATAGGCGCGATGGCGCGCATTTACAGGACTTCCGGATTGTCTGAAAGGCAACGTGCACATTGATCTTTGCTCCGGCTTGCAGCCAATAACGACACTGTGTTGAAGAGTGAAAAGGAGGTCAGGGGGCCTCACTGGAGCATCTCTCCTCTCTTGTTGAAGCTCCATGCGGCATAACAAGCCATGAAGATAGAGAGCACCATGAGCACGAGTGAAATGCTCCTCACAAAAATCGCATGCCCCTCATAGTCCGACCCCCAGTTCTTGTGTGCATGAGCAGACACACCTGTACTTGGCAAATGGGCAAACTCGGCACCATTCAGGTGGTCCATTCATACACTGCAGATAGGCTTGATGAAACAAACTTCCAATCGATCGGGTCACTTACCGAGCAGTGCTGCTGATATGCTCCCTATAGTGACAGACATGTTCATCCAATGAAGGAAGGTACGCTCATTGGCTGCAGGACAAAGCAAAATTCAGATGCTGATCTTGAGATCGTGAAAAGTGGTGCAGAGCCTGTGCATGAGAACCAGGACAAGTGGCAAGGATATCTGGCTTGCTGGGATGTGTACTAGATCGATACTTTCAGGTTGTATTGTGCGACATGTACTTTCGCACTAACCCTATAAGTCACACCTAGCTCTCAGGTGACTGACTTGTCCAAGATTAACAAATGAATGAGCTCACCGAAAAACGCCTTGGCCTCTGTTCTCCTCATAACTGGAGCAGACATGCTGAATATGGCCGTTCTAGACGGCTTGCCTTCAGAATTGTGGAAGTTGCCTAGTGATCCGGTGCGTTTTCAGTCTTTCTCAGCAGGGACCGACCGCGATATGAGCTATGGAGTTTGACCTTGTGCCAGATCGAGTCTTTATGATCTACAATAGCTTTGCTAGCAGAGATGAGCCATCACGCAGGGCTGGACTCCTGAGATGAATGGAATCTTTTTTTGAATATGCTCTTTTTTATTGAAACCCTGCAGCAGCTGGAGATGTGGATTGGACTCTTTTGGGCAGAGGCGGCATCGCTGAGGTCACACAAGACACCTAAGAGACTAAATTCCAGCATTGCAGCATCGTAGCGCACCAGATCGGCGCTTTTTCAAATTGAGAGGCAGTGCACGAACTTGGTCAGGTGCGATCGGCTCCTTTGCAGGGGTTCAGCGCGCAAAGGGCACTCAAGGGGCAAATTACATGACTCAGAAGAATCTTGTGATTACTCAATCGCAGCTCACTGCATGAATCTGCCTAAGTCTCGTTGGCAGGATTAGGGTTATCAGATCGAATGCCTGAGAAGAACAGCCTTTGTTCATATTGAGGCTGATCTCAACCATTTTTTCGCAATAAGCTTTGATCTGGTTTTCCAATGTCGTCCAGGTAGCAGATTCGCTGTTGAAAAGCTTTGGAAGCTGCAGCCATGGTGCGTTTTGGCGAGTACCTGGACCAGAAGCAGAGGAGCGAATGGAGACCGCACTATCTGGATTACAAGTGCGTAACAGCACATTCTCACTGCGTCAGCCATGTTGGACACTTGTCCAATTGCCCTATGACCTACTCCACTGTGTCACTCTATGCCAGGATGGATCATCACCTCACCAGTTACATCTAAAGAAATCACACGTGCATGTTGCACATGCAGGGGCCTCAAGGACCTCATCAAAGAGGCCCAGCAGGAGATGGAGCAGCAGGGCACTGTGGCCTTCTCACCCCGCACTACCAGTCTGACTGTCACACGCCCTCGTGGTCAGAAGCCTGCAGACGAGCGCTTCTTTGAGAAGCTTGAAAATCAGGCGCGCACTCCTTTGGCTCTTCCGACTTCAAGTCTTAACATGCTGCTGACGTGACAGTGATTATATTCAAATGATCTTGGAGGCGCTTATGATGGGAAGGAATCGTTGCATGTTCTTCACGTAGGACCCGTCACAAAAGCCATTGGCACGTGCATGGAATAACGCATGTGGCGGCCCAGCTGACATGTGCTTGTGGATGTGTCACAGGTGACAAAGATCAACAAATTCACCCAGGCCCAGGTGTCCTCTCTGAAGAAGCGCCTAAAGGCCCTGCGCGACCAAGTGCGCGACGCCAAGGATTCCCAGAACTCGTCTCTCACGCAGGTTTGAGCTTTCCCATGCCCTGGCTGCACAGCGTTTACCATGTTAGTCTCTCGTTCTCGCCTTCGAGGTTGCCCTACTTCTGTCTTCTCCATAGTAATTTACAGAGAAAATTCTTCATGTAGGAGGCCAAGGAGATTGGTGATGAGTTCCTGGCGCTGGAGAAGTATGTGAACCTCAACTACCTGGTGCGCGCCACCTGGCAATTCTTCGACATAATTCTCACAGAATCCCCTTGACAAACGACTGGTGCGGTGACAGTGTCTTGAACAAGTGCCACATTGGGTGACGATGCCCGTTGGCTGTATCATCTGCGCTGAGCAGTGGCGTTGCTTGCGCACTATCAAATTGCTATGTGCCCTAGCCCCTACATCATCATTGACTATCGATCACTGCCCCTGGCAATCACATTGCCATGTGCCCTGCACCCAAAATCGCCATTGAATGCCACTGACTGTTGCCATGTGCCCGGATCACTTCACCATCACTGCCTATCACCTAATGCCTATGATTTATGTGTTGCTTTGAGCCATAAAAAAGGTAATGCTGGCTCAGGGCTTCCACAAAATCCTGAAGAAGCATGACAAGGTGCTACCGCACGCGCCCTGCCAGCAGTTCTATGTGGCCCACCTCCACCACCAGCCCTGGGTGCAGGTGCGCGAGCCCCCTCAGCCCACGCTCTACCCTCTTGAGATTTGCTTAGAGTCTGACCATTTATCACTTGATCCCATCCTCTCACCGCAGCCTGCATGTCATTTGGCAGCCAATTGCATACACTGCCACCCTGGAACCAGACGGCATATTTATGTGGAGGGTTCATACACGGCCAGCAGAATGAAAAATGAAACATTTGTTCCACTGGCATGGCCTGGAGCCCACGTGAGAGCTACTTTGGGCAAATGACAAGAGTCCTGAGGCTCCTCTCTTGTGCTGCAGGGCAACTACTCGGACCTGCTGGTGCAGCTGAGCAATATCTACAGCCAGCTGCGTGGGGACGTCAGCGGCGTCAAGAACGAGGACAGCTCGCAGGCAGGGTTCTCCTTTATTGGCCTTTAAAAGATCACTGTGGCTTCAAGTCAACTGGGGGCAGTATAGTGGCCACTTGGCGACCTTGGGATGTCCGCTTGGAAGCCACATACTGCCCTCTTTGAGCTGGATAGTCCCCCAAAGCACCATATCTTGTCTTTGACCACTTTTGTGGCTTGATACAATTGGGTCCTAGATAGCTTTGAAGCCACATTGGCTTTGACTCAAACCTTCCAAATCCCTTCCACTATTTCCTCATAATTACATCCTGAAAATAAATTGAATTCCTAATATCATTGAATCACTGCCTGCAGGGCTTTGTGCGCTCCACAACTAAGTACTGGGTGCGCATGACTGATGTGTCCGCTGTGAAGCACCACATCCTGCAGCACCTTCCAGTTTTCCAGTACAACGAGGGCTCGGTGCGCGCCCCTTCCTCCCATCGCTTTTCATCCCCCTTCTGAATGAGGTTGCATGATAGCCCATTGCAGTGGGCTCACCCCTCTGCTGCCTCTGATCACTCCTTTCAGCCAGCATGCCCTGAAAAAATACCAAGCATCACTACGTCCCTCATCCTGCTGCCATCAAGCTTGATGACTGCTGCCACAAGCCAAATATTCTCAGGGCAACAGATGTGCTAAATCACACTCCTTCAACACGGCACTTTGTGTCCCACGTCAAATTTCCCGGCGTTTTGGTGGATCTACACTCGCGGAGCTTAAGTCAGGCAAATTGATGTTGAATGATTGTGCGAGTGTTGGGTGCTGGTTGTGCAGGAGGACCAGAGCGACTCGCAGCTGATCAACAGCGTGTACCTGGACAACAGCAGCATGGAGCTCTACCACGGACGCCTCGATAAGCGCCCCAACGCCATTGCCATCCGCATCAGGTGCAGCCCCCAACAAAACTTTGCACACATCCATTTTCGATCCTGCGTAAGCGCTCCATGCTGTACTGTGCTGCGTGGAATGGTGGCTGTATGCATGATTGTAACAAGGTTGGTCAGTACAGTGCCTTTATGAAAGCACACTCCGGATGTCCATAACAAGATGTCTGGAAATCTGTGTCAAAATGACTAGTGAATAGGCACAACGGTGTGTACGTGTGGATTGTGTGATTATCTTTCTTGTCTGCATCATTACTAAGTATACATCGCCTGCCCCTTCCTACATGCATTTGAGGGTGCATATGTGGGCGCAGGTGGTACGGCGACGGCGACCCGACGACGTGTTTCGTTGAGCGCAAGACGCACCGGGAGAGCTGGAAGGGCGAGGAAAGCGTGAAGGAGCGCTTCACTCTGCCGGAGGAGAAGATGGTGCCCTTCCTGGAGGGCGAGTACACCCTCGACAAGGCCGTGCGCGACCTGCAGGCCAAGGTACGCAGGGCTTACTGTTGCCAGTCTTGCATGCACTCTCTCTACCCCATCTGCTGATGATCCTGTAGGCCAGTGAGAGAAAATGACCTTAAAGGTGCTGTCCTTACTGTGCGTGCATTAGGACTGTGCTTGCTCAAAGTAGACTGTTGTCAAGTGGTAGGCAAACGCACAGATGCCTGCCTCAGAGTCAGGCGTGTCTCGTATTTACACAGGATCAAGGAGCAAATTGTTGGAAACCTGCACGTAGCTTCCAAGTCGGCAGCGGCTGAAGGGTGCATGCATGCATGCGCGCAGGGCAAGTCAGAGGGCGAGATCGCAAAGTTCAGCAAGCTGTTTGGCGAGATCCAACAGCAGATCGACACGAAACAGCTGCGGCCAATGATCCGCACGCAGTACCTGCGCACGGCCTTCCAGATCCCCTTTGACTCCACCGTGCGCATCTCCCTCGACACCAACCTCACCATGATCAAGGAGAACCCCGACGACGGCCCCACCTGCACCGTCGCCGGCAGGTCTGTCCTGTTTTTATCCCTTGCATTTAAAATGTTGAATCGGTTCTGCTGCTTGAGCTCCGCAGACCATCTGTGGCTTCAGGCATCGTGTGCACTAACTCCGCAAGATCCTCTCGCATGCGCATGCTCCATTGATAGGCATTGCAAGGAGCTTTCTGGGAGAGTTTGCTCACCATGTTGGGAAAGATGCAATCGATCTGTGGGACCTTGTTTTTGCAATGCCGACAGTCACCACCTGCTAAAAATGCTTGCCCTGTCTTGCCATGCCCTTGTGCTGCTGGCTGGAAGGAGCCTCCTGCTTTCTGTGCTGATTGTGGACCTGCAGGCCTACAACAAGGTCTTCCTTGCCTCACAGCACCTCCCCATCACCGTCTGTTCTCTGCTGGAGCATCATTGCCTGATCTGGCTGCAGCACCTGATTGGGCTGAACAACTGATGCGCGCAGGTGGTACCGTGACCCGACGCTGCCGGTGCCGCGGACGGAGGTGACGCGTTTCCCCCACGGCGTGCTGGAGGTGAAGCTGAGCCTGCCCGAGGGCCAGACCGCGCCCGAGTGGGTCCAGGACCTCCTCGACTCCGGCTACCTCACCGAGGCGCGCCCTTGTTTGTGTTTTATTCTGTGGTGTGCAGCCCTCAACTGCAAGCAGGCATGAATTGTGAGAGATTTCAGTATGCCTGAAGCATGCAAGACTGCCTTAAACGAGAGAACAAAATGAGTGAAACTCCTGCAAGACAATCTGCAGGCAGCTTTGCATTTGTGCGGTGGAGCCTACAGTGTTGTGTGGCGCTAATTGAGTGGGGGCCGACTGCATGACTTCTGCATGCGTACTTGCTCGGAATCCCAAATACAGGCTAAACAAGCTCTCAACAAGACTGCATGCTTCAATGCGCATGGCAGAGCACGCAGACAGGTGTCCCAGCTCTGAAGTGGGGTTCTGTGCGTGTATTTGAGCAGGTGCACAAGTTCAGCAAGTTCATCCACGGCACGGCGACGCTGCTGCCAGAGCTGGTGCAGGCGGTGCCCTACTGGGTGGACGACGAATCCGTCCGCCCCTCCATGCTCCAGTCCGCACCGCAGCCCGCCCAGTCTGTGTGAGTGTCCCCTCCGCCCTTTGATAGTTTCATGATACAGACACAATGCCTCAGTGGGTCATGCTGTGAAGGGATTCATCCTCTCTGCAATGCGACAACTTGGTTGCACAACGAGCATCAGCGGGTCATGCTGTGAAGGGAAGCATCTGGCTGCGGTGCAAGCATCCCCTCAACACTGGGCACATGGACTCTTCCTGCAGTGTATTGTGCTTGCCAACCGTCATGAGTGTATTCGGGGTGATCAATTGAGCGCTTGTGCGCTTCCTACATGGCGCAATTCAAGGGGCTCTGCGAGAGGCAAACGTGATTCAGGAGCAGTCTGCAGAAAGGCAGCGTGACGGTGTTATGGCAAACGATTGAGGGTTGCGTTTGTGCCGGCAGGCCGGGAGCGTCGGCGCCGGCGGCTGCCGCGGGGGTGCCGCCGAAGCCGCGGCGGCGCACGGGGAACGAGGTGGACGAGCTGCAGCACCCGCTGCTGGGCGACCAGCCCACGCTCCAACTCCTGCCACCGCGCGACGCCGTCGGTGCGCGCACGTGCCTCATTTGCTTTAATTTAGATGAAGTCGCATGCCTCCATGCACGCTGTGTCTTTGATGGGGAGGCTTCTGCTCTTCTGCTCTCTGATCTGTACTATGTTATGCTTCTGTATATGCAGCACTGGTCAAGATTTCTGGGAGCTGGGGTACGTGGTTTTGAAGGGCTTCGACATGGCCTTGAGGGCCAGTCTTCAGGATTCTTGTCCATGGAATCTACCCTGCATGTAGCAGAGGCCATTGTCCTCTAAAGAGAACTTGTGGTGCGCGCAGGCTTTGGGCGAAAGAAGGAGAAGAAGGGATTCTTCGACTGGTACTTCAACAGCCGCAAGGCCAAGGAGCCTCCGGTCATGGCGCGAACAACGCCGATGCGCATCGAGCCGAAGACCTTCTTCGCCAACGAGCGCACCTTCCTCTCCTGGCTCCACATGGCCGTCACCATCGGCTCCATCGCCGCCGCCCTGCTCGGCTTTGTCGGCGTCGCAGACTCCTCCAAGCACAAGGCCCAGGTCAGTCGCGTCTCACCTGGCGGCCCCTGCACCTGTGTCTAAGGATTATGATTATTATCATTCTTAAAGCACCACGCTTATCCTGCCAGAAGGCAAGGTGCGTATGCAGACAAGCTGCAGTGAAAAACCCTTCCCCTTGTTGGACTCGCCAGATCCAAGCAAGACCCAATCGACCGTGGGCATGGTGTTCTGTATGCAATACCGCCCCCCCGCCAGCCGGGGACGGTGTCTGAGTATATAGTTACTGAATGTTAGAGTGCAGCATACTGCTGGTATTCGTGATCATGATGGACTGGTGGGTGTGATGGTGATGCACGGAAGCAGCATGCTCAAAATAGTGTGTAAAAGATTCTTAATTTAGGCAGTAATGTCTTGCATTGCTACCGTGCAGGCGACGGACTACCTTGTGGAAACCATAGCGTTGATACTGCTGCCGGTGGCCGTGCTGATGTGCGCCTACGCGCTCACTGTCTTCATCTGGCGCGCGCGAGCCATCTCCAAGAAGCAGGTGCGCGCAGCCTGCCTTGCCCACATGCCCACATCATTGGTTATCACCACTGCAGTACTGAGACAGTGTCAGTGGCAATTAGTGGCGATGCGCTTTGTGCTGTCAGTGCTGCCAACCCTCTGCATGGCCGCTTCCTTGTGCGTGGGTGGCTGCCTAAGAGAACAAGTGGCCCAACATAAACATAGTTGTCCACGCTGTATGGACCTGTCCTGCCAAGTGAAGCTGCAGGACGCCGGATGAGCTCCCCAGGAGCTCGCATGCACACCCACCAGTGTGATTGACTCCTGTGACGGATTCCGCAAGAACTTTGTGCATTGCAACAGCATGACTGATGTCAAGCATGCAACCTTTGCGTGCACCCCCTAGCATGACTAATCTCAGATGCATTCGTCATGCTGCGCAGGTGGGCCACATAGACGACCGCTTTGGTCCGCTGGGCCTGGCAGGGGTGGTGGTTTTGGCGCTGTCGGCCATCCTCATAATCTCCATTGTGGACTTTGTGCAGCAGATGCAGAGCAAGACGGGCCCCCCGCCGGCGCCCCCCGCTCCCACCGATCCCCTCCCCGACCCCACCTCCCTGCGCTCAGACCCCTTCGGCCTCCAGCGCGCCTTGTGAGGTCGGAAGTATGTACCACGGTGAAATAGATATCATCCTTGGTGCAGCCTTGGCTCCTTCGGCCGCCATCCTGCTCTCTGACTGCGCAGCTCTGGCATGCAAACCATCTTCCTGCAATGTCTCAAATGCCTTGCAGGAATAATAGGACAGTGCCGGTTCGGTGGGGCTGTTTTCCTCATCCGGCTCACCAGTTTACCAGCGTAGGTCTGGGCGGAATATAAGCACAAACCTTGCGCTGGGGAGGTCTGTTGAATGAGCGGGGAATGATGAAGAGGTTGAAAGGTGGAGAATGACCTGAGTCTAGCCGAGCTGTTTGCTTGAGTCAGCGACAGGATGATGCTTGAGCTACAGGGGCTGTGGTATTGCAGCGGCATCTGAGGGCAGAGGCAAAGCCTTGTGGGAAGTTTGTGGTCAATCGACTGAGGGCAATGGAGCAGCAAAGACCAACCTAGATGCAGAACTTGGTTTGACATGCTTTCGACCCGCATTTTTGGTCGCACTGCTTTTTGGCTGCACTGCACCTAAGCAACCAGCCATTAGCTCAAGACTGCAAGACAGTGACAAACTAATTTTTTGCTTACTCCCTTGGGTTTCCCAGGCTCTTCCTGGGTGAAACATCCCCCAGGGACGTTCCCTGAGGGAACTGCATTGAGGGAAAATATTGCAATGTCGTGGTTGATAATTTTTCTCATTGACTCCTCTCCGGGGTCCTGCTGTTCAGGTTTGGTTTTAGGAAACTGTGCATGTCTGTCAACCGTGTAGCATAGCAACCAGCTTTGTTTGCGGCTAACAGAGCAACGAGTTGTTTCATGCAAATTCTCTTAAACTCATGAGTCTTTGCAGGTACTGTCATGCTGTAGCACCCCTCAGAGAGCTCTAGTTGAAGGCACTTGCATTTGTTGTCGAGGTGAAGGCTGTGGTGTCTGTCTAGGCAGCAAAGATGAAATCCATGTGATTGCACTCTGCCTAGTTCCTCTGTTGTTTCTGCGTTCCAATGCGCACTTGTAGATCAAGATCTAGAGTTGGCTGGTGATTCACAATCAAGAGAAATATTCGTAGAATGTGTAAAATCCTAATTTATTGGAAGAATCCACGTTGATTTGCTTGTGTTGAAGGGAAACTGCTCCGTGAAGGTGCCTCAATGGCAATCTGTCCTATTTATATTGGCCAGTCCCACACATGGCATTCACTACGTGTCAATGTGTCCCGTACCATGTATTTATTGAAGTATTTTCGCTTGCATGTGTGCACATACCTACATACATATCAAATTCCAGGGCACCCGAGTAATCAAAATCCACTACTTTAGTGGATGTAAACGCTACTAATGTGGTGGATTATTGGCAATCAGGGGCCATGCCACCTGGTAACACATTCCATAGCATGCCATTTTGGTAATAAAAATTAGGCCTTTCGTCAGTAAGCATGGAGAATGATCAGTGATGTGTTTCTGTACCGAGCATGTCACTTATTATTGCTAGGATCCCGTGTTACAAGTGTGGCAGTGACAAGGAGAAGCTTCATCCGAACTGCGCAAGTTCAGAACGCTTGACTCGCTGTGTAGGTTGTGATTATATTATCAGATTCTATTCAGAAGGTCTGACAAAGGACGAATACGGCCACGACGCTGTTGCCGACTGGGTCTTCAAACAAGAGGCAAGGGTGCCATTGCAACGTTGCAATGCCGTGGACTCAGGGGTCAGATATTTCCATCAGAGCTGCCTTGGCCGAGATGAACCTTCAGCATTGTCCAGAGCTAATGGCTACTATTCTATTCGCGGGAAGATTGAGAGCGAAAAGTATCCAGAGCTCAGAAATATTACCCACAAATGCTGTGAGGACTGCGTCATTGCAGCCCAAACCAGGGGCAAGGATCTCAATGAGGATAAGTTGAATTTTATCATGCATCAAGGAGTGATTGGTAGGTCTCAATAAGCACTCCATCTTTGAAGGTTGGGAACACCTATGTTTTGAATCTCCCCATGACCTTGACACAGAGTAACTAACTCTGACTTTTGCGTTGCGTTCAGAGGCAGAGACCGGCGACTTGGAGAGGAAGAGAGCCGATAGGCGATCAAGCAAGATTCGAGGCATCATTGGTGGTCAGCAGGCTCGCCTCGAAGACAATGGGACGACTTCGACCGCCATCTTTGCAACGAGACACCTCAATCAGAAAGTCAGCTTCAGCAAGAGCGCCAGCAGATTGCTGGCAGCAGTGCCCAACCTGAACAGGACAGTGATGGCAGCCTCGTATCTCCAGGCCAGTGGACTTCAGGCAGGCCAGACAGCCCAAGGACAGGCGCAGAGGGGCGCCACAGCTGCAGCAGGCGGCATGCAGGGTCCCGCAGCCCCAGAGGCAGAAGCTGCAGGACCTTCGCAAGCGCCACAGCCAGGGATCAGCCGCAGGCAGCTCAGCGCTCAGGGAGCCGAGCAGGACATCGTCCAACGGTGGCTTGCGTTCAGCCTCAAGGCCTCATCCACCGTTGCAGAGCTGAAGCGGTTCCTGCTTGACAGAGGCCAGCGGCCAGTGATCTTCACCAGAAGCGCGCTGCTCGCCAGGGTGGAAGGGCTGCTTAGATTTGAGCATCCAGAAGGTAGCTATCCATGATGGCTGTAACGATCAGCGCCTACACATCTTATGCCTGGCAAATTAATAACATGTCCTCACCATTTCCTCTGGACATCTTATGCGCTGGCAGCTAATGGATGCTGTCATGCAGGTGGACTGGAGCCGAGTGCGGCGGCGGTTGAAGAGATCACAGCCGCTGTTGAGGCCGCAGCCCAACCGGCACGGCAAAGACCAGCAAGGCAGAAGGTGGGCATCTTGTTGAGGATCCTTATGTTTGCATGTGCTTTGTGAACGCCTCTCATCTGTCAAGCTGCTGGTGCAGTGAAAGCGAGTTTGGCTGAACACACTGATTGTAAGTTATTGTTGTTACAGGCGCCGAAGAAGTCACAGCTTCAGATGGAAGCGGCCAAGTCCATTGTTAACAAGGGTGAGTGGGCGCTCTCAGCTGGAAGCTCTGATCACCTGGTGACTGTTGCACACCCGAGAAGGCTTTAACTTCTGCAGATTTGATGGAAGGGAATGATAGCCAGTCAATTGAGGCGCTCACATGTTTGCAGGAGTGAGCAGCGGCCTGCCCGTGGTCAAACTCAAGCAGATTGACGAGTTGCTCTGGACCTTCGACAAGTGCCACTACCTGCCGCAGTTGGGGGAGAGCACTCCCTCGATTGGTGTCGCTCTCTGGGCCGTCACAAGCACGCTGCACCGCGACGGGGAGTTCCCAGCACGCAACTTGTCCCAGTTGGGTCGTGCTGCCAAGGCTCCTGTTGGTTTGGTGCGCGCTGTGCAGCCAGGCAGCGATGGCACCCAGCTGCATATGGAGATATGGTTCCTCGAGGCGCGCGTGCAGACAGATAGCCAGGGGGAGCCCGAGGCAGCGGTGGCAGGGGAAGGCGGTGGGGCACGCGCAGATGTGGAGGGACGGGGTGCAGGAGAGGCAGCCACCGGTGGGGGCGTGCAGGAAGGGCATGGGCGGGGTCGGGGCAGGAAGCGTGGCCGCCGCGGCACAGGCGGGGCGCGTGGCAGCAATCGGCCCAGAAGGGGCAGCCGAGGCAGGCTCAGGCGCCCAACCGCCAGAGCCGCAGAGTTTTGGGGTCCCCCCACTGAGGGCGACGAAGACGAGGTTGGGAACCTCTTCTCTGAGTCAGATGCGGATGACCAGCCAGCGCAGCAGCACAGTGACCCAGCAGAGCCAGAAGGGCAGGCAGAGGGTGTCCTGCCTGAGGCCAGCGAAGTGCCGCCGCAGCCCACAGCTTGTGCGAGCCAGTCGCCGTTGCACGGCTGCTTGCTGGCAGATGAGTCGCCGCAGCCTGTGCCAGTCCCCAACGTGCGGCTGAGCATGCAGGGGCATGCCGCATCGCCGGCCAAAATGGCTGTGCTGGTGATCGACTACCGGCACATTGCAGCGGCCCTCTGTCATCCAAAACGGCTGAAGGTGGCTCTCGGAGGCGCTGCCGGGAGCTCGCCCATGAACGTCGAAGAGGCTGCAACTGGTGTGGCGCTGGCAATGTTGCTGGCTGAGGAGCAGAATGCGGCGCGCGCCGGAGAAGGTGAGGAGCCATCATGGCTCTCTTTGTCCTGGCTTATATGATTCCACTCACAGTGAGTTTCTAAGTTATAATGCCATGCGAATCATACCCCGAAGGTTTATCGACAGGTAATTGTCAGCAATAAGCTGACGACAGGCATGTGTTGTCTAGGTGGGAGTGCTACGGCAGCGGAGCAGTCGCAGTCAGCCTTGGAGCAGTCACCGCTGTCTGGCGCCATGGTCTTCTTTGATCCTGCTCTGGAGCTCGCTGCCGATGAGGAGCCAGCTTCCTCCTACCGCTCTGCAGATGGCCCAGCAGGCATGTACAAAATCCTGCTCTGTCATTCCTGTGAACTTGTCAACTGACTGCTCTCATACGCTGGTGTAGTTGATTTGTTCATGTCTTGTCTCTCAATGCTGAAGTGTCTGCTTGCCCCTTTGCCTGAGCCATGCCTGTCTTTCACGCACCCTGCTCCACATGCTGTGCTTGCCCCTTTGCCTGAGTCATGCCTGTCACTCACGCACCCTGCTACATATGATGTGGTAGAGTGCCGCACCTAAGGGTCATCTGGGTAATACTAACAACAGGAATAAATTTGAGCTTGACATCCTAGCAAGACACTAGGGAAGATATTGCTTGAATGCGGTAATAATCGCGGATTGTAAGCAGCTGTGTGTTGGTGCGCGCAGGTCGACCGTCCCTGGAAGTTTCCTCCCCTGGGATCAACATGGAAGCTGCAATGGGTGTCATCGCAGGGCTGGCATGTCAGCTGAACCCCTCGCCGCAAGCCAGAGGCCATTCGAGCGCGCACAGTGACGTGCAGATTCTGCCAGATGACACAGTCTATGTCCTAACAGATGACAGGAGGATAGTGGGGACGGCAGAGGTGGTGCATATTGGGCCTGGCACACGGTTCCACGGTGCTGAGCTTGAGGGGTTTGGTGTTATTTGCGGGCTCACCATCACAGACGCAACTGGGGCTGGACACCAGAAGGCATGGTTGAGCGACACAGATGAAGTCAGAGCAGGCAGAACACCCTTGGAAGCAATTGGGGGCAATCAGATGGTGGCAGTTCCCGAGAGGTGCCTTCGCTTTCTGAGGCGCCCACCGGCGGCTGGAGAGTGACTTGCAATGTGATCTTTGCACTTTCAAGCTAAGTCAGTTTCAAGCTTAGTCAGAATTGGCGTGTGAGCATGACGCAAATGTAGCATCAATTTTTTTTATGTCCTAAATTTGATATTGCAATGAGGACTGTAGTAGGTTGTGACCAAGTCTGCCTCACTACAAGGCGTTGCACATCCATGCGCTCTACGCAACTAATATTAGTCACTCACTTGTCCCTCTCTGCACATGTGCGCAACAATCATGACGGTAACCAGATATCATGCATGTAACAATCTGTAAGGTAATTCTGCTCCCGGTTGCCTCACATGCTCAACCTTCGAATCTGAAGTGGCCAGTGGGATGGAGCACTTCTGCTTGAAGACAGAGCACTGCTGCTGACCGCCACAAGGTAGTGGCGGTGGAGGGCAAGAAAATAAATCCCCTGAGCCTATCTTATAATATTATTAACCCCATCTGTCATTGAGCAGCCTGGCTCGTTCTTGCTGTTTCTCTACGATGTCGGTGTCGAAATCCACTCACATAGAATGTTGAACGTGGAAGAATTGCTACAAGATTCTTCTCAGCATCATCGCACTTCTTGGTCGCTGCATAAAGACACACGGCATGTCACATCAGATGGCGCAAAGGTGATGCCCTTATCTTGCCGGCACCCACGCTATGGTACACGCACGCGATGTGTATCAATCAAATGTGCCACAAGCGACAGAATTGGGGTGTCAATTTGCTGCACAGCGTGGGTGCCCCTCCTTGATGGGCACATCTCTTTACATCGAGCAGCCATCTGAGATCGCCAGGGTTGAGGACGTGCTGTCCGTGCAGCACGCACTCAGCGTCAATATTTAGACTCTTTCAATATTGATTAT